CGAACTTCTACGAGATAGCCTTTCCGCCATCCACGCAGTCTCGAACCTACCCAGCCACGGATCCAGAGTGGCGAAGCACGCTACCGACCGTGAGCCCACTCGAAACCAAGCCCACTTTGCCAGGCCGCTATTGACCCAGACCCGGCTTGCTATTGGTCTTGTTGAGCCACGGGGCGCGCTGGTGCCGATGTAAGCGAAAGGGAAAGAGAGGGGACAAATCTCGGACATGTTCGTCCAGATCTTGTTGGTGTCAAGCGTGCCGTACCGTTCGTTGGCTCTCTTACCCCGAAACTCGACGTTTGCCCTCACCCGAGTGTAGAGAGAGTCATTACTCCAATAGGTGCTAGACCGCGATGGTCAACCACAATTCGCAGGATGTTCTGGTCCCCAGCCAGTACCGTCCCAAGCCTGTCATCACCTCAAATCAGCTTGCGCGTCAATTGCGGTCCTGTAAGGTCTGCCGGTTCCGCAAGGTCAAGGTGCGTCCCGACCCGATTCTTCTTGCTTGCTGGTGATGCCCCATATTGCATTCCAGTCGGGAATCCAATTTATTGGATGGAAATATTTCCCAGCTCCAGAACGAGTCACTCGACTGGGGATTAGTGGTGTATTCGAAGTACCCCTGTGGCCCGATCTCCACGCAGGCTCGTCTGGCTCTAATACTCGATGGTCATAGTGCGATCGCGTTAAACCCTGCCATGCATGCTGTGCTCATGGATATCCCTCCAAGTGCTCTTACGACACCGGCCCCGAAGATAGCCTCCAACCGATAAGCCAAGCGGACGAGATCCGTAACCTCCGAAATGAGATCCGTCAGCTGACGGCTCAACTCAATGCCCGTGGTACATTTATCCATACCTGAAAGAGCAGGAGCATAATTCGGCCACCGTTGACGTGTGCTGACGTTGATATCTGGTGTGTTTAGATCAACGGAACCGAAACAGACGCCGCCTAGCGCAGCTGCAAGGCTTGGTTGATACGATTCGTTCGGCCCCGTCAGAAGTCGTCGATGGTATCATCAGCAGTATCCGGACAACAAATCGGGTCGTTACGCATGGCTCGGGAATTGCATCCGGGGAGCGGACAGAAGGTGGGTCATGACCTTCTGGGTGGGGGGACGATGACTCTGGGGCCCATGAGCTGACATGTGCCCTCGTACCTGGCAGAGAATGCTATCGTAGCAATCCAGCGGCCTAGACCGGCTGAAAGTGATGAGGAAGCTGAACATAACATCTACTTGCGGGCCGGCCATTGTGATGGCAGTCGAAGTTCATCCGAGGACAGCGAGGATTCGAGTTACGGCTCGATTTGTCAAATGAACACGACAAAACCGATGCTCGAGGTGTTCATTGAACGTTTTGTGGATGCGTTCAGCCCAGAAGTCGATGCTAAAGCAGGTCACGCGGGTGCACTGCGACGCGCTGCTGAAATTCGCATGTTCTCCCCAATCTTAATGGACGCATTCCAGTCGGTGTCGGTGGCTTTCTTCGGCCGATCCGTCCAGAACAAGGAGGTCGAGGCTGCGGGTTTCAGCCTATATCCACGGGTACTTCGCAGCTTGCAGCAAGCGTTGCAAGACCCTGAACGTAGCAAGGCTGAGTCGACCCTGGTAACAGTCATCCTTTTGATGGCGTTTGAGGTATGCTTCGCAGGGTCCTTTTCGTCGCTAAGTTCAACTGATAAGATTTTTGCAGAGTGTGGAGCGTACTACTCAGGTTTCTCTGATTGCTCACGTTAATGGTGCACTACGATTGATTGAACATCGGGGCCCAGAGAATCATGTCCATGGCGTGGAGCATTTACTGTATACGGAACTTCGACCATACTGGGTATGTACCTGAACCCTGTATATGGAAAACCCCACGTACTCATTCACTGAGCAGGTATCTGCGGCTCTTGTCAGCCGTACTCCGTCTTTTCTTGCTCAAGAGGACTGGATCAATCTTCCGTGGTCGGCGAAGACTACCAAAAAAGATATTCTGCATTATCTCATGGACCTCGCGGTTGAGATCCCAGCACTTCTATCTCAATTCGATGATCTCCAGGCCACCATCAGCTCGCAGATGGCGAGTGCGCATGAAATCAAGGTCAAACAGGCAACCCTATGGAACGGTGTTGCTGACTTGACCAATCGCTTCCGCCGATGGAAAGCCGAGTGGGTCGACCACTATCCCGACGGACCGCCTCAAGAGGTTGAGGCACTACCAAATGACGAGTTTCCGGTGTTCCAATGTCGAGATCTTCGCACTGGTGCCATCATTACGCCCACGAAATTTGTCTATCCGGACCTCCGCCTGGCTCAGACCATGTGTTTATACTACACTACACGCTTAATATTGTCAACAGCGGATTGCCGACCGACAGACCGCGTCGGACCTGCCGAACAGTATGCCTTGGGGTGCGGTATCTGCCGAACCCTGGAATGGTACATTTTGACTGCCCCTGGTAACATGATAAATCGCCTCGCCTTTCCAGTCCGCGTGGCTTGGGAGGTTTTCCCCGACGGGGGCCCAGAGCGCCTGTTTATGTATAATGTGCTCAAGTTGGTCGAGAAACGGCATTCACTTGGGCTATGGGGTAGTGGAATGTCCGAACTTTCTCCTCGGGCTGGTTCCCCTCCAGGCCCCTGAATGTATAAACCAAATATGCGGTCGTGGTTCGCTGGACGATAGCGGCTGCACGGTATGGGAGACACTGGAGGTGTCTCACGAATTCATGATTTCGACCAAATGCACCACATCCCACGAGTGAGCGTTTTGTAACCATGATGTAATTGATATAGCTATTTACGAGAAGAACAGTACATTCTGCTTGCAGTTACATATACAACTGAAGGCAATCCGCCTCGTTTCGGCCTCTACCTTGATCGATCAAGTTTCTACCTTGAGACACAGGAGCGACCAATCATGCTCTGGCCAAAGGAGCCGGCTCAGAGCTTGAATTCTTCGAGATCACTCGAGCAGGAAAGACCAACAATTTCCTCCGATGTCCAGTTTAGAAAGGGGTTGATGCCTCGACTTCACGCTCCAAGAGCCTACTTGAGTGATGCCGTGAATCCATCAAGTGAGCCTGACGCCATGAATCATTCACCTAGGCTTTCAATTATTCGCAACTGATCCTAAAGAGAGAATGTGCATGGTTAGCCATTCGTAGCTTGCGCGGGAGACAAGCTAGCAGGCCTGGAATGGATGTTATCCGGAGAAATCTCGTCAGCATTTGATATTAAGTTGATTCAAGTGATCAAATATTCGCCAGGGGCGCAAGGAATTTCAACAGCCACATGGCAATAGAAGGCCGTGTAGGGCAAGTTTTACGGAACACGTATATCCGAATACTTTAACTGCGACAAGCGTCCGCCGCTATTTCGGAGCTTAAGGTATTGCAAAGTGCTGATGGATCAAGCTTAATGCGTTTAATGTTTCAGGTTAAAACGAGCTTGTCGGCTGAAGTGGAAGGAGTCAGGGCAGTTGGTGGAGTCGGGGATGGCGCCGGACTCCACCTGCCCCTGAGACAAGCCCTTACTCTGCGCCTTCCGATTCTTGCTTCCCCCAACGGTCTTCCGGGTCCAGAATGGCATTTGTTCTTAAAAGGTCGTCGATCGGTGCCTACCCTGGACCGTTGATCTACTCTCTCATTCAGTCTTTCATTCACAGCTCTGCTTGCAGTCATTCTTTCTTCTTTGCGGCCGGTTCGCTTCAACTACTCTCGTTCTTCAATCTGATTTGCTTTCATCGACCACCATGCGTTCTGTCTACGCTGTTGCTCCCTTGGCTTTTGCCCTCCGCGCTGCGGCTGTTACCAAGGATTCGTGGTACTTCGGTAACGGGTTCTACACTGGCCCTCCTTCCAACAGCGCTCACATCACCAAGGCTACTTGGTCGGTGATCGCCCCTAGTGTCCCGGAGCACACCACCGTCGAGAACACCAGCGATGAAGTCTGGGTCTCGCTTTGGATCGGCCTCCAGGCGACTGCCGGTGATGCTAGCTCCTACTTATACCAGCCCCTGTTTAACTGGTCGCCCGACCAGGAGTCCCAGTGGGTATACCTTTTTCGATATGACAAGCAAGAAGACGTGTCCGCTAATTGTGGCCAGGGGCTGCCCTGCTACCGTCGAGGAGTGGTGTGTTGCTGCCAGCACCTACACTCCTAGTAAGTCCGGACCTTGCTGGATTAACGAAACCCTAAACGTTGTGCTAATTAATGCTGTAGGCGGTCAACTCGGACAGGCCTACGTGACTGTTCCTCAGGAAAGTCAGGTCGACTTCGAGGGTAGGTTTCATACTAACCTCAGTCTTCAAAGCTGATCAAGGCTAACACTGATGATGTGCAATAGTCACCGTTGCCGATAGCAAAGTCACGCAGGTCGTCAGCATCGACGGCAAGGTCGTTTCCAAGGAGACTGACAGTAAGCATCCGGCCCTCTCGACTCAATCGGCCACACACCCCGCGTCCCACGTACTGACTTGAACACCTACCTAGAACTCGACAGCAACCTGCTGTACCTGTACTCCGGAGACGAGTGCTACACTGGCTCCGGCACCTGCGGTACTCAGCCCGCCTACAGTACGTCTTCACCGCTATGCCGCACGGTCTTTTCATATCATGACGTTGGAGATTAATTAACATATCCGACTCGAATCCAGGCTGGAACAACATTACCATCCATCTGAGCGAGGCTGATTCCAAGTTCGGCGAAACCCTGTACCTGTACAGCGGCTCGAGCTCCAATGGGTTCACCACCTCCGACAGTGGCAAGACTTGGCACACGGATGCCATCAAGATCTCCAGCGACACCTTCGCGGTGCTCGACTAAATCAGGCTGCGGCAAGCACAGGTGATTTGTGGTGCTTGGAGGGGTCTCGAGTCGGCGGTACTGCTAGTCAGTCATGACCCCTGTCGGGACATCGGTCTTTCCGGCCGTTTACTTGTGGATAGCTTCGTCACATAATTGGCACATACATACACATGGCTGTATTCTGTTCGAGATTCGGTCACTACAGCGTGACTAGTTCAATACTGATCCTCATCTGTGGCCTGTTGGGAATTATGATATAGTTCGAGGCACATAGATAGAACTGAGAAATGGTCGCTAGACTATGACATTAAGACACGTGATAGACACACGACTAGTCTAGTCACCTTGTGCAGGATTCTTCTAGAATAGATGTTAAGATATGTACACATAGTGAAAACGTTCATACGCGGGTTAAGCTCCAGGCTTAGTAGTCGAGGGTCTGTTTTATCGCATCGTAGATTCCTGCGACAAAATCAGTAGCTGACGGGATAACTGAAAGGAAAAGGTACGACACTCACTGGTGACGTCGGGAATGATAAACTTCTCGTAGATCAACCCGGTATGCGTACTCCAGCCGCCCACGCGCTTGACGGGGGCCTCCAATCGCAGGAAGGCACGCTCCTGGATGGTCGCCGCGACCTCCGCGCCCACGCCGTAGTTGACCATGCTCTCGTGCACCACGATCGCGCGACCGGTCTTCTTCACGCTGTCCAGCACCGTCTGCCGGTCCCAGGGATAGATCGTGCGCAGGTCAATCAGCTCGATGCTCGCGCCCAGCGCCCGCTCCGCCGCCTCGATCGCCGCCGAGCACAGGTACAGCGGCTGCCCGTAGGACACGATGGTGAGGTCGTTGCCGGGCTTCACGACCTCAGCCTCGCTGAGCGGGATGGTGTAGTACTCGTTCGGCACGTGCTCCACCGCCGCCCGGTACAGCACCTTCGGCTCCATGAAGAGCACCGGGTTGTTGTGCTCGAAGATCGCCGACAGCAGCAGCCCTTTCGCCTGGGCCGGCGACCGCGGCATCACCACCTGGATGCCGGGGATATGCGCGAACAATGCTTCGGGGGATTGGGAATGGTACCTAGCTCGGAGAATAGCATCGACGGTCAGTAAGACCTTTCTCGCAGGGCTGTCAACAAAGAAAGGGATATACTCACAAAGCACCATGCCCTACCGCACCGCACGGCATGCGGATCACCAACCCGCCGATATCCACCCCCGTCGCCCCCTCGCGGTACCGGAACTTGGCCGCCTCATTGACAATCTGGTCGAACGCAGGGAAGACGTAGTCAGCGAACTGGATCTCGGCCACGGGCTTCATCCCCTGCGCGGCGGCCCCGATCGCGAACCCCACGATCCCTTGTTCCGTCAGCGGCGTGTTGAAGACCCGCTCGGACCCGAATTCGGTCTGCAGGTCCATCGAGCACCGGAACACGCCGCCGAAGGCGACGTCCTCCCCGAAGAGCATGACCTGGTTGGAGGTCGCGAGGGCGGTGCGCAGGGCGGAGTTGATGGCCTGGTAGAGGTTCATGGATTTTGAGGAGGTCGCGGCGGGGAGGTCGAGGTGGTCGGGCAGGGTGGAGGCTGTGTGGTGGAGGAGAGGGGTGGATTTGTAGTCGATGGGGAGGTTGAGGCGCGAGAAGGGGGATGCGGCGGCGGTGGAATAGGTTCGGCCGTGGAGTTGAGGGTGAAAGAGTCGGGATGATATGCGTCGGGATGCCATGGTTGGGATGGATGGGTTGGTGGTTTGAGACGTATGGAAGAGATCGAGACGATGGTCGTGGGGGAGGGGGGGAAGATGAACTAGGGGGGAGTCTTTCTGGTTTTTTCCTTTTGCTTTCTCCCCTCCCAGAGGTGATGGTATGGTTTGTGAAGATTCAGGTTTAAAAGCTGGGGGGAGAGAGAGAGTTTCGACCCTGACGGTCTCTCCTCCCCTTCAATGCGTTCATGCGGGGAATGTTACCCCAGTCCCCCGCGGATAACCGCCCTTCATGGCCTTATCGCCTTATCGCCTGGTCGCCTGAGGGGTGCAAGCAGCTTTGGTGCCTGAGTGCCTGGCTCGGTCAGCGATCGGCACTTGCTTCTTTCGGTTACAGTACGAGGCAACCCAGGCAACCTTGAACAACACACTCATCTATGATACTTACGAGGATTTCGTCTTCACCTTCTATTTATTCTGCGTGAGCCATCGAACTTCCTCTTCACCAAGCTTTGATTACACAAACGGGATATGGATAGAGTTCGACATTCCAATAGGACAGGTCCACACTTGTCGACGAAGAAAACAGAGATCCCCCGCCTGGAACAAGTACTCGTCGATCATTTCCTGTCAGCTTGGTCGTGCAGGTTACTCTGATATCACAATTCGCCATTCCTCACCATGCCATCTCCATGCTGGAGTATTGCGATCAGGTCAGTCAAGACACAAAATCTCTTATTCTTTCACTCCATATATACACAAGCAAGGGTATCGTATATAAAAGGCTCAACCAATATTTACAGATTCAAAAAATACCTCCAAGTAGCCCATGGGGCCCATAACTGTTCTTCGTTGACATCGCTCAAGTAATCGACCCCGAGACCGATTGTCGATCAGATTCAGTATCGCTGAAAGCCACCATCTGGTACTCGGAAGACCGATAGCGCCAGCGACTGAGGCGCCTGAGTCGAGGATCGAGGCCGCAGCACCTGCAGAACCCAAGGAACAGGCCAACGCCGCTCATAACAAACGCGATGCCCAAGATCCAATAGTGCATGTTGAGCAGCCGTTCCATGGCACTGCCCCGCTCCCTCTGCAATAGCTCCGTGACGTCCAAGACATCCCCATTGGAATCAAGGGCTGCCAAGCGAAACAGGGGACTATCCAAGTTCTCCGGAATCTCGATCTCGGTTTCGAACCCAGCTTTGTCGTATTGTGCCACCACCTTGAAAGCGGCATCTTCCAGTTCGCCTGAGAGCCAAGTCTCTAGTTGCCACGCAACAACCTCTGTCGCCCCGTTCCAGCTGACATAGATTCGATTACCGATCACTTCGGCATCCGGAGCGGTTTGCGGCCTTCCAATCCAATCGCCTTTGAAAACCCGGTATGATACGGCGCGACCGAACCCAAAGAACACCGAGGCACCGAAATGGACATTGCATAACACTTGCCCGTCCGAGCTGAACTCGGTATAAGCGGCATTATGGCCCCAGCCCACCAAGGCACGGCCATCGTCGTCCAAAAGTTGCAGATTGCCCTGCGACACGGCTTTCATCTGCTGAGGATGATAGTACGCAGCCAGAAGGGTCGCTTCGCGCGCATCAACATTCAGAGAAATCATCATGCCATGACTTTCCTCGTCGGGGTCTTTCGTCGAGTGTGCTGCATTGTTGAAGAGGGTGAGCGTGTTGTTAGGGTGCCAGCGCGCATCATGTTGCCAGGCAAAATTGGTCGCCTCCCCGTCTGAAAGGTCGCGGAATTCGTTCAATTTACCCCCAAGTGTCCACAAAACCACACCGCTGTTCTTGTCAATGCAGCTGACAGTGTGGGTATGTCGTGCCGAGACGATATAGTTCCCGCTATCATCCTTTTCGATACTATTGATGTGGTAATAGTCGAAGGCAGACGATCGGGTGGTCCCAGAGGTTCCCAATTTTTCATAGGTGCTATTGATTGGGTAATGTTTGGATGCACGCCATTCAAAAAGCAGTTCGCCCGTCGCGATATCGATTTCCTGGAATACCCCATCATGGATCCATCCCAGTTCAGGGCCTCCAATCGAAGTCAAATCAGCAAGCACTGGGTCATAAATTGTCACAAGAGCAGTTCCCTGAGGCGTGATGTGGAACTCATGAAGGTCGCCGCCGTAACTCCCGACCGGGGTGATCACGTATCGCTGGGTGTAGGTGGAATCCAACTGTGACAGGTCAGCTTATTGGAGAGTCGGAATGTTTTCTGATGCCACCCACCATGTACCAGGCTCCATAGCCTCTACCTTCAATTTCGTCACCCTCCCAGTATGTGAGGTAATCAGTACCCTGATACCGCTGGACCCTGAAATCCTGGGTTATCTCCCAGTTGTGCTTCATCCAAACTAATTCACCCCTGGAATCGAGGATCATGGGGCCCGGCTGAGCAACCGAGTCGCCTCTAGGGGCCAGAAACGTTAATCGTGAATCGCATCCCGATCCTTGTTCCGAGATTTGAACCAGTGGAGATTCATAATCGAAGGAGACATAATCCTGAGACGGACCGAAACCATAGAGCCCCAGGTCGTACCAGCTCAAACCAGCCCTGAGATGCAGTCGCCGCAGCTGTGGCACGGCAAAAATGTAGAAAAGATACAGCAGACTCAGGAGAGCGCCTAGCGTGGCCACGTGTAGGCCAGAAAACCTGGACCGCAAGCGATGAACATATGACAGACTGCGAGTCCCCGAGGACATTGGAACATCGCGGTGAGAGATAGAGACACCAGTGCGCAAAGAAAGGGGAAAGGGGAGAAAGAAGAGCTGGCCGTGCTCTTGGTTATAAGAATCACAATTGGAGACTGGGAATATTTCGGAACCGACCAACAAGCTACGAACTCTTGGGAACACCTCCTGCTTGGCTTTGATCGCCATCGCGGCTAAATCAACAACAGCCAGGCGTTATTGTACGTGTCATTTGTCGAACATCAATAATGGGGCTGGTTTCCGAGAACCGATAATGGCATGGAAGGGAGGGGTAGGGGTAGGTGTCCAAACTCCAAATTGAATTCATCACACGCGCGGCATAGAAGGGAACCAGTATCTCCTGCAATGGGGCACATCTCCACGCAAGCAGGCCCAGGCCAACTGTGATTTGGTGCGCGCGAGCAAGTTCCATGTGTGCCAAGGTCATCACCGTGGATCGGGGTCACCCAGCCAGTCCACCTTGGCAATTCCCAAAGGATGTCTGGCCCGCAGCGTGGCTGTGTCTAGTCTTGCATCGGGCCAGCGCTTGATTTCTATTGGCTCAGACCCCGAGTCTTCCAATTTCGCACAACCGAAGCTCGGCATTAGATACTTCATCCAGGTTGGTTATCTGATCAGTTGCGCGCGCTCGCTACGACTACTCGGTATGACGACTGAGAGCTCAACCGCCGCTGAAGACAGCCACTTGGACCCGCTTGCGCGTCGTCAACCAACAGCGCCAGAATGTCAATGTTCGCATCGCAGACGGTTGAACTTTATCAGATGTGCTGTGGACCGCCGAATCACAATCATTGAATCGATTATGGGCCCATGATCCATGACTTGCACCGGTCGGTTTCGGGCGGACCGCCAACGTGGCCGAAGAAATAGATTGAGTGTGATCAACAACAGTTCAGAATTCAGGAGTCACTCCGTGTTCTGGAAAAATGCTTGGAACTTTTTCCAGTGTCTTGGCATCCCTTGGGAGCCCGGAAGAACCCCTGTTGCGCTATAAATGGAACCGGTCATCTGCTCCACCCCACCCTCCGAAATGGGATTCTACGGAAGCTTTGACAATGAGGATTCTCCTTCTAGCGATTGAGACGCCAGCCAAGGATGGAAGTCTACCCCCGCGGAATTCGAGACAACTTACCATGCGTATGTCACCAACTACGTATGAGTCTGCCTTTGGACTGCCGCCTCCGATCATTGCCCGACGCAAAATGGGCTAGCGTCGTTATTATACCGTCGTTATCATATTACTCCGAACTAAAGTGGTAATTTGCGGGACGACCACTTTATTTTACCCGGCTCATACCACTCCGGTACGAGTACGAGTCTAAAGAACCCCATTCGCTCTTCGAGAACAAGATCTCCTCAAATTGTGCCACAATGACGCCACTTTTCTTGATTGTTAACAACGATTGGATTAATCCTGGACAAACCCCTCCGTCATGTCCGGGTCTCTCGGCACAATCGGTCGAGGCAGCAACAATCTCGGAGATCCGTAGCAGCAGTCATTTGGCGCCAGGCGATGAATGCAATAGGCTGCAACATACTGTAATCACTGGATTACGTGCTTTGCGGGATGCTTGACAGCAAGATCGTCATCCATCAATCCGATGATCCCGATCCCCGACAACATCGGCCGAGCATAAGCGATGAACAATCAGCTGGTAGTGGAAGCGGTCTTGGCTTACAGGTAATTTCGTCTTTCTACTTGCTTGATCTGTTTTGAAAAAGATTTGGCAACCGCCCAAGCGATGTTCCAGGATCTGAGATGATGGCCGGGTGGAGGGGTGTTTCGCACTATCTGGACCGTCTGGCCCTTCGATCATGACTTTACCAGTCAGTGACAACCAACGAAACACTCCATCTAGCGACCGGGGCTACGAATCTATATCAGACAATGACCTGTCCCGTGTCATCGACTCGAGAAGATTATCTACACCCTGGATATCCTTAGCATCAAGAATCCCCCTCCCAGCATCTTCCAACCGTACAACGGGCGAGGTCGATCCCTGCAAGTACACGCCCTTAACGCCACTCACAATACTGCTTTCCGCTCTGCCCTTCAGCCTCACCACGACTCTGGTCACCACGCTTGCATCCCAGAGTCCATCCCGTCGGGGCAGTCGCGGGTTTTGTAGCAGGGATAGTGCCGTGGCTACCGTGGCGGGATCGCTGCTTTTCAGGCAGACGACGTAGAGCCCTGCGATGAGCTGCGTGGTGAGCGTGAATCCAGGTGAAGCATCTTGACTTGGTCGGGAATCTGGAGTGTGACTTTCGTCCCCGCCGCCGAGGTCAAACTCGCCGAGAAGAATGGCCATATCGCTCAGAGCGGCGCTTAGCGCAGAGTCCATGGCAACGGATGATGAAGATGCACCCGGTGTGCTGTGCATGTTCTCTAGTAGAACACCGTGGAACAGCTGTGCTTGAATATGTAAGAGGAGCAGATGCTGTCTGACTTTTGGGTCTCTGGGTAGAGGTGCGTGAGGGATGGAGTGGAGGAAAGCCCGGAAGGCAGCGTCGAGCGCCAATCGCTCCTGACATATCTCCAGCGGGAGATTGATGAGTGGCACGTTCTTGTTGGGAAGATGCACGAGCAGGTGTCGCAAGAGTCGTGCCTGGAGGCTAACAAGGATTGTTTCGGGGTAGTTGTTGGGGTCGCCCGACACATGTCTTATCGGCGGTGCTGGTACAGGTTCATGGCTGACAAGCACCAACGGACGGGAATCATCGTATGTGCTGGCTTGGATGTCCAGTCGCGCCAGGAGAGCCCCCAGATGCGGGAGGATATCCTCCGCCACCCCGTACGCGGCCTGCGGCGGGGGCGGATGGTCTCGGTACCGTTGGAACAAGATCAACGCCTGATTCAGGTGCCGGATAGCGTTGCCCGCCTGTCCGATCAGCGACTCGAAGGCGTAGAAGAGCACCCCGCAGATCAGGGCGACTTCGTACGAGGCCTGCGGGGAAGAGAGATGCGTGCGCAGCTGCCGATGCGATCGGGCGATCAGCCGCAGACCTCTTGGCGAAGGTCGTTGTCGCGGGCAACTATTCTCCTCCTCCTTTTCCCCCTCCTCGCCCATAAGCTGGTTGCTGTGGCTGTGGTGATCCTGGTAAAGGGCACTCAGCGTGATGAGTGCATTGCGGATAATGGGTTGGGTGTGGCAGCGCTGGAGGATGAGGCGCGTCCACAGAGTCGGGTCGGAGAAGCTCGAGAGACCCTCGGCCGCTTGACAGCAGTAGAAGTGCAGCAGTTGCCGATCGGCTTGGCTGCCGGGGACTTTGAAGGGGATGCTGTAGGTTGTGATCGCCCGGTCTGGGGCCTGTTGCTGGGCTGGCGTTGCGTATCCCTCGCACGAGCGGTTGGAGCGGTCGCAGCGCTGACAGCTGGGTTTGGCTTCGTCGCATTTGATCCGGCGGGCTCTGCATTGGATTAAGCGTCAATTCATTTGCAAAGAGAGGGAAAACGCACTTGCAGGTCCGGCACCCGGAGCGTACTTTGGGTGTGCTTCTGCGTGCCCTTTTCATGGTTGTGTGACGGTGAGTAGTGCTCGTTGAGGCTCGTTGTGGTTCGTTTTGAGGGGCCGCTGACACTAATTCAGAACTAAATTATACGAGAGGACTTGGCGGTTCCTGACAAGGTCTTTGTACTACATTTATCCTTGTCGAAAGCTGCGTGCCTAGTTTCCGGATTGGGACCCTTGAGGATAGAAAGTGGTCGTGGGGCCAATTTTTAAAGATGGAAATATACGAGGGTTGGCGTTCGCAGGCAGCCGTGATGGGTGGGGGCTATATATTTTGCTGGCAACCTCACCGAGTATGAGTACTCAGCCCTTCACTCAACAGAACTTGCCTGAGTGAATAATCCCAAAATGAAGCTCCTCCCTGTTGTCACGGCGAGCCAGATCGTGAACGGATGCGTCGCAGCTACGCTTCCTTTGACGCGACGTTGTGCGTCTGATGTCTCTAGTCCTGGCGCCCCACTCGCTGCTCAGTACAGCAGCACTTTCGATGTCGACGTCATTTTTGCCAACCAGACCTTTAAGCTCCTCGTTGACACTGGCAGCAGTGACACATATGTCGTGAGAACTGGCTTCCAATGCATCAACGCGACGACCAATCTTGAAATTCCCGAAGCCGACTGTCTATACAGTCCGCAGACATACAACCAATCCAGCACCTATCGTCCGATCCCCAACGAGACATTCGGCGTCCAGTACGGCAATGGCATCGCCAGTGGTGTCATGGCATACGAGGACATCACCTTGGCCGGAATCACCGTCAAGGGGCAAGCCGTGGGGATCGCTGATCACAGCAACCCGATGGGCGACGGGGCGAACAGCGGGGTGCTGGGTCTTGCCTACCCATCCCTCACCTCTGCTCACCCAGGGAATGACACCGACAATACGACCTTCTTCTACAACCGGGCAGTCTACAGCCCCGTGTTCAACACCCTGTACGGGCGTGGTCTCGTCGATTCTTACTTCAGTATCGCGCTAGCCCACACTCCATTGGAACCAAACATCTCGACCCCGACCTTCGGAGGCTACCTTACTCTCGGCGACTTACCCCCAGTGGCTCACAGCCCGAATTTCTCCATCGTGCCCGTGGAGATACTGGCCGAAATTCCGACCGAATTCACATCCGGCCACCGCACCCGATCGTACTGGGCTTTCACTGTCTCGGCCGTCACCTACGGCGAACCCAATGCGCAGGATCTCACCACGAACGCGACGGCGTTCCAGGCGTTCACGGATACTGGAAACGAACTCAGCTTCCTGCCCGCGGCGGTGGTGGAGCCAATCAATGCTCGGTTTGCGCCGCCGGCAGTGTATGATGATGCCTCGGGGGTGTATGTGGTGGACTGTGATGCGGAAGCGCCTACCTTCGGGGTCACAATCGGGGATCAGACGTTCTATCATGAGGGACGAGATCTTATCTATCAAACGGGGGATGGGACCTGTGTGTCGGCGCTGGCGGCGTCGGAGAGTGTGGCGTATGAGGGCATTGTGTTGAATATTCTGGGGGCGTCGTTTCTGAAGAATGTGGTGTCGGTGTATGATTTTGGGAGAAATGAGCTGCGATTTGCGCAGAGGTTGGGATTGTGAGACTTGCTTTGCTGGGAGGGTAGCTAACAAGTCAAGATTTATGAGGTGCGATGTGGGTTGTTGATAATTGAAATGTTTGCATGCATTTGTTGACACATGTGAATTTGCCCGGCGTTCCCTTGGACTTCCTATCTGGGAAAGAGACTGTTTGGGTTGATGACACCGACACTACTGGCCAATAGCTGTTTATTCCTGCGTCCACGGTGGAAGAAAAGCCTTCTGACTGGCTGGTCACTTGCATCTGCAGCAAGTTGTCTGCTGACTCAGTGAACTTGGAAATACCCCGCCCCCGCCTGATTGTCTAATGCCTTTCTGTTCATATCAATGACTTGGAACTTGACAGTGTCTCTTCTCCCGGATTGCTGCTTCTTCATCTTGAGTGACACTACCTCTTCAGGTACCATCGGAGTGATAATGTCGTCGTCAAAGTCCTCATCGCCCGAGCCGGACAGGATGCTCCGACCAGAGAAACAGAGACTCCTCCCTCAAGCGAATGATGGTATAGACCCTGAGGACTACCAGCTCCACAAACAACCATCAAGATGGCGGTCTCTCATCCGGAGAGCTCTCGTCACCTCTCTACTTCTTGTGATGACAATATTCTCTTTGTTACTATTCTTCTTCCTTGGTCGCATAATCTCCGGCCATCCACAGGGTCCTGTCGGTGACACCAAGCCTCCCGTACACAATCCAATCAAGAATGTTGTGGTGGTCGTACAGGAGAACCTTTCTTTTGACACCTTTGCCGGGGGGTTGACCTATAACGCGGACATCGACGGGCTTATTCGTACACAATACTGCAACCCGGCCAATATTTCTGATCCAGAGTCTCCTCAAGTCTGCGCCCAGCCAACCGCGCAGGACATCGCCCCCGATGACCCCGACCACAGCATCGCCGGAGGCAATCTGCAGATCTATGGCAATTATGATCCGAAGCCCGGCACTGACCGTCCCACCATGCAGGGCTTTGTGACAGAACAGGTCCGTGCCTATGGGCTTGACGGGAACCTCGGTCGTGCAGCCGAGGTCATCAACTACTACACCCCCGACCGCGTCCCCGTCCTCAATGCTCTGGCGGAGAATTTCCTTCTCTTCGATCGCTGGTTTGCTTCCGTTCCCGGTCCGACGAATCCCAACCGTGCGTATCTGACATCGGGCACGTCGCACGGCCATGGGTCTAACGACCCCGACTTCGACACCTCCTCCCTGCCCCAGGTCTCCATCTTCGAGCAACTGACGGCGGCCAATATCAGCTGGATCAACTACTCCAACACCACGGGGTTCCTGCCGGATGCCCTCTTCTATACGTGGACAAAGATATCTGGCCACGGGGTGTCGAACGTCAAACCGATCGATCAGTTCTACAAGGATGCCAAGGCAGGCACCCTGCCGCAGTTCACCTGGATCAACCCGGAATGCTGCTCATTCACCTCCTTCCACCCACCATCGCCGGTTCACCTCGGGGAGGGTTTTCTCAAGAGTCTCTATGAGGCACTGCGAGCATCCCCGCAGTGGAATGAGACCCTCTTCATCCTCACCTTCGACGAGCATGGCGGATTTGCGGACCACGTGCCCCCTCCGGAGAATGTGCCTGCAGGGGACGATCTTCCATACACGGAAGCTGCTCGGGACGGCACCCAGACGACCTTCCGATTCGACCGGCTGGGTGTACGGGTTCCGACCCTGCTGATTTCGCCTTGGGTGGACAAGGGAGCCGTACAACACGGACCAACAGACCAACCAAACGATTTCACCCACACCTCCATCTTGAAATATGTGGCGGAACTGTGGGACCTACCCCTGTTGACACCCCGCGTAGCCTGGTCCCCTAGTTTTGGCAGTTTGATTCGAGATTCTTCGCGATCAGATACCCCCGAAAGACTACCCGAGCCGTGAGCGTAACATCTGGCGGGGCCACTTCTTGGCTTTCTTTCCCTCATGGAAGTAATAAACCACAAATATGATTATATCTCGATGCTATGGTGAGCGATGCTATCCTATGCTATGCTATGGTATGGTATCACGGGTGGCTTGCGCCACTATTAAAGTTGGTATGATGATGATTGGCTAAAACCCCGGCCACTTCTTCCGCTTGGACTGCACGGAGCGAGACCGCGAGCGCTGCGTGATGGCGGAGTTGCGGGTATTCACTCGGTCGATGTCGTACGGATTGGCCTCGTACTGCCGCTGCGAGTCCTCCTCCGTGGACAGCGAGCTGCCTCGCTCTAAGTCCAGCTCTTGGTCGATAGCCGTCGCGTCCACCCCATCCGCCACAGCTTCCGCCTCTTCATCCTCCACCTCGACCTCCTTCTCGGGGTGGTGCAGGGTCTTGTCGGCCAGTTTGCGCATGAAAGCATCCGACTCGGCCGAATACTTGCACTTCCGCCGTATAGTCGCTCCGTATTTGTAGAAGATGAAGGGGAATGGCAAGCACGCCAGCGACAAGAATGCCGGGATGCAGGAGGCCCAGTGGATGCCCAGGTTGTTGTACATGTAGGTCGTGAACAAGGGAAAGCCGGCACCGAAGCAGCTTCGAATGATCGAGTTCGCGGCCAAGACGGACGCCGCGTAGATGGTGTACGAGTCGATCAGATACGACATGATGTTCAGGAAGACCAGCACCATGCCGAAGCCGAAGGGCGCGGCGGCGATGATGCACACGATCCAATGCACGGAGGGCCCGTTGGTCCACGCGAACCAGAACAGCCCGACGGGGATGGTGATGGCGCCGATCATCGTCGGGGGCAGCCGCGCCTCCGGCGGCGCGAAACCATTGTACTGCTCGTGGATGCGCCGGTACCGTTTGTTGTCGTACATGTTGTAGCCTACCGCCGTCATCATGCCGATCATCACCCCGAGGAACGGCAGCGACCCGATGCCCTCGCTCCAGCCGCGCATCTCCTGGAACACGATGGGGAACGCGTCGAACAGCATGTACAGGGTGCCATAGACGATCGCCATGTACAACGACAGGAGCAGCACGATCGGCTCGGCGAAGAGCAGCACCCAGGGCCGCAGGAGCGCCGCTCCAAAGGCGTTCGCTACGGACACGCGGCCGCGCTCCCGGTCCAACTTGCTGCGGTACACCTTTCCCGTCAGCTTGCACAGCCGATCGGCTCGCGCGCGGAGCAGCAACGGCGCATAGGTCTCGGGAATCATGAGGCACTGGATGATCCAGATCAGGCCGGAGAAGGCCGCCAGCAGGCCCTGCACCCATTTCCAGCCCGCGCTCTCGCCGAGGAAGCCTCCAATGATGGGTCCGATGGTCGGTCCTGTTTGAACTACAGTTAGCGCCATGTTACGACGATGTCACTGTAAGGGATCTTACCCAGGAAGGGTGCCCCGGCGAACAAACTCATCGCCAGTCCACGCTCCTCAGCGGGGAAGACATCCGCGATCACGCCGCCGGCATTCGTGAGCGGGGACGAGCCGAACGAGCCCGCGAAGAACCGGAGAATGATCAGGGTCCACGAGTTGCGGGATCCGGTCGCGCCGGCGCAGAAGACCGCCAGGCCGAGGTACGAGATGGCGAAGACCAGCTGCCGGCCAATCAGTTCGCTGAGGGGCGCCCACACCAGGGGGCCGACGGCGAACCCCAGCACGAACAGCGACACGCCCAGGGTGGCGACCTCGGTGCCGATGCCGAAGGACTCGACCACCTGGTCGATGCTCCCCGCGTAGGCAGACGAGGCCATCGACACGCCGAACGTCGCGAAGGCCGCGATGATGGTGAAGGTCCACTTGCGGCGCTGCGGGAAGAGCATCGGGTTGCGGGGGTCGTCGGGGATCCATTCCACGATGAAGGGTTCCTCCTCGGTGCCGTGGCCGCTGTAGGGGTGGTTGATGATGTCCTCGGTGACGGCGCCGTGGTCGACCAGGATGCGCCAGTAGGGGATCCGCGCCGGTCGGGATGACGCTTTCTCAGTGGATGCGGCCATAGTGGGTTGTGGATGTGGTTATCGCCGAGTCCGACGGGAGAGTAGCGGCCGCGGCGCTTGGCGCATTGCTTGCTTGGCTTGGGCCGAGCAATTCCTTTTTGGTCAGGGCAGAAATATCGGACCCGGAAGAGCGAGGGCTGCTACAGAGAAAGATTTCCGACTTTATATGAGTTGGGGGATTTGGTTATCTTGACGAAAATCGCAGATTGGATGGTGCTATCAGAAAAAGAAATTTCTTGTTCCGGGTGGTTCAACCCCTTCCTGAGGAATTCTGTGGTTATCTAACTTGGGACTTACTCAGTATGATTCAAGGTCAGACCATGCGTGCAGAAACTGGCCGAACAGCAGCAGAGGCATTGAATCATTGCAGTGGGTCCGGCACTAGGAGGGAGCACGGCGAGTCAAGACTGCAGTCGCATTGGTTATCAGGGCCCCGCTGAGGGGCTGGCCCCCATTCCTTCGGCTGTCGCTTCGGCAAACCGAGGGCCTGGACGGGGGCTCCAGCCGAGGTATCGTCTCCTGCCTGTATTGATTCGAGTTTGTGTATGAGGTTCGTTTGGTTTGGCTCTGGTTGCCCGTTTGGAAGTTCTAGAAGATGTGTCAATGTAGAGTGGAGTCATTGGAGATGTCGTGCTGGAGGTGGAAGCTTGGGCTTTATACTGCTGAAGGAAGGTGGTTTGGTTGTAAGTTGGGTTTAGCTGTGACGTCATTTGGCTGGGTTTCTGCGTTTCGCTCTGTTGCTGTTGGGTTTGCTGGAAGGTGCATTTGCTAATAAGCAGGGCTTGCTGGGTATAGACTCACAGTGGCAATACATGTAGACTATTCACTGGACATGTCAGGCCTGGTAAGGCTGCAGGGGGCATCTCTTCCACTTACATTTCCCATTAACTAGCTGTATTGAATTCGCCCCCTTCCTCTTCGCAACTCTGTTCTCTCCTCTTCTTTCCGTCTTCCACGAACCCACTAATCCACCAAGCCACTCTTCCACTCCTCCACTCGTCCATCCTTGAATCTATCCATATCTTCTCTCAATAGTTTCTTCGTCTATCTTCATCTATCAAGTACATATCGATGAGATACCATGCAGTTTGCGGTCTGTTTAAGTAGGAACCTCATCCGTGCATCATGGATAGGACCTGTCTTCTCTGAAAAGGAACCATGTCTACGTCGCACATACACAGACGGAAAATTCTACAATCGCTTTCATATCTTATGGAGACATCCTTATTACATGAATACAGACAAGCGGGGCACAAACTGTCATGGTCAACAAAACTTGTCTTACGACCAGATGTACGCCTGTGCATACTGCTGGCCTGAATCTCTCAAGACAGCGTTCGCCTATGCGTACCTCATCCCTGTGTCCTTTTCCAGGTCATTTGGCTAGGTTAGCGGGAAAAAAAATTCAAAAGTAGGATATCCATCCATGATAAGCTGACTCAGGCATGTCTCCTGGGCTTGGAGACGTTTAGCTCATGCTGGCATGGCCTGGCGTCTCTGCGAATGGGATTATGCGCGAAGATGCTTATATTACGTGGCCAGCTTACATGACAACCAGAGCGGAGATGGTGTGGGTTGCAGTGCTGTGGCCGACAAAGACGCTGATCTTTGTTCATGTCGCCACCACAAGATGTGGTTACTCAACTCCCAGAGATCCATGACTGAGAAAGACGCTGGGTCTACCACCAAAACACCACTTACACATCGGACCAGTAATTGCGGACGAGTCAGATATTTTGGATTGTCTTACCATGGTCATCCTCGATCCAGTCACTTACACTGAAGTTGTCATCCTGTCTGTGAGTATCGGCCGGCGACTGTATGACACTGCTGCCGGATTGAATCGCGTTAAGACTATTAGTAGTGTTGTGTTCTATTGCCAGGTCCATTACAAACGCAGTTTTTAGCAGGGATATCATGACATAAACCATATAAAAATCTGGAGACCTGGTCACGACGAGTAAAGACTATGCACGATCTTTTATCGATTTCTGATCAGGACGAAAAGAAGAAAGTACGTGACTGGGCTAGACACAAACAGATCACCTGGATTCTATCTAGTGCAAAGCGACTCGTTATCGAACACCAGACGAATACTAATTTGCCTGAGGCCATGCATCATCAAGTGCATGTGTCGATTCCAAAATCGAATTTGATCGAATGATCTTGAATGACAGAGTCTCAAAAGCCTAGACTTGTTTTTACAGTGCCGTCCTGTGCGAGTGAGCTGGGGGGAGGAAGCCGAATGCAGAGAATTAGCTGATAGCAGTCAGGGCTCGAAGTCCATTCAAAGTTCTCATGGCGGCGTAGAGAAAGTGCGTCTATTCGTGATCTGCGCCTATACAGCCTGTCTTTGAGTTGCAATTGCACGGCGGCTCAGTTTCCGAGATTTGCTACCAATACCACGCAATTGCGGCTTGCACAGCTCTGCGCTTTGAATATACAGTCAGTCCATCCCTTGGGGTGCAAAGACCTTGTCAATAAATAATTGACCGACTTCAACAATTTCGCCAACCCCTGATCCCAACGGGCTTTGCAAATTGATTATAGTACTCGTCGTACCAACTTATACGCCGCGTTCATTGGTCTCCGTTGCTTGAGAAAGTGGACAGCTGTTGCATCCACAAAGCTGTTTGTCAGCTGAGCTGAGTCTAAAAGACCCCTTATGTGACCTCGCGTATCTACTACCCTCAATTTAACCTCTCCATGATAAGGATCCGAACACAAAGCAACAACTGTGTCATGCACACAAAGCTTGCCAAGTTCATCTGGCCGCTATTTACAACGAATCGCACCTTTCAGACAATTACCAGCCCTGCTCGTTGGCGATGGAGAAGTCTCCCAGGTTAATCTGCTGCTACTGCCCCACCACTAGTGCACATGGTGTGTTCGCCGATCACCGAAAATAAATCTGGTCCCTAAGAATGTGAAGAAGTCGTCTCATGGGATTAACAGCACTGCAGAGTCAAATGGCATCGGCCTCATTGAAAGTGTTCGTGAGAGATATCACATGCTCACTGCGCGTTTTCCGCATCCTTGAGGTGTTTTTTTCGGTGGTTTCATCAACTACGCCCTACAAAAAAGGCCTCGTGCCTGTCTGGCTCGGGTACCGTACGCAAGCAGCACCCTGGGCCTTTTTTGGTCGGATAAATGACTTTATAGTACTGAGGGAGCATTTTGCATTATTCACATGGTCGGCATATGTTGCATGGGCGGCGTCATCAAATGCCCACCGGTGGAAGGAAACCGGCCCGCCCCCACCTCGACACAGACCCAACAACTAACCGTACCTGAAGGATGGTGCCAAACCGCCTTCGTCACCATGGCCCAGAAGCAGGATCGGTAGGACCGTCTCAGATAAAATACGAGGAGCCAGCCTGCCAAGCAATAGGTGGACAGGAAGTGTGACGCGAGGCAGCACATAGGGCCGTGTAATCCGAACCAGCAAATATGCCGATTGGAGATCCGACAATGGACCTTATCCCAAGGCGTACAGCCGTCATGCGTCATCTCGCCTGGAAGGAGGCCCGCCTCTTCCCCAAGCCTTCTGACTAACATGTATTGACAACTAAACACGTTGTTGCATAGACATGAGGATTGGTCTCAAGCAAAATTGACTACTCACTGCGACACGGTGCTGCTGTAGATCTGGACCCAGTCAGATGAGTGTGCCAGCGTGGAATCTTAATTGGCTTGAGAGCGACCCTAAGCCCTCGTAGAGAGGTATTGTCTAACTTGCGCTTGACGTAGCTTCTCCAGCGCGTATTGAGGAGATTGAATGTCCTTGTTACTGTTCCAACCATTTCTTTCGGCACGGCAAGCACAATATTATGTACTTTTCATGCCACGGAATTATCAACTCATGTTAGCCAAGCTGGAAGAGGTCCCCTTGGAATGACTGCCTGAGGCATCCGGCGTTTTCGGAGGTTGGCCCCACCAAGCTGCAGTTGTGGCGGCCAATATTAAGGGAAGTCCTGTTCCTAGTACTTGGAACTTCTCAAGATTGTTAAACGGGCTGTCACTCCACGCTGGATATCTGAACCCAAATATTGGGTGGTGGTGGGCTGGCTGCTGATTGGAGACTGATGTGGTGGCCGATGATTCTCGTGTGTATGACCTCGGGAAAGAAGACTTTGAATTTTCCTGACGGGCGGCCTTTCTGAGGGTACGTGCAGCAGCCTGGTCTATGTATCGGACATGGATGGCGCCAGAGAGATGATTAAAGCAACCTGTGTCCCAGAGTGAAATACAATATCATTCCAAGCCTTCAGGATACGGCTTGTCCTGACGAGGGCAGCAGAAGGCCAATGTCACGCCTGTGGGGAGCATTGACCGGGTAAGAAACCGTATCCTTCAGAGGTGCATCTACTTACGCCTCAAATAATGACAGCAAGAAACACCTGCAGTGTAACGGAGATGAAATAGTTGCGACAACGCGAGTGCAGGCGTGGAGTTCCCGATGCTCCCCACGCAAGAGGGGAGGCCCACATGAAGGGTGAGAACACAGCATCAAATCCGATCTCACAGCTGGCCAACGAGTAGTCATTGAAGAGTACTGGGTTGCAGATAACGCCGGTATCATACGGGTTGCCTCGTACTCCCACACACTGCTGCAGTCTGAAAGCCCTTGATAGTCCAGACTCTCACTCTACTTCACTTGCAATTCGCTATGGTCTTCATCCTGGTTGACTGCAGTTAGAACCGCTCTGAGCTCATCAGCTATATCCGGGAGGTCAAGCTTCTTTAAATATCCGGCTTCGTCCTGCCGCACTACGAGGTTCAGATACGGTGTCAGAAGGGCCTGGCAAACTGGCGGGATTGTGTAGTCATCGACGAATAAGTCCTACTATGAAGACAATGTGCTCAACGACCCCAAGATGGCTACTACATGATATGCCAGCATCACTTCATGGGCTACACATTTTTGAGAGAAAGGGTGACTGAAAGAGGTGCACATCCTAGACAATTCACATATTGTCGACATGGTATAGACAACGTTCATCAGCAAGCTTCAAGTCTTCTATACCGCGGCATACCGCAGACATATGAAGTAGCTTGAGTCACCCGGCAGGCATAAAACACATCGGACGCCCCGTCCTGATAATCGAATTTGTCATGTTCTATGAGGCAAGATGGTTACTTCCTACTGCCAAAAGATTGCTAACATCTATTCAAGAATTGCAACGACCAATGTTTCTCTGCCAGGCAACGAAGTATAAGCTACTGCTATACCAATCATATGCAGTCGCTGATAGAGTTGCTGCTCACTTCTATTCAGGAATGGCAACTGCCGGTTGGCCCCTGAGATCTAGTCAGCTTATCGAGCGAAACCTTTTCAAAACTCACGACGCCAGACGTAATGTGAGCTATTCTTGCCTCGTGCTTCTTTCCTAGGGGATATCCCAGTCATGGCGTACACCACTACCGACACCACCACAACCACTCACAACAGTAAGGCAACCATCACTCCTTTTCCTCTGCTGTCACACGTTCGTGTCTGGTAGTCGCTAATCAGCTATAGACAAAGAAGTAAAACAAGTGGAATAAGCTAGGGGAACCGCATTGCAATGGTTGCAAAGAGTACAGGCATTTTGAAAGGAACTGTCCTCATGCTAACATGTGGGAAGGAATTCGGGGAATAGTCAGTGCTTCTTTGCTGTTATGCAAGTAGATTACCGGGTATGTATCCAGGCACCCTGGTAACGATGAGGCCTGGCTAGGCCGAGATTTATAGCACAGATCCCAATGCGGGTGAGGGGGATTACTTTATACTCGCCATCAACAGAAACCGTCATGTCTTCCCGTGGATCTTCTACACTGACAATAATCTTTTGATCAAATGGCCATGAAATCTGCTAATTGTATAATAAAATAGCAGCGCCAGTGAGGAAGCGGAGAGTCGAAAATCACTGGTGGTTTGATATGTCAACTTCGTAGTATACAGGATGGAGATGTGGACTGGTGTTCAACACCAATGCTGGGAATATGCTGTCCAATTAAGACTCATATTACAGAAGGGTATGGAAAAGCATGACAATTTAAAGATAGAGGAACTGGATTCAATTATGATTATATGTCTAAACTAGGAAAGCAGGCTCGGGCAATCACTCAAGTGCCGTGACTGAGCCAGCAAGCAACCACTCATAACCAAATGATCAGCCTGCAGAGTCCGGGGCCCTAAGCGGCCAGAACGGCTGGCAGCTCCTCCTTCAAGGCCATGAGACAAGTCAGAATGATCATCCGCATCTGATAAGGCCTGGATGCGAGTAAGGTCTGTGCTTGTCTTCAGGTTTCAAAAGACAATCCTCGGCATGTCGCCTTGTAGTGAGGTTGTCGTGTCCTGAGCAGGATGCTGATGGTTGGTATATATTACATCACGGCGTGAAACCTACACCTCCAGCAGGTATGGCTGTGGCCAAAGCATGTAAAGCGCAGGTAAAAGGCGTAATTCGTATCTCATTTGGTACCGTGCATAATCATTGATTATTGGCAGATTCTCAAGTCCACCTTCTCCAGACAGGGGAAACTAGACAGCTGGTCCTGTAATTGGGGTAAGCTCCCCGACAAGCCTCCAACGTCAGAAAGAATCATTCGCTTCAGTGTATGTCGAGACCGATCGAGTATGTGCATGAGGTCCGACGACCGAATGGCTGTACAGCAGAGCGATATCCGTTCCACTAGGCAGGATAGAGACTCCGACTTGGCGACATGCGAATAGAATTCAATTGCCAGGTCTTTAGGTGTTAGACTGAGATACAGTTTCCGAAGATTTGGGGTGCTGAGCAGCATATTCAAAAGAAAGGAATAGTTCTGTGGCGTGAGCTTGTGCTCCAGATGGAAGTTTGTGAGCGAGCCCCATCCTGCACGAAATCCTGGACTGATAAAGAGTGTTTTAGGCAATCGCTGAATATTCATGATCTCGGACCGATAGTTCGTTCCTCGGCCATACCAGAAGAGCTTTACGGGCAGAGCAGTATCAGCGATGATGTCAAGCAGGATGCTCGCGGCGTCGTCGGGGGTGAAGTGTTGATCATAAGACACATCCATCTCGTCATCGTCGGACGCAAGGTGATTGCCCAGTGGTGAAATCACGAATGATCGACAATTGACCAGCTTGTCGACCAGGTTATTGCGAAACTGTCGGATAATGGGATTTTCGAGGGGGTTGAAAAGGTGGCCCGCGGCGCTGCGCTGCCATTCGAGATTGCGCCCCAGAAACGGCTCGGGAGCCATGACCACCAACCGCTGAACATGCTGGCGCATGATATCGTTATTGGCGATCGCGTGGATTTGACTGAGGCTTCCCTTCGAGAAATCGAGGTGTATTTCTGAGTAGCGTTGGGCCAGGCGGTGGATTGTTCGGTTGTATGTATGGCGACATGTTGCCAGCAGAGAGGCTAGATCCTGAGTCTCGAGCTCGTCGCAGATGAGCTCCAGAAGCTCCAATGGTAATTTGTCAAGCATGCAATGCATGATGATGTAGTGTATGGCGAAGATTGCGATAGACGTTCGAGAGGGGAGATGATCTGGCCATCGTCTTTCATATATGTGACGGGGGCGGCGGCCTCAAGGTCCCTCGCGTACCTTGGTGGCACTATCCGAAACTCATTTGTCGCAGATCGTCACCCCCACTCAAATCTCACCCAAAGCAGCAACTAGCACGCCACTTGAGATATAGACGGTCTTGGTCAGAAGTCTGAGTGCAGTCGCAATATCATAAGTTTGATCATCACTCGATGAACTGAGAGCCCTTTCGGCTGTAAAGTAGTTTTTTCAGAACTGCTTCCGCCCCCGCTCAAATGCCGGATTATGCTTAGCCTTGTCTCGCTTTACAGCTCTTGTTGCTCGCTACGGGGAGGTTTCTTGCATGGTGGGTTTCTCTCCGAGATGCCAGTAGCCATAGGAAGAGGAGCTGAGGGTACCTGACGTCTGCGTTTTGGGAGAAATAGATCCCCTTCAGCACCAAGCTCGCTCCGTCGGGGGAGGGGGCTTGAAGCAGCCCTGGAGTCGTTACCTTCCTCGCCGAGATCACGATCTTTTCTCTTGCGGCGCTTTCGTGCCTTTCGATTCTGGTTTCCTTCACGCCAATTTTCTGCCGATGCCGCCTCCAGTTGAGCTTCTTGCAGAGCCCGTGCGTGCTGGACTTGGAGAAAACGGGGCTGGCAGTCTGCGCACAGATGTTCCTCGGGAGATTGCATATCGTCGTAATAGCACACGATGTGTTGCCATGTATTGCATTTTTCGCAGAAAATCGTCTGGCCGTCGTCGTGGCTGAAGTCGCAGATGCATTTGATCATTTCCGACTCTTCCGGCAAGTCTTCTATCGGACCCTCCCTCCCCGGGAGTTCGATTTGGGGATGGTCATTAGAGAATGCGTTGAAATGAGCGGAACCTTTGGCGGCAGTTTTGAATAACAGGTCCAAATTTTGAAATCTCGCAGAACGGCCACCTTTCTCGGGCACGATGTGATAACGGTCGATGTGGAAAATCAATGCGTGCGATGAAAAGAAATCCTCGCTCTCTGGGCAATCTTCCCACTTGCATAAGAGCGGTTGCCCCGATGTTGCCAGAGCTTTTTGTTCCAGCTCCTCGAATATTTCGAGTGCACTGACTTCGGGCGTATTCGCGATTATCCCACAATGAGTGACTTTGATATGGTGGATCAGATCTTCTTGCAGACTGTACGACGAACTACATTCTTCTGACGGACAGCGGAGTCCAATGTGTGCGACATGGTCGTCTTTTATGTGTTCGAGCAGGGTACCCTGAGATCCCAATGTGCAGGAGAAATTGCAATCCTGCCATCTGCACCTGAAAAGACTTTCAGGGTTTGGAATGTCGCTTGTGGGAAGACGTCTCGGACTCTGGTCAAAGGGGCTTGGACTATGTCGAGGAGGCGAATCGGGTTGATAGCTGAGAGCATCAACGCTTGGAACAGGAGAGATGTGACTATGCCTAGATGTATGAATAGCTCCACTGTCGGGTGAGGGGCTCCGATAGCTGCGAAATTCAAATCCTGATAAATTCTGCGATTGGGCGCTGTGGCTTGGTCGATTGCCACTAATGATTGATACGTTTGCCAAGCTATCCCTTACGTCTTCGTCGGTACTCTCGTTAACCTGCATCGGCGGAAGCGACAAGAGCGCCAAGTCGAACAAGTGGTCGGCAATGTGTTCTTCGATGGGTGTCGGACCATCAGAGACCTTTCGCTTTTCGGTGTCTGGGTGTTCTGACCAGTCACAGAAAGGACAACTGGAAAACATGGGACCAGGTCGCGCGGCTCGGAGTTGAAGTTTCTTGATCTGCATATCAGTAAAACGTCCAGAATGCAGGTCTCTGACATGATGCGCAAATTCCTCGGCACTCTTCATCACTGTCTGATCTGACGATGCATGGCGCATTGAGCAGATCCATTCTGTCGATGGTGCTGGGTGAACTTTCATGTGCGCCAGCCATTGCTCAACCGAGGAGAACAGCTCGCGAGGGCTCGTGCAGTCCTCGAAGAGACAAATGTACGGTTCTAGGTCATCTTGAAAATGTTTCCTATCAACGTTCAGCGTTTGAAAGCTTGTGAAGCAGTGTTCACTTACATCCATCGAGTGCCAGTCAGATACTTGATGTTGATGACAAAAGGGCAGAATGGGCATTGCGCCTCTTTCTGTCCGGAAGCTACTGACGGGGGCTTGGGAATATGTTCACTCATTTGCGGAATGTGAGAGCTTGGTGTTGCCGTAGACACCACAGACGGTTCGGATTGCCGTGGGTATTGGAACCGTTGCGGATAAAAGGTAGACGCCGTTCGAGTCGTAGGGGCTTGCACTGGCGGAGGAAGGGGAGCATCTGGCATCGAGGGTCGCTTCCGGCTGGCTGGTGGGGTGGGTATATGGTGAACTCCACGGCCACTTGGAAGAGACGGAGCGACGAAGGGACCGTGATACATCTGTGCCGACGGCTTGTTGTAAAGAAACCGACGTCGTCGAAAGCAGATAGCATCCGCAATTCGGCATTGCAAGACATCCGACAAGCGAGAGTGTCGGAGCTTCAAAACCTGGGATATGAAGTACTCAAAGGCTCGGTTGATATCGTTTCCATCTTCGTCAAGGATAATCAAACGAGTGATCCGCGAATAAGGGTTTCTAATTCCAGCATTACGTATCGCGGTTGAAAGGTGATGAAGACGAGTGATGGTATCTTCTACAGCTTGATATGCCGGCACGCTTGACAGATCTTTCAGAGGTTGGATTTGAAAGTCTTGCTGGCAAGGCGTTGTGCTACTGCTGTCGCGTCCAGGAGTTGTGACCTCATCCTGAGTTGATAACTCCGAGTGTGTTGCTTCAGCAATGTTGGAGCTAGACACTTCCAATTCGGTTCGAAGAGCTGTGCACATATCAACTTGAGTCACTCCTCAAATCGAGACAACATAGGGGATACTATGGCTTGATCACGCACCCTGACCGGCATATAGAGCCAAAACCTCGAGCAAGTTGATGATAATTTTCTGCACATCTGGGCTGTCTCTTAGACGAAACTCCAAAGACGCTTTATACTTAGCGAAAACACCTATATTGGTGACCCACAGATTGAAGCGCGCGAGCTGAGCTTCAGCCAAGTGGGAGAATGAGCCAGAGACTTGGAGGCACTTTTCCAAAGCAATGACGGCATCCTGAGCCAGCACCGTAATCTGACGCTTGCGCGGGTCTTCAGAGTCCTCCATTACCAAGTTTGCAGATTTGATATACTCCAGACAGGAGGATGAATTGACTAAAGACGGGGAAAGAGGGGAAAACGTGGGCTGTCACGTGGCATCAGCACTAGGTAGTCAGTGAGGCTGACCGGAGATGGAGCTCCGTTCCTTACCTCTCCAACTCTTCGACACCTCAACCTTTCGATTCTCACTACCCGACCGTGTTACTCATGGCAAGGTTACTCTGATATCTGACTTGATGGCTTTCGCATCGGGGAAGGTGGTTCAGCATGCTGGTGAAATATTCTTGCTATTCCAAGCTGTTATACCCCACTTTGCTTCCGTCGCCAGCCAACGGGTCACACAATACCGCGACAATGCAGACAAACGCATTCCCTACGTTTTATTCGAGGCCGATCTCATCCTCCTGGGCCTACGGCAGCCCACCATTGCTGCGTTTCTCTCTCCCGAAATAGAGACACAATCGAATAACGTTTGCGTGGAGCAGATAACGGAGATGTTGGGGATTCTTGAGAGCATATTGCACCAGGACCGAACTTTTACCGAGGTAATAGTCGTGCAGCCTGGATATCAATGAGATCTCTGCTGAGTAACAGTAATTAGGTCGACTCGTCCTATCCTCTACTCCAAGGCATCCGGGCCGGCACCATCTCCTGTAACAATTTTGATTTGTGTTCTACCGAGGGGGATCAGTACGCCACCGTAAGCAAATTCAGCCAATGCGCCCGCGAGTTGGATCGTCTTTGTAGAGATGAAACACCAAGATCGCCCCCAAAACGTCACAAGAAGCAGCCGCCTTTTGAGAAGACCCGAGCATTCGCAAGACTTCTGTATGAATGTGTTTCAGCCGAGGGGCAGTGCCAATGCAAGTCCTGCCATGACTCAATGCTTTATCTTCAAACGCATTCCCATGCGGGACATCCACGCGCCCAACTCGACTTCAAAATGCTTTTTACCAAAGCCTCCGCCGCCTCTTACAAGTGGTTCGAGGGTATCGTCAACGTGACTCTGCCGGATTCAAATACGAGCACATCTGTATCTCCCTGCCAACGTGATGTGAATCTCAGCTCTGGAGAGCAAGTTGCCATCAGATACACACTCACTGCGGCTTCGAATGAGCCTCGGTCGCGCGATGTCGCAATAGAGTCAATATGCCTCGCTCTTCCAGCAAGTAATATGTCTATCCTCAATTTGGGTATCCAGGGCGGCAAAATTGTCAAGAGACCACCTCCCCGTGAGCGAGCCTCGGCTTCCACATATGATCAAGCGTTGACACTTGAAGACGTCCTACGGGTGACGCCACCGTTGCCGTTGAAGCTGCGCCGAATTCTCGCTGTCGTTCTTGCTCATTCCGCTTTGCAGCTCTATGAGACTCGTTGGTTGCCGACGACTTTAACCTCGACACGTGTCATCTTCATGCAAACCGACCAGGGCCAAGTCATACCTCGACCATTAATTGCAGCGCAGTCAGTACAGCAAGAGGACAGAGGGGAAGAGGCGTATGATTGGCAGGACCTGGCTCATTCGAGTCCGTTTGTTCTCTCTCTCGGAATTATTCTTATCGAGTTGTGGTTCGGTAAGCATATCAGCGAGTTGCGGGATACAGCGGACATGCCTCTCGACGGGACAGAGGATCCCAATACCGACCTTTTCACCGCACAGCGCTTATGGGAGCAGTCTGAATGGGACATGAGTACCAGATACCGTAATGCTGTTGGAGCTTGTGTGAACTGGGATATTTGGAACTCCGACGAAGCCAGCCCAGAGCATCTCTGTCGAATGTTATATGACCAAGTCGTGTCTCCTATCGAAGACCAGTTGGCGGAAGAGTTTAATGCCGATATCAAAGAGATAGATAATCTTCTTTTGTCCTTGAGCAAGAGCAAAGATCAACGGGCCATGAGCCTAGTCCATCAGAAGCGACTTATGAACAGTGGTAAACGCTCACACCCCAATGGTTCGGTTCAGTCGCACCCGGTCAAACGGCGATATACCGCAGGTCAGAGGAGACCATCTCGAAGTTGGAGTCCTTGCCCTGCGTCCGATGACGAGCGATCATCTCAAATGGACCCAAATACCTATACCATTGCCATCATCTGCGCGCTTGGTCTGGAATCAAATGCGGTCATGGGCGTCATGGATGAGATTTACGAGAGCTTACCTGAGGCAGCTCGTAAGGATGCCTATGCATATACAACCGGCCGCATTGGGAAAACTTCTGTCGTCATCGTACACCTCCCCGGAATGGGAAAGCTTAATTCTGCCAACAGTGCAATGCGTCTCAAATCGACCTTTGCAAAGGTGGGTCTTTGCCTTGTGGTTGGAGTGTGCGGTGGTGCACCCTACAATTCTCGAGCAAAGGAGGAGATCATATTAGGTGACGTGATAATCAGTACCGGACTGAAGCAAATCGACTTCGGACGCCACTATGCCAACGGCTTCGTTCCGAAGGATGACCCTGAAGATAATTTCGGGCGACCGGTGGACCGGTTGCGCTCTTTCTTGCGCATGTTGAGTGAAACCAGCTATTATTATGATCGTATAAGTGATGAAACGAGCGCCACACTGAAAGCGCTCCTTCGCTCAGCGATGGGCCAGAATCTCGCCTACCCGAGTGACCATCGGGACCATCTGTATGAATCCACATATCAACATCAATGTCGTGCCAATCGCGCATGTGAAACGTGCAACGTCGCCGACGGGGCAGCATGCCAATATGCCCTAGACACATCGTGTGACAACCTGGGATGTGAGGCAAGTCGCGTTGTAAATAGGACTCGTCTGTCTGGCTCTCAAATGTCGCGTCCCATGGTGCATTTTGGCCGTGTGGCGTGTGGTGATGGCGTCATGAAATCCGCGCAGGATCGCGATCGGTTCGTTAAGCAATACCAAGTGATTGGGTTTGAGATGGAGGCGGCGGGGGCTTGGGATACATTTCCAACTGTCGTCATTAAAGGAGTGTGCGACTATGCTGACAGTCACAAGAATAAGCTGTGGCAAGGCTATAGTGCAGCAGTCGCAGCATCATGTATGAAAGCGGTCCTGGCCCAATGGACCTCTCGCACAACCTCGATCACTTGAGCACCGCTACCCAGAAATGGCGGCATTGTTCTGATCGTCGAAAGCAGGGAACTTCGTAGCGTCCCTATTCTGCCAATGTGAGCGCCTGGGAGGCTTGTCCCATCCTATACATAACCTCAGCGCTACCTGAGGCTCAACACCATTATCTACCACCGCCCTCTTGTCAGAGCCTGACCACAGGGCGGAGCGTCTTGACGCGCTTGAGGCTTCTCCACCAGAAATTCCAGTATTTTTAAGATCAATTTTCGCAACTAGCGGGGCGAATAGGACTATAAACCATTCCCCTGGAGTCGAGGACTGCTTCGAATGCGACCCACTTGCGGAGGCGATCTTGGCATAAATAATTCACACTTGTCTAATTGAGAGGCAATCGATTCGCTGAAGCAGCAGACAACATTGTCACATTGGGGAATGGTGCTCGTATTACGCAGATCACCGTCCGCATATCCCAACCACTAGCCCGAATCCAGCGTAAAACATAGGCTCGGATCTCGGGAACGTCGGACAAAGAAGCGTCGAAGGAATGCTCCCCACCAAAGCCGAAAATAGAATATGGCGCCACGTGTATCTCTCTGTTTAATCCCCCATATACCCGTCACCGCCAATGTTTAGGCGCGTGCAAGCCGCAAAATACCATTTTCTTCAACCAAGGTCCCATAACATACCACTGCCGTGCAATCGCTCGAATCAGGCCACTCTGTGAACCCCCACAACAACCCTCAAAATGCATAAGCTGACTTCCTCGCTTGACCCCTTATACTCCTCGGGTGGGAAGGGCTCAATGCGATATTTCTTTCTCCACGGAGGGTATTCCCGGTTACCCTTCCCCGATGATGAGGTTTCGGTCGAGGCCAAGGTTCTAGTCTTCAATGGACAGGGCAAGATGTAAGCCGCGGCTTTCTTTATGTACAAATCGCATTCTAGTCTATTTGGGATTCCCGCTCACCTCGGTTCGTTTGCTAATCGCGATGGTTAGTGTATTCGACCACAGCACAGATGAACCGACCTCCCGGTACCACTTCGTCAATCGCGCCTTGGTATCTGTCGATGACCGACAAGACACCTATGTACCAGCTAGAACCTTCATAGAAACATTATTGAAAAACATTTCCATCCCTACACTACTATTCGCTGAGATTCCACGGTGGGTACTCCTCAGCTTGTCTTATGTTTTACCCTATTCCCCAACGAAGCCCATGACTAAGAAGATTCAGGGACCAGGTCATTGCGGGGGATTCCGAGGAGGATAGCCAATTTCTATACGTGTAGGTCTACCTTCTTTCTCTCCCTACTCACTTCTCAGTCCCCCTCCTCTTTCTCTTCTCCTTCTTCACCTTTCCCTTCATCTCCTAGCGACAACTAACAACCACCAGCGCCCTCGTCACGCTGGGCCGCACCGGCCTCGATCAAGCCTCCTTCCAAGACTACGAATACCTGAAGAGCATGCTGCACAGCTTCGTGCCGCGCTTTGCGAGGATCGTCTCGCAGATCAGCGACGCGTACCTCCCCGGAGACGCTCGCAACCTCTCTGACCAGATCGCCGGCCTGATGATGCCCGACCCGGCAACAGAGGAGACCAAGGATCTCCACAATTTCCTCGTGCTCTACGCCAAGCGATACGTCCATGAAGCCTTGAGCGCGGAGGAGATCCTGAAGCGGTGCTTGATGCACATGGTCAAGATGCCGTTCGAGCTGGAGTCGTCGATCCGGTATGGGCTGATTGTAAATTGATTTGTTAGGCCAGGGTGGGGATTGAACGGTTTAGTGGACTAAACTTGAGTAGCGTATCCGAGCTTTTGGGTTTGATATATATATGATGCGCATGTCTATGAGGGTCCTGAATCCCACTAGATATGTTACTGAGTACTCTGCTCCTGTGTGGTGGGGATAGGCTGGGATGCGTCCCGAGACGGCCGAGATCCGAGCTCGCCGAGGGGAGTCCCGCCCAGTCTAAGAGATGTAATGGGCATACAGACAATACACACTAACGTACCGGTATACCATTATGATAACAATATAATGAATTCAATAAAATGGGGGATGTTCTCCTAAAGAAAGTCTATCTTCAAACCAACAGCGCCATAAGAGCAGCCATCACCGTTCCAACAATCGGCCCGACCACCGCCCCCTGTGCTCCCGCAGCAGCAGCGCCCGTGTACAACGCACCCACCGCGCTACCGGTCCCGGAAGCCACGGCAGCCGTGCTCATTCCACTGCCACCGTGCTGGCTGCTACTCGCGGGGATGACACGCGCCGAGGTAGGCGAAGCAACGTGACTACTCGTCGCGAAGCCCAGCTGTCCGCCGGGGGTGTAGTGCGAAGCCGCCGCGCCGACGACGGTCGACTGAGCGACCTCGGTCTTCGACACGGTGATCGTGCTGACGTATCCGGTGCAGGTGCCGTCACTCGAGCAGGAGTCAATGGCGATGGTGGTCGTGTAGGTCTTATCTGCGCCTGCGACGCCCTCGTTAGACGCAGTGGTAGCTGTGGGCACAGGGACAGCGGTGACAGCGTCGACGCCTTCCGCTGGAGCGGAGGTCTGGGCAGCTGCGGTAACCGGGATGACGGTCGTTGCGACGACCAGGGTCTCAGTGGTGAGGTATGCGCCCTGCGAGGTCTGGCAGTTGGTGTCGTCTTCGGCGCAGGCGCTGACGGTTGCAACGCGGGTGCTGAGGACGGTGGAAGTCGTCTGCGAAGGAGCGTTACCGGCACCACCGCCGCCGCCGCGGACTTCCGTGGGCTTGTTCGTCACGGGGTAGACCGTGGTTCCGATGACCAGGGTCTCAGTGGTCGGCTGGGCGGTCTTCGATCTGGCGGGGCAGTCGGTCACGGATGACGGGCAGGCGGTGATTGTGGTCGTGCGCGTGGTCAGAATGGTGGACGTCGTCAGCTCGGGGCTGCTTCCTGCTGCATTCACACCGGCAGGTGCTGTAGCTGAAGGGGCGGTGGGGTTTGCTCCCTGAGCACTGGCTGCGTCGGCCACCGGGCAGATAGTTGTGTACGCTGCGATGGTCTCGGTAGTCAGGTAGGTAGTCCTGGAGCGGGCCGGGCAGTCGGTCACAGAGGAAGGGCAGGCGGTGATTGTCGAAGTGCGAGTTGTGAAGATGGTCGAGGTGGTGAGCTTGGGACCACTGTTGCCCTGGCCGTAAGCGCCAGCGTCTGCGGGTGAAGAGGAGACGGTGGGCGCGGTGTGAGCGGTGCTAGTGGCTTGAGCCACAGGGCAAATTGTAGTGTAGGCTACCATTGTTTCTGTGGTGAGATAGGTGGTCTTGGACTGAGCTGGGCAGTCAGCTACAGAAGAAGGGCAAGCGGTGATTGTCGCAGTACGGGTCGTGAAGACGGTTGAGGTGATGAGCTCGGGACCAGGATTGCCCTGACCATGAGCACCAGTGTCTGCAGGTGACGGGGAGGTTGTGGGCACGGCTTCAGCGGTGGTGGCGGCTTCAGCCACAGGGCAAATAGTAGTGTACGCGACAATGGTCTCAGTGGTGAGATAGGTAGTCTTGGACCGGGCTGGGCAATTGGTCACGGAGGAAGGGCATGCCGTGATTGTTGCAGTGCGGGTGGTGAACACGGTGGAGGTGGTCAGCTCAGAACCACCATTGCCCTGTTGGCCATTGGCCCCAGCGCCTACAGGCGAGGTGGACACAGCTTGAGTGGTGGTGGCCGCTTCGGTCACAGGACAAATGGTAGTTGACACTACCACCGTTTCCGTGGTCACGAAGGTCGTTTTCGCGCTGGCAGGGCAGTTGGGGATCGTAGTCGGGCAAGCTGTGATGGTGGCGGTTCGCGTGGTGAGTACCGTAGACGTCGTGAGCTGCGGACCCGAGGTGCTGGGGGCAGCTGTGGTACCCGACTGAGCGGCACCGGTGGAAGTCGGGATCGAAGTATCAGTGACGGCAGTCGAGGTTGGCGCAGCTGGAGTGGTTTGAACAGACCGTGATGCAGCTGGAGTGGTTTGAACAGGCTGTGATGATGGAACGATAACACTCGAGCTCGGAATTGACGAGCAGCTGCGGTGCGGCAGAGGTCGGGAGACGTAGGTCCAGTGAGGCCGCGTGCTTGCAGAGTGGCTTGGAACTGGTCGCGATGAAGGGATCAAGGAGCTGGCCGCAGGTGACGTTCTCACTGAAGAGGAGGATGGAGCAGAAGGGCTGATAACCGGCGTGACCTTCACGGGAGACGATGAAGGAATGGCAAGCGATGCGGCAGGTGTAGCCACAGATGAAGGAATGGCGGACGAAGTGGCAGGTATAGCCACAGATGAGGGAATGGCAGAAGACGAACGAGCGCTACAGGGTCGGCGACTGGGCAATGGCCTGGAACTGTAGGTCCAATGATGATGAGTTGCTGTGGCCACTGGAGTAGAAACGAGAGTAGTGGTGGTGGGTTGAATATCAACGGTCAAGGCGAGGGCTTGCGCCAACAATGCCGCAAGTATCCATCCTCGCGCCAGCAGATGCGCCATCTTGCTATGACGGTATATTCTTCCTACTACTCAAAGATAAAGAGTGTATGATTGAAGTTCAATTCAAAGAGAGAGCAAGAAAAGAGAAAGAATGGGTGTGGAAATGTTCAATGCATCGAGAATAAAAGAGTGACGGGGAAGTTGGGTTGGTTGGGAAGGACGGGGGATGAGATGAGGGGATGGTGAAGACTGCCGTATTTACGGCATTCGATAATGGAGCCAAAATAAAATTGCTCATCGCGAGTGGGGATCAGGATCTTGTTCCTGAGTTAGTCCCTCGTGTTTTTTCACACTATTGATATTCATGTCAGTTCGAGGTGAAAATAGCCGACGGAGACGCCGACGGGAGAAAAACTTAGGAGAAGCTAGAGGGTATTTAGGGCAACTTCCGCTCCCCCCAATGAACACAGATGAACAGAGTCAAGCATCCTCCTTCTCCGCGAAAAAATGTCTCTGAAATTCATTCCCCTTGTTGCGGGCCTCCTGCTTGGGCAGGCCGCGGCCAATGTTCCGGTGCCTTCGAGTTCCCCGGTGGCCAGCAGCAGCCAAATCCAATCTCAAGCCAGAGCCAGTGTTTACTGCCATACGAAATTGGGAACAAGCTCTGTCTCTGGTGTCCTGCCTACATCCACTATTACTCGTACTCGCCATGATCCTACCGCAGTCGTTATCACCTCGACTATCCAGGGCACGGTGACAGAGACTCCTGCCCTGGTAACCGTGACATCCACGGACTACGTGACCATCATTCTCACGAGCACCGCTGATACCGTCACTGATACTTTCTCGACTACCTCCACTGACTTCACTACATCAACGACGGTCGTCACTCTCCCCACCGTGACCAACACCGTTGCCACAACGGTGACGACCACGACCACCTCAACCTCCACCGTCGCTACTTCAGCTGGGTTCACTCCACTTGCTGAGTCACTGCCCACTGCCACGGCAGCCAAGCGCTCTCTTCTTGACACCGAGGAAGAAGACTGCGCCGCATGGCTGGATGATTATCAGTATCCCCAAGCTGTGGAGTGTCACGAGAAGATTGTGGTGAAGACCACCAGCGTGGAGACGGTGACAGCTGTGCCCATCACCACGACGGCTGCAGGCTCAACCACCACTACCACCGTAACCAACACGGTCCTGACCAGCTCAGTCGTGGTTCCCAGCGACGTCTCAACCACTCTCAGCTTCAGCACTACCTCCACCATCACCGAGACTGCCACTGCTCCAGCTGTGACGACCACCGTCACATCGACCAACACCGTCTCGGTCGTGAGCAGCACTACCATGCTCGGCGCATGCGCTACCAACAACGTCCCTAGCCTGCCGTTCTCTTCGGACTACGGTAACTTCGCCGGCCAGTATACTTATCTCCTGTCCTTCACCAACGTTCCCGGCGAGAGTCTGACCGTGGGTAACACTGCTTCGGCCTATGACTGCTGCGTCAGCTGCCAGGAGTCCAGCACCTGCGCCATGTCGTACTATAACCACCTTACGTCGTCAGTCAGCTACTGCTACCTGATCCATACCACCACCTGCAACAGTGCGTCGACTTACGCCAAGGCCTCCATTCACAGTTCTGCAGCCACGATTCAGATGTCCAATGGCCCCTGTGGTCAAGTTCGTGGTGTACAGGCTTAATGGTTATGTATTAGACCTAGATTAGCATAATGAAGTGAATTTCACATTCTAGAGGCACTTCAGAATTGGTGACTAGGCAGATCGGCATGAGAACAGGTAATGCTCCGGACATATCACCCCTTCCCGCCCAAGGGGGAGGTCGAGAGGTCGATGCCTCGATAGCTTCCGCCGACCTTCTAAACATTGGCAATCAGTAAGGTCGGAGACCAGAATGAACATCGACGACATAAATCTTGCAAGGTTCGAGGAAATTAAGAGAGAATGGAAAGCTCAATGCTCAACCTCCTCGCAAGGTATCTGCCAACTTGCCAGCAGGTACCGCGGTCGCGACGATTATTTACTCCGCTCCATGCACTGTGGGTCCTTCAACTTCAGCTTCCGTCTTCATTAGGAGGATGGTGGACCAGATTGGATGATTAGATTCCCTCTGCCGGGAAATTCGATGTTCCTGGTTGAGAAGGTCCAGAATGAGGCTGTCCTGATGAGATTTATCGTTGAAAAGACGCCTATCCCTGTCCCGCGCGTCATTGGATACGGCACAGCAGACGAGAACCCTACCGGTCTCGGCCCCTTCATTTTCATGACCTGGGTAGAAGGCATAAACATGTCTGACCTTCTTCGCAAAGGTGGCGATACCCCTGAAAAGGAGGATGCACTGGATCCAGACATTGACCCGCAGACACTGAAGATCCTGTAGTTATAGGACGACTGGCTGCCTTAGGTGTCTAAGTCGCGGTTCCGATCGTCGCTTCGGCAACCTACTGTACTGTACATTCCAGGTCTATTACACCTTGAGGCAACCACTTACATCATCACTCCAATTGTACTGTTCCTCAAGAACACTCTATGCTAATTTACGAGCATTCTCGTTGAGCCCAATCGGCAACGAAAATACCGCACGATAGTGACAGCTACTGGGCCCAGTGCAGGAACGGCGGCAATTAGCGGCCGCCGGCGGCCGGCCCGTCAAGCCTCTTATTGACTGGGATGCCACAACGTGCTCCATGCTGGAAAGCAAACGGGAGGGTCGTTTGATTGTGAGCTACATTACTTTCAGCAACCGAAGAAACGTGGTGGTGGCTATTGAATAGATTCATGCGCACGTGTGCTCTGCAGGTTGCCGAGGATGCTACTGTTTATCGAGCTATATATTTCTCTGCCCCCGCAAAAAATAGTATGATCTGGTCATTTCCGCAACCGAGTTATCTGACGTGGCCGCTATCACCATGGTGCGCTATACTGTATCAATTCTTCTAGGTCTTGTGACTGGCATTTGTGCACTCCCCGATGTCAAATCCACAGACCAGTCCAGGACCCGCCTCCAGTTCACCAGCGACGGCACGTTCCAATTGTCGATCTTCGAGGATTTGCATTACGGCGAGGGTGAGCAGTCTGCTCTCCGTCCTCTGCACAATCATAACTGACTATATCATCAGCGGAAGACACAACCTGGGGACCGATCCAGGACGTCGAAAGTACTGCGGTGATCAACACCATCCTCGATAATGAAAGCCCGGACCTGGTCATCCTGAACGGCGATCTGATTACCGGCGACAACACCTTTCTAGCGAATGCGACCGACTACATCGACGAGATCGTCGCTCCTCTAGTTGAGCGCCAGTTGCTGTGGGCATCCACCTACGGTAATCACGATAGCGACTACAATCTATCGCGCAGCGCCATCCTCGAGCGGGAACAGTCGTACTCCAACAGCTTGACCCAAAGTATGGTTACCGGGAAGCTCGCGGGGGTCTCCAACTACTACCTCCCCGTTTACCCTTCCGATTCCTCAGCGACTACGCCAGCGTTGATCATATGGTTCTTCGACAGCCGCGGTGGGAACTACTTCCAGGAGCTGGAGAATGGAAGTGAAGTGCCGCAGCCGTGCTGGGTGGATGAGTCGGTTAGTACCGCACATGAGCCTCGGCTCTACTGCCTCCCTTCATGCAATCGCTCACCAGTGCGGGCAGGTAGTCGAATGGTTCACGCAGACCAACGCCGAACTCACCGAGCAATACGGCAAAGTGATCCCCTCGATCGCCTTCTACCACATCCCGGTGAATGCGATGCTCGCGTTCCAGAACCAGGGCGTGGACGCTCACTCGGAACCGGGCATCAACGCCGACGTTCCCCTAGATCAGCAAGGCGAGGCCAGCGGACAGGGCGAGGTATCCGGCACGGTGTTCAGCTACTTGGGGCAGGATATCCCGTTCATGGAGGCGTTGTTGAACACCGAGGGTCTGCTGGCCACGTTCAGCGGCCACGACCACGGTGATGACTGGTGAGCCCTTCATCCCCCCGACCCTTCCATTCCCCCCTGCGGCGTCATCTTCCGAGCAAGGACTGAATTTTCCGGGTAGGTGCTTCAAATGGGACTCCCGGCTCCCCGGGATGAACCTCACCGGCAACGGCTTGAACCTGTGCTTCGGGCGCCACACCGGGTACGGCGGGTACGGGTCCTGGACGCGAGGGTCCCGACAGATCCTGCTGGACGAGACGACCCTGGAGACGGAGATCGCGACCTGGATCCGGTTGGAGGATGGGTCGGTCTCGGGCCAGGTTAGCCTCAACTCTACCTACGGGGAGGATTGGTATCCCGTTGTTGCGACCACTTATACTTGAAAGAGAGCTCGGACCAAGGAGATGCAATTCGAAGCGTGCGGGCTTCCTGTGACGCAGGGTTGAATGCGACCCCCGCTATCTCTCGGATGCCCACCAGCTACAACTCATGCACGTTGTAAAGTAAACTGCTATAAGCGAGAAAGATCTTCATGAACAATGACATGTGTAGCCGATCACTTCTCTTCAAAGCCCCGGTGGTCCGGGCGCAATACGTCAACGAACGGAGATCCATTCATGGCACTCACGCTTGTCCCATCTTAGCATCGTTGCTGGGCTGAGAGTTCTGCCGTAGATCAAACCCCCTCTCCGGAATGGATGGCGTATTTCCCCTCCGCCGCCGATCTTTGCCCTCCGAGAACTAATGCCGAAATCGGGCTCAGGGTTCCTGGCATAGGGGAAACAGACGTCATTGCCGCGACAAGGTTGGAACGGAAGTACGGATACGAGGATGGATTTGTAAGGTTGATGCCTTAGTCATCGATCCTCGCGCGTCATCCCTCGGAATCCGGTTCCAGCAGCGAATCTCAATCTTGACTCGAATAGTACATTGAGAGTAAAGAAGTGGAATCAGTCATTAATCGTATTCGCCAGGTGGTGGTGTCGGTTCTATAATTACAGGTAGGCGGTATTCGATAGTGTACTGTACAAGCAAGCTGAAAACGAAGTTAACGACGCCGAACTCGTGACCCTGATCTCACGATCCCAAAGCCAAGTCAAGGGCGAAGGGAAAAAATCCTAGAACGCCGTATCTATACAATCCGAACGCTGATATCCCTTGCAAAACAAAACCATGTGCTTCCTGAATGAGTCGTAACAAATCTCGTGGGGAATCTCTTTTGTGTCATCATCGAAGCCAGTCTATGGCTCGCTTACTCCCGCAACGTCTGATTATGTAGGCCATTGGCGGACTCGGGCTCGGGGATCTTCTCCCCTCCTTCCATCTGGCGTCCGTAGTTGGACTTGGGGCCGTGGACGTCGTCGTGGTTTTGCGAGGCAATTAGGATGATTGCACTGCGGGAGGAAATTGGGTTAGGGAGAGTTCGTCAAGAAGGAACGTGGTTGGTGGGTTCACGTACCTGACGACGGTAAATACCCAGCCGGGCCATGCGAGGACCACCGAGGCGAGGGCTTTGGGGTTCTTGCGGTACACTGTTTCCATTCACCGTCAGTACATGGGTTTCTGATGGAAGAGAAAGAAAGAGATGTGCACACACCGAAAGCAGGCTTCTTCTTCGACTCGGACCAGAACTCTCTCGCTCCGGCGGCATCCGTGCCATGGACCTGGACACTCCTTGTTGCCGTGATTATCTGGAGAGGCAGAGTTTAGCATCATTCTTTCTGATAGTGTTTTGATCTCGGAAATGACCGCATACCGTCATCGTCAACGCCGAGCTAAGCATCATGATGGACACCACCACACCGCAGATCTTCCACGCCAGACGGACGGACTTGCTCTCGTGGCGCTCGGGCCAGAATAGATCGAAGAAAAAGGCGGCGCCGAAGATGGTGGCGACGGCGACACCGACGAAGATGTTGTAGGAGGCCGCCCCGACGAAGTCGTTGTTGTAGACTGATACTCCTGGGTGATGGCGCTCGATGGAGCTTTGTTGGTCGACGTAGTCTATCCGCGAGTAAAGTTATTACAATTGGTTCTTGCACGATAGCTTATACTGGGTTGGAGTTACCTGATAAGGCGGCCGTGCCGGTGGACTCGGAGCACACACACAGAATCATGGCCAGCTGGTAGACGATCATCTTGGTGCGACGGAGGTGGTAGATGCGGGTGAACATGTTGGAACTCTTGAATTTGTTCCATTGGATCTCCTTGAGATCCAGGCCCCAGATGACTGTCATTGCTGTATGTGGTGTGGAAGGTGGGAGGTGGGAGGTGGAATGGGGCGGAAGAAGGAGTAGTAGTAGAATGGGGCGGTAGAAGGAGTAGTAGAATGGGCAGGTGAGATGGGATGGGAGAACGGAAGGATTTGTTCGAAGATAGATTCCGATAAAATGAATGAACAGAAGAAGTATTAAAGTAAGAATGTAAGAATCGATGAAAGAAGGAAAGCGGAGCCATGGGCCACGAACAGGGTCCGGTCGGGATCGGCAACGTGACGTCAGGAGCAGCCATGAATAATGAACCGACACAAAACACAGTTGCACCCACCACGTCACGGGCGCAATCTCTACTCACATCTCACACAGATAACTCGTGGCCACCCAAAAGAAGTGATTCAACCCGGCAGTTGCACGCTGTGGGTCAATTGTTAAAAGGCTTAGTACACCCATGATATCAGCGGGACTCAAGCCCGTCACTACATCTACCTATTGTAGTCACAGCCGCTGTCGATAACTACAAGTATCACATTTGGTCTACGATTTCCCTATGTCATTGCTTTCTAGCTGTCTCTATGCTTTGGTCCGGCTCATACCCTCTCTCAAACCGACTCGCGCTGTGCTGTCATTATCCTGTCAGATTCATGTCGATAAGCAATGGTCCAAAATTCCCCCGCATCTGCAATGACAACATTTGCAGTGGGAATGCATTCTTGATTGCGATTAGGGCCTAGGCCCCACATCGTCTCTGCATGCAACATGGAGAGGCTACAGCGAACCTCGCAACCACCCAACCCTTAATTAATTTTTTCTTGCCTTCAGAACAGTATCGGATCAAGAGGGTTCAGATGACATGTAAGAAATCAATCCACCCATGGTTTGCTATATATACACCCCTGCCCCTTTTTTCCAGACCGCGTCGGCACCAGATGCCTCACCTCAGCAAAGTCGCCACCTTCCCAGAGAGACCATCACCGCGCGACTGATCCGGTCGGGTGGAGCCTTGGTTCCTGGGGAATCGTATGCGACACCACAAAGCCAGGTGAACTTTTCTGAGTCATACGAGAGGCTCGTTTTACCTTGAAATGGCACCAGGCTTTTGTCTGCGCGACCGGGAATATTATCCACTTGTGACCGCGTTTTGCTGGGTGTTCGTTCCGCTTTTCTCTGCATTGAAGTCCAGGCATCTTTGTCCGATCTTTCTGTTCGATCGGGGTTCCACCCTGAAGCTACTGAGTATGCTATCGCTACGGTTATTTGGTAGGTGATCATGGGTTGTCCTTGGTGGATGTTGAACATTACGAGGTGTTGTGTCACCATGCTTCCAGGCTCGAATCCCGTATTATCATACCCGTTAGTAACGAGTCGACCTATGAATAAGGTGGAAATAAGTTGGTACTGAGTAGGTGAGCAGCGCCTGTTCTCCTGCGCAGGCCAATTGACAGGGGTATATGATGCAATGGGAATGGGTCTAAGGACATCCACCCAATAGACTAACAGAGCAGTTCTTTTACATTAGCCTGCAGAATGCGCCGCACTGATGTATGCGTCTTGGCTGAATTCTTGCTCTAGCTGGACTTTGATTGATCGCATCCATTTCTTAACTATGCCAGTATCTTCAAAAGCGCAGCAGATGTATGGGACACCATGCCATTGGTCTCTAAACCCCCCTTAAAAACATTGCGCTGATGCGTCAGCGACTGTATAGCTGTACGGCTGAGGGTAAGTCGACTCCTACAGAACACCACCATCCTTGTTAAAGGTTGCTTATGAGAAGAAAACAGAAATATCATTATCATATGTACAATCCAGTCAAAGATCTCTAGCAACGCCATACCAGGAATCTAACCATGTAGAATATACCCAACCTTCCCGCTTCTCAACGCCAAACCGATAAAAGAATCCATCACAAACCTGCTATACCGAAACCAACCCCGACATTTCCGAAACAATCACCGCCGGTCCCGTCACCACATCCCCAACCGCCGCCCCCTCGACCTCAACTCTCTCCTGCCCAACAGCATAACCCGGTAACTCCGGCTCCCGCCAGGACTTCGGCGAGAAGAAGAGAATCCGCTTCAACGCGCCCGCCGCCAGCGCCTGCGTGCGCGCCGCATCGACCAACCCGATGCCCTCCGCCCGGCCGCGCATACACACCGACCCCAGATCAATCCTGTCCAAACTCCCCGGCCCGCCATGCTGGATCGCATCCGCCACCAGCGCCCACGCCAGCGGGTGATACAGCACCGCCTCATGGGAGCAGAACAGGCCCCCCGCCGCCGAGGCGCGCGGCACATGCGCCTGCAGCTCGCAATTCGTCACCCCGACGCCGCGCGCGTCCTTCAGGAACGCCGACGCCCCCGGCCCGGATTGCGGCTGCACCACCTCATCTGTGGCGGAGTAGATGGACGTCGTCGGCACATACGCAGAATCCCCGCCGCCCGCTCGCAGAGCCTTGATGAACCTGGCATTGCGGGTTTGGTTCCACACGGCCGGGGTGCCCGGCTGGGTGCCGGAGAATGGACAGAGCGCCCACGCGGCGACGGTGCCGGCGAAATCCGCCGCGAGCGCAATGAAGCTCCGCACGGGGTGGCGTGCGCTGGGCCAGTATTTGAGTGCCCACTGCGTCGTGATGCAGCCCTGGGACCAGGCGATCACCGCGATTTTGGGGGTGCTGCACCGCGCGGAGAGGTAGTGGATCGCGTAGGCGACGTACTCGGCGTTCCGGGCGGAGGCGTCGCACATCCGCCCGGGGATGTTCAGCCACACCGGGTCGCCGAAGGGGCTGTCGCGGAGGAGTTTCGTGAGGTTGGGCGCGTAGGCTTCGCCGCCGTGGGTGCCTGTCCCCGGGACGAGGAGGACGGGCGTCTTGCCGTCGCGGCCGTATTGGAAGTCGGCGGGGATGTGGATGGCGGCGCGGAGGGAGGATTCGGGGACGGAGTAAGGTGCGTCGCGCTCGGAGACGCGCGGGTATATGCTCGTGGAGGGGTCGGGGTTTTGGTTATCAATCGAGTTGATGTCCGTTGCAGTAACCCCGTGGCTCCCCAGCATGGTGCTGGCTAGGTTTGTGCTGCGCGTGCGGAGGGAATGGCGGTAGGTTGAGAGGTGCTTGTAGTAGGTGTCGAAGAAGGGGATCTGCACGAAGCTCATCGTGATCTTGGGGGAGGTATAGTTCTAGTGTCTCTTTGGCTTTGACGCGGAGACACTATGTGGGTATTCCGGATGGCACGGCCGGAGAGGATCATCCTGTCGATCGACCCTTGACTTTATATATTCAGGGTTCTTGGGCGTCACAGTTGGTCAAGCGCACACGAGTGGGAAAAAAAAGTCAATCGCTTGGAAAGAGCACAGAGCACTTGCTGATGTCGCGAAAATAGTATCCAAAACAAACCAACGATTTGAGATCTGGGCGTGGTTTTCCCTTGGCGGCGTCGGCAATTCTTACCTCTGGCGGAGATGCCGATACAGAAGCGAGAAGCGGCTCCACCCTCCCTTCCGCCATAAGAATTTGGTGTGGAGAAGGTCGTGTCGTATCTCCCTTTTTCAAGGCTGCGTTGGGCTTCAGCCGCTCGCTTCAGCTGGCGACCTCCGAACTAGTCCTGTGTGGCTGATCAGGTCACTAGCTGAATCGAGATAAGCAACCCGAGAAGAAAGCTTCATAACAGCGGCGATGCAGCTCTAGCCAGCCGCGCTATTGTTCTATTTTTCCTCGCGATTGTGGCTGGTTCGTGTTCGGTTCAAGCTGCCGCAACCTGAGCGGTGAACCTTCTGGTGTCTGTGCTGTGTCTTCCCCCTTCAGTGCACAATCTCAGGCATTCTTGGTTTCGATTGCGCCCCTATTGCTTCAGGGTATGAGATGGCGAGCCGTCTATACGGTGCCGTAGTTTGAACGACAGGGCAGCTACTGTTGCCAAGAGCTTTGCCCAATCGCTCGGTTTAGAGCTCAAATGATCTGGACAAAGTGACTAGCCAGCTGCAGATTGCCACTATCTAGGACATGACTCTAGCATGTTTGACCCAGCGAGAACAACAGGGCCAGCCCATGGCAACTCGCTCGTCGCCGAGGCGAGCAACGTAGAAAGCCTGGTGTTTCTGGGAAGTCCTAAATGCGTTGTTGACGGTTAAGGGGTCTAGGTGGACCCTACGCTGTAAGAGCCAAGTCTATCCTTATTCCGAGTTCAAAACGAACGGATCCGATCTTTGCAGGGGTGAGTGTCACTCGAAGTCTAGTTCGAGTAGTTTTCGTCCGTCAAATAGTGCAAGGCCTCGCCCGGAATGACCGGCGGCTGCAACAGACCGTGGTTTCGCGCTGGATGTGGTTGCCATTGAGGGGGTCTCCTCAGGTCATGTGCCGCAGACAAACCCTTGTTGTCACCTCGAATATTGAAAACCTCGCAATGCTCTGCTTCGCACGTTGGTTATTATCCTCTCCAAAACAGTTTATGCGCGCCTTGAAGGCGCATCATAAAACGGCTCGGCCTTCCAAGTCCTCAAATTCTTGTCAAGCAGAACGCAAGAGGTCGTGTCTTCTACGGAGCTCGTGCTGGCCGGGGCATTAGGGCTCTGGAATGGTCAAGGATTCCAAGTTATCGACCATGCGTGGCTTCGCCCGCAGGTCGACCCTGCTCTATGCTCTGATCATCTTTCGTAGCCCTGCGACCACAAATTATCGATTCTTAGTGGTAATGACCTTGTGTTCTCTGAGTAGGATTAGAATAGTGCCTGAGTCTTTCCAGATGAAGCACGCCGCTTGATCGCATCCCAACAGAACCAATAACTTGACGGCTCCCGGATGTAGAAGCTGCTGTCATGGCATCATGCTTGGCTGTGCGACTCAAGGGCATTCTGATGGGAGTTTCGTTGAAGTTCCTGATCAAAACCCAATCAGCTCGAAACCCCTAAGCCCACTCCCGCCATAAGTAGGGATTCGTGTAGATGACAATGTCGCTTCGTATGATTATGACTTTTGTTCCAAAATATATGTAATCGGGAAGAGTGTAGTATCTCCAGCTCCAACTGTTATCGTGGAAGGCACAGTAAGGCTGGGAAACTCTATGTGTGCCGAATGATCCGTGGCTCGTATTTCGACCTACATCATCGTTTCAGCCTTCTCATCGCAATCAGCAATGGAGGGGACCTTCAGCAAAGTCGCTACCGATCGGTAACTCCACACATATCATCAGTCATCTTGAGTGACGCGAGTCACAAACCATGAAAATCGTCATCGTGGGCGGTGGCATCTCAGGGCTAACGGCGTACCTCGCCCTGCAGAAGCACCTCCCCAAGCCCGCACCGCCGGCCCCGGACCACGAATACACAATCTACGAGCCCTACAATACATCTCCAGAGACCACATCGCATGAGCGAGCGCAGGGTACCACACACTCCTCGACCCTTATCGTAGGAGGCGGTCTCGGTGTCGGCCCCAACGGGCTCCACGTGCTCCACCGGCTGGACGCAGATCTGCTGCGCGACATCGTGAGCAGTGGATACATGGTCGACCACAGCAATCTGAAAAGCAAGCACGGTCGGCTCCTCGTCAAGCTAGAATCATCCGGGACAGGCGGCCGTCCCCAGGGCCCAGATCGGAGACCTCGCATGCACATGCTCGCGATCAGCCGCCATGCGCTCTGGAGCCGTCTACGCCGCGCCGTGCCCGACACAGTGATCGTCAATAAACGTGTTTCGCGGGTGGTCGCCGTCGCGGACGGGCGGAATCGCGTCTTCTTCGACGATGACAGTTCCCCCGTGCATGCGGACCTGGTAATCGGGGCCGACGGGCTGAAAAGCACGGTTAAGCATGCGCTGTTTGCCGAGGCGGAGGCTGACCCGTATCCCCCGCATTACGAGTATGTTCCTCTACCGCTTATATACTCATGGTCAATCCCGGAGTTACTGACTCAAAGTCTGGGTGCAGAGGCCTCGTCGGTGTGGGGGGCTTCATCCCAGCAGAGAGCGTCAAATACCTCGTCGAGACGGGGTCAATGAACTTTATCTTCGGCGGAAACGGCTTCTTCGGCTACTTCTACGCGAAAAGTGCGAGCTCGGACCCATATCGTGCCTCGCCGTGCCATGTCTCGCAGCCGGGGGATTCCTTAGCGTGGTGGTCGACGTACGCGATCGAGAAGAGTCCTCCCAACTCCAGGAGCATCGATACAGAAGATGTCACTCGACAGTTGCGGGAGCGGTACGCCAGCTGGACGGATCCAGTGGTCCAGAGGATCATCCGTGAGATCCACGTGGAGAGCATGTGGCCGACCTGGACCTCGCCGCAGCTGCCGACCTGGGAGCGGGACGGGGTCTTGCTCGTCGGCGATGCTGCACATTCGCTACCGCCGACCTCGGGGCAGGGGTCGTCGCAGGCTTTGGAGGATGTCGAAGCTCTGGTCATGTTCCTTGCAGGTCAGCTGCGGCGGGTGTATGCTGAGGAAGGGCAGCAGTTTAGTGGCAGAGTGGAGAAGGAAGCCATCAAGGTTGCTGCAAAACAGTATGAGGCGATGAGACGGCCGAGGGTGGAAGCCATCCTTGCGAGGGCGAAGAATATGCAGAACCGGAAGCGGGATATGGGGCTTGTGCAGGAGTATGTGATGTATGCGTTTATGTGGCTCATGGGTGAGTGCTCTATCGTGGTTCTGAAGCTTGCGACAAGAAATTATGATGCTGACGGTAATAATGATCGCGGGCGTAGGTTGCTTTCCAAAAGTCTTCCAAGAACAGCAGGAGGCTTTGTTTGAATATGATCTTCCAGGTGATGTCGAGCGGGTTCTAGCGAGAGACGGGTGAATGTGAAGTGAATAGCTTGTGGCAACGGCTGACCTATCTGCGCTGTGAAGATCGCTTTCAGACTGCCATTATTTATCTGTGTTGGAATAACACACTCTCCACTCAATGAGGTGCCTTAAGCAGGTTCCAGGCGTGTTGTGACTCAAAAAGTGAGAAGTGGAGCCGGGCATGAGCAGGCAAAAGCAAAAAGAAATGACCTACGCAGGGCTCGAACCTGCAATCTCTTGATTCGTAGTCAAGCGCCTTACCATTGGGCCAGCAGGCCTTGCTGTTGAAAGATACTCTGTTTATGTGTTATTTAATCCAATAATCATGACATCAGGTCATAAGACCTCCCTTGCAGTCCTGATCTGGTTAGATCTCGAGTGGGAGCCATCATCAACACTGCACTTTCTTTGTTTGAATGGAACCCTATCACTCCCTCTCTCTTTCCATGTCCGTACAGTTCATCTGGGACTTCTTGTGCTTTGTGAACGTATTGATTCCTATTTTCGCCACCCGAACATATTTAACAAGACAATCTCCTCCCGGTCATCCTTTGCCAGATAGCAGGTCAAGCATATGTATCTGGCACAATGTTGCCCTGCATGAGACGTAATCAACCTCTATCGTACAGTACCCAGCGATCGAGCTACTAAAGCACCTCAATAAACTATAAAAGCAGCTCAAACAAGTTGTTGGAGGCATGAAATAATATGGCACCGGCTACATCTCCCAGGGAGCATCCTTTACCGAGTATAAAAAGGCCTGATAGAACCTCTACAAGCGATTGTAGAGATCGCCCCTTTTTCTCGAGTCCAGTCACGACAAAGTACCAGCCGAGTATCTGGCTATGTATCATTTAGGCAGCGGTAGTCAGCTAGCAACTTCCATTTTCCAGTCAATGCGGGGTAGCCACGGATCCGGGGAGAATTCATCATGCAACAACACCAGCCCGAATTCCATCCGTGACTGGCCACTGCAGAAAGCGGGGTAATACACAAATCATGGATGTCAGAGAGACAGGCTGACTTCAGCAAATCATTCACTCGTGTTTTGATTACCAGCCCCTCCGTCTTCTTCCCACGGGCCACCCTCCATCACGGTGATATTCTCAGACAGGAGTAGACTAGAAGCGAAAAAGGAGCGACCCGGCTTCAAAGGACGAAACCTTAGTGTCCGAAACAGAAGATCTGGGGTAGTGGCCCACTTCCCTCCGGCGCCGGTGAACATTACCTATGGCTTGTTTCTTCGAGGTCTGGTCTGGATTCAGGGGCTTATGCGCGTGGTGGATTCTGTTGCCCGGGGGACATTTGTTCACAGCTCAGGCTTCATATGTAGGAAGGGACAATGCTGTTGTCAAAGTGATGGATGGATGGACGAGTGATGATCAGACCACCTTCGCCTACAATCAGTGACTATGGCATGAGCAGCCACTGACGCAGTCCGGTGGGATCCAATGGATGGGTTGGGTTTGGAGTATAATACTGTCGTGTGTGCCTGTTCGGTGTGCTGAGCCCTGGACCTGGCCTATATTGCCTACTTGCGACGCCTATCCCTGTCGTACACCGCGAGCGCATTGGCTGCATCCAACCCAACCGAAGTAGCAAAAGGGACATGAATTCTGAAGTCTACCGGGGGTCAGGCTGTAGTCCACGCTGAACCTGCCTCAACCCTCCCTCCCTGAGGCTGGCGGGCTGACGCTCTTATCGAGCAGTGCCCCTCTCTTTTCGACATTTATCTTTGTGAATCTGACTCATAAGATTTATGATGCTAAGATGATACTAGGCAGTAGTAGTAACTAAGTACACCTGAAGTACTGTGTTCCAAGTCCTTGGCCCCTCGATAAAAATAAACAAAACCCTCCTAAACGCCGGTAGGTAATCACCTGGAAAATCCCGCCCTCAAAAGCCTCCCTCAATAAATGGAATGATTGGTTCGAAAGCAAATGTGACTGGTGTCATCGAAAGTACGAAGTCCGACTGTCTCGGACAGCTAGACTCGATCTGCTGAACCCCCTTCCCTTCCCTGCGAAAGTCGCGTGAGGTGAACAAAAAAGGTCTACTTTAAGTGTCGCATGTAGCGTAGGGTAAGGTAGATGGCGCCCATGGTTGTATAGGCCGCACCGCCTGCGGCAATCCAGACCGGTCGGTGAACGGTAAACGAAGTCTGAGCGAGCTGGTATCTTGTTCTTCGCTTCTCTGGATGAACGGGTTAGATACCTTGGCTCCTCGCACCTTCACTTTAATCAAGTTGTTGTTGTTGTGTCCTACCTGTATTGAGGAAGCGGTTGCGCAGAGTCGCCAGCTGCTGTCTGGAGTATGCACCAAGGGTGGATCCAGCAGACGAGAGTCCCTGGATGATCTGAGGGGTTGACATCTTCAAAATTGCGAGGGTAGATGAATTGTTTGATGAATATGAGGATGAGAGGGAGAAAGAGCTGTGAGTTGTAGGAAGGAAAGTCAAGATCCACAAGCTCTTTCAACTGTGTTGTGTCGACAGAGGTGCTGGGTGACACAAGGTTTATATGTCCTTCGTCTCGTCACCAGAAACGCGGGGTAGTCACGAGAGGGTGTGCGATGCAGCACAAACAGCTGGGAACAAATACCACTGCCCGGCCTTTATCCCTGCTCTGCGATGATCTGGATGATTGGATGGATGGGTGGTTATTGGTTGGCGTTGATGGTCCGGGGTCGACGCTGGCGCTGATGTCGCCCCTGGAACCGACCGCCGGTTGAGCTCCCCTCCTCCCGTACGAGTGACAAGTAACCTTACTGCGCGACCAGATGCCCCCCAGGCACTGCTGCCATAAGGTGTTTGGATGGGCTGATTGACGCTGGGGTGGCGTTGTTGTTTCCAAGGGTATCTCAGGCCGAGTTGGGCAGCCGCTGATTCGTAGACCTTCTTGCTCCCACCGCGATGATCAGTCTACTTATGCATATGAGCGCTATAGAGGGGCGGGATGAGCGGGTGTGGTAATTAGAGGATGGTTGAGACATGAAGTGTGCCAGGCTGCCTCGGCGTATAGAGACATATTCATGCATGGTAATTGCATGTTGTCTTGATAGCAACCTGAAGGTGAATGTTCTTTGTCTTGTTCACCAAGTTCATCCAAACCGTATCATCATGAGCTACTGTGCTACTTGATAATAACCATCACCCGATCTTAATAGATAGATACAAGGATGAAGATGTATTGTAGATGCAGCGTGGTAAGGCTTGGAGAAATGAACCGGCTTGGTGTACTGTACCTGCTACAGCACGTTGGCCCATGGTAGTACAGACTACACGCTGATCTTAGTTACTAACAACAACCACTGTAAAATTGATGATTCCACCAAGGCTCACTCGCATTTGGTCTTGTCTCTCTGTCCTTATGTTTTGATCGAGATGAAGTGACTTACCTCCGCTACTTCTATGTATACCTCGGGTGTCGCTCTCCCAGGTCCGCGCCATCTCTTCTCATCGATTTTGCTTTCAGGCCTCATGTTCGTGACCTCAGCTGAGATGGCCGTTCGGACTATGTCACTATTCATATCTTTTAGTCCGGCGTCGCCTAGAAACTGAAGCACTCCCCCTATCGAAACAGAGATCTAGAGTCAAGTCGTTACGGCAGAGTTCCTGAAGCCATGGTGACACATTTTCGCTCAAGCCACATTCTAGTGTGGTTAGAGACTTAAATTTCTGGACAATGATGCCCTCACGTAAAGTCCCCAAATGCTTGATTTATCAGTATACAGGGCTGATGTGGATGCCAGCGGTCTATACATTATGGAAGAAGCTCTTGTCAGCCACGGAAATTGTGCACCCATTGCAGTGCAGCTGACTCAGCGCATACCTACTTCTTTTCCCGGGCTTCCGGAATTACCTTCCGTAACGCATTTCGAGGAGCTCTCTAAATCAGGTAAGTAGATAGAGAATATGATGAAACTGTCGTCAACCTCCCTTCCCTGGTTTAGCTTTTGCTAGCGCTGGAGCGCGCGTCTGATCTCCCTATGAAGCAGCGAGCCCCACTACCCCGCTAACGTATCATCACAGTCGGTACGCCAACCGGGTCGCTGTTGCGGGCTGTTCCGATTCAATCAACCTGGACGCCGAAACATAAACCCAAGCATTTCTACCCGAACGATGTTATCGACTACTTCCGTTCACATACACGCTTGTTGACGTTTTCCAGGACGAAGAAATCATGTCTCAATCTCTCTTTATCGCTCAGACCACAGTCCCGGTCGTAGATTTGCGTGACTGGAGTCTATTGTCTCAACACACATCGCGTCCTCGAACCTCCCTGTCCGAGCAGCAAGAATCAATCAACAGTACCCAAGATGGGCGAGCGGCTACACTGTCGCGAACCAGAATGGTGATTCTTATCACGACCCTCACTGGCATCATGTTTGTTGGAAGCATGAGCAGCGGGCTTTCGACTATCGGACTACCTGTAATAGCAGCGGATTTGAAACTACCAGATAACCTATTAATGTGGTAAGACTTTATGGACCTAGATGTTTGAAAACGGGCTCGGGTATCTGACAAGAGCATATATGATGCTACTAGGCCGGTATCGGTGTACCAGTAAGTGGTCTGTCTCCGTCGTAGGTAATCCATTGCTAAGCACGCCGCAGTCTCGCGAACGGATGCTGCCTGCTTCTAGTAGGGTCTATGGCAGACCTCATGGGGAACCGGATGATCACTTTACTGGGCTGTCTTCTTCTCGCCGCTTTCATTCTAGGATGCGGGGTAGCAGAGTCTGGGATCCAGCTGATCCTATTCCGGACCTTTCAAGGCATCGCAACTTCAATGTGTCTTCCCACAGCTTTTAGCATTTCGACACAGACCTTACCAATGGGGAAGCCAAGGAACATCGGCTTCGCTTGCCTGGGTCTCGGACAGCCTCTGTGATTTGCGGTCGGGCTTGTGTTTGGGGGTGTTTTCCAAGGATCCTCACTAGGGTGGAGATTCGGTTTCTATCTTTGCGCCGGCGTTACAGGAACTCTCATGATTATCAACTACTTCAAACTTCCAGTGGATGCCGCCCGCCAACCCATCACCTTGCGCAGGCTAAAGAGCAGAGATCGACTGGATGGGCATACACCTTTCAAGCTCTTGCTTAGGAATCATCTCCTATGTCTTCGCGTATGTACTATATACATCTAGCACGCTTAGTGGTGGCCGGAGCCTGCTAACAACGTTCAAAGTATATCTCGGACAATCCATCCAATGCCCACAAGGCTCAGAATATCGCCCTGCTTTGCTGCGCGGGCGCCATGATTCCTGGGTTTTGGGTCTGGATGGGCAGACGCGAACGGGCGGGAAAACCTGCTTTGATCCCAACTCATCTGTGGAAGAATACGGCATTCTTGTCTAAGTGTGTTATTGTTCTTTTCTCGTAGGCGGTGCTGAACGGTGTGGAAACCATTCTCAGTCTCTTGTAGGTTGGTCCCAGACGACGGCAGCCCCATCTGCACGTTGGGATCAATTGTCCCTAATTGTCATCGCGCAGCTTTCAAGAATTTCAAGAGCTATCGGGCTTTCAGTCTGCTCTTCGCTTCCTACCGAATGTCTTCATCGGAGTTCTCCTGAACCTGGGAACAGGTCTCTTAGTTCACTGGGTCCATGCAAACCACTTAGTGCTTGTGAGCTCGCTACTCAGCGCTGGTTCTCCCTTGCTCATGGCCATCATTGACCCTCAATGGTCCTGGTGGTATTGCGCTTTCTGGGCGGTCCTGCTAAGTCCGCTATCGGCCGATGGTAAGCCTCGAAAACCTCTCTTTCCCTCCTTGCTCCCACAATCATAAGTCCAAACCTGCGACCAATTTTCTAACGGGCCCTGGTACATCTACAAAGTGATCTTTACCATCGCCAACCTGATAGCCGCGGACGCTTTCACTCCCCAAACGCGCGGCCTGGCGGGCGCCGTCTTCAACACGATCGCGGAGTTCGGCACCTCGCTGGGTCTCACCATCTTCGCCTTCATCTCCGCGGGGGTCACGCGGGATCCCTCGATCGTGGACAAGCAATCTCCGGAGGCACTCATGGTTGGCTACCGCGCCGTCTTCTGGACGTGCTTTGGGCTAATGCTGGGGGCTTGTGGTGTCGGATAGTGGGGGCTGCGGAATGTTGGGCGGATTGGCTTAAAGAGGGAGTGATGGACCGGCTGGGGTTGTTCCAGGTTGAGCTTTGTAGCGCCGCGTGTTAGTTGTCACGGAGGGCCCAGAGCAGACGGACGCTGGAACATCTTTTGTTTCTCCTTTGACAGATGGCAACGAAACAGCCATTATCCATTCTAAGCACGAGTGAATAGTAACTTGAAAACTTTGCTTCCTTTCGCGGGTCCAACAGGATAAAATGGAAGGGCAGCAAATGAAAGCACAATAGAAGAGTCTCGATGATTACCTGATACCAGGATGAAGGAGATCGTCAGTCAATAGTAGATTAGAAAGTACCAGTCGCTCTATCTAATGGACATGAACGAAGAGACCTAGACTCTCGATGGCCGACCTCAGTAAAAATCAATCTCCTTCCACCACAAATGATGTATTGCACGCATTGCACCCAACCTCGTACATGAAGAGACCACAGATTTCCTTTTCCCCTCCACTCCCTTCTCGGTAACATAAAATCCACCTTTATCAGAAGTTGTTGACTCCACCAGAGGCACAATGGGCAAAGGATAGCAGCGGGCCACAGTACGCATTGGAGTTAAAATACGCCGCCTTGCCCAGTTTCAGGTAGCCTTCGTAGGTGCCGCCATGGTCCAGAGACAGACACTGCGTGCCGCACATCTTGTCATTATCCACGGTTGTCAGATAATGGTAGAGAGCGCCGTGGATCGTCTCCTGTTGGGCGGTCGTGTCACAATTGCGGCCGGTGGTGTAGTACTTGTATGACCAGCCGTCAATGGTGCCGCTGCTCGTGGCGCAGGCCGCCACCGCGGTGATCTTTTCGCAGACCGTCACGGGGGTTCGAGCCACTAGCGACGACGTGGTAGCAGTGGTGGTGATGGTGCTCAATCACAGGCAGCTGTCCTCAAGATGCAGACGATACCACGAATCAGGCAGTGGCTGGCCGTTGATGAGCTGGCCATCGGTAGCAGAAGAGAGGGAAGATGGTTGAGATAGCGTGACACCATAGAATGTGTTTAACGTCAGGATCGACGCCGCGAGAAACCGCATAGTACCAGCAGATGGAGGAGACCAGGATTCCAGATATAGAAAGACGAGACACGAAGGCAACACGATCCATGAATTCGTGTTCTTGGAGGAGGATTTTGATGTGAAAGAAGGATTGATTGAGCCACAGACGAAGGTGAGAGCACCCTTTATATAACCATTTATTTTGACTTGGAGCTCTGCAGTATGATATTGTTGACGTGAGGGCTCGGCCGAAGACAGCGATGTATAGGAGAGTCGCTTGTATGGAAAAGGCTTAGATATGTCTTACAACACTTATCTAGCATCTTGATAGCTCGCTTAGAAGTGACGTCTCTCACAAGATAGCTCCATACTAGTGAAGAACTAGAATCATAGGCTTCATATTTCCTGCGGTAGTACAGGGCCCAGTTTTGTCTTTCTCCACTGTGCCTGTTTGGCAAAGGTAACAACCCAACAGCACCAGCGGAAGCTCGTCATCTTGTTTCTTTTGTTTCGTCCCCGTTTGTCATATTGTAGGGACCTGATTGAACTCCGGCTCAATGCCGTAGGAGAGTCTCGATTGCCAGCTCAAGAAAAGTATAGTAGGACCTAGCTAGATTCTGAATCTTCAGATTTGCTGGTGCCTAAAGCTTGCCTACAGCTGGCGCGAGGTTTCTGAGATATGTGGATATACACTAAGTCGATTGCCGAGACCGCATCGCAGCATTGGCTCGGAACCACTCCCCGCTACGAGACGGCGGCACTACGGAAGACCATTGCCGCCACAAGGCTTAACTTATTCTGCCAATTGAATCATCGGCTAGGACTCCGTGAGCGAGAACCTGTGTCCCAGCTACTTGAGAAGTAAGAGAATCGATTGGCTGAGACTGATTTCTTCTATACTTACGGAAGACTATTGCGGCCACTCGGCAAATAGAAAATCTGCCGGCAAAATTATAAGCAAAAGATAAAACCCCAGTAACCCTAATGATAAAAGATGATTTCAGATAGTTTTTGATAAAGAACCCTCAGAACAATTCTTTTAACCCCAGAAAATCTAAAAGATCCTAATATAAAAAGAGGCTGAGTTGGTTATATAATTTAAAGGGCTGTTTTAGCGGATAAAAAGAAAGGGGGGGTGGAGGGGCAGGCGATAATAAAAAAAACTAAAAAATAATTTAAAAAGTACTTTGATTATATAGGCCCTGGAAGCTGGAGGGGATAGCAGCAGAAAAAAAGGTAGAAAAAAAAGCAGCAGAGAAAAAGGCGGCAGAGAAGAGGACTTAGTTATAGTAACTATTTTAGTAGATGGTTACTACTGCGGTAAGGATATTTAGTAAGAAAAATTCCATTTGCCGAGTAGCCGCAATAGTCTTCTGTATATACTCTGAGCAGACCCTTACCAACTAGCGCCACGCTTCTGTCCAGGGACTTACACCTGAAATTGCTCACAACCTACTTCCATACTCATCCTGTTAAGATCTCGTGAAGACAAGCAGCCAATCAGTACTTGGTGAGATTTATTCAGCCTGACTATTGCATACAGAGGGCACTCATTTTACAGTAGCCATATCACACTTCTTCATCTGGTCAGACCTCCCATCGCCTGAACCGTCAGAGAAAAAGATTCTTGCCTTAAGCTGGAGAACAGCTGGAGAATACTACAGCTTCAGATTGGCTGGAGGAAGTCCCACTTGGTGCAATGCTTGTTGAACTCGTCGCTTCGTCGCCCCACACCACCACAATCATAAAATCGCGCAAATTTGGGACGTCACTGGGGATAAGTATCTTCGCTGTTCTAAGCCCGGATAATACAGGGACTTTTTTCTAGGATCTCCGGAAGTACCGAGCTTCGGCTTTGGGCATGTGCTGAGGGCTTGTAGTGTTGTAGGATAGAGGTTGCGGGAAATTAGTAGGAATGGGTTGAATAGGGAGTCATCGACTAGGTCGCATTCTGAAGTGTGCCGCGTGTTGGTTCTGATAAAGACTCAGAGGCTTTGTTAGCATGGCGGATGAGCGAGTCAGGGTCCTTTCAAAGAGTTGAGCCATGCTTAATACTGAATTGAACGAAACACAGCGGCAATAGTAAAATGGAGATTATGAATTGCTCCATCGAAACTGAATCGGTTACAAGGCGAGAGATTGGTAGAAAAGTCCGATGAGGTGTCGAAACGGAGCTCCTGTTCAGAATGTGACCGTTGAGAGTGTTGACTGAGGACATGATCGGTCTGCACTATGTGATGCTATTTTAGAATCAATCCCAGACCATGTAGTTGAAGTATCACCCCATATTTTCATACTACTACACTTGTACAAATCAGGATAGAGGATTAAGAAATTATTCATATGTTAAGCTTGCATTAGAAGACATTGATAATGACAGAATTGAACGAGGCCCTCAATAGAGAAGCCAAAGCTTGATGGGATTAGCCTTTTATGAACAATAAGCTCTCCAGCCGAGCTCCATTTGGGATGAGTGGTGCATGTAATGTGGTCTAAAATAGTAGTGGGCACATGCATGAGGAGCTGATGCATTATTGCTTTGCTCCCCAGGTCGAGATTAGACGTAGGGCAAAGAGCTGGTATTGGGCTCGACTTTCTGCTACTTAGTCAACAACCTTGCCTTATACCCATATTGTCCAGGAACATATCTGCTGTGTAACTTTCATTTGAACCTCATATCTCTTCAAGTCCTTCCAGCTCGTGGTTTTAATCTCTTCTGTGTCCTTACTAGACCGCTCACATTGAACGCTAAGGCTACTTTGCAAAGCAACTGATCGAGGACAATCACATGTTCTCTATATTTCACAATGGTTCGATATTCTCTAGGCGACCAACCTATATCACTCGAGCTTTCTGATATCACAAGGAAAGAGTTGGACTTGACCGATTCCTCTTTCTTCTCTGCCAACTCAGAACGTCGCCTGCCTACAACAGCTGAGGTGAGAGCCTTGTCGAAGGACATCGGTATCGTTCCCAAGCCCGTTCCTATAATATACGAGGACCTCGGCTTGATTGTTAAATTTGGCTCTCATACCACAGTCACCGAGGCACTGAATCTTTGGATGATCAAAAAGGTGTTTGGCGACGACATACCCGCTCCTGAGGTCTTCGGCTGGCGCGTCGATGACAAAGGGTATGTTTTTATATACATGGAGCTGATCAAGGGCCCTAGGCTTGGGGATTGTTGGGATCAGCTTAGTAAGGCAGAAAAAGTTGCGATGAAAGATCAACTTTCTCGTATCATGGAAAGACTACGCAGCCTTGCCCAGGATCCATCGGACAAGTTTATCGGTCTGATTCAAGGCGCTACATGAATCGTCAAATCAGATGACTTATATCTCTTTAGGCTCGATCGATCACGGACAGTTGTTAGACTACGTGTTTATTGATCAACCGAAAACTGGCCCCTTCCCAAGCATCAAAACCTTCAATGACTGGTTCGCTCTTTTACACCAACTACGGTTTAAGCACAAATACGACGACCCCAACCGATGCTTGCTGCCAGATAACGGGGAGATCAAGCTGACACATTGTGATCTAAACCGGCATAACATGATTGTCGCATCTACTAGTCCTGCTCGGCTTGTCCTTATAGCCTGGGAGCAGGCGGGCTGGTACCCAGATTACTGGGAATATTGCAAGGCTCTTTACACCTGCTTCATGGGAACTGAGTGGCATACCGACTATATCGATAAATTCTTGCAGCCTCGAACGGACGTGTACGATGTGTTTTCTGAGTACACAATGGCTATGGGGGCCGGTTTGACCTGCACTAAAAATATCACTTAAAACCATAGCATGTGCCCGCACTGGTTGACGATAAGATAAGCATCACGTGGCTGCAGTCTTATCCGGCCGACCGATGGAAGAGCCTGGAGACTCTCCAATTCCTCCTTCGCCCGCTGCCCTCCGAGAATGGCCACCGCAGGCACTAGCCGAACACTTACGAAGCAAACAGGTACTCCAGACTACGATGATCCAGTCTTCTGGGATAATAAGTTCTCTAGTGGCCACGATGTGGGCGAATGGTTGAACCCAGGCGAACCGCTCATCGACGTGGTGATGTCGCATCTGGACCGACGCCCCGCGCTCGATGAGCCAGCGCCCTCACCTCGTGCCTTGCACCTCGGACCCGGTATTTCGAAGCTGGGATCAAAACTCTGCGACGAGTTCACAAAGCGTGGCTGGTGTGGGAGTCAAATACTGGTTAGTTGTGAGCGGCCCCTGCATTCGTTTGACACCATAAACTTACTCGAAGCTGTTGCGACAGAACGTCGATTTCTCCTCCGAGGCCGTCCGCATCGGTCGCGAAATGGAGGCCACCAAGGAACAGTCGCAGGCGATGCACTGGATGCAAGCCGATCTGCGGTCTTGGGATGACGTCTCCAGGACGATCCCGTACGGTCCCTTTGATGTGGTATTTGACAAGAGCACCAGTGATGCGATCGCGACGGCGGCGCCCTTGACATTCCCTCCCGCTTCTGAAGCATCGAACACATGCCTGACTATCCGGCAGATCGTGGAGGAATCTGGAGAGATAACATTGTCGCCGGTGGAGGTATTGGCTCTGCATCTCGCGCCTTTGACGCGGAAAGGGGCCATCTGGGCCACGATGTCCTACTCGACTATGCGCTATGATAATTTGCCCTACTTGGCTCGATACTGGAACTTGGCTTCTCGGACTCCATTGAAGGCCCCGAAAGGCGAGACCTCGTCCTTTGCTCATACGCCGGATGTCTTCCACTGGCTCTATATACTCGAGCGGAAATGCTAAATTCAAATGCATTTCATGGATTCAAAGCGGGTGTAACGATCCACTGCTTTATCATATTCATTCTTGGTCCCTTATCCTCAGTTATTTACCTTGGCTAGTTCCTCCTTCTCGGCATTGTCCAGCAAGCCCAAACTCTCTCTGCGGGTCGGTGCCTTCGGGTCAAAGAACGGCTTCTCCGCTAAGGAAGTGACTCGAGTGCCGTGCCTTGGTTCAGTGCCCTCATAGTCCCAGCTGGCGTTATGAATGGTAATCCTGCAAGCTGTTAGTCTCGGCTTAACTTATTGAATGTAGGGCAACTGACCGATTGTCCCAAAGAACACTCGTTTTAGGGCTCCACTTGAACCTCACTTGGATGTCAATGTTCTTCTCAAACACGTCAAACAAGTAGCCCAGAATGAGATCGCTCTCGGCCTTATCAAGGCCTACAATACGGTCGGTCATTGCTCGATTCACCCAGAGCGCCTTCCAGCCGGTCGCAGGGTGGACACGAACCAAGGGGTGTTCACGTTCGACATACTTGGGGCCCTGCTCCGGGTGTTTGCGATCTAGATAAGGGTGTGCAGACCGGTAGATCGCAGTTCGACCGTCGATGATCTTCCGAAACGCGGGCGACAGCTTTTCGTACGCCGCGTAACCACTGGCCCAAAGAGTGTCTCCTCCAATACTGGGGATTGTGTCGTTGTGTAGATGAGTCACGCCCGCGGGCTGACGCTCGTGGACAAGATCTGTATGCCAGCGGGAGGCACCTCCGGGGTTGCGAAAGTTTGCCGGGCGCTCTGTTGCTTGCAGAGCAGGCCAGATTACTGTCACGCCAGGAACCCCAGGCACCTGCGGCACTTGAGGCTTAAATACGCAGACCGATATTAGCCCCCCGCTCCGTAGTCATGGGATGCTCAGATGCTTACATGGACCTCAATCTCGCCGAACCACTCGCCTAGCTCCTTCTGTTGCTGGGGCGAGATGTCCTGATCCCGGAAAAAGACCACGCTGCGCTCCGCAATCAGAAGGCCTAGCTCGTCTTTCTGCTGGTCGGTGAGGTCCTTTAGTTGTAGGCCTACTATCTCGGTTCCGATGTGCCTGGTCAAGTGAATCACCTCCTTGGCGGCGGACAAGAGCGCTTTCTTCTCTGGATCCGCTCGGCTACCCGGGTCCACATGTTCGCGGTCATAGTCGCGGATGCTGTAGACATCGTCCAGATACAAAGGACGAGACGGCCGATAAGGATAGCCCTCTGAGAGATCGATTCCTGCTTTCTCCAGGCGTTCTTGGCTTGCCGGTGGGAGCGGGAGGGTTTGCTTCAACGGTTCCGCCACATCGACAATCCGGGGGTCAATCGGTGCTGGAGCCATGGGTACGATTTATTTCGAATGATTCAGAACTTATTTCCTGGGACCTAGTTTAGGTCTTCGCTACAGCTACTGCTTTTGATGTCCGTTATTTAAGTCATTCAGCTGGATATTCCCCCAGACATAGACCGCGCAATGCCCCCGGCAGTGAGATCACATCATCGTTGCACGGCATTGCGCCTTTACATCTCACTCGTCCTACGAGCAGGAAGTCTTGGGATCTATGCTCAGAAACCCCTCTTTTCTGTCCTCTTCCCCTCATTTCAGTCAGTGCTTATCTCTTCCAGCCGAACCTCCCAACACGCACAGGTCTCCACTCGGCAGTTAGCTCAGGAATCACCATGCAGGGATACGATGGCCTCATCATAATGCATTTGTAATGCATCCAACACCCTTATCTGGTTGGCCAATTCCACCATCGTGGACCGGGGCGCTGACGTTCGAGCGACAATCGGCACAAGGACAATTTGGACGTTCGCTTCGGTCCAGTGAGTGGGACTATTACACCTTATGCGCCTGAGATAGCGTTAGCGATATGGGCCCATGAACCGTACTTTTAATGACACCGTATACGACCATCGCTCGAGAGAATGGTGAAACTTACGCAAACCTGGGCCCTTCGCTCTCGACAGCACCATGACTCGCCAGATCCAACACGTCGCTGTCATCGGGGCCGGCATCAGCGGCGTCACGTCTGCAGGCCACCTGCTGGCTGCGGGCATCAATGTCACCGTCTTTGAGCGGAACCATGCCGCGGGTGGTGTGTGGTATGTGTGTTTTGTTTCGGTGGGCACAGAGCTCTGTTGACCGAAGTATAGGCTCTACGATGAGCGGAAGCCTCTTGAACCGAACTATCCGGCTATGAAACCCTCTATATCCGAGAGGCACAGGGAAGGCGAACAGGCGGAGGAGGATACGCTGCCGCTAGAGCATGCTCCTCCTGGGTAAGTCTCGCCATTCGTGCTGTAGCTGTGTTGGTGCTGACGGGGATAGGCCTTGTTATGTCGGCCTGAAGAACAATGTGGAAACGACGTTGATGCGCGTGAAGCTCAATTCCTGGCCAGAGGGCACACCGGAGTTCGTCAGCCACACGGTAATGAAGGAGTATATTCAAGACACGTCGAGAAAGGCCGGAGCCGATGGCGTCACTATCTATGGGGCGCGCGTGACCAGCATCAAAAAAGACGGGCATAAGTGGCATGTCACCTGGTCGAGTCTGCGAGAAGATGGAGAATCGAAGAGAGTAAACGAACACGAGGAGACAGCTGTGAGTCTTGTAACTGGGGTGTGGAAGAACGTGGTACTGATGTGCATGTCCAGACATTCGATGCGGTCATCGTGGCTTCCGGTCACTACCATGCGCCTCGCGTGCCGGATATTCCAGGGCTTTCAGACACAAAAGCCAGATGGCCCACGCGCATTATCCACTCAAAAGGCTATAGAAAGCCTGAAGTATATAAGGACAAGGTAGGGCTCTTAATCACAGACATTCAAAACGAACAGTATTGATCTTTGCACCAGAACGTTCTTCTCATTGGAGGCGGAGTATCCTCCACCGACGTGGCCAAAGAAATCGGCCCTTTTGCTAAGCGGGTCTACCAAAGCACGCGGAATGGCATTTTCGACCTGCCATCCAGCATCCTTCCTGAAAATGCAGCCAGAGTTGGCGAGGTGGAGCGCTTCGAAATTACCGACAAGAATGGAACAGTCTCCGACGACCAAGCGCTTCCTCTGAACATCCACCTCAAGTCTGGTCAGAAACTCTGCGAAATCGACGATGTGATCATTTGCACTGGCTACCATATCACCCTGCCCTTCCTGCCGGAACTCCACGACGATGCGACACCAGCCGAGAAAGCGAATGGGACGATCCTTGTTACCGACGGAACGCAAGTGCACAATCTACACAAAGATATCTTCTACATCCCGGATCCCACTCTCGCTTTCGTGGGCGTCCCCTACTATACAGCGACTTTTACCTTGTTCGAGTTCCAGGCAATTGTCGTCGCGAACGTGTTCGCTGGGATCGCTCAAGTTCCGTCGGAGGGTGACATGCGGGAGGAGTATGCCGAGAAGATCAGGACGAAAGGCAGCGGCAAGACGTTTCACTCGCTCAAAGATATCGAGGAGGTATATGTGGACGATTTGATGGGCTGGATCAACGAGTACAGAGAGAAGCGCGGGTTGCCTGCTATTGACGGCCATACTGAGACCTGGCATGCGGCCAAGGCGATCCAGCGCGAGCGAGTCAAGGGCTTGATTGGCGGGGGGAGCTCGAGACGAGATAGTGGCGTTGGCGAGCAGTGGATTTCCTGTCATTAGGCCGCAACCTTAGATATTGGTAGAAATAGAGATTTCAGCCTAGCGCATAAAGCCGAAGTAGGGTCTACGCCGGGGCCAACTCTTGGTCAACGCACATAATTTGCATCGTCGATGACGAGCTTCCACCACCCTGTGACAACCAGTGATTCATTTCTTCCCTAACGCCTTAGGCCTCCCGCATGATTCTTGAAAAGCACGAATTTCTTATCGCCGAGAGACCTGAGCGCTTACAGGCTGGCATACTCCTGCACGAATGGCGTAAGTGGGGTAAATAATGATGACTCAGTTGTGGTGTATTGTCTCAGCTCCGATATCGTTGCGAGCGGGGGTGGAGCTCGCTGCTGGATGAAGTTGTCTGTCACTAAAGTTCAATCGGAGAAGAATGTGCCATGCTGCTTCTCATAGTAGTCATATGGGCTCATAAGGATCAGATGTCATATCATGCAAGCGACTTCCATACCTCCTATGTTCTTCGAAGCTCGCCGCCAGGGATCCTCAGACCAGCACGACAGCTGCAATGGCTCCCTTACCAGCTGTAGTAGACGAGAGTGCCATCTCCACACCTGGACCCTTTGTTCAACAAGCACCGAAGCGCAAATGGGTCAGCTACATCTGGGACACCTTCGACAAGTCGCCCGAGGAGCGGCGACTGCTATTCAAGCTTGACACGGCTATCTTGACTTTTGCATCTCTCGGTGGGCTTCACACAACATATCCCATCAAATATTACCTACCAGTCCTAATTGAACTTCTTGGTTCTCAGGCTACTTCATCAAGTACCTCGACCAAGTGAACATCAATAATGCCTTCGTCTCCGGGATGTCCGTACACAACCCTAAACATCCACACCCGTAATCCAACCTCGACTAACGCCCACCAGGAAAGAAGACCTCGGGCTATACGGCAACCAACTGAACTACATGCAAGCCTGCTGGACGGTGGGCTACGTGATCGGCGAAATCCCGAGTAACATGCTGCTCACGCGGGTGCGCCCTCGCTACTGGATCCCCGCCATGGAGGTTTGTCCTGTTCTACCCTGCTTTCATCTTCCGTCTCCGGTTCTAACAATACGGCAGCTCCTCTGGACAATCTTAACCTTCTCACTCTCCCGGGCCAAAACTCCAACGCACTTCTACGTCCTGCGCTTCTTCATCGGTACTTTCCCCTTCCTTTACTTTACCCCAGCGCACCCGCAACCAATCTAACTCAAGATATCGACCCAAAAGGCCTAGCAGAAAGCTCCTTCTACCCGGGAATGCAATATATAATCGGATGCTGGTACCGGAAAGACGAGCTCGCCAAGCGATCGTGCATCTTCCACACGAGCAGCGGGATCGGGAGTATGTTCTCGGGGTACCTGATGGCCGGGGTGTACCGGCTGGGCGGGAGGGGTGGGTTCAAGGGGTGGCAGTGGTAGAATCCCCGAATTAACCCCTTTTTCCAGCATAATGAGTAGACTTAGGAAGGGGAACTCACGAGAAATAGGCTATTCCTCGTCGACGGGATCATCTCCCTCCCTGTCGCGCTGAGCGGGTTCTTCGTCCTACCGGACGTGCCGGAGATCTCAGAGCCGTGGTATTTGTCTCGTGAGGTGAGACTCTCCATCTGCCTCTAGTACAGCGTATGATGAGGATGATAACTAATACTCCCGGCAAAGGAGGTGAAACTCGCGCAGAAACGAATGCAGCTCGAAGGCCGCCAGAACCGGCAGCCGTACACCAAGGCCAAGCTGAAGAAGATCTTCGGCTCGTGGCATATTTACATGCTGACGCTTGTGTACATGTAAGCCTTACAGCCCGAATTGATTGTCGAGGACAGCGAGTGATAACCCGTAATATCAGCACGTTCAACAACGGGGCAGCAGGCGCGCAGCCTGTGTTCCAGCAGTACGTATCCCTGCCCTGCGTCCTACCCAGCGAAGCGAAAGACATCCCTGATGAGAGATAGATTCCTCAAAGCCTCCACGCACCCCAAGTACACGATCGACCAGATCAACGCCTACCCGACGCTCACCTCGGCCGTCCAGGTGGTCACCACCCTGATCTACGCGTGTAAGTCTTCAGCCCGCTGCTACTGGGATAGGATTATGCTAAGGAATGTGCAGGGACATCCGATACCATTCTCCACGGCAAACGCTGGCCGTGGATAATCTTCGGCGGAGTATGACCCCCGGCACCCCACACACGCCCCCAAGGAGGCAGCTGACCCCCCAAAGTGCATAAATATAACCTGCTACGTTTCCCTCGCGATCTGGGATATCCCCGTGGGCTGGAAGTGGACCTGCTATATCCTGTCCGGCGCGGGGTTCGGGTTGAGTGGGTTGTGTATGGCGTACGTCCTTGCCTTTGCCTTTGCCTTACGCTTTCTACTGCTTATCCGTCCCCACACACGCGCCCTCCCCCCCCCCCCCCCCTCAAACGAGGGTTTTTCTGTTTTTAGTTTTGAGAATTCTTTTGCGGGCTCTGGATAAGACAAGCTAACAAAAGAGCTAGCTGGGCCCACGAGATCTGCACGGCCGACAACGAAGAACGCGCCCTCGTGGTCGGGAGCATGAACGAGATGGCCTACGTGTTCCAGGCATGGCTGCCGCTCGTCGTGTGGCAGCAGGTCGATGCGCCGCGGTACCGGAGCGGGTTTGTGGCGGCCACGGTTATCTCGGGGCTGTTGATTGTGGTGACTGCGGGGACGGCGTGGTTGCAGGTGTGGGAGGAGAGGTGAGTTGGCTTTTCTGCCGCGGTCTTAGGTGTGAGGTAAGGCCATGCTGATTTTGCTCGTCTGGTAGGGCGAAAAGTGTGGTTGGGAGTTTGAAGGGGGAAGAAGGGAGTAGGGCTCGTTTGGGGGGGGTTGGGTCTTTGGATGGGGAGGGGCGTGAGGATTTGGGTGGGGAGCTTGAGCGGGAGGGGTTTGTTGTCAAGGATTAAGAGGTAGTACCTGGGGTGGAGGGGTGGTTGGTTTGGGTATGTTGTATGTTGTTGGGAGTGGGTGTGCTACGTTGGAGGAAAGATCCGTTATACTCATGTTTTCCAATGTTTATTTTGGACGCGGGATATACACAACATGAGAATAAAGACAAGCTACAGTATAAATGCATAAGGTATAAACCCCTCAACTGGCAGAATCGTCTGATTCAAGCTGCGTAGTTGTTGTACTGTACATAATCCTCCATCGAGACGGTTCCCTGATCCCAAATCGCATGCGCAGACCGGCCCACGGTCTGTGCTCAACTGCACGCTTCCTCCACAAGTCTTGTCGATTAATCGAAGAACGGCGTTTGTAGAGACGTGTCACAGCCTAAACATCAACAGTCGAAGGAATGTATGCAGCCCGAGAAACATCTCCTAGCAGCACAAGCTTAGAAAGAGCCGGAAGCACCGGTGGGGGCAGCACCAGACGGAGCGCCCGAGGGCTCAGCGCCGGCACCACCGAAAGAGCCAGAAGGCGACGGGCCCTGACCACTGAAAGAACCGGAGGGAGAGGGGCCTTGGCCACCAACGGAGCCGGAAGGAGAAGCGCCACCGGGGAAACCAGACGGAGAAGCACCCTGGGCTCCGAAGCCAGAAGAGCCACCGCTGGCAAAGCCAGAGGGAGAAGCGCCCTGGCCACCGAAGGAACCAGAGGGGAAAGAGCCACCAACAGTGCCGGAGGGAGAGGGGCCCTCGGAAGAGCTGCTGCTAGAGTTGGAAGAGCCAACCTCGTGGCCCTGTCCGCCCTGTCCGCCCTCGTGGGAGGATCCCTTGGAGGAGGAACCCTGGTTCTGCTCGAACTGGCGGCGCTGGATCTTCTGCTCTGATTCAGAGGAAGTGTTATCCGAGGACTGGCCTTGCTCGTGGCTGCTGTGGCCGCTGTGGCCGCCGTGGTGGCCGTCACCCTGCTGAGGGGAGCCGGAAGGAGAAGCACCCTCGGGGAAACCGGAGGGCGAAGCACCACCAGGGAAGCCAGAGGGAGAAGCACCACCAGGGAAGCCAGAGGGAGAAGCACCACCAGGGAAGCCAGAGGGAGAAGCGCCACCCTGACCACCAAAGCCGCCAGAGGGAGAGGGGCCGTTGGGGAACCCGGAGGGAACAGTGCCTCCAAACGAGCCGGAAGGAGAAGCACCGCCGAAGCCACCGGAAGGAGCAGCGGTGGGAGCAGCGCCACCCTCAGTGAAGGAAGCCGGGATCTCGATCTGACGCTTCTGGTGGTCCTCAGGGCCACCGGAAGGAGCAGCACCGGAGATGGTCACAGAGGGGAATGCCTTACCGCCAGCGGGAGCATTGCCAGAATCACCGTGTCCACCATGTTGACCGAAGCCATCAGGGCCACCGGAGGGAGCAGGTCCGGCAGAGCCAGACGGCGGGGGGTTCTGGAAGGCCGCAGTACCGGTGGGCTGAACACCAGTCTGTGTAGGAGCCTGCTCGCCGAAGACGGGCAGGGCGGAGGTGTAGCCCAGGATACAGGCGATGGCAAATGCGGAGAGCTTCATCTCGTGAATTGGTTGTATGGGTGGGAGGGCAAAGTGACGGACAATTAAGAAGGTAAGAAAGTGAAAGGAATGTAGATTGAAGTTTTCTTCGTTGGAAAGGCAGGTACTGGGCGTTCAGATCAACTGAGCTGCTTGATTTTCAACGGTGAATTGGCTGGATGGAAGCGAGGTTTTATAGGACGCCGTTCACTCGCGCGTTCTGTGATACAAGAGTATCCATGCTGATCTCAACCCTCGTCATGTTCCTGAGCCGCCGACTTCGGGTGGCAGAACTCTGAGACGTTGACTGTTCGCGATAAATCATCAGGCGATTCTGGACCCAGAGACCCCGAGGGTGGATCAATCACGGCTGGCGCTGGACCCCCCACTCGACTAGTAATGTTGAAGCATGCCAGTGGGCCTGGGTCAGTGCGGGTGCGTCTAATCCCTAGAGACAGGGCTGAGGTTAGAGGAGTTTGGCCCGTGAGCCTTGGAGATATGCAAGAGTTGACGCGAAAAGGAAAGGAAAATGACGAGTGACGGTGGCTGAATCCACGTGTCGTCACTGGACACCCGCTGTTTCATCTTGGCTTTGCACTTTCTATTCTCTTTCCCTGGTAGCTTGTCCTCGAAATCAATTGCATTCTTGTCAAAACGTTATTGTGCGTGACTATGAACTCTTTGCAGGTCCAGTACAATGAAACCTCTGACAATCGCTGTGACTCGAGACGGACATGCTTTGTTGATGGTTCCTATGAGTTCAGATCGTCGGTGGAGGAGATCAACCTCGTCTGATAATCTCTGCCCAATGGTGGATCAACCATCCAGTCAAATACAGACCACAGCGGTTGCAGCTGTTCCGAATTGGTGGGTATGTGATGTCTACACGTACCACCTCAGCGGCAAGATTGAGCACCTTGGAATTGACTCACCCTAGTCTTCGACCTAGTCCTGCAGACTCAAGCTTGTATGCTTGGGCCCCACGTTACTATTTCCAGCAAGGATCGAAGCTAGGGGCCATTGACAATCGGTAAAAGCATACCACACCAGCCACAGATTACCAACGAAAATGTGATGCAGTGACAGTGGAAAACAGAAGACTGGGAAAGCTTGCGTCTCAAGATGACAGATGACAGGAGCCACTGCGGCAAGATGCTGACGTGGGCAAGATCTCTCTGACTCCTTGGCATGCTCTTCGATCCTCCGTACCTCCGTACTTTCTGCCACTCAAGGATAGGACTTGAGCTTGCAGCTGTCGCCAACGGAAGACCCTTGAGGGCCTTTTGAGGGCCTTGATCACTCGGGCGGCGCCTAGGTGCGGTCGCCAAGGTGACCCTGGATTTCCCGTGCGAGGACGGGACGGGAGATACTCGGGAAAACCGATGGAATAGGGAAATGGGTGTACTGTGTAGGGAGGAGCTTAAGCGAGTGGAACTGTAGGGTGTAGTGTATGGATGAAACCTGATTTGATGCGTGGCGGGAGAAGCTGGCGTGGCCCTTTTGCAGATCGGAGGGTCGGCGAACGCTCATTGGTGACGCCGTCCACGCGGCCTGAGGCTTTCGTCGGGATGTTTCACCTTATTTCTCTCAAGCACAAACTGCTTTCACTTCCATAGCAGCACGTCAACTTACCCTGCAAAAATCACTTGTTTGGACTAGATTGCAGATCTTGGCTTGTGACCCTGGTGCCGCCGATTCTGGGCCTTGGGTGCTTCCGCTGACACATCTACTTGTGGTTGTCGTAGTTGCCGCTTGTTAGCTTCAGGGGCGAGTCTACAGACCGTCTCCATTGCTTGGCCCGTGACCAGTGACCCGACCCTAACGACCCGCAATCTGCATCGAATGACACACATCAATTGAGTACATGGGGAGCTCTTCCCGAGGCATAGTCACTCAATCGGAACTTCTGGTGAAGAGACTAACCCTACTCCTCAATCAATCGTCATGGAATTAATCATCCCAGTTGCGGTGACGAGCGTAGGCGATTTCCGGACTGCAAGACTAACGTCCACGATAGCCGCTTCTGCACAGGAACATTTTCGAATGTCAATGGTTGCATTGAATTCATCATCCAAGGTCGGCTCAATGTCTTCCCCAATGCACTATATACATGCCGCCCGCAGTCCTTCTGGTTACGTCTGTTGAATACATATCTCGTGTCACATCGTCAAAATTTCCGTTCGCTGTTGAAATGCCCAGGAAAATATCCCATAACTCCTGCCCACCCTACCCCGTGGCCATATCGGTCAAGCCAGAATCCCCTAAGGCTGGCCCCAGATCTCGTCCGCGATCTCACGAACCAAAGCCAGCTTCTTCTTCTCATCCTCGAGGCTCAACGGGTAGCCGCTCTCGTGGGTGCTGAAGCCACACTGCGGGCTGACGCAGATACGCTTGAGAGCCTCCTCGCGGGACTCGCCGCTGCCCGCACTCACGAAGTCGGCGGCGCGGTAGACGCGCTCCTTCATGGCCTCCTTGTCCTCGAGGGCACGGAGCTTGGTGCTGATGATGCCGACAACGACGTTCTTATTCTGGGGCAGGAACTGGAGGGGCTCGAAGCCGCCGGAGCGCTCGTTGTCGTACTCGAGGTAGAAGGTGTGGACGTTGAGGTCCTGGAAGAGCTTCTGAGCGATGATATCATACGAGCCCTCGGCGAAGTGGCGGCCGCCGATGAAGTTGCCGCGGCACAGATGGATGCCCGTGTGGAAGTCGGCGGGCAGGTCGCGGAGGCAGTCGTTGTACAGCTGGATGTAGGCGTCCAGCAGGTCGTCGACGGTGCCGAGGTTGTCCGCGTCTTGCTCCCAGCCCTCGCGGAACGCGGTCGAGCAGAAGTAGGCCATCCCGGGATCGTCGAACTGCACGTTGCGCAGCCCCGCCGCGTACAGTGCCGCCAGCTCCGCCCGGTACACCTTGGCCACGTCGCGGAAGTACTCGGCGTCGTTGGCGTACGCCTCCGGGCTGTAGGCCTTGCCCTGCTTGTAGCGCATGTGGAACCAGGCAGGCGTGATCATCGTCAGCTTGATGGTGCCCCACTCGCTCTCGGGCAGGGCCTGCTGCACCAGCCGCAACTCGTGCAGGTTGGACACGGACTTCTCCGCGCTCCACGACAGCTTGGAGCCGGCGATCACCGAGTCGCCCGGCATCACCTTGCGGTCCTTCTCGATCAGGCTGACCACGTCCGGGTGGTACAGCCGGAACATCGAGGCCTCGGCGTCCTGCAGACGGACGGTTCCTGCAGCGTCAAGTCAGCCGTCGTTCTCTTCCTATGTCCTCCTGATGCAGTGATGGTTAGGGAGGAAGGTCATACCCTCAAACTCATCCCACATCTGCCCCCAAAACCGAGTCCGGTTGAACTCGCCCGAGGTGACAGCCTTGTAGCCCAAGTCCCGCTGCAGCTGGACCACGTCGCCGACCGTCTGCTTCTCGACCGCGTGCAAGCCCGCCTCCTCCTCGGACACGCCCGTCTCGCGGATCTTCTCGCGCACCTCCAGCAGGTTCTGAGGCCGGAGCAGGGAACCCATGTGTTCGGCCCGGAAGGGCGGGGCACTGTGCAATTGGAAGGACATCGTGACTCGGTTGTGGCTCTGTTAAACCTCTCTCAAGCTTGGTAGCACAAAGAAAGTGAGAAAAGCTGAATCAAGGGGGAAAACTGACAAGAAAAAGAAACAGGAAAACTGAAAATAGGAGAGAAAAGATGGGGAATCCCTGCTAGCCCTCGCGGCCCCGCATTGGTTTTTGCCATGTCCCTATTTGCCATGCGGGACCGGCTGTTGGCTGACGGTGGCGATCAACGTTGACCTTGCGTCTCGTCCGAGCGCGTTTCTTACACGTTTACCCTTTTGCGAGTGTTTTTCACATGGACACAAGCGTTGGCGGAGCTCTGTCTGGGGCCCCGCGGGTTTATTGTTCCAATTGTCTTGCAATTACTAATGCCCAGAGGAGGATGGCCACGGGCGATGAAGCTGGATTTTATGCCCAGTACAACTTGTGCATGTGGGGGACGGATGGGGCTATATGTGGGGGGTGGGGCTATATGTGGTGCTGCGAGATTACTCATCTCCATGCATAACCCACACAATGAGGCACAACTTGATGAGTTGGGGGACAGTAACCTCATTCCTTTGCCTTTGCTTCTGGTGTCTTGCTCACCAGTAAACTCAGCGGCCACGCCACAGACCTCTGTAGATCCGTGTGCTCCGCGCCAGAGACAAGATAGTCAATCACCGCGATAAAGGTGTAAGCGCCCACCCCGGTGAAGATATGCCACCTAAGCACAACCATCAGTCCGTCATTACTAGCAACAACCCTCACCACCGGTGACTGTGACTCCAAGTCATAGCTGAGGAATAGAAAGTCAGGGTAAGTTACTCACCACCCATGCAACTCCAACCCAAACGCCCACGGCACCCCTACCGCCGCCCGCCACCTCCGCAAAACCTGGCACACCCACCCATCCACCAGCCAGACAGCATACCCCACGTTGAATATCACTACCCCAGCCGTCCTCAGCATACTCATCCATTGACAAGATGGGAGCATACTCACCAGCCCCAAACCGCACTAACCGCCACAGCTCCGTCCTGGCCACAGACCCCCGGACCGTCCGCTGCTGGATCAGCTGCATCGTCCGCACCCCGATGGCCGTGACACTGCCTACAAAGCTCACCGCGTGGAGGACCAGCTCGTCCGTCGCGATATGCACGGCCGCAAGGCTCAGTAGCGCGGCCCCCAGCACCAGCGCCACGCGCGACGAGGTTCGTGCGCTGGTGTTGACGGTCAGCACGCGGTGGAGCAGCGGGGTCGTGGTAAGGAGCATGGAGAGGTCGTCCACTGTTTTGTCCCAGGTGGGGTGGTTAGTACTTCGCCACAGAAGTGAAAACTGTAAGCCGAGGAGGAATGGGGAGACGCACTCATCTGCGTGTGATATTTCAGGCTCATGTGGAACCCGGCGGAGCAGAGGCCTACGCCGATGAGGCCGTAGTATGGGACGAGACGGGCGAGGGAGGGGGAGGGATGGTGGGGGAGATGGCGGAGGCCGTGTAGGGCGTAGAGGACTGGACGGGAATTAGGTTTGGCCATGGCCATTTGGGGAGAGTCTCGCGAGGGTGTGGGGTGTGGGGTTTACTGTAGGTCAGGTTGGTGAGCGTGTTGATGAATTCGGCGATGTAGCGGGTCATGGTGTAATCCTGGTTGAGAAGGTTAGTGAAGGTGGTAGGATTGATTGGTGTTTGTGGTGATGGGCACCTCTTCGCAGAAACTGGATGGAGTTGTTAGCTCACCACTGAGAGGACGAGTTGAGTCGAGACTTACTTTGCATGGGACGTTGGCGGGCCCCAGAAGGAGTTTGTTGAGATTGGAGAATTCATTGTGATGGATATGTATAAGCGGATGGTAGTGCTTGCCAATCATAGGTTTACTGGGTAGTGAGAAATGTTGCGGGTAAACAGACAGCTTTATCAGTGTTCAGGCTAGGCAACAGTGAATGATCTTTGACTGAAAGCAGTAACCAGCTCTTTGTTTTTGGCAATCTCTGGATTCTCGAACCCTGTCATCAACTTTGTCGTCGTCTTACGTGAGATTTTCGGGAGAGGGGAACCTTGATTACGATCTCAATGCATCACGGATAACCTCTCTCAGCGGCGTCGAAGAAAGAAAACAACAAGTCTTGACAAAGTATTGAACATTCATACTTGCAGGTAGTATAATCTCGACAGTAACAAATGAGTATGAGTAGAAAATCGAACATTTCCAGAAACATATGGTACGACCAGCAAAAGCGGGGTACAAACCCATCAACCCCACCAAGCCCAACCCCAAACAAACTCTCAAACTTGAACGTGCCCACCCACTCAACAACCCCCTGCGTACAGAGACAATATGCCACCCACCAAAACAATCTGCATCATCGGCATCGCCGGCAACCAAGGCGCCTCCGTCGCCCGCCGCTTCCTGCAGGACCCAACCTTCCACGTCCGAGGCCTCACCCGCAATCCGCACAGCCCAACCGCTGAAGCCCTCACCCAGCAGGGCGTGGAGCTCATCCCCGCCGACCTCAACGAACCCGCCAGTCTTCTCCCAGCCTTCCAAGGCGCAAACATCATCTTCAGCGTCACCAACTACTGGGAGCCCTTCGCCAGCCCGGCGGGCCGCCAGCAGGCCGCCGCCGCCGGCATCTCGCCCCGCGAGCACGCCTACCGGGTTGAGCGCCAGCAGGGACAGAACATCGCCGACGCGGCGGCGCAGACGGTCGACTCGCTTGATCCGAACGGATTCATTGTCTCCACGCTGAGCCACGCGACGCGATGCAGCGGCGGCCGGTTCCGGGAACTGTATCATTTCGATGCGAAGGCGGAGGTGTTTCCTGCCTATGTCCGGGAGAGGTATCCCGCGCTGGCAGCGAAGATGTCGTCCGTACAGACGGGGTACTTTACCTCGAGTTATAGGTTGGTTCCGGGGGCGTATTTCGGGAAGGTAGGTTGTCCCCCTCCCCTCGAGAGGGCTAGGAGTTGGATTGCGGCTTGCATCAGAAGAAGCGTTGGCTGACTCGGGTATTTAGGGCAAGACGGAGAGCGGGGAGGATGTGTTTGAGATGACCTTCACCACGGCCCCGGAGGCGGTGGTGCCCCATCTCGATGTGCAAAGTGACTTAGGTGGGTTTGTCTATGCAGTGGTCCAGATGCCACCGGGGAAGAGTTACATGGCGTGTGGAACCAGGTGCAGCTGGGCGGAGTATATGAGGATTTGGGGCGAGGTGAACGCGGTGCCGGCCCGATATCGGCAGATCACGCTCGAGGAGCTCATCGGAAAAGCGCCCGAGCCGGAGTTTGGCCGCGAGGTGGGGGATATGTTCTCCTATTCGACGGATCCGGGATATGATGGGGGTGATGGGAGCTTGTTGACGGCGGAGGATATACGAAGGGTGAGATTTGTTGTCTGTCCGTGGATGTGGGGGTTGGACACTGACTTCTTTTAGACAGGAATTGATTGTCCCATGACAAGCTTGGAGGAATGGATCAGGAAGGAAGATTGGTCGACTTTTTTGGGTTGAGTATGTTGAGCTATCCTTCAGCATGCGACAGATCTAGCAAGCATTTGAATCGTAGACAGGAAGACTCTATTTGTTACGGGATAGAAAAAGACTGTTTATTGAGACTGTCAGGTGAACATTCACCTGCAAACAATGCGCGGGGACGAACGGAGCCAAGAATGCGGTCATAATTGTGATGGGGCTGTGAACGCAGGTTAGCTACAGTGGTGTCATAATTTGCAGGGCTTTTCGCAAGGTTCCACTGAGTCATGTTGCTATGATCACGAGCAAAGCATGAGATAGATTGTGTGACTTCTGGATGGTCCTCAAATTGAAATAGATGTGCTGTGGATGATGTAAGATGCAGGAAACTGACCCACCGGAGATCTTCGAAGGCATAACTTTAATTTTCCGCCCGGTCATCGGCAACCCCGTTTGCTTCATCTTATCAATGGCCGACACGCTGCTCGAGCAAACGAGCGACCGCGCCCTGCTCCGCGACGAGCTGATGAGCCTCCTCACCGCGGGCCGCGACACCACCGCCAGCCTACTCAGCAACCTCTTCTCCATGCTGGCGCGCCACCCCGACACGTGGCGGTGCCAGCGCCAGGAGATGGCCTTCCTGGCCGGTCGGCCGCCCAGGCACGAGCAGCTGAAGGAGCTGCAGTACCTACAGTGCTCTCTGAACGAGTCGCTGCGGCTGCATCCGCCCGTCCCGATCGGTGCGCGGTGAGCGGACCGGGATACGGTGTTGCCGGTGGGGTCTGGACCCCGTGCTGGTGAGCCAGGGCACGATGGTCCTCTACGATGTCTACTCCATACATCGGCGCGGGGGGCTCTATCTACGGGTCGGATGCGGCGGCGTTCCGGCCAGAGCGGTGGAAGGACGGGCTGCGCCCGGGCGAGTGGGCATTTTTGCCTTTCAGTGGCGGGCCCAGGGGCTGTTTGGGGCAGCACTATGCTTTGGCGGCGGTCGAGTATGTTACTGTAAGGCTGGGGCAGCGGTTTACTGGGTTGGAGGAGAGGGATGGGAGGCCCTGGCGGGAGGAGCTTGGGTCGACGCTGTCGTCGCGGGATGGGGTGTGGGTTGGTTTGAGGGAGTGAGGTTGTGGTTCTTGCCTTGGGTCTGCTTTTCTGATGACATGGAGATAGGATTGGTGTATATAGGCGGGACTGGATGCAATGTGTACCTGTTCGGAGGGAGGGTTTGTCTGTGTAACTCACAAAGACCTATCTCACCGTGTGCATGTGGTTAGGTGTAACCATTGATCGTTGATCAGACGGGCTGTACGCGCTGTACTCCACAATGTTCTGCTGCTGCTCGCAGGGTTTTATGAGGTTACGAAGGGCTGGTGTAGAGGCATATCAACATCCGAGCGTTGACGAGGATGGACTCATGTCTGCGGTATACACAAAAGTATTGAAGATTTTCTAAACCATAAAATCCAATCCTGACTCGTACAATCTAATGCTAATGCTAACAACAATGCTATGTGCCACCCTTTCACCCAAACGCCCAAGCACCAGCTACAACAACATCACTCCTGCCCTGCCGCCAAAAGCAAATTCATCACCCCCTCATGCCCATGCACCACCGCCTGGAACAGCGGACTCATGCCATTATCATTCAGAGAATCGACATTCACCTGCCCCGTCGCCAGCAACAGGCCCACAACCGCCTCATGACCCTTCCTTGCCGCCAACGACAGCGGCGTACAGCCCTCGTTATCCCGCACATCGACCTCCACCCCCTGGACCTTAAGCAACATGCGCACCGCGCCCTCCGCGCCCGTCTCCGCCGCCCATGACAACGGCGTGCGGCCCTTATCATCCCTCGAATTGACGTCCACCCGCTTTGTCTTTAGCAGCAACCGCACCGTCGCATCAAACAACGTTGCCGCCGCGCGCGACAACGGCGTCTGCCCATTCTCCCCACCCTTGGCATCCACCTCCGCGCGCCCATCATCAATCAGCACCTTCATGACGCGATGGAACCCGAACGCCGCCGCGTACCGGATGGCCGTATTCCCCGAGGGATCGCGGGCGTTGACCTCGATGCCCTCCTGCGCCAGCAGCAACTTGACGGCCTTGACGTTGTTCATGAACGCGGCGTGCAGCAGCGGCGTCAGGAGGTGGCCGGTGTTGACGTCGACGTGGCCGGACTCCAGCAGCACGCGCAGCACATTCGAGTGGCGGTAGGTGATGGCCAAGATCAGGGGCGTGTTGCCGTCCGCGTTGGGCCGGTTGGCGTCGATGTCGCGCGCTTGCAGCAGGAGGCGCGCGACCTCGGCGCGGCCCCGCATCGCCGCAATGCATAACGGGGTCGGCGCTTTCTTGTCTTGGATGTTGACGTCGGCGCCGGCGTGGATGCTGTGCTGTGCGGTGCCGGCCACCCCGCGGCGGGCGGCCCAGACCAGGGCGGAGGATTTGTGGTGCCGGGCGTTCTGGCGGTAGAGGTAGGGATTCACGATGCTGTGCAGGCGTCGGTTGACTCGCGATAGGGCGTTGATGTCTTTGCGCTGGGCGAGATGGTTGGCGACCATTAGGATCAGCTCAGGGGGTAGGTCGAGGGGTGGCATTGCGTTGAGGGTGTAGCTTGGACCGGATACGGAGCGCTGAAGGATGAAGCAATCGGAGTGGAGCGATTGGTAAGATGGTGATGGGTAGATGATTGGTGGGTGGTGGTAGTGCTGGAGGTGAGGTTCATACCCCCAGAAGTAATTTATACTGGCCATCTGGGTGTCAGTTTCCATTTTTGCCGGACTGTTCGTGTTTAGATTCACTGGGAACAATGCGATCCCTCGGTACTAGTAGTGAGGATGCGATTTTGAGAAACTAGTCTGCCTAGTAGGGCCAGTCGTCCAAGGCTGTCTGTTCTCTTTCTACCCCCATAGTTTGAGAAGTGACTAAGCATGGGGGGGGGGGGGCACTGCAAGGTTCACTCCCAACTTGGAAGGAAATGCACGCCGACCTCACTTGGGCATAACACAGCATCACCGCTTCGATTCGGGCCAGAACTGGCTGTGATTGGCTGCAATGCAGGCAAATGTCGGTATGGGGCCTTTTCTCCACGCGGCTTGGCGGCCAAGACAAACGCTGTGCCCGCCATTTCACCCTAGAGCTTAGCTTCACCCCAGTGCGCAGCTAATCACCAGAGCAGGAAACACATGCCGACAGCTCCATCAGGGCCCACTTGAGTAGTTGCGTGCGACTGGAAAGAGTCATTGTACAGTACCTTTGTGTGGCAAGTTCATCATCCGATGTCAGCCATCAGATCTGCATATTGTGGATGTTGTCCGCGTGTTCTTTGCCTTCGTGTCTCGGTTTTAGCGTATAGTCTCCTCAAACAGCATCGGGTAGCAACGGATCCTGCCAGCAGATGACGAGATTAACCGTTGCGGTCAGATCCTTCAGAGTGGTGAAGGCATGGGAGATTATGCCAGTCATCCTGCGGGGGAGTTTGTTGCTGGTCCCTGATAGGGCCTGCTGCATGAATACCCTAGCCTTAGTTGCGCCAGGTATTCGCCATCCTCGTTGCCCCCAGACAGTACCGATGAACTTGGCTTCTGACAAGTCTTGGGTCTTGATCCAGAATTTAACTGCTTATTGTGGTGTTCGTGCCACAAAGTATCACAAGCATTCAACTGGGGTTGAAACTGCTGTGGTCCAATAGTCTTGCTATATTGGCAGGCCAGTAGTGCATCTCACACAAGAGTCCTCAAACCAGATAATGTGGACATTAACCATGAACTTCTGCAACCTCTTGCATCCGCAGAACCGTTCCAGACCGCGACCTTTTCCGTCCAGACGCAAATCAGAAATCAACACATATCCTCCATGCACCAACAACAGCCCCACAATCCTTCACGCTTCTCAATCTTGCTTCCATCGATGAACATCAGCAAGTATCCCTAGCGCACGCTACTCCCTGCACATCACCAGAAGCATCCGTCGCGCCCAATCCCTCCTTATACGCAACCAACGCCTCCAGGAACTCCGAAACCTCCTGCCCCCCGCTCAGCGTGCGCATCCGCTCCCCCTCTCCGAACTGAAAATACGGTACCCCAACGACTCCCTCCTCCCTTGCCCTCTGCGCCTCCTGCTGAATCTCCGCCACCCCGCGCCCTTCCTCCAACCACGCGCGGACCACTCTTTCATCCATCCCCGCCTGCCCAGCCAATCGAACCAACGTCTTCACATCCGTGATATCCTGCTCCCGCTCAAAATGCGCTTCGAAGATCGCCTCCACGAGCCCCGCCGTCCCGGCACCGGGATCCGACCCGGCCACCGCGGTATCTAAGGGATGAAACTTGTCCTGCAGCGCACTGAGCATGATAACCTGGTGCGCGGGGGTGGTGCTTCCGATGCACCCGCCGAAGCGGAAGTGAATCCCGTCGGCGCGGCCCAGGCGTTGGAGGTGGGCTTGCGCCTGGGGGACCTTCTCCGGGCCAAGCTTTTGAGTCATTCGCTCTGAGCGGTCGGTCAATCAGTATACGGATGTGGGTGTGGGAGAGGTAAGGAGGTTTGGGGACGTGTACCCATGTAAGGAATGCTCTCCATCGGGGCGTTGGCGTCCAGAATGTACGGTTTCCAGGTGATGCGGATGGCGTCTTGACTGCCGCCGGGGTAGGTGTTCCGGTAGAGGCGGATTGCCTTGGTGAGGCGGCGGTAGCCGACGTAGCACTTTCGGGTCTTGAGTCACTGGGTTTTACCCTTTGCAGGGGAGGGGTGCTGGGAACGTACCCACGGGCAGACTGGGTCTGATGTGATGAATATGTTGATGAGTGTCATTCTGTTTCAAGGGATGACGGATAGAAGGTTGGTTTTGATGTCTCTCACGACAGCCTCAACAGATGATAAGTGCGTCTGGTAAGAGTCCTTGCTGGTATTGCTTCAGTCGGTGAGTATGGTCGTCGTTCGATGGCACGCACTTTATAGCTGCGGGCTAAGTCACTTCCGACCACAGTTATCTAGGAGCCTGGGATTCAGGCAACCATAAATCCTGAGGAGTTGCACATTTGAGACTTCTCAAAACATACCGTGGACCATTTATTCCTTGGGAAGAGAGCTTATTCTAAGAATCTTACCTCAAATCTTCCCATATAAATCGGTGGTTTGATGGGCTTACCAAGCAGTGCAAAAATAGTCATCGAGTCAAGCTGCTCTATCGGGGTTGTGCGGGGTATCGATACACTCAGTCATGTGCTCACAGTTCCTCAGAGCTGTCAAAAGAGAAATGTCAAGTACTACAATGGGGAGTTCAATATCCGTCAAGGAGTAACAGTTTGCTGGGGGATTTTGGGGTCGAAGTGTAACGAGAGTTTGAGCAAACAGTAAATTCAGGGTCCGCACTAACACGCTGCCGGTCGGCCACAGCCACGTGGAACAGAAATGATAAATAGACTTTTGACTTGACACAACTTATGAGCTCTAGCTTCAGCAGTTCAAACAATGGCCCTGTCTGATGCTTCTTCTGGAAACTAGAATTCCTATCCTTGCTGATGAGGTTGAAGTGTTTGCCCCGACATCGACCGTCTCGATCCATGCATGATTCACAGTTCACCTGGTTCTATGCGCAACACGGGTAGGGCTCGACGCTGTCCCTCGTATACCCTGCAACCTCAATGCATTCTCCCATGATCGGTCCTGCCTCCTTTTGACTCGCGAGCTGCACGCAAAAAGCCATGTCAAAGCGCATGGTATGAGAAGTTGATGATGTAATCTGTCGCTTCACATCTGTACACGCCGTGCGCCTATGAGAGTATAGGCTGCGACCACATGATTTGGACAGCGACCAGAGCAACTATATGTGCCTATAAATGTGTTTCGTCGGAGCAGTAATCAATGAGGCTTGTTCTGCTCCCCATTTACTGATTCTGTCTGTTCAGCAGTAGAGGCACTCGAGGCGCATCCTGACAACGTATATGATTCTAGAAAGTGTATACCTCCTCGAGCTCAAGGGGCGAAGGTCAATCATGTTCTACCAAACGGTTGCCAGCACGAAGGTTGCTACCACCATACTATGCGAGCAGTGTAACCTGAGCTGGGACTCGCGCCGCTGTCTGTTGGACTTGTCCCTGGCCAAGTGTTGCACAATACCACTCTGGTCGGATTGCGCAACCAGCTAAACAGCACCATTCCACCTACACTGGCAGTGACGGTAACTTGATTGGCAACTGCGGTGGAGGGTACCATAAAGTCATCCCAGACCCCGGGACGGTCGAGCTGAATTCAAACTCTTCAGCAACTCACTACTCCTTAGATCACCCCATTTCCTGAGACACTCTTTCTTCTATTATTACTATCATTATGAAGGCATTAACTCTATTATTATCTGTTCCATTCACTGCAGCTCTTGCACCTAAGAGAGCCCCTGTCTCCCCTGTATGCCCCTGTCTCCTGCTGAATCACATCTTGCGATTCACTAACTCCCAGCCTGCCCCCTTAGGACACATTTGCATCACATATCACCTTATCCGACCTCCTCGAAGGCACGCAGAAACTCCAAGACTTCGCATATGCCTACCCTCAACGCAATCGCGTCTTTGGCGGCGCCGCCCACAATGACACGCTGGACTACATCTACCATGAGCTCAACGCGACGGGGGCATACGACCTCCACCGACAGCCCCAAATCCACACCTGGACGAAACACAATCAATCAGTGACCACAGCTGAGGGGCACACCATGACCGCCTACAGCATGACCCACAGCCCAAGCACGAACGTAACAGCCGAACTGGCCCTCGTCCCGCAACTCGGCTGTAGCGTCAAAGACTACAACGCGTTAGCAGTCGGCAAGATCCTCCTCACGCGCCGGGGTGGCTGCAGCTTCGGCAATAAATCTATTCTCGCCGCGGCCGCCAACGCCGCGGGCCTCATCATCTACAACAACGTCGCCGGCCCGCTGCACGGCAACTTAGGCAGCCCTAACACTACAACCCCCTTCGCTCCAACCATAGGGATCAGCCTCCTTGACGGCCAACGCCTTCTGCGCAACATCACGCCCAACGCCACCTCCGCCAACACGACCACCCCCACCCCATCTCCACGGATTACCCTCTATATCCACATCGAATCCGCCCCCCGCCTGACTTACAACCTCATCGCGCAGACCAGGGCCGGCAACGCAAGCAACGTGATCACAGTAGGCAGTCATACCGACTCCGTGGACGCCGGCCCCGGCATCAACGACAACGGCTCCGGCACCATCGGCTGTCTGGCTATCGCCCGCGCTCTTGCCTCGTCTACATCCCGTCCCGTCATCCGCAACGCAGTGCGCTTCCTCTTCTTCACGGCCGAGGAATTTGGGCTCTTAGGTAGCACCTACTACATCAAGAATATGTCGCCCACCAACCTCACGCGCATCCGTCTGTATCTGAATCTCGATATGATCGCCTCCCCCAACTACGCGTACATGATCTACGACGGTGATGGCTCCCGGTATAATGTCTCCGGCCCCCCGGGATCGGATCACATCCAGCACACGTTTCAGGAGTACTTCGAGCGGAGAAATGTGTCCCACCGCGCGACGCCGTTCAACGGGCGCTCGGATTATCGGGCCTTCATCCGGAAGGGCATCCCCGCCGGGGGACTGTTCACCGGCGCGGATGGAGCCAAGACGCAGCGGGAGACGGAGTTGTTTGGGGGTCGGGCCGGGGTAGCGTATGATCCTAATTATCATGGCTCTGGAGATACGGTGGCGAATATGGATCAGGAAGCGTTCTTGATTAATGCCCGGGCGGCGGCGTTTGTAGTGGCAAGGTATGCCGGGGATTTGGAGGGGATTCCGGAGCGGAAGGGTAACCGCTCGGAGGTGGAGGGTTTGGGGGGGGGGGATGAGCTGGGGAGGGTTCAGGACGTGGTTGTCGCTTAGTTGATTTGCTTGCGGTGTGTCGGGTTGGTGGTTGTGGAATTGTCGAGATTGGGTATCGTGCAACCTGCGTTTCCTTGAGTGAATGATGAACTTTTTATTCGTTGTTACAAGCCTGTTTATTTCTCATCAGAAATTCTCTTGTTTGTATTATTGACATGCGTACAGTACATGTATATCGTCACCTCCAGCAGAATTCCGCCAGTATCACCCTGTCCCTCAACACCCCAACGCCTCCCTCCCGTCCCCTCTTTCCCCAGCATCTCCCAAAGCTAAATAACAACACACCCCGAGAGTCACCGCGCCGCCTTGGGCGGGTAGGCCTTGCCCTCCCGCTCGACCTTGGGCGTGCAGGTGCACCGCTCGCTCTCCGGGATCGCATCCATGACCGAGGGGATGTGCGCGCCGCAGCCCCACCAGGAGGTTTTTTCTGTCTTCGTCAGCGTCCTCGTTTTGAGTTCTAAATGGTTGGGGGACATACGGCACGTAGAGCAGGTAGCCTTCATGCACATGATGACGGTGGTAGAGGTAGGATCTTGTGGTTATAAGGAGGATGTTTGGTGGTGGTGGCGGTGTTGGTTGGTTGTGGATGAACCAGCGGAAAAGTGGGGGATTTTTATGGCGCTGCTACGCTGCTTAGTCAGGTTGGAGGCATGGTCGGCGACCCCTCCGGGGTATGATTGTGCTGGTCGGCGAGGTCGGTGGGTCGGTCGGGTTCGGGATATAGGACCACATTTTGAAAGGGGGGTTAGGTCTTATCGTGGTACCGCATTTCTTATCTTCAATAGTGGGGGAGGACTGGTAGTTGGGGTAAGATGGTGGTGGGAATGCGGACGGGTTATGACTTAGTAGTTACTGGTACTGTTGGTGAGTGTCGATGCTCCCCTTAAGTCGCGAGACGCCATGAAGTGTCCATACTATAGATGACTGATTTCCCATTGAATATCACGGGTCCCGGGTGATGTGCAAATTCAAACAATCGAGACGAAGCTACAAGACCAAGGAATGTCATTATTCGTGAGACCATACAGGAGTGAATCTATCTATCTATCCAGAAAAACACAATCTACAACTTCCCCTGCCGCTCCACCGGCGCACAGCACGCCACCGGCTCCGGGTGCAGCGTCGACTGGTTGAACGTCTGGTTCGAGGCCGGCACATCCAGCGCGGGGTTCTTGGTGAAGAAGCCGTCCGGGCGCAGCATGACGCTGACGCGCTCCATCGGCATGACGGGGAAATCTTCGATGCGGGGGTTATGCGTGAGGCCGAATGCTTTTCGTAGGTTAGCGTTGATCGAATCCACGAGACAGCGGCGGTAGCTGTGCTATACACAGAGAGGGGAGTGTAAGGGAAGACTCACTATGCCACAGCACCAGATCCTCATTCTCCACCACCTCGTTCCGTTGCACCCACTTGTCCACCCCCTGGGAGTCGGAGCTCTGGTTCGTGAACTCGCCCGCCGCGTATAGCTCGTCGTCCCGGTACCGCGTCACCCAGATGGGCTTGGTGCCGAAGCGGGCGCGCTTGACGCCGTATGACTTGGGGCTGGCCAGGAGCATCTGGCTCGGCGAGGTCTGCAGCTTATAGGCGACGGGCTTGTACGTGATCGGGTTGACGTGCGCATCGTTCCGGATCTTGAACACCCGGTGACGCGCGACGTCCGTCTCCGCGGTGCCGCTGCGCCGCAGCACCGTCTGCTCGGTCGTGTACCCCACGAGCCACGGGTTGTTCGCGTCCTCCGGGAGGGGCACGCTGTCCTCGTAGTAGACCGTGTTGTTGAAGCCGTCGAGCGCCGGGTCGATGCGGAAGGAGAACAGGTGCTGATGGAACGGCGCCATCACCCCGGGCCCCACGTTGGTGCCCCACGGCACCGTCGTGCCGGGCGTCTCGTTGTCAAACGGCACCGTCGACAGGATCCCCGTCGCGCGCACCTCCAGCTCGATGTTGGCCGCCTGGTCGAAGATGAACGCGAAGATGTACTCGTAGTTGGCTACCGTGCAGATCATTTGGATTACCAGCTGGCGGTTGCGCACCACCGTGGCCGCGTTCGTGCGGTAGTTCGTGTGTTTGTGCTGCAGCCCATTGTCCTGCTCATGCAGGCAGATCACGTTCTTTAGGAGGAGGGGTTGGCCTTTCGAGTCCGCGCGGTATCCGTCGAAGTACTTGATGTGTCCGAGGCAGTCGCAGCCCAGGGAGAGCTGGTTCGCCGTGATGCCGAAGCCGACGTCGCCAACGTCGAAGGCTTGTTTGCGGTGGTAGGGGGCGCGCGGGTCTGGGGTAGTGTTAGTGTGTGTCTCAGTCGTGGTCTCGACGATTCTGCGAGGAAGGGTGACAGCTGCATGACCCAGCTGGAGTCAGGACGTACCTCCGTAAGGAACGGTCATTTCCGACACAGACAATCGGTAGAACAGGTTGCGTCCGTCATAGGTGGTGTTGTAGACGACCAAGCCCTCGCGGCTGTTGAACCCCACGCGGAACCGCCACTTCTGCCACGACACAACATTCCCCTGGACCGTGAACGACGGGCCCTCGGGCTGCTGCACGATGTAGGGCTTCAGGTCTGTCCGCACGGGCTCGTCCAGCAGCTCGTGCGCATACTGGATGGTTTGCACGGGCTTCCACGGTTGCGTCTCGGTGGTGGTTGCATCGACGCCACCAGGCAGGAAATCAATCCGGACCAGCTCGTGGGTGATGCCATCGAACACCGGAGAAAACTTGCAAGGGGTGGAGTAGTGGTTGTTCTGCGGGTGGTTCGTGGCCACGACGTACATGTAACACTGGAACAGCCGGCGGGTTTCGTTGGGATCGTCCCGCCCATAGATCCAGGGATCGTTGCAGACCGTCACGCCGGCGGGGAGCTGCAACTTGGCCACCTCCGCCTGTACTGCGGGGTGGTTCAGGCACAATCGCTCGATCTCCTCCAGCTCGTCGGCGTCCACGGGGGCCTGGGGCGAGGAGGTCAGCAGTGGGAAACATACGGCGGAAGAGTTGTGCAACCCCGGAGACATACCTGAACATCCTTGGGCAGTTCCTTAGCGAACACGATAGAGCGGGTGCCCACGTTCAACAGGGCTTTCAGAAAAGCACCGGTGTCCAAGCGGTGGAAGAGAACCTGCAGCAACCGCGTCGGCTTGGGAGGCAGTGGCTGTCCCAGACGCTCTGCCTCGATATACGGCACAACCTCGCTCTTGATTGGCTCCTGGATATCAATCTTCTTGTACCGGAGCTTGACGCCGGGGAAAGCAGCCTCGACCAACTTGGTGGCGAGGACGATTTCCGCCGGGCTGATGGGGTCAAATGGGTGTGGACCGGAAGCTGCCATTGTGTCTGCGGGATTGTAACAGGAGAACCCTCTGCTTCGCGGCTAAATCAAAGGTATAAAGGGCAATTGAGGGATACGCAAGAAGCGAGACGAAGGACTTAAGTAGTCGGATAGACGGTATCTCCTCCCCGCCTCTTTGTTTCACAGAGAGTTCACAGAGAGTTTCCAGACACTGCAGATTATCAGCAATCCCGATCCCGGCATTTGCCTCTCTCTTCCAGAACTGGGAACTGTCTTCTGATTGGGCCGATGGACCGACTCGGCGTATCTTTGGCCACATCCGGACTAGTGCAAGATAAGAAATCGATCTCTGCTTATGTCAGTTTCCAGTCCTGCCCGATAAGATTGGCGGTGATGGGCGAAGTCCCAACAGTCGGTAAGAAGTCGTGTTGAATAATGTGGACTTGGCATCAAGGAAGGAAGCCGGAGGGTCTCGTGTTCGAAATCGGTGGATGTTGGTAGGTTATTAGATTCCTTTTCGCCCCACCCTGTCACTTCCAATCATGCAATCCACACCGTTCATCCTGGGGGTTTCTCTCCATAATAGCCTATTCCAGTAATTTTGGTCTGTTTACAACAATCTCTGGATTGAGTATCTTGCGATCTCTTTCAATAGCGTACATAAGCGAAAATAGCAATGCTTGTGTGAGAGAATGAAGTTTGAAGGGTGACTGATAACGGTGTAGTGAGCAACTCGGCTAATGGAGGACCACGCCAGCGAAGTCACTCAGTACTACAATCTTGAATCATCACTCACGAGCATCTCACGGTATCTGGCCAGACAGATCAACTCCGAAAACACCATCGATCACTATCACGGCCTCATGAAGAATGCGGTGCCCACCACCAAAGCGATGACCACCCCGGTCAAGGCCGCGGCGCCCACCCGGTCGGCGGCAGTGATGGGCCTGAGCGCACTGGGGTCCCTGGCCTTATCCGAGGTTGCGGTGCCCGCCGCCCCATCCCCCTTGCTGGAGCCCCCCGTCTGGTGGGTAAGGGGCCCCGCCACCGACTCGACGAGCAGGGTCTGGATCGCTTCCAGCGCCGACATCTGCTGTCCCACCCCTCTGGTCCCATCGTAGACCCCGGTTGTCCACTTCATTCCACAGTACGTCCCGCTCGCGCCTCCCACACATTGGGCGGCCGCCGCCCGCGCGGTCGGTCGGAGACGGCCCAGGATGAGATCGTGGGTGAAGGGCGCCAGTTTGACCGTGTCGGCCATCCACCGGAACAGATACGCCTTGAAGGAGAATTGATCCACCTGGCAGGTGTCCCAGTTCTCGCACGCGGACTCGTAGAACACGTTGCGCGCTGTCTCGTTGTCAGAGAGGAAGATATCCTGGGCATCCAGCAGCCCCATGATCCGGTGTCGCCAGGTCTCATCGCCGTTCGTCTGCAAGATGCGGAGTAGTTAGTAACTCAAGACTTGTCTGGTTCTTGGCATAGGCGGAAAAGAGAAAGAACAGGCCAAAAGAAACAACATACGTAGTTCCACATATGCGCCGCCCCAAGCAGGAACACCCCATTGTTGTACGTCCACTCGACATGATTGAGATCCGAGCAGTTGTTTCCCTCGCTGGTGCCGTCGTAGACCTGGAATTGAGGCCCGATCAGTCCCACCCCCGAGCACCAGTCCCACGCTTTGTGGGCCCAGTCCGCATAGGTGCTGTTTCCGGTGTACCGTGCCAACCGGGCAGCGATGTTGAAGAAGCATCCGTTTGAGATCGCGTTACGGTAGGTGTAGCCACTGTTGAAGGCGTAGATCTGCCACTTCAAGCCTCCACCGCACTTGGTGGGGTCCCAGCGCGCGGCCTGCTGGTTGAAGACCGCCTGCGCCAGTGCCAGCCACGAGGGCTGATCGTCCGGGGGGTTCGAGTAGTTGTTTTCTGCCGCCTGCAGCGCGGTGAACGCCCAGAAGGCCTGGTCGTCGTTCCCTTCGGTGCGCGTCTGGTTGGAGGGCATAAAGTCGCGCTTCTCCCCGGCCTGGTGCAGGATGGCTTGCGTGGTGATTGCATTGTAGGTGTCGTCGCCGGTGTAGCTCCAGTAGTTGACCAGCGTGCCGAAGAACGCGCCCGCTTCCCACCAGTAGTACGGATTGGGGAGGTTTCCAGGCACGTCGCCGGTGTGGTTACCGCTGTAGAAGCTCACGAGATCCCAGGCGAGCTGGCTCGCGACGTGTTTGATGTTTGCTGTTGTGGTTTGAGAGTTAGTCGCGCGGTAACACGTGGGTCGTCTTGATGAAGGTTCTCGAGGACTCACCATGATCGTCAATGTTGAGGTCGATCGCGCTCGCTTTGAAGTAGGGGCGCGTCAACATCAAAATTAGGATGAGAATCCTCGCGAGGTTGAGTATATGTGTGCCTTGCATCTTGAGCTGTATGTTTGATCCTTTCTTCTTGATGACACAAATTGGATCTGTTGATGAACACACTCTCTCATGGTGATGGGAAAGAGAAAATGACAAGTTCCATCAGGTGCGAAGTGAAGGAGAAGTTTCTTTGAAGCAGGCGGGTCACACTTCACACATCCATAATCATACATTCACTTCTTCCCCTGTCATCGCTAGGTGTGTTACTGGTCTATTGAGACATTTTGGACAATTCACTGCTGGCCGCTGTGGATTCACCTTTCAAAAGGCCTAGTGCAGCCAGTTCTGTATATGAGAAAACCTTTGGCCCAGCAACATCAGCGCCTGAAGTCTGTGAAATCAGGTCCGACACTGACATAATGATAGGGTGCTCTTTGCAAACCATAACCTGATAGCCTCTGATGCTTGTACACATAACAAACAACGCCCAAATTTATGAAAGTCAAATAGGATGTCCTGAATCCAAGAAACAGACAACCACGTAAAGGCGCAGTCAAGGTCATCTATCCTCTGTGTACTTTACTCTCAAGATAGACTCCACTGATCGCCTGAGCCAAATGTAGGAAGTGGAAATCGACTCGGGCCAGGCACCGCATCGCAGTTGGGAAGATTACATCATTTCAGCCGGGCCGTTGCCTTGGCACTCTTGACTGCAAATTGGAGTGCAGCCCTATGCAAAAGGGTTGATTCTTCCACGAGACTCCCAAGCCAGATCGTCATTGGTTGTTGTGTCATCATCATTTAGGCTATCAGGAAACCTCCCTGGGCTATGGCAGCATTTTTGTGGTGTTGAGCGTTGATTTGTTGGAGAGAGTCGCGGACACCTCCATTTTCAGCCCTATGATGCACCCGCGCCTGATGTCATCGAGTTCGCTTTCCCCCCCGAAAGTCCTTTTAAACTCCTGAACCACACCACTTCCTCCTCGACTCTTTCTAAAATTCCAATTCTTACACCTTCAACTAACAGACCCAGCCCCTGATACTATACCTCAGCCTTACTACACCACCCATCCTATCAACCAAATCCCTAAACCCTCACAATGGCCAACACAGTGTATGTTCCCCGCCGCCCTCGCCGTCGCAACTCCCATCGAAAGGACGATTCTCAAGCTAACACCCTTCACACAGCGGTTGCTGCGAAATCATCATCGCCTTCTTCCTCCCCTTCGTCGGAGTCTTCATGCGCACCGGCTGCAGCTGCGATCTGCTGATCAACATCTGTCTCTGCATCCTGGGTTGGCTGCCTGGTGTCATCCACGCTTAGTAAGTCCACCCTCCCCTTTTTCCGCGCTGAGAAGGAATCCCAACTAATACACCTCGCAGCTACATCTTGGCCAACAAATAGATCATCGTTGTACGGAATCGTTCTTCGTGCGTCGGTCGGGACATTTTCACAATTTTGGGGCACGGGCGCAACTTCGGCGTATACCATTTGAACAATGCTTGAGGGTCGCGGATACGTGATATCGTTTGTATAATATTGAGCAGTAATGATAACGAGACTTTAATTGTGCGATTCCAATTTTGTTTCCTTTGCTTGGTTTGGCTTCGCGCCCTCGCTACGGAGTAATTACTTAGGCAGCAGTTTTCCGTGGGCGGGCCAAGGCGGTGGTGAGGCGGCGGAAGTTGGCCGAGAGTTCGAGAGAGTTTTGGTGACACTGCAGTTCTGGTGCCGGGAATGGTCTGTCGTGGCGAGTTTGGTGTTGGGACTGTCTCCAGAAGGCGTGGGATTAGTTGAGGCAGGTTCCACGATAAGGTGTATTGCTGGGCCAACTTGAGGTTATCTCCTGCACTGCAGCCACGTCGTCGCCAGCTCTCGACACGATCAAACCACTGTCTGGATACACCAGCCTGAATACTTGCGTGAGATGTATAGACCGCAGCCACAAAGCAGTCCTTCTCGAACAATTGATTCTTAGGTATAACTCGTCCTCGATCGGGCTTGCAGGTGGCCTTGTACAAAAGGTGAATAGCTTAGTCAGCTTGCATAAAGATTCTGCTCGTGCGTTGTCTTCCAGCAAATAGCTTTTACGCTTACAAAGTAGCAAACATTGGAGTTGTAACTGGGAAGGCTGGTATATAGGCTGTGTTAACTAACATGGCGGAGCTTAGAGAATTTCTATATGAATTGGGGCGCTTTTTGGTGTTGTTGTTCTCCAGCGGGATGTGTATATATATACCTGGAACGAGCCTTTCCGCGAAGAAGATACTACCTCAGGAGCCACGAAAATGTACGAGGCGACTGACTTCAAAATATCGCAGCCTAGCTGTTGCAGAAGTCGGGCAAAGCCCGGCTTGAACACAAAGTACCTTTGGCCAACTTAAAAGAGTCACTCAGACAGGCTATTCCTAAATCCGATAAGCCTGCTTACTATCTCAGAAAATTAATATAAATACCGCCGAGCAACCCCTCAAAACTCCGACTGAAGCTGAAACCTATTTCAACAGCTAAGCAGCAAAGGACCTACCGACTGGGTATCGCATATCGGCCACCGCGGTCATAAAATAGCTTCCGCCGCCATCAACAATCATGACATTCACTCTATTCCCCAAACTCCCCCCCGAGCTCCGCCAACACATCTGGCACCTCAGCCTCCCCGACCAAGTCCGACCAGGAGTGCTATTTCCGTACAACAAAGGTGAGTATGGCGACGACGATTACATTTTCGCGCGCACAGACCCGGTAAGCGCACCGCTGCCCCATCTGCTCATCAACCGAGAGGCGCACGGCACGGCGCGCTCGTGGGCGCGTAAACACTGCCTCAAGGTTCACTTCCGCCCAGGCATCGGCACCGGGTCGCACATCGTCACCCGCCACTTCGACCCGGACTATGACATGCTTTACCTTCCAGGGGTGGAACTTAAATGCTTCTACATGGACCCGCTCGACAGACGGGCGGAGCAGCTGCCCAGGGAGAGGATGTCAATTCGTGACGACGGGAAGGATCACCCTCGCATCGCTATCTCCAGCATGTTGTTTCAGTTGGAGCCCCGCGCGCTGGAGAGGATCTGGTGGTGCTTTCCACGGTTGGAAAGGGTGTACGTTGTTCTCAATCCGCCGAGTCTGAAATCTGCGGAGGAGGGATGGGAGATTCTGTCGCGGGGCAGGTTTCTCGCGTATAGGCCGGAAGGCGGGGGGTTTGAGTGGAGCCAGGAGGGCGAGGGCGAGTGGCTTTGTGGGGAGATCCTCTATGGCCGGCTGGAGGAGGCGGCCAGGAAGCTGAGCGGGTCGTTATCCGCTGCTGGCATCCAGCGGTTTGAGATCCGGCCTGTCTCAGTTGTCAAGCCGGGGAAGAGGTTGTCGGAGGTCGCAAGGTACATTTTCCTCTCCCATGCGTCATGATTATTCCCTCTAGAACTTTTACGGGCCGTAGGGCCTGCTTTGGCAACTGATGGTCCCCAGGTGCTAATGATTGAGGTTTACAGAGTAGGGTTCGGCTCGACAGCAATTACCTATGATTCCCCGGATCCTTTTCCGCCGCGGAAACTCATGCGATACTATGTTTGAGGTGGGTTATTGAAATTGAAAGTGGAAGAGAGACCACTGATTCCGCGACCACAAGGGTCGATCCGCAGGAACTGCCTGTCTGATGCCTAGAATCTCAAGCTTGGGCGCGACGGCAAGCGTGGGGGGAGAAGCGCGACAAGGATGTTATTTTGGAGAAGAAGGGGTATCGCACGTGAGTAAACTATCCTGTGCCCATAATTGAATCCAAACCTGCATGAAAGCCAGAACTCCAGCGACCACACTACTCAACCAGACATGAATGCCGTAAACCAACCGAAATTTACCGACCGTCGCGCTCTGGTGGCGGGCACTAAAGAGATCTGTGCAGCCCAGGACGAGGCGTTCGCCATCGAAGTATGCCTCCATCGCCCGTGCAGACTTTTTCATAAAGGAGATAATCATGACCTGGCACAGATCATCATCCGGAGAATGATCAACAGCTCGCCCCGAAGAGCCCCTTGATTCTCGACCTCTAGGCCGTTGTAGATGACCGCCATCATGTGCGGGAAGCCGCGCCCAGGCATATCGGTCATATGGAAGACCGCAAATTCGGGTTGCATGGATTCGTACACATCCTTCCAGAACTTGTAGTCGTCAGCACTGGGTTGAAGCGAGAATGCTAGTAGGAGGCGTTACGCCATTTGTTCCAAGAAACGAGAGGAAGAAGGGCTTGGGGGAAGCGCTGACCCGAGCGAGGCGCTCACCATTATTTGAACCAAGGACGATTCCTCGCCGCCTCGTCATAGGCCTGGCGGAAGGTATAGTCAGACCAGCTATGCTCAAATTGACGCGCACGACCGCTTGGGCTTGTAAAGCAGGTGTCCTGTTCGTTCAAGTCGAAGACCCATTGAAGCTATTTGATGTCCTCGTCGTCGGGCTCCGGCAAATCAGAGCGTGGCATGAAGAAGAAAGCTCACGGGCAGGAGCCCCACAGAGGGACAGTTGTTGGATCTCAACCTTCAGCTCTTTCAGCTGCAGTAGGTCGAGCTTGTGGGCCTGGAGAGTCTCAATTTTGTACTCCAAATCGACCAGGAATCTGCGTCGTTCAAGACGCCGGGGCGAGTCAGTATACATCGTAAGAGTCATCTTTTGTGCTGACATAAAAAGAATAGCGAGACTAGCAAGCATAGCGGTTGGATCCGATCGCTAAGTATGGTACATCTCACCCCTACAACAGCACATCGGAACCACAAATGAACCTTACAGGGCGTGTAACATCCTTTGGAATCTGCAGAATACCCGTCAACTCATCTCTGGGGGTTCTCCCCAAACCAAACCCACTCGTCACCCCACAAGTCCATCACAACTGACTGGGCCGCATTGATCCTTCTGCGCGTCGCCTCCGCGTCGTTGATATGCACCACCCCGAGATAGAGCTTTGTGTCCTTTCTCGGCTCCGACTCCCTCACCGGCTCATGATATGCGAAGTCATCCCGGATTTTTCGGCACCGCTATATGCACCCCGTCGACGATGCGCGGGTGAACCACCGCTGCACCACCTGCTCCGCCAGCCCCACCACGAGCCCGAAGTCCTCCGGCTCGACGAAGTGCATATGCTGATACTCCCTGTAGCAGATGTAGATCCCAGGGGAACCACCGCGGGGATCAGAGCGCAGAGCCGTTACGTCCGCTCCAGGATGCCCTCCATGACCTGGGAGAAATGGGCGCGGAAGAAGGAATCAAGCAACCAGCCCCGCTCGCACCACAAGGCGGCGGTCTCGAAGTAGGATTCCCACTGCAGCTCGAGATCGGCGGCGAGAAACTTGCTGTACAATCGACTGTTTGGCCTGGACCATGCGCACTGCTCGTGGAGGGGCTCCAGTTGCGTATATAACTCCGGTTGATTTAGGGCCAATCACGCAGCTCAGGAGCAGGGGCAGCAAGCCCCGGAAGCGGACCCTGTGCGGGATGATGTCTTGGCCCCCGGAGCTGGCAGAGGGTGCGGTAGGACTCGAATGCGACCGTGTCGTACCCGGTGGGCTTGATGTCTGTGGACCCGGGAGGATCGACGGCGAGGGTATCCACGCCCGTGCCGCGGAGGGGATCGCGCGAAGGTTGGCTTGCTAGAAGCAGGGAGACTGCCGTCAGATGTGTCCCGATCGTCCTTTTCAGAGACTTTCCTGAGCAAGTCACTGCAATCATAATGTCTTGGTTTAACATCTTGGCTGGACTAGAGAACACAGAAGACCGGCGTTTTTGGCCTGCAGCTCAAGACCCGCATTAGGTCCCACGCAATTGAGACGCTGAGTACGAGTGTTTCGGCCGACAGATGAGTCGCTCGCTGCTACAATTACTCATGTATGACCGCATGGCAGGGGCCTTTATCTAAATCTCCTCGTCTTTCGCTATCATCTTGGATCAAGAAACCAGGACACCGCACCGCTACTTGGCACTCTCTGTTGTCTTTGGTCTTTCTGGGAAAAAGGTTCCACGTAACGATTCGCCGACCTTTGCAAGGCACAAGATCTAATCATAGAGATACTTGTAACAGGGACACAACTGATAAAATTTCCTAGCACCTTCTTCAGATCCGCATTTTGAGCCATATGCCGCGGCAAGATGGGGCGTGCCCCTTGGTGAATAGAGATGTTAGCTTATACCCATTGCCCATATCTCCTTATACTATAAACAGAACTTGACATCTACTAGAGTACATGGATATATATGAGACCAAGCCAGATGTACATACCCACAAGTACTGAGGTGGAAGGTTCAAGATACTACCCGGTAGGTAAAGTACTCAGTAGGTTGTGACTTAACTGCCAGCGCTTGGAAAGTGTTTATCCACTAACACCGCGGTTGAACCCAGTTGTCTACCCATTCTGCCCGCAAAATTGTGGAAGGTGCCTAGCGGGTGGTGGTGGCGTGGCCTGACCATCCCGGGCAATGTCTACGAAAGAGCAAGAGTGGTTAGGAAGGCGGTGCATTCGAGCGCAGGTGGCGGTTTGCTTGGTTTGCTTAGTGTGTCTGGTTTGCTTTCCTCCCATGGTGCGGCAGAGTCACGGCTAAACAAAAGGCGGTAAAAGATCCAACGAGTGAAACATCACGTGCTCGCTATACCTACCTCGGCAGAAAACCGAGTCTGCCCCGGAGAAGAACCCAAGTCCCAAGAGTCCCAAGAAAATGCCTTGCTGATGCGGTGGCTCTGCTCCAAAGAACGTCATTGGGGTTGGTGGCAAAGGCTGTCGTAATGTCTGGATGAACCGATGGGGGGTCTAGAACCACTAACCAGACTGCAGCATACGCCAGTCTGTGGCCCACTGGTCCCCGCTCCAAACCTCCCCACCTGCGGGGTTTTTTTTTTTTTGTTTTTCGCTGTTTGACTCCAGGGCTTCAGGAACACACGCGTGTTCCTGTGTGTACCTTGCACAAGACCACCGCCATGATTCGCCGCTGAGCCAGGCAACCGTGGGTTAATGATCTAGAATTTTGTACCTGTCTTTAGAGTTTGACACGTTTAACACTTTTGTTTTACATGTCGCCTTTGGAGACAGCTGACACATCGCGGCTGACGAAGCCGCCTTCGTTTCCGGTCTCCACCATGAGATAGGTATAAAGATGCCCTTCGTTGCACTGCAATCTGCTCTATCACAACCATCCTCTCTTTTGAAGGTTATCTACCATCTACTCTACTTTCGCTATTGAGGTTGATCCTCGTGCATTCCTTTCGTGTCAATCGTCTGTTGATCAGAACTACCTTCTCTTCATCACATCCCATTCCTCCACAATCAGTCCTTATCCCACCAAAAACAACACATCAATCCTTCACAATGATGTTCACCAAGCTCTCTCTTGCTGCCACCTTCGCTGTCGCGGTCTCCGCACTTCCCCAGCCGTTGCAGTCGAGCACCACCAGCTCCGCAACCGCCACCTCGAGCAGCAGCAGCGCTAGCGCCAGCTCCTCGTCTTCCTCCAGCGGCGGCGGCAGTGTCTCCATCGTCAACAACATGAACAGCACCGTCTACCTCTGGTCCACCGCCACCACCACCGGCTCCAGCAGCATGCAGTCCCTGTCGTCCGGTGGCGGCAGCTACTCCGAGGCCTGGCAGAAAACCTCTGACGGCGGCATCTCGATCAAGCTGTCCACCACCACGGACGAGAGCAGCGTCCTGCAGTTCGAGTACACCAGCGACGGCGAAACCCTCTACTGGGACCTGTCGTCTATCAACCTGGACAAGGACTCCGCCTTCGTCACCGCGGGCTTCTCCGCTAGCCCCTCGGACTCGAGCTGCACCTCCGTCACCTGCTCCGCCGGCGACTCGGATTGCTCCGCCTCGTACCAGCAGCCCGATGATACCGATACCAACAGCTGTTCGACCTCGTCCGGCATTACTCTCACTTTGGGCTAAGCCCAGGAAACCATTCTGGTGGGAACTTCCCCGCCCGGGCCGAGCGTCCTAGCGATGCTGTCCGGCGGGTGCGCGTTTTGATGAAGGTGAAGGCCCGCGGGGCAGGCCATGATGCACTTTATGAACTATACTCGCGTTATGAATTGTTTATAGACTTCTAGATGATAGACGATAGAATAGAAACGTCTCGTTTTGCTTCTTACATATTACATGGTACTTTCTCCATCTCGATGATAAGGTATCTGTGGTCGGCCTCACTATCACTGTCCCCATTGAAGTAGACGATCCTGTGTTTCTCCAGTATGAAACCGTAAGTAATCGTAAGCGAAAAAACATGTAAGATCGAAGCAGTAACTACAAAGGCAGAAGATGGCATCTCTTTTGTGTCTCGCTTGAATAGGAGTCCTGTGGCTGGAACGCCGCAAGAGAGGTCCGTTAGGTGCCCCCTAATTGAGCTTCGGGTATAGCTTTTGCATGTATCGTTGAACACAGTTGCATGATATCTGAAGTAGGAATAGAGGAAGCATTCCCACGAATGGTCCAAGACCTCACGTTCCCTTGTCCGACTTACCTGGTCTGAGCGGCCCTGCTCCCGTTGTATCATTTCATGATCGAATCCACTGGGTCGAAAGAGGTCCATAGGACAATCGCCAGATAACATTTCGAAGCCCGCCAAGAAGCATGCTTGGTACCCTCAAATGCTGCTGAACCCTAAAGTGTAATGACGCCCCAATTCGTGGATGAGGTGGAGCTCTCTACCAAGGTATATCGCTGTCGCAACAATGGTAATCATGTTACAATAAGGACTATGCAGCAAGTAAAACAGGTACATACGACCACAGGGTGTGGAAAACAGGGCTTCCCGGCCGCTCAGCCGTACTAAGCCACAGGCCGGGAGGTTAGTAGTTGGGTGGCTGATCACCAGCAAATCCCTTCTGCTGTATGATTGAATATTTTTCTTAAATTCTATGTTCGGAACTCCAACCATAGCCAAAGCCAATGCACTGCATGCAATATGCCGCCGAGCCTTGTTGACGTATCGGCTGATATCTTCCCAGGATTCGTGCTTAGCGCTCAGCCTCGTCTCCCCCCCACCTCTAGTGTTGCGTCCATAAGCATAAAGCCATAAGAATGAATTCCGTCTCAGGTCGTATTGTGCTACCCACGTTCTACTCTGGCTCGCGCTCTTTTGTGTTCTCTGAGCCCATCACAGCAATATCATCCTCTTTCGTCCTTGCCAGCCTGACCGCTACATGGGATCGCCAAAGAATCCAGAGCCCGCAAGGGTGGTGCGACCGTCTACCCCAACCCTGACCACCATCTATCCTAGTCCCCCTCCCTCGCCGTGCTCGCCCGTCAAGAGTGTCGTCTCTGCCACCAGAGAGGAGACAGACGATGTCGTAGCCCCACCAGATGAGGCGGGGTGCGTGGCTAGGCCGCGGACACCGAGTACTCCTCAAAGTGAGCATAAGTCGGCATTGAAACCAGCCGAAATAGTCCTATGGCCTACCCCCACAAGCATTAAGGTGTTTCTTGAGGAGTTGCTGCGAGATGAGCTCTGTGGATCTCAAACGACAAAGAAGAGTTGTTCAAATCGCCGCAAACCTGGGAAAGCATCCGAGTTCAACGAGGTGATAATATCATTGAAGAGCCTGCCACCGTCCTCTACCTATTTCACAATGGTCGCAACACTCGAAAAGCTTGCTTTATCGATCCATTGCTCGAGACATGACAACGAAAAGTCGGTTGATGCTCGCATAGACGCCTGGCTCGCCAAGTATTTCCCCCGTCCGATTGACACCGCGATGCTTATCCGCAATGCGCTGCCGAACCATGGTATCATGTGTATTGGAACGACGACGAAGGGCAGCAGCTGTAGGATGAAGATCGGTGGGAGGAATGTTCAGGCAGTTGACTTGATCACCACCAAAATCCTGGACCCGGAGATCTACCTGCATGATGAGAGGCTGGAAGTCTGGCTCCAGAGGCTTGGCCGCAGCGCCCTTTGCTCCTGGCACACCGAACAGCTTCAAGAGCAAGTGGTTAGATGCAGAGCAGAGATTGCAATCGCACGGCAGTCTGAGTTGTCATCAAGGACAAGCATCGGTGGTTTTGGGAACCAAGATAATGCGACAGAGGAAGTGTGGCAAGGTTGGCATGACCCCTCACTCAAGGCTCAAACTTCCTGATAAAACCCCTTGGTCATGGTTTCCGCTCACGTTGAACCAGTCCCAGGGTATGATGCGTCCCCACTTCGTCTTCTTGCGACTGCCGGTCCGAGCAACGAGAACCCTTTGCTGGTGAAGGATTGTCTGGCAGCGATCAGCAAGTCTCTCACTCCACGAACTCCCAAACCAGGCTACGTCTACGCCTATACTGTTGACGGGAATGAGGGATATGTCAAGATCGGCTACACCACCCACGATGTCTTGAAGAGACATGCAGAGTGGGAGTTTGAGTGCAATCGGAAGGTCATAAGTCTTTACCCAGACTCGGCTGCCCTGGGTACGCAGATTGCTTGGCCGCAGCTGGTTGAGAGCCTTTGCCATGCAGATCTCTGCGACCGCAGGCTTCGGGTGGACTGCAGCGCATGTCAGAAGCAGCACATCGAGTGGTTTGATGTCACCTCGCAGAGAGCAATTGATACCATCGAAAAATGGTCTCAGTGGGTGACTCGAGTCGCCTGTCAGCCTAACTGGACGATGAAAGTGAAGGCGAAAGTGCGTGGGACTTCAGATCTGGCAGCATCGTTGCGTGCATTGTTACAGCTCTGATCAGGCACCGGAAGACAAGAGAGTACCGGGCAATTCGCCAATCTCGGTCTTTGATTAAGCTCGACGACTTCGGGGTATATTCCGTAGTCCTTCCTTTCAAGTTTGGGATCAGAAACCCTTGCTCTGTACATGCGCTCGTCTAATGTTTCTTTGGATAATGAGTTTCGCTAACGCTATGTATCGATGACGCCATTTAATTGTATTTGCTGGTCCATAGGTATTTTGTTCAGTCCAATGTGAAGCTTGAATGACTTAAGGTGGCGAATCTTGATTTGCCCCGGGATTCCCGTTTACAATCTTCTGCTTCTGTTGTTAGCTAGCCCGTAATGCAGGATACCATCTAGCGATGTAATGTATTCCCAGAGGTGATGGTGCAGTACGTTGTGGGCGCTTGGTTACCGCCGTCACATGTGTCCTGTTATGCATTTCCTAATTCTTATTGGTAATTTGAATTCTTCTGCCTCCGTTTTTGCCTAGTATGCACCTATTCAGTGACTATGCGCTGGTGGCTGGAGGTACATGGCTTTACTGCAAGCCTATCATGGTAGACGTGGCCTCTCATATTAGGCTCATACGTACATACTCTACTTCTGATCATCTTCCGCGCCTGCTACCTGCTTATTAGACCCCGATGTAATCTTGCTATCAGTCCCAATTTTCGATAAGCAAAGCCCCAACTTCTAGTTCGGGCTCTATTTCTCGTTTATATCTGTCCACACATAACCGGCCCTTAAGGATTGTTGTATGCTTCCTGTATTCGCCAAAACTTCCAGCTATTATGATTCGGATACCGGAGCTCTGGGAGCGCTTACTCCTGTAAGATTCAGACGTCGTCTATACTGTTACATACGTCAAGCTGCGCCAATGTATCATTGCCATTTGCCATTGCTATTGCAGGGTAGTGTGTTTTGCTTAGTGCTGACTGATCTCAATCAGCCTTGCAAAGCCTTACTAAGCCCCGCTAACGAACGAACCTGTATGGCTTACATATAGTTTTCGTGAATGCCCTTGGTCCCTGCTATCACACTATGGCCACTCGGACACCTCGCCTTATCCACGTATATCTCGTCCGCATCTGAGCGCAGCAAGCGCTCATTGATCTTCATCGTAACCAAAATGACTTCTTTCACTCACAATGACTACACTGTTGCCTGGATTTGCGCCGTAGCCATAGAGATAGAAGCGGCCAGCGCTGTGCTGAAAAAGACTCATAACAGTTTACCCAATCCTCCCAATGACCCAAATGCTTACTTACTTGGAGAAATCATTGGTCACCACATCGTCATTGTCTGCTTGCCTGATAAAGTCTACGCGAAAGCGTCTGCCGCAGGTGCCATAGCCCAAGCCTTCTCAACCTTTCCACAGATCCGCCTTGGTTTTATGGTGGGGTGCGGTGGCGGGGTTTCAACAGAGCAGAAGGAACTCCGTCTGGGCGATGTGGTGGTCGGCGTGCCTACTGGAGTTCACAACCGACTGATTCAATATGATTAAAGGCAAAGCGCTTCACAGCGGGTAAATCCAATTAACGGGCAATTTGAACAAACCTCCCAAAGGTCTTCTTACACATATCACGCGGCTCAAGGCAACAATGGGAGTGGCATCATGTACGAGCGAATGGCAGAGACCATGCGGGATGTGCAGTAACACGCCGTCGCCAAGAAAGTCCAGTTTTTACCTCCGGATGGGCAAGTCGATCATCTATTCAAATCCTCTTATCCTCATATTGACGGGAGGGCCTCTTGTGACGGATGCGACAAGACACAACTACAACGCCGACAGCCATGTGATATCAACGCGCCCCGTATAGACTACGGCTTGATCGCTTCGGGAGACCAGGTGATGAAGGACTCGGAGGCCCGAGATCGCCTTGCGCACAAATACAGAATGATCTGCTTCGAGATGGAGGCCGCAGGTGTCGTGGACCAGCTGCCGACTCTGGTGGTTCGAGGAATCTGCGATTATTGCGACTTCCACAAGCAGAAAGCGTAGCAGGGATATGCTGCCCTGACGGCAGCCGCCTATGCAAAGGTGCTACTCTCGACATTGCCGGCCTTCCAGAACGCTACCACAGTGGGTCACTGGGTGGTCCAATTCGCAAGAAATCCACATCTTGTCGGTCGCGGGGATGTCATGACCCAGCTGGAAAAACAGCTTTCCACCTCCGACGGACCCAGAGCAATCTCCGTCAGAGGTCTAGGGGGCGTGGGGAAGACACAGATTGCCCTCGAGCCGGCCTATCGTCTCAGAGATAAGGATAAGCACTGCTCGGTATTCTGGGTTTCCTGTACCAGCCTAGCGGTGGTCGAACAGTCCTATTCGAAGGTAGGAGAAAGCATTCAACTTCTCGATCCCCATCCAGCTCGGATCAAGGAACAAGCCAGAACATACTTGAGCTCCAAGCCATCTGGGAAGTGGCTTCTCGATTTCGACAATGCAGATGATACGCAGATCTGGCTATCTGACGGCGCTTCCGGTACCAAGCTGATCGACTTTCTGCCTCAGACTAAACATGGTCGTATCATATTCACCACCCGCAATCGCAAGTCAGCGGTCAGTCTGACCTCAGCCAATACCGTTTCGATCTCAGATGTGGAGAAGAAGATTGGTGAGAAGATGTTGGAGAATCTACTGCGTAGAATGAAATCAGAAGAGGACTGTACGACCACGGAATCCTTTCTCGAGCAGCTTGATTACCTTCCACTGGGGGATGCCCAAGCTTACGCGTATATTCTAAGTAATAATATCAGCCTCCTTGAGTACCTTCAGCTTCTCGAAGAGCAATAATCAGAAGTCGTGGAGCTTTTAGGTGAGGATTTTTATGGATGCTGGTCGATACCGCGATGCAGAAAACCCGATCATGACCACGTGGCGGATCTCTTTCAAGCAAATCCAGAAGTTGAACCCGGCCGCGGCTGATATTCTGTTCTTCATGGGCTGCTGCAGTCCCAGAGATATTCCTACCTCTTTGCTTCCCCTACCAACAATCAAAAAGCACGAGGTTGACGCTCTAGGGGTTCTGGAGGCGTATTCAATGACGAGCAGACAGAGAAACAATGACCTCAGCATACACAGACTCGTGCGTCAGGCAGTAAGAGATTGGCTCTGCAAGAAGGTTCTCTTCGCCGATCATGTGCAGAGGGTGGCTGATCGACTGGGGAAGGTTTTCCCGGACAGTGATAGGAAGTTGAAAGGTCGTGCTTAACCAGCGGGTAACTACCTCCTGGAACTAAATCTCGATGCTTCCAAGGACTGACTCGTGGGATGGTATCTCTCGCCCGACCGTGATAAATGCGTAATACGGTTTGGCACCCGGTAAACGATTTGAATTGAATCAACTTATCTTTTGTTATCTAACCTGATCTCTCCTTATACTGCCGAGCGGCATAATAGAGATAGCGCGAAGCCGAGAAGCCCCGAAGCGCCTTGCCATAACGCAGAAAGACCACGAAGACCAATAGAATCGCAACAGCGAGGACGAGGATCGTGACGAAAGTATCTTTGAGCCCCACCCTCGCGACCCACGGCGACAGCGCGAAGATGAACACCGTGCTGAACGTGTTGCGCGTGAGGGTGACACCCACCAGGGCGTCGCCGATGATCTGCATTGGCGGTTAGGAAAGAACGGAAGGAGGTGATATACTGAGGGGTGTCTGGGAATCTACTTACGTCTCTGTATGAATCAGTCAAGTAGGTGATGGTGAGGGTGTTGATCGGGGTGACGCCGATGTTGTACAAGGCCAGCCCCACGGCAATCACTGGCCAAGGTCGGTGGTCACTGAGCCCGATGGCGAAAAGGAGGGCCCCGACCACGACGAAGGGGAGGAAGGGGATCATGCACCACAGCCGCGTCTCGGGTTGGAAGATGCCGTGCCGGCGGCGAGCGAGGTGGACAATCCACCAGTCGCTCAGCGGGCCGACGATGATGGCTCCGATCGTGACGCCGATCATCCGCGGTAGACTCATGAGACCGACCTCGTACGTGGAGAAGTTGTAGGGCGCCTGGGGTAGGTAGGTGGACATCGTGGTCGACATGACATCGCCCAGGGCCACCAAGATCCCATAGACTAGTGCCGTCCACGCGATGGCCGGGATTGTCGCCAGGATGACGAGCGGTTGAAACATGTGTTGGAAGAAGGTGTCATGCGCAGCGCCAGAGGAAGTCGTTGGGGTGATCAGGGCAAGTCGTTGCCAGTATGTCTTCATGGGAATGTTAGGGTTGAGCGCGGGCCGTGGGGTGGTCTCGCGCCGGCTATCGTCTGCAGCTTCCACTGAGCCTAGTTCGCGAGCACTTTTCTCCGCGTCGCTCTGGCTTCTTTGTGTATCGTTGAGATTCCTCGCCCCGTCCCCTCCTATCTTATGGTCGCGACTTTTCATTGTGCCCGATGTGTTCCCATCCGAGGGGACCGGATGCAGATTCGTCGTGGCGGACTCAAATGGCCCTGGGCAGAACTTGGTCTCTTCATACCCAAAGGCGACAACGAAGATCGTCACCCCGGAAATAATAGCATTCAGCCACCAGATCCATCGCCATCCCAACCCATCGGCGACGAACCCAGCCACGAGAATCCCGAGGTAGGTGGAGAGAAGCCACGTCCAGACATACAGAGCATTCATCCTGCCCCGTTGGTGCACAAAGAACAGATCCGCAATGGTCATCTGCACGATGGCCTCAGCCAGACTCGCGAAGAAGCACTGGATCACGTTGACGGCCATGAGGTCCCCCACCGTCTGGATCTTGGCCGACCAGATGCAGATTCCAAACTGGACCACCGTGCTGAAGAGATACAACGGTCGACGGCCAAACTTGAGCGCAAACGGGATCAAGACGAGGGAGCCAACCGCCAACCCTGCACACCCAGCCGCATAGCTGTCATTCATGATCTCATCGCTGAACCCGAGCTGGGACTCCATGGGGCCCCAGGTGGGCGTACTGGCGTTGATGAATTCTGCGACCATCGCCACGTAGAAGCAGACGAGCCCCATGTTCCAGTACTTGCGCCACGGGGTCCAATTGAGGGGATCGTTGGGATCGTCGGAGGGTCGTGGTTGCAGGTTGATGATGGCATCCCCCGTAGACGGCGAGATATCGGCAAGGCACGATGTGCCGGGGGGCCACATGAGGGTGTGACTGCCGGTACTGCCATTGAATGCGGATGCAGGCATTGTGAGATGGTTTTGAATGGGGAAGAAAGATTCAATGGATGCTGAAAACTCCATGCTGGCGATTTTGAACTTATAGGAGACCGGCCATCCAAAGGTGACAGGGATGGTGATAAAAGCCCACTTCACGTACTCAAATCTAGTATAGTTCGACTTATCCGAGGCGATAAGGCGATAAGATTGGTGGAAAGTCCCGCTGGTTGAGAGGGGAAAGCAGCTGTTAATCGGGCCGGTGCCGTTTAGTTGCAGTCCCTTGCCAAAAGCGTTTTTGAGAGCAATAGTGTAATCATTCCTAGAGAAGTGTTATCGCAACAAAACTGCTATATATTTCCAAAAATAATCTTACTACTTCTTAGCTAAGACGTATAGTTATTAGCCTCTGAAACACAAATATATTTATGAAAACGTGCTGATGCTGATAAGATTCCCATCGGCCAGGTGATTGACGGGAAGTTCCGCCCATATTTGCTTGTTCGGTGTAGATTCCGATATCACCTCATCCCAACCCCACGGCCGACCGCACGGTACTCGCTAAGTCCGAGCCACGTATAAATAGAGCTTGCCTTTCCGGAATTGTCCCCATTTGCGCTGATTCGGACCCAGAAACCGATAGAACTCGACAAGATGAAACAACGTGACTGCCAGAGATTCGGCTTCCCCAAACCGGCCGGGTACTCCATTTCCCACTGGCTGGGATCGGTTCAGGGAGATCCGCTACTGAACCATCGAACGACCCCAGAGTTGCCGCAATCAGCAGATATCGTGATCATCGGTTCGGGCGTAAGCAGCAATTTCAGGTGTCTGCAGATCCTCGAAAAGGTAGCTAAGCGCTGAATCCAGATGTCCGGAACCGTGATTGCCAAGCACCTCACCGAGACCTGGCCCACGAAGAAAATTGTGATCATAGAGGCTCGTCTGTTCTGCTCCGGTGCTACGGGTCGCAACGCTGGTCACTGCAAGCCCGATCAGTGGCGAGGATTTGTTGAATATGAGCGACAGTTTGGGACCGAGCAGGCCATGAAGGTACCGGAATTTCCTAAGTGCTGTACCGTATCGGGCGCTGATCGCGAAATGTGTAGATCCTGCAGAATGAACAGCAGACATGGTCCGAGCTAGTACGCTACATTCAGGATCATAATGTCGAGTGCGAACACTGGACTGGACCGACGTTGGACATTCCCATTACGCCCGAAGCCGCGCGCAAAGCCCACACAATCTTTGAGCGGTACAAGGCCGCCGGAGGGAAGGTCGATCACATTAAAGTGACCCACGACCCCCAAGAAGCAGCGAAGGTTCGCAAAAGCTCCCCATCACATTCTGGGGGCTTGACTGACAAAGATTCCAGATCTCACAAATGAAAAATGCGCAAGCATGTTATGCGTGGCCGGCATCCACGCTGCACCCTTGGAAACTGGCGGCCCATGTGATGCGAGAGAATATCAGGAGAGGTGTGAACCTTCAAACCAATACCAAAGCTATCGCTATCGTCCCTTCTCAAAAGAGGTTAGGCCAGTGGATTTTGAAGACCGAACGCGGTGACATTGAGTGCGCACAGGTCGTCCACGCTACCAATGCGTATAGTTCAGCCCTGGAGCCGTCTCTGCGGGGCTTGATAACCCCACGTCCTCAGATGTGCAACCGAGTCACGATCCCTGAGACCGCTACAGACTTTGCAGGGTTCAAGAACTCGTACGGTATTCTCCTTGGTCAGGACGACCTGATTAGCATTAATCCCCGCCTGAATGGTGATGGCGCCGTTCTATTCGGCGGCAGCAACCCTGGCCAAGGGGAGTTTATGAAGTGGCTAGACCAGAATCCAGAACGTTGCATTGATGATGGTATGACCGGACATGGCGCAATCAATAAGGCTGTCCAAGCGTTCGCTATTGGCGAAGTGAAGGGATGGTCTGCCGATGAATTGCAACAGGAAGAGCCTTATACTCATGCCTGGAGTGGTATCATGGGAATGGTAAGCAAGAGACCGTTCCAGATGCTCGAAGTAATGACAGAGCTAACTGGCGACTAGAGCGCCGACGGAGTGCCATTTGTCGGAGAGCTGCCAGGGCTCGCGGGTCAGTGGGTTTGTGCTGGTCACAACGGACAGTAGGTTAATGCATCCCTCCTAAAATGAAGCTACGCTAACAATTACCTCTGCAACATTATTAGTGGCATGGCTCGTATTTTCACCACTGCAGCAGGCTTGGTCAAGTTGATGGCTGGGAGTTCGTGGGCTGAGTCGCAGCTGCCTGAGGTTTTCCAAATCACCGTGGAAAGGGCTGAGCGGTTAAGGGAATGCTGCAAAGCATCAGATGCGGTTGTTGCTCGTATTTGAATAATACGCAATTCCAATTGTCGCATAGAGTATTCTGTTCTTTTACAATTGAGGTAACCGAACCGAGGTGCACTATATGTACGATCTACAGTCTCCATAGTTTTGAATCCCAACCAAGATGCAGATGCTAATTAAGACTAAATCCTTCGGTCCGCCTCGTGCCTTTCCGTAGATTATCTAGCGTGCGGGGTACTTGATAAATATATGGAGGCCTTAAATGCGATTCGTTCAATCTGGTCAACTAGTGTCTGTGCCGGTGACAGTCCAGGACAACCTTCCAGTCAGCGCAATGGCATTTATCTTTTATCTCTTCGTCGTCACTCCTGGCGGGTATCGCGAAAAGCGCTTCTCCACTGCAACGTTTTGACCCTTTCTACCCCGACGCTCCGACCTCGCCTCTTTTTCTTCGTCACTTGACAACACACGCTCAGCAAGATTAACAGCTGAAGGGTCCCTATATGCACCATGTTGCCCCAGAAGGGTCACAAGATCCCGTTGACCCGGTCCGCTGCACGGAGACCCTCGAATTGCCGAGCACTCCTCGCATGTGTGAAATGCAAGGAGAAGAAATGGAAGGTAGGAGGACTACACAACTTAAGTTGCTACCCCAATGCCTCAAGCAGTTTTATTCTAACCTGAGAGGCTGGAAGTGTGACAATAATCCCTCAGGGTGTAACAACTGTCTGCGTGCTGAATCTGGTTGGTATCTCGTCCGCTCGCCCGGCTCCTTCCAATTGCAAAAGTGAGAAATATTAAGCTTAACATGACACTTAACTAGTCTGCCTCGTGGAAGACCCCGTCACGAGGACATATCGGCCCCGAAACTACATTGAGACCCTCGAAAAACGAGTAGAATTTCTCGAGAGCCTACTGAAGGAATGCCGTCCTGATCTCGTTAATAGCGACCTCTTCAAACTTCATGCACATGAGAAACAAAAATCACCTAATGTTTTCCCGCGGATAAATCACATCAACAATTCTGATATTCACCGTAGTGATGACAGGAGTTCCCAGAAAGCCAAAGATGATTCGCAACGAGACGACGCTGTCGACAAACTGGAATCAAAGGTTGGCCTACTGAGTCTCAATGCGGCGGGCGCCGAGCCTCAGTATCTGGGTTCGTCTTCAATATTCGCCTTTTCGCGCTTGATCAGTCCATCTCTTCGCCAGGTGGTTTCTTCTGAGCTTCCCACGGATACCGTGGACGATGACGCAGATAATCGCGTCTCTGTGCTACCGTCACCATGCCTGTTACCCGATCACGAGTCGGCTGTCAAGCTCAGTAATGTCTATTTCCAGAATGTGAATGTACACTACCCCGTCCTACATGAGCCGAGCTTCAGGATATGGGAGTCGATGCTGCTACACGAGTCAGTAGGGCCGGGAAATCTTCGTCCGGACTCTCTCTCATTATTCTTCTTGAATATGGTAAGACCCAACAGCATCATGGTCATCGAATGTGTGGTGGGAAGTGCTCACACTATTAGGTATATGCTGTTGGAGCGTTGCTTCTGCCCCACCTAGGTTTTTCAGCGGAAGTAAGCAGATGACGCCGATGAATGGAACGGAACCGCTTACTGACTTATCACTAGCGGCTGTACACATCAGCATTAATGTATATCGATGATATCCTGATCCACGATAACCTCGAAGCGGTGCAGGCCATCTTGTGCTGCGCCATCTACTCCGTGAGATCCCCGACGGGCACTTCGCACTGGTACGAATCACCATGAAGAGAACGGGCAACAAGATCGCATGTGCTCATTAACATTACAGGAAGCTTGGCAGTCTGGCGCTGCGTCAGTGTATCGATCTGGGCTATCATCGACATACAAAACACTTTCTACTTCCTCAAGAGAGTTTGGTTAGGGTTGAACTTCGCAAGCGGGTGTTCTGGTGTGCCTACGTGATAGAGACCCAGGCTGCTGTCATGCTGGGTCGGCCTTTGAGTGTGCCTTACCAAGAGGTTGACGCTGAAGTATGTTCGAACATAACACTTAACTTTAACAACCCAAGGGCGCTTCATCCACGGGCTATCTTAATAATCTCTCGTGTGTAGTATCCCATCGACATTGACGATACGTGCATCACAAATACAGGTCTAATAGGCACACCCCGGAGCTGCCCGCAGGAGCCACCCACCAGCATGACGAGAGCGATCTGTACCTTTCGCATGCGACGTCTTCTGAATCTCATCCACACCCGACTGTACTCGAAGGCAGACCCAGTCTACTCGGGCAATCACGACCAGCAGACCGACGTTGCGAACATCCTCGCTGAGATTGAGAAGTGGCGCTCCGAGCTTCCGCACTCGCCGCTCTCCCGGGACAACGAGGACCTGGCCTTATTCACGAGCGCCGACTGGTATGACCTGGAGTACAATTACACAATCTTACAGCTCTGTCGCGCCCAGATCCTCGACCACCGGGCGGGGAGGGTGACCGAGGAGATTTTCCTGGAATGTCATCGTGCCGCAGAAAACATCTGCCAGAGCTACCGTCGCCAGTTCCTGGGGAAGCCGACGAGCTGTACCTGGGCTGCGCTGCATGAGCTGTTCCTGGCGGGATTGACATATCTCCACTGTCTGTGGACCTCGCCTGCAGCGCGAGAAGTCTCTGGCCCCGCGCAGGCAAACAGTACCTGTAACGATTGCACGATCGCGTTGGTGATCATGGCGGAACGGTGGGATGTTGCGGCGCCTTACCGGGACATCTTTGTGGCCCTTGCAAGCCGGACAATGTCGATGGTCAGTGAGAAGGCTCATAACGATGGAGTATCTCAATTTGTAGGGTTGGGCGACTCTGAAAATCGAGCTGAACAGGGCGAATGCACGGAATGGATGAAGATCGTGGCTGACGCTGGGGTGCTCAAGGGCTCTAATGCGCTGTTCACCGGCATAGCGAGGGATTAGCGTCTCCTCTCAATATGAAGAGCTGCCTAATGCCCCTTTCTTGTTCATTTGGTACCCCACGTGATATGAATAACACGAAATCTCACAAAGGCTATACAGTTTGAGGTACGACATGGGGATATGAACTGCTACGTTCGAAAGTGGATATCATTGTTTTTAACCTAGATTGTGTCATAATGTCGTGCACCGCCTTGTTTGGTTAACACCAGTGCGTGCCAGAATATCGTAACCAACTTTATCCTAGCATCCGCGAAAACATCAACCCAGCAACCACATCCACATCCAAACCGACACCCCCAGCACCCTCACAGAGAAGGCAGAGGCCGGACCGATCGCCCCAGCCCAATGAATCGAAGCAGTCGCAGGCGCCACACCCGTCGTCGCAGTGGACCCCGACCCGGAATCCGCCGCCGACACCGACAAGCTCGTCACACTGCCCCCTTCCATCACAATACTCTCAAAATCCCCAGTCTGATCGCTGTACGTATACGTCTCGGCCGGATAATAGCTCGCGATATCCACCCTCTGCATAACCATCGTGAACGGAGCCTGGGAGTAATTCGTCTCCCCACCGGCCCAGGATATCGTCCCCGCGCTGTTGTTCGGATCGCCGCCCGCCCAGATCCCAATCTTGATCCGCACGGGGGTTTGCGGGTAGCGCGTGCCGTCCGCGGCATCGCTGTACGTCAGGGTGCGCTGGGCGGTGCCGTCGATGCTCCAGGTGAGTGCCGCGGGGGTCCAGGTGAGGGTGTAGTTGTGGAAGGTAGACTGGGGGTCGTCGACGGGCTCCCAGGTCCAGCGGTTGGAGGTGGAGGAGTCGCCCTTGCCGAAGTAGTCGGTTTGTAGCTCCGTGGTGTAGGAGCCGAGGATTTCCTGCTCCCAGGGGACAAGTTATCAGCTTGGTTATAGCAAGAGAGCGCCACAGAGGAAGAGGGGGAATTGATCGTACCCAGTCGATCTCGTCGAGGTCATCCGACTCCAACACAATACTGCTGATAATTCCCGTACCGGCGGAGGCTTTCATAACGACACTGATCTCGCCGAAGAAGATGTAGAACGACGTGGCAATTGTGGGTGCCTGACCCTCCTCGTCGATCGTGAGCTCCACGCCCTCGTCGCCGACCGTTGGGCTCCCTGAGAGCGTTGACCATTGCGCAAGAGTTTCCGAGCTCTGCACGAAGTCATAGTGGAACGTGCGCTGGGTGGAGCCCGTGTCGGATGGGCAGGTTTTGCTGAGAGGGTTGCAGTCAGTGGAGGTCTGTCCGAGGGTCGCGGGGAGCGCCGAGAGGAGCGCGGCGGTATGTAGAGATAAGTGCAGCATTCGAATGACGGGGTGGGATCTGGGTGATTGTTTACCGATATTATGAGATAGTGTTGTACATAGTGGCGGCCGAGAAATGAAGTATATATGGCAGAGCCAAGGAGACAAGCTTGTCTCTCTCCCACCCGCCGGATGATCGACACAATCTTCTCAAATGTTTGTTCCCAGCCTCCCCAATGATGCCCTGTTGTCTATGACACAACATTAGCAGTTCTGTGATTGCTTTCAGCCTCCCTGTTTTAGGTCTCTGGTGTATTTCAGGGTGGGGTGTATGCCATGGTCTCAACCCAGACTATCCGAAGACGGCTAGATTATACCGCTCTGTCAGCATCTGGGTGGACCTCTGGTATTTGCTAGCGATTAGTAGCCTGGGATGTTGGAGAATTCCCCGCTTACGCAGAAGCTTGCCTGCGTAAGTCATGAGCATAATAAGTAACTCGCGCGGCCACGCAACGACTATGGATGTACGCCCTACAATCAGGTCCCCAGACCAAAATATCCCACTAGGTAGCGGGAAAGGCACATTACCCTGGGTGCCTGTCTATGACCACATCCGATCCGATGCAAAATGTTGGAAGAGGTTGTGTCCGGGGCGAATGTGGAATGATCGCTAGGTTACTGGTGGGGGTTTTTGTTCTGCCGGTAGTATGTCTTAAGTGGGGAAGCATTTAGATAGCGTTAGGCAACCCTCATTTGATACGTAGTCATATGTAGACATTCTCCCGTAGTACGTGGTTTCGCTGGTGTCAGAAGTCTTGAGATGTACACAAGTATGAGTCTTTGCTCAAGTGGGTGATACCCTAAACTTCTTCCCACCCACCTCGCTCGCACTCACCCCTTGGCTTATTTCCTCTCTCCACTAGAAGCAGCAACGCGCTCAGAGCTCGTTGCATTATCCGCGTCGATAGCTGTGGTTTGGACACGGCTGCGCCGACGGGAAGCCCTATTTTTCATACCTTGTTGTCGTGTGTGCTTGGTTAGAAATACAATTATTGGTAGTCTCGGTAGACAAATGAAAAGCTCTACCGGCCCCTCACTTAACTTTCACAATGTCCTAAAAATGCAATTGTGAGGGGGTATTCCTTGGAGTCCTCAGACTATGTCGTGATTAGGCATGATTGAGGTGAGATGATAATCTGGCGGGAAGCAGAAGGGGTTGCAGAATCCATATCGCACTACTCGAATAGCAATATCCCCAGGCTTGGAACTAATCCTAGAAATCCGGACAGTCTCAAGATGCCAAGATTCAAAATAGCTTTTTTTCTTTTTTTTTGCTCTATTTAATCTCCCTGATGAAGTATATATCTCCTGCTTGCAATCATAAACCCCCATCCTGCCCTTCTACGAGAATCGTACACAGCCTCCTCGGACTTTTCACGGTTGCCATACCTGTCGTTCTGTGCACGTTTTTATGGTGAGCTTAGCGGGGTTACCACCACAGAATCAGCTGGCAATGTCCTTTAATTTCGGTCTTAAAGGGCACCTCGCATTCAGAGCCGCTCAATCCGGTCAGTCATCTCTGTGTGCTTTTCAGCAGCCGGGGAACACGCGAGGAGGCCAGTGATAGCGATTCCCAGTGGTTGAAGATCCAGAGAGACAGGTTCGGGCAGCAGGAGGCTGGGTACGCTATTTTCAGGAACAACTCACCATCTGCATCTCCGGGGATGAACTCGAAGCATATCCAAGCTTTATCCTTCTCGACGAAGCGCAAGAATCATATTGGGATACTGACCTATGGGTTCAACTATTCAAGTCTATTGAGAAAACAGTCTCAGTCCATTCTGTTCTTTTTACATGTTACGGCTCGGGGATGATCCATGGCGGCGGAGGTCAGAAGCTTCCTACTCAGACGCCCATGAATTTCCAACTTTATCAGCAGATATCGCTGAGACCGGAAGAAGGGATTTACCACCATCCTGAGCGGAAGGAAGTTGGCTTGCTCCTGAATGAGGACGAAGCATACAAAGTCCTTGACCAATATGTGCCGAGCAACATATCAAATGGTGCAGATATCCTAACAAAAGAACTGAAAAGGGGATTATATCTGGCCAGTGGGGGACATGCGGGGCTGCTTGTATCACTTGTGGATGCCCTGGAGCAACTGCCGGTAGGCTATATTTGTAAGTTAAGATATGAAAGCCTGGCTAACTTGCTACAATTTACCTTTCCCAACAGGAGCTTTATACTTTGATCCAGAATTTCCAACCACTGGACTGGGTGACAGCAAGCCAAAGTCTTTTTAGCAATGATCAACGATTGTTTCAAATCATTCGGTATCTCCCATTTGCTCGAGGCCTTCCCGGACAAGAATCCCTGCAACAACACGCTTTTGCTAGTGTTTTCAAGAATGCTGTTTCTCACAACGGGACTCTCCAATTCCTTATATCAGCGACCCAGATCAACAGAGGGCCTTGGAAGATATCTGGAAACAAGGATGGCTTCATGCGGAGACGGTACCAAGAGATACACTTTATGTGTTTCCGAGCCAGATTCATCGATGGTAAAGCTACTGAGCGATGTTCAATTCCATGCTTGATTTACTTATACAATATCTCAGGTATTGCCAGTGCCTTTTCTCTCCGGTACACTCGGAAAAGGTATTGACTTATTCGTCACCCCTTGAGATGGCTATCGATGCTATCCGCACATTTGACCCATGCCAGCTATCAGGCCGTCTACGCACACTGGAGGGTGATTCCATACCTATCGAAGACCAGTATCAGACAGAATTCTACCGCTGTCTTTCTCCACTGCTGCTCGAGTATCAGATCAAAATGGCTCCGGAATTCCTGATCAAAACAGGTGTGAGGAGCGGAAGAATCGATTTTCTGATTGAGCAGAAGTGGGGGCTGGAATTACTAAGAAACAGCGATCGTATCAGACAACATATGCAACGATTTGAGGAAGATGGTCAGTATTTTACAATGACCAAAAAAAAGGCTGATAGAAGATTACATTGTTCTAAATTTTACTCGGAATGTGCCGCAGAAGGGCTATCCAGGTAATGTCCTTCTTCACCCATTTTCTAACAGCCCGGCCTCATATCTTCGCTAGAATATCGCGGTCATCTGTACCATGTGGTCTTTACTAACGATTTTCGGATTGTTCGGATCATCGATGCCTCGGATCTGACGGAAGTTATTACCCTTGTTCTAGTAGAGAACCCACACTTTCTCCGCTAGGCAGTACTTGGTCCAACTCTTCTTTGCCTCTGGTTCTTCCACACAATTTGAGAGTCTCTTTGATCCAATTCGACAGTTATGCCTTGCCTAGCTATTATACTGCATCCAGTCTTGTCTCATAAACATGTTTACTGTAACTTCGGGCACTTTTCTTGCAGAGTATCACCTTCTTTCGGAGACGGGTAAAGTAAGCAGATAGAGTGGCAACTGATGATGCTTTGCGTTGCTCGATCTTGCTGTTGATTTGTTCAACATGACCCACAAGCCGTGTGCAGATACAAGTACTTTCCGCGGATGGGGTGCAAGAATATCGAGTGGCTCTTCTCCGATCTTCTCGCACAGTCAAGCTTTTTACTCGTCATCTCCATTGAGGAAGCCGGCGCAAAAAGCGCCAGATGATGTCAAATCGTATTTCGTACTAATGCCTTTGAAGCAAATCCGTCGGCTTGAGTGTTTGACCTCATTATTGTATGTAACGTCACAGGCTGATTGCTTCGTCTCGGCTTCTCTACGGATTGAAGAGCGTGCAGCACGGCACCCTCAACTCCTCGCCTGGATAAACTCCACCAACGCCCTCCTCCCCGCCGGCCGCACCGGTGCCTCTGTATGCATCGCCCCGGGCACGTCCGTCCTCACCATCTCAAATCCCAACCGCTGCGCTTCCGCCTCCAACTGCGCCGCCGCCTCCGGAGGAATCACCTCGTCGTCCACAGCCGTGAGTAGCAGAGTTGGCGGTAGTGATCTCCTTCCCTGGTAAGTCAAGGGCGCTGTCTCAGCATCTCGAGTCGTCCTAATCTTGTCAGACGTATCTCTACCTTCGCCATCCCGCGCTGTCTCCCCAGGAGCAGCAACCCCATCGCGCCAGGCCACCATCCGCCGTAACGCGAGCACACTATCCCAGTGGTTCCACAGAAACGGCCACAGATACCGATACGGCAGCCACTTCTGCGGATACAGACTGATAAGCATCTCCTTGACGCTGGAGGAGGGCGCTTCCATGATCAGCCCTGTGATAGGGGGTGGTGAAGCTGAGGATACCGTGGCGTCCGCGGAACTGGGCATTCTAGGCGTCGATGCTACCGTACCTCCATTGCTGAGATACGTCGCCAGCGCGGTGGTCGCAACCGCCGAGCCCAGACTGTGACCCCACAGGACGACCCGGACCTCTCGGTCCGGCGCCGCGTAGGTCTGCATCACCCACGCGAGGAACGCCTGGGCGTCGCGCTCGATCCCCCGCTGCGAGGCGCGGCCGGACGAGGTCCAGTACCCGCGGTAGGAGAGGGCGGTGATGATGTACTCGACCGCTGGTTCTGGGTTTCTAGAACCTGGCGGGGCATTGGACAATGCCCGCAGGGTCTGGGAGAGTAACGGTAAGCGCAGCGGGGTGGAGCCGCCGTTACCCTGGAAGTAGCAGATGACTACCGTCTTCTTGGGGGGCTGTCGCCGGGGCAGACGACCCTCGCAGACGGTCAGTTTCGTGCCGTCCAGGCTGCGGATCTGCTGCGTGGTCCATTGCACGGGACGGCATTCAGGTTCGTAAGCGGCGATGGTCTCGGAGCGCGAGAGCGGTGGGAGCCAGGAGAGGTAGAGGAGTTTATCTTGCAGGAGGACGATCCAGAAGCATTTCCAAGTCCAGAGGCCGAGGAGGAGGCCGAGAAAGATGGTGGGGGGGATGAGGATGGGGGGGAGGGAGGTGGTGAAGAGAGTGCGTTTGAAAGCTGGGTAAAATAGATGAGTGGCTCTTTGGATAGACCGTTGATTAAGTCTGGGAGTAGGCCTGGAGTTGTGGATGGTTGCTCTGGATGGGTAACATGGTGGACATGATGTTGCGGCTCGGCGAGGCGCCGTTATGGTTGACGCTCCGAAGCCGCGTCGTGCGCGCTGCACAACCCATTGACCTCGCATCAACGGTAAGACAATAATGGCGGCGAGGTTCTAGACGCGGCGATTTGTTTGAGAGTCCCCGTCTTTAAGTCGGATGTCAACGAGGCGTGAAGATGGCGGTGGATCGTGAACTGTGAGGCGGCGCGGCTTTTCATTTGGTGGAGATTTGGTGGGGATCGATTGCCGCTGACTAATCCGACATTTCAGGTTCCAGCCACAAGCGGATCACGTGAGGCACCGGTGCTCACTCCCCCCGGTTCTGCTGTCCATCCACATCGGTTCAACAGAGTAGCTGTCAGCCAACGCTGTTGCGTACTTACTCAATGTCCGAGCGAGCGGTCCAGATCAGCATGACCTAGAGTCAATTTGATCCAGAGTATTCACTTCAAATCCACGCACTCGCCAAATGCGACCGTATGGAATAATTGTCTACAGCATACGCCATGGTCCCCAGCATGGGACTACGCTGGTCATGAGTATGGCGAATCTGAAAGCGCTTCTCCCTCACTAAGCCACAGTGACACGTCCGAATTGATTCGGGCGACGAAGCCCCCTTAAAATAGATACACCTGAGGCAAAGCCGTGTGGAGCCGGCAATCACCGTCGGATCTCGCAGCCGAGGATCAGCGGCCAAGCCTACTGTTTTGACGAGCGACAGGAACAACAACAGTTAAAAGCAAATATGGTTCATTGAAGAAGATGAGAAGCAGCCTGCCATTGAGGCAGGAGAAGAGGTATCAACATGAGAACAAATAGACACAACGCGACTCTCGCACTGGTGTCCCAGTTATATACGTCGACAGTGAATATACAGCAAGAAGACAAGGCCGGAATTGTGTATATACAACTCATCCACCAACCCCACCTCGATCCCAACCGGGGTACATTCACCCAGAGTAATCAATCACAGCAGCAAGACGCAGCGGGCCAGCAGTGACGGAGCCACCGATACCGCCGACCGAGCTCTCGGAGGGGGTGTAGGCGTTCTCGACGGTATCACCGCCGGAGGTGATGTAGGAGCAGCCGGTGGTGGTGCCGTGGCGGCAGAGCTTCATGCCCTGGATGGTCTGGTCGGCCTCCTCGGCGACGATGGCGCTGACGTCCCAGCCGGACCAGCTGTCGTTCTCCTCGTCGCCGAAGTCGAACTCGCCCCAGGTGCTCGAGTACTCGCCGTAGTCGTTGGTGGGGAGGCTGTCGCCCTCGGCGGCGCCCCAGCCGCCCTGCGAGTTCTCGTCGAAGGCGACATAGCGCGTCTCACCGGAGCTCAGCGTGAAGTTGAGGGCTGAGTGGCCGAAGAACCCGTCGTCCGCCCCGTCCGGTCCGATCTTGTTCCAGATGCTCACGAACCAGTCCGCGCTGTTCTGCCCCGTGAACTGCACCACGTACTTGTACTGCCACGCTTCGCTGGCGCTGACCTCGATGATGTTGCTGCCCCACGGAACGCCGACGTTGCCCACGTACGTGTCGCCGCTGCTGCTCGTCGTGTTGCTGCGTTCGCCGAAGCCGCTGGTTGAGTAGACGCCGCTGGTTGGGTAGGTGTACCACGCCGAGCTGACGCCTGCAGCGCTGCTGCCGGCGGCGGCGGAGGAGGTGGTGCTGGTGCTAGTGGTGTGAGCGTGGGTCTTGGAGTGGGTGCTGGTGCTGAAGGTGGTGGTGGTGGCTTCGGAGCCACCGATGGAGAGGCCGAGGCTGAGGCTGGCGCTGATGGCGAGGTCCTCGTTGAGGTCGAGCTCGACGAAAGCGGCGGCGTCGCTAACGGAGGTGGTGGCGGCGGCTTCGGCCGTGGTGGTAGCTGCTTCCTCGTGGGTGGTGACGGTGGGTGCTGCACCGGTCACAGTGCTGGTGAGCGTGATGGTGTGGTAGTTGACCACAGTCTCCACAACGACTTCACGGGCAGCCAGGTGTGCCTCCGGGGCACGTTCGGCATGGCCGTGGCCGTGGGGGTGACGGCGCTGGTGGCCGTGAGTACGAGCCAGGGCCGATTCGGCGATGGCACCGTAAAGAAGGAGTGATTTCCACTGCATGATGGGCGTGGCTGGCTGGTCAATGAATGGATCGGAAAGATAGTTGTGTGTCGATCGATTCGACTGAAGGAGAGTGTTGAACGTATGCTCGGCGCACGACTGTTATTACCCCGGCTGTTATGAACCAGGAGGGTACGATCAAAAGGAACGACTGGATGATGCTTGAAGGAGAAAGAAGGTCAGAGCCAACAGAGTGGTCCTAGTCCCAGTATATAGATTAACCCGCCGCCACCCCAGTTCACACAGGCGTCAAAGCGGATAGCCAACCGATGGTGGACGACGCAAGACAGCGCCGAGTGGAGACAGGACCAAGACTCGAGAATCGTCAGCATTGGGCCCCGATCAGTCACATCGCCTCGAGAAGGCCCGTTGTCGAATGGCGCGATCCAGACCAGCTGGCGACTAAAGGAGTCGTCGAATCAATAGTTCCCGTTTAGGGCAGGGAAACAGAGGGCCACCAACTCTGCTCTCTCCACCCCCCAGTGGCTCGAGGGGCCAGACAGATTATAATTCATCCACGCTGTTGGCTGACATTCCTGCAGCCAGTGTTTTGGTTGTCAGTGTGGGACTCCACAAACAAACTCCTACTGTTCGTTTTTTTCAGGTACCCAGGCCTGGTCATTGGCATGCCATGCATTCCCTACGTAAGCCCGCGACGCCCCCCCCCTTGCGTCGTCACTCGTCACCTCAGCCCTCCCACTGGCCCGACAAGCGACGCGGACAATTTTCCAAGCCATGTGTCTAAAGTGCGCCTGGCCCCCGGATGAGGACCTAAGGAGTGGTGTCAAGCCAAGGCAGGTTGCTCGGGCGAATGGTGACATTCCTTAGGCAAAATCCGGGTTCGAGACGGAGGGCTAGCGCAGTTCATCCATCGGTGTGGATCATTTCCGACCGACGGATTGCAAAGGTTTGTGTACTGTAGTCTACTCCATAGTGCAGCTGTTGTTCTCAAACTCGTATCATTATTGCATGTTGATTTGCTGATTGACTTGACCAAATCCAAAGTTTCCACCAGGCAAACACATAAAATTTTTCGGACGGTGAGGGCTAAGCCTTGTTAGCGTGGGCTAGCCGTGCAACTCCTTTCCTTTCCGTCGCGATCGATCAACACCACGTGTGCTGGTTTCAGCAGGGGAGATGTGCCTGATCGACTGCTGATGATTTTATTCCTTTGTAAGTATTGCACTGAACCAGTATAGACCTGTTAGAGAAGGTTTCTTGACCTGTCACTTTCATCCCCCTTTTGCTACAAACAGTGAGCTGTGTTTTTGTTCCTGTCCGCCACTTTAGGGCACAGCAACCAACAGGTGGGGCGGGAGTTACGTATACCCGCCAGAACTAGTGCTGGGCCAAGGTTGGCGATGACGAATCCACGGTTCCGGTTATTACCTTATTCCTTTGCCGCGGTGTCTGTTTGTGTCTTGTGTGGATGTATCTACGGAGTACATAGGATAGACCGGAGCACAAATACTGGGCAGATGGCTGTGTTCTTAGCTAAGCAAATAGTGCATGTGCAGTAACAGTTATAGGGACAATCTTGTATGTACAACTGAATGGACAGAACCAACATCAATAAAGATTAAGGACAAGCGAGATAACCTCGAATTAATCAAAAGCAAGAACCGACGCAAAATCAAGGCAAAGGGCCAGACCCCCAAGCAATTGAACCTTTCCTGAACGGCAATAGCTCAACAAACACCTCCATAACCCCATTTAGGCTTCATCTTCACCGAAGATAAGAAGAGTTATCCTATCACCCCCCCCACATCCCCTCCGCAGACGCCGGGTTCAAGATCCCCTGGTCCGCCCAGTACAGATCTTGAGTAATCACCGCACGGAACATGGCCTGGTTCTCGGTCTTCCACAGCTCGCGCAGCCCGTCCAGCTGCATCTGCAGGCCGTCCCGGAACCCAGGCTCGGCCGCATCCCGCCGGCGGAACATCTCGCGGTGCAAAAACTCGAACCGCTCCATGGTTGCAAAGGTCACGTCGCTCAGGGCCGTGTCGACGCGCTGGGTGTCGGTCGGCCGCCTGCACTCCCCGCGTGGGACGGACAGAAGATGGGCGAGGGGCTCCCGGAAGGCGGCGAAGACCTCACTCACCAGAAACAGATCTTTCAGGGTCATGGTATGGTACCGGAGAACGGCGTCGGGCCGGCCCAGCAGGCTCAGGCTCCAGGCCTGGTAGAGGGCGCGCACGAGCCGGCGGGTTTCCTGGGACCGGTTGTACAGGTTATAACCGAAGGGTTCAAAGGCTTGGGTGGCGACGAGTTGCATCAGGCCCGGGGTGATTTCGGAAGGGTCTTGGGCTAGGAAGCTCGTGATGAGGGGGTGGGTGGTATCTACCGCTAGGACGTCGTTGAGGAGGAAGTTAACGAGGGCCGTGAGATCCGGAATAATGGGGCCGATGAGCATGGTGTCTGGAGGTGAGTTGTGACGTGGTTAGTATCTGCGTCGGTGGAAGGGTTGGGTCTCAGCTCATGCCTCGACGAGAGAGGGACGATAAATCTTACCACTGCCGGGAACAAACCAGAGACGATCAAAGACTGGACGCGGCTGGTACGCCTGTGTCCATATGGCGAGTGCCTGCGCGTTGTACACGATTTGCATTAGGTTCCCTGGCTTGACTTTGCTCACGTGTATGAGTTTGAAGTCGATCTCTTGATCAGCTAAGAGCTGCAGCGGGAGATGAATCGAGCCGAGGATCTTGTGGGCCACTTTTCGAAAAATGTAGGCAAGGTTCTGGTACATGATGGCATGCAACCGGGGGGAGGTCTGGCTGAACTGTACGATGTCCTCAAAGTTCCACAGAGCGAGTATGATCATGAGGGTGATTTCGGGCGGGAGCAGCGCGAAAGGGTCTCTGGTTAGGACAAAGTTGCCTGGCATTTTGGCTCCGCGCTTTCTGGGCATCGTGGTTGCTTAGGGCTGATGAATGCCGGTGTATTTCCAGGAGCTAGGATTGGGAGTTTCAAGTCGATGACAAGGCCGTCTTTGCCGGGATGATGGTGATGATGATGGGAGTGATGATGAGAAGAGAGGAAGGAGTCGTGAAGGAAAAAGGTAGGAGTGATTTTTATAACAGAGATCTGCGCAAAAACAGGACTAATCTGGCGGTGCATGGCGACGGCGACATCATCACGTACATTAATATAGGGGACCAGACAAACATTCACCGTGACCACTATGCTCTTTTGCCGGTTGGCGGGCTTGTTTCGTGGCTGTCTTCTCGGCGCTGGGAGAACCGCACAGTATACGTGATGCACAGGATACAAGTTATCAATTCTTCTTGCTCACGATGCTTCACCGCAAGAGCACGAAGATAACAAGCATATTAAGTCATCAAAGACCACAGAAATTGCCTGGCGTTTCTCGTTGTAAAGAAAAGCAGCCGTCTTTCTTTCATCCCTACAAAGCGGCGGCTGCGGTAACATACAGGTCGAACTCCTCAGCTTCAGCTATTCCGTGTTTGTCTTGCAAAGCTCCAGCCTAGCTATCTTCCCACAACCATAGATCCGATTGGAGCCCCTCCCGCTCCGCATCCAGCACCAGGTTATTCGCATTCAACTGATCCGTCACCGACAGCATATAGTCCAACGACAACCCAAGGCCTCGCCAGTCGAGCGACAGCTCATCCTCCGGATCGGGAGGCACATCGGTAGGCGCGATGGTTGGGATGCTGTTCGCTTCCTCAGCGCTGGGGCCCGACAGATGCTCCAAGTGTACGAGCGGTCGGTGTTGGCTTTCCGGCGTGGCCAGCTGCCCGTGTGCTGTGTCTGCACTGATAGGGGGTGTGTGGTGCCGTTGGACCAAAGGTTGAACGAGTTCCTCCAGCAGCTCGATCTCAGATTTCCGGAGGTGGGCAACGCGGTTGCCGCGCTCAATCATCTCGTTCAGCAAGCTGAAGCCGGTCTCACGGTAGGCCGGGTCCATGGCAGCGTCGGGTAGAATGGCGGAGATGAGCGAAAGGACGAAGAAGGATGAAAACACATTCTCTAGGTCGAATGGGAGGAACGTTTCTATCGTGGGAGACTACGTGGTTAGCAATGAGGGCCGTGGAGAAGAGTGAGACGGTAATGCGAACCCAGCAGATTTTGGTCTCGAAGAGCAGATAGAATTTTGAGGGATTTGACGGCGGAATCGATGCATGCTTGGAGGAGGGTTTGCACGGGTGAGGATAAGGTGCGGAACTCGGCGCCTTCTTCGTAACAACTAAGGCGTTCCCATAGAAGGCTCAGGACAAGCGGCCTTGTGGTGACGATGATGCACTGCTGGCCGTGAGCTTGATGAGCCGTATTGACGGCGCAAGGGGGCTTACCAAATGGCATGACAGAGTCAGTCGAGTGGTGACACCTGACAGGGCGTCTACCGAGTTTGCGAAACGGTTGGAGAAGACTTCGTCGAGCTCGCGCGACAAGTCGGACATCTCTTGTAAAACGGAGCGGACCTTGCGTAGGAATAGACCTCCCAGTGTGCCATCGGCGCTGTACACGGCTGTCAAGTTTGTCAGCAAGACGCTGCACATTATCGGACAAAATATCACTTACTGTTCAGAACACGAGCAGTCACTTGCGATATTCTCACATGCAAACTCAGGACTGCCTCGTTCTGGGAACAGGTTCGTGGATCCCACAGAATGGCGTTGACATCCTCATCGTTCACCGAGTAGGGCGAACCCATCAAAGAGGAGAATTTGCGATCCAAGATATATACCGTCCACCAGATGTTGCTCCACCGAGTAACGAGCTTTTGTCCTAGCTGCTCCACAGGCTGAGCACGGTGAAGCCCTTCCACCAGCGCCATTCGCATAGAATGACCAATCTAACCCAGTTAGCGATACCCAAACAGTGCTCCCAAGTGATGTCTCACATAACAATAAGCGGTATCTCTCATATCCACCGAATAAAAGTAAAGCGCAATGAGAGCCAGCGTCTCTATAGCGAGAGTGGGATCCTGCCACAGCCCCGTGATATCCGGCAGCAACGACATGGCTCGCGAAAAATACTTCGTCCAAGAGGCGGTGTTGGACACGGTCCGTACTGGAGCTAGGAAAGCCTCCCCAAATGCCAGTATGACCAAAAACTGCACGTACCACAGACGTGACTCTTGTACCTTCTCTGCCGCGTTCTTGTAGAATTCGTGGAGATGGCGGAGAAACGCGTCCTCGTCGAAGAGCCGGTACATGTTGCCGAAGTGGAACTGCACCGTGCTCACCATGTACAGTGCGTGTTCCATCGACGGTAGTCCGCTGGTATCGGGCATCTCTTCGGAGCTTGCATGCCGCCATAATATCTGGTACGCATCGCCATCGACCGCGAGAGGAATCGGCCGCTGACTATCGGGATATATACGTGCTTGAACAATGTTGAGGACGCGTCGACTGAACGACCACGTCGAAGTAGGGCCGAGGAACACTGCGCGAAATCAGCCGTGTTAATCTGGTCTGCTGAATGCACCACGTACGCCACTTCCTGTGTTGTCGCCCAGTGTGTTTGACATATGTCGAAGGGGAGACTAAGGGGTTGGAGGCAAATCGGTCGTCGTAGCGGTCGGAATCGAGAGGAGCTGGGGTTGTTTCGGTTTCTTGATTTCCACCTGCATCCATTGAAACGATTAGACAATAGGTTTTAGCTTCTTGCTGACCACATACCATCGACAGACTCATTGATGGTGTCTTCCCTCAATGAACGATGTCGCTTGCTCGTGGGGGAAGATGGTACGCCTTCTAGCTGTTCAACTTTGCGTTTCAGGGATAGGAAGAGCCTGGAGGAAAGAAATTGCAGTCAGCGCAAGCAAGGAGTGGTAAATGGGTGGACAGTTGAGCAATACTCTTCAGAGACGACTATCTTCCGATCCTCTTCGAAGACGCAATTCTGGCGACGCTGACGACATTTATCGCACGGATGAGTCCCAGAACACTTGACCTTCCTGGAGCGACATCTTTGACAGCTGGAGTGTTTGTCAGCGCTAGGGTTGCTCGTTTGCTTTGGTCCTATCTCGAGGTCACGGGAACGCACGCATTGCTGGTCCGTTTGGGACGCTGGGATTGGCTCATGGTATAGCTGTCGGGAGGGGAGAGATCGATCATATTCTTAGCAACCAGTGAACAACAGCCTCACCACCACTCTTGGACAGCGACAAGATGTTGGGAAAGTAAAAAAAAAAAAAAAAAAAAAAAAAAAAAGGCACAATCGCCAGCTGTCGTCAGAGGGCAAAAAGTGGCAGGGGCAACTTGAGTTATCGCGGAGAAACCCCGAATTTAGTCACTTTACCCCGCATGTTATCAGCTTATCATAGCACAAGGATCTGGCCTCCAAGATAAGACGATCGCTCTTGGCATGAAGCAAGGAGAATTGATTAGAATCTGTAGTCTAAGGCTACTGCCTAAGTACTGAGGCTTCTCTACCAAGCTAGCTCCGGTCGGCTCATGCAGCTCGCTTCCAGTTGCGAACAAAATCGCTCCTCTTCCGCTAAGCGATCCGTCTTCATGTCTCCCGTCACTGCGGGCAGCGCTGGCCAGATCTCTCGCCCACCCTGGGTCTCTTCCTTCTGGCGGTGCTCCATTACCATTTCTTTCAGGCTCTGTTGAAAGTGAATGGGACCCTGTGTTGCTGTTAGCCTTGAATTGACCAGTTGATGCTGTGGCGAGATACCTTTTCCTTGCTCGGGTGGAGCTCGCCGTTGATAAACACTCCGGTACTTAAATTCGTCTGCACACCAACACAGAGCTCTTTGTCCTCCTCCAGAACCTGCCTATAAAACGCGTTGATATTGTCAAACTCCTCGTCCGTCGCGTCGCGGTGACGATACACCTCGTTCTCGATCTTGCTCGTGGTCGCGCTCAAGGGAATCATCCGCTGTATATAGAAGAATTTGTCGCTATGGCAGAAACGTTAACAAGCCGATGACATGACCAAAAGATCTTCTCAGATTATCAGACTTACGTCACCGTCACTGAGGTCGTCGGAAAAAAATATGTAATCGCGCGCCGAAACTGGGCGTCGACGTTGTCCTTGTTGAAGATATGGTGCTCCATGTAGGCGGCGGTGGGCTCCACCCGATATCGCGGGAGATCCGAAACCCCGCTGATAAGCGGGTGCGATGTCGCACAGTGGTAGCACTCGTTGTAATTCTCGATCAGCAGCTTCCAATTCGCCTCCATCTCCATCTCCCAGTAGTGGTCGAAGGTGTATTCCCCGGCGAAATCAAAATCCTGCATGCGCGGCTGCTCGTCGATCCGCTGGAAATCGTCCTGCCACTGCACGTCGGGGCTCTCGCCGGCCTGCAGGTTCACCCACACGAAGCCGGCCTGGTCGACGTGCACGTGGATGGGGAGTAGTCCATTTTGGCTTTTGTCGAAGTCGGGGACCGTCTCGAAGCGGGGCGCTTTGGAGAGGTTCCCTTTTAGCCCGTAGGACCATCCGTGGTACTTGCAGCTGAGGATGGAGGCGGAGCCGGCTCGGGCCTGTACTATGGGGTATGCGCGGTGACGGCAGATGTTGTGGAAGCCGTTGATGTTTCCGTCGCGGTCTTTGGTCAGGAGGAAGGAGAATTCGGCAACGGTGAAGGAGAGGAAGTCCCCGGGCTTAGCGAGGCGACTAGAGTGGGTGAGAAGAATCCAGCGTTTGGAGAAGATGGCGCGTCGTTCGAGCTGATACATCGCGTCGGAGCGGTACCAGGAGGCCGGCAGGCCTCGAGGCGGAGACTCCTTTGCCGGTCCATTGGAAGTGCGCCCAAATAATCGCCACATTTTCTGTGTTTTCGGTGATGATATGCATGGCTCTTGTGCATTGTGGCCCTCCTATAATTCTTATATAGCTCCAGTTCGCAATGGTGGGGGTGTGATGTCGATTCAAGAATGGGGGCGCGACACTCCCCACAGGCTCAGCATTGATAAGATAGTGGCCCTAGCCCTATTTGACTATCGGCTGGGGAATTCTATGTGCTTCCTCCATGGCACCAAATCTTATAGTCCATGACATATCATACAAGCAGCTTGGTTATATCATGATCGTTGAGAGTAATTACGATGCCACCACCTCGATTAAATACTATGTCATTCGACTAGAGACTTGGTGAGGATTCAGGTATCTGCTCAGAAGCCATACTAGTATTGATAGGCAGTAATGATCACGCAGGAGTCAGAAGGACAGGAAGAGAGGAAAGCATCAAGATTTTCGTACTGTGGACATCCATTCAATCGTGGTAGTGCAGCTTTTAGACGGACAACTTGATTTCTAATGAGCTCTCGAGAGAGCTATCTGAGATCAATCTCTCTTCTCTTTGTAGTGATTATATACTCAGACTGCCGCCTTCGAAGGAGCTGCATTGCGTACCACGATTAGAACCTATCAAGTTGAAGGGTTTCAGTTAATTCCTTATGGCATATCATTTTACGTACCAGATGCCCCGTGGTAGGAAACACGTTGCACATCAGGATTCATATTTACTCATTGCACCAATCTACAAATATCTTCATGATGTACATATCATGCTTGAAAATCTTGAATGGGTGCAGATAAGCTCTGCCAAGTCCCAAAGAGAATAGGATATTTGGCCTCGTTATGGCTGTACCGGGATTTATCGCCGAAGGAGCACTTGTAAAATTCTACAACTATTCTGGATCCTATACCATTTATACAACCCAATCCATATATGTGTCGGATTAGACAGGAGTAAACAAGAAGAAGGGCAAGACAATAAAAGCTGGACTGAGACCTTAAAAACATTCATATGGTAATGGAAGAAGGAAGAATATTCTTTTAGTGTTGTCATTGCATAGATATTTCTTTGCTGATGTAGTCAGTGCCGAGTCTACATGAAAAATTTAACATAAACAGAGCTACACAGCAAATGACAAAACACCGAACCGCTTCTCACAGGAAAGTTTCCCGTGATCCAGCAGGCACCCACGCATGATCAACGAAATGTTGTCGATGCCTGACAATAAGAACTTCTTCTCCAGCCCTCCCAAGGACCCGTTGGTTCCCCTTCTCAGGACCAAGACCTATCTTACTCAAACTGCTCAAAATGACCATCACAATCCCAATGATCGATCTCTCCCCCTACCTCACCACCTCCAACAGCAATAGCCCCCAAAAGGCCAGCCCTGCGCGAGCTTAAGGCTTTAAAGTATCCGGGACCATCCTTTTTCTGGGGATGATTCAATAGAGAAGGGCAAGGATGGGACCATGGGTGCGCAGAGAGGCGAGGTTGTGGCAGGCGCGCAGACGGATTTCGGGAGTACCACGCTCTTGCTGCAGGATGGGAATAGGAAAAGCTAATGGAAAATCACGAAGAGACTTACTTTTTGCTGAAATATATATCCCGGGTGTTGAGGAAGAACTGGGAGCGAAGGTACCGATTGTCCCGGATGATCGGCTACCCGGAATTCATCCTTCCAGCACAAACAATGTTTTGTCCATCTCTGAGCCAAAGAGTGACAATTCGCATAAAAGATGTAGCTTTCTGGTTGATGGCACACACCTGAAAGTCAAAAATTTAGTAGCATTGCACCAAATCTCAGATATCTCAACGTTCAACGTAATCATGTCTCCTCTCCTGGTGCTCATATTCTGCGTCTTGGGGCAGTGGCTTGTCCTACGAACAATTTATCGTCTCTACTTCCATTCCCTCAAGAACATTCCTGGACCAAAACTGGCGGCAATCTCACACCTCTATGAATTCTATTACGACATCATCAAGGGCGGACAATTCATTTATGAAATCAAGAGAATGCACGACCAATACGGTACGCACCGCTTCCTACTAATGCATCCGTCGCTAGCCCTAATACAAATATCATCATTAGGCCCTATTGTCCGGATCAATCCTCGCGAAGTCCACATCATTGACCCGGACTTCTACGACGAGATCTACGCTTCTGGTAGCCGCAAGCGCGACAAGGACCCTCGGTTCGTGCCGACATTCACCTTACCGACGTCGATGATTGCGACCGTTGGCCACGATCATCATCGGTTCCGACGTGGGCTCCTGGCGAACTACTTCTCCCGGCGGTCCGCCTTGGAGCTCGTTCCTCTGGTTGAGGAAAGAGTCCTCAAGCTCATGGATCGCTTAGACGGGTTCCGTCAGAGCCAGCGCATTGCGCGCCTGGACGATGCCTTCGCCGGATTTGCAGCAGATGTCATTACCTTGCACTCATATGGCCAGCGGTTCGGCTTCCTGGAGGATGAGGCCTTCCGGTGCAACATTCGACAAGCGGTGGGGGAGATCACCGCCCTGAGTCACTACAACCGATTCTTCCCCAGGGTGGTGCGGGTCATCGAACAGGTGCCCCTCTGGCTTCTGGCCTGGTTACAGCCAGGCAAGTCAAGTCTGTATGACCTGCAGCGGACGGTGTTCGCGCAGTCGCAGGAGTCGATGGCCAAGCGAGCATCAGGGTTAGAAGTCCGCCGATCAGTGTTCACTTCCCTGACAGACCCCAAAGTCTCACCGCACGAGCGCACACCCCAACGTCTGAAATACGAGGGGTTCTTGGTGTTGGCTGCTGGGACGGAAACCACCGGTCGAGTCTTGACGATCGCGGCGTTCCATCTGGCCCACAACCCGAAGATACGTGATCGCCTCCGCGACGAGCTCAAGCAGGTCATGCCCACGCCGCAGAGCGCGGTGGGATTCCCGGAGCTCGAGAAGCTGGTGTACCTGGTATGTTACACACGAATGATACTGCGGACATATGTGTCCCCGGCCTAACGAGGAACCCAAGACTGCAGTAATTAACGAAGCCCTTCGTCTTGCGTCACCTTTGACTATCAGGCTCCCTCGAGTCGCACCGGACGAGACGCTGAAGTACAAGGATCATGTGATCCCACCGGGAGTATGCTCACTCTAACCCCTTCTTCTGCCCTCGGTTTCGCCATTTTCTGGCAGTGGCCGTGGCTTGGCTGACGCAAACCATAGACACCCATGAGCTGTTCCTCGTATCTGATGCATCGCAATCCCAGCCTCTTTCCGGATCCGGAGAGATTCGACCCAGAGCGCTGGCTGAATGGGTCGGAGCAAGACAGACGCCTGAACCGCTATCTCACGCCGTTTACTCGAGGCAGTCGGATCTGCCTCGGTATCAATATGGCCTATGTGGAACTCTACTTAGCGCTTGCGCATCTCGTTCGCCGATTTGACTGGGAACTGCATGAGACGACCCCGGAGGATGTTCGGATTGTGAGCGATTTCATACTAGGGGGCACCAGACGGGGTGATATCAAAGTGGATGCCAGGATTTTAGGCCGCGTTAAAGATTAAATAGAGCAGTTTGGGATACTGACGCTTGAATTGATTGAACTACGCTGCAACACAGATTGACATGTTATTCTAAGACATTTTATGCCCAATATAGCTACTTTCTAGAGCAAGTAACATATTACACTCAATCATTTCCTAGTCCAAGTAATGAGGACAGGGACTATGCTTACCTCAAAGGAAGAAGGACGATTCATTTGAGCAACTACCACATTACCAGGCTACACACCCCCCTTTCAACCGGACATATCCACATCCATCAGCGGGTACCTAGGGTCGATATAATGTAACCGCGTCTCGCCCTTAATCCACCGATGGAACACCTCCCGCAGCTGCGGATTAACCTCCAACTTCCTCATCACAGCCTCGTAGCTTGTGAACAACTCCCGCGAAAAAAACCTCCAGCATACTCAGCGGCGAGACCCCACGCTTCGCCGCGCCCATGTAGATGAAGTTCGCGCGTTCAGTCCTCGCGACCAACTCCTTGTAGAAGGAGAGCACGTCGTTGATGCCATGCGCGAGCTGGACCCTATCAGGCATGACTCCTAACATGAGCGCCTCGATCGTCTTGATGGGCTCGTTGGGGAACAGGTGTTGGGCAGGCACGAAGAGGCCGTACGACTGCGCGAACCCCGTCATCCACCGGAAGTAGCGTGAGAAGATCTGGTCGGCGTGGTAAATGTGGCCGGAGCTTTCGATTCCGTGCGAGGCGATGGACTCGACTGTGCTGGCAACGAGCAGGTCCAAGGTGAAGGTCCCGTGACGGAGCTCCATCTGGGTGAGTGTTCTGGCGAAGAGCGCCAGGGGCCTCTGCGGCTGAGGCTCCCCGCGTAGCAGGCACGTGCGGAAGAGCTGCACGTCGTGGCGCATGTCGAGGATCTGGTCGTCCAGCGAGATGGAGGCGACCGTGTACAGTGCCGTCAGGATCTTGAGGTCCCATGAGTGCAGCGGGTAGAAGGTCAGGGCGCAATTCGTGGCGAAGGTGGCGTGGCGGTCCGCCAGTGCGGTGTTGTCGTGGTTGATGGACAGGCAGTTGGGCATGATGGTCTCTTTCAGCTTCGTAAAGTCAGGCTCGGGGTTTTTCGAGATATCTACCTCGAAGTAGTCCCGCCATCGCTTTGGCGAGTTGAGCGAATTTCTCGTGGGAGACGAGCTGATCGAACAGTTGATGGATAGAAGAAGAAGTCATTTTTAGTTAGTTGGAGCACCGTGTGGTCCCAGTAGAAGTAAGCTCTAGGATATCTGGATGTAGCATGTGTTGAGCATGTAAAAAGTGATGAAGTCAGACTATCTGAAGCTATCTGCGTGGAACCATCAACATGGGCATGACGAGCGGTGAGCAGCTCGGCAATCGAGGTGTCGGGCCGCGGAAAGCATGGAATGAATGTATTACAATATACGCGCCCACGGGTGTTCTTGTGTTGAGGACTGACACCAAAGAGCCATTGTAGGGTTAAGCGCGGCCACTGTGCCGGTCTCCCGGGACATGTTACATGCATGGAGTTCGCATCTCCCGGGGGTGGGAAAGGCCCACCATGTTATCTGTAGTATAAAATCAGTCAGCTTGCTATGTCCTTGAGGAAACAGACTCCTTTCTTCGAATATCAGCAGGAAACCGATCCCGATTGTCCAAACACCACCAAGCACCATAAGACTCGGCGAACGGTCTTCGGATCTGATCTGTGGTACCCGTCTTGACACAGTTACGATGAACAGCTCTTCAGTGGATCAGCCTACCGAGCAGCCTATTCAGACTCAAGGAGTCCCCGGGGAAGCCGGCGAAGCGCTGACTGTGGATGACTTTCATGGAGTATACCATACCCTCCTCACAGAGATACGAGAATACCTCTCTCGCCTCGGAACCCCAGAAACAGTACTAGTTCGTCTACACCAGGTAAGAACAACAAGCCCTACAGTATTCGTCCTGGAAGCCATCGTAGCAGCTTACAGTGTCGCAGTGTCTCGCAGATGTCACGAAAGGAGGCAAGTTGACGCGCGGGTTGATGCCACTGGAAGCCGGCCGGCGGCTCCTGCCCAGCCGGCTCACTCCGACCCAGGCGTCCGATCTCGCCGTGATCGGATGGATCATCGAGCTCATCCACGCGGCATACCTTATCGAAGACGACATCATGGATGCCTCCATCTTCCGGCGGAAGGGGCTGTGCCGTTATCTGCAACCGAACATCGGCATGAGCGCCATCGCGGATGCCTGCATGGTGAGGTCGTGCGTCCGGCACTTGCTGCGCGCGCGCTTCGAGCAGCATCCCCAGTACCTGGACATGGTGCATCTGCTGGATACGATGAGTTTCCACACCGACCTGGGCCAGCTGACCGACGTCCACATCGCCAAAACCACCTTCCGGGCGTTCCATCACTTCACGCCCGAGACGTACCGCTTCATTATCACGAACAAGACCGCCTACTACACGGTCTACTTCCCCATCGTGTTCACGCTGTTCTACCTGCGGCTTTCGACGCCTAAGAATATGGCCCACGCGAGAGACATCTCGCTGCAGCTGGGGGTCTATTTCCAAATCACGGACGATTACCTGGATGTCTATGGGGATCCGGCAACAACAGGCAAGGTTGGCACCGACGTGCACGAGAAAAAATGCGCGTGGGTGATTACGGAAGCGCTCCAGCGGTGTAGCTCCGAGGAGCGAGGTCTGCTGGAGGAGGCGTATAGTAATGGGGATGTGGGGCAGGTGAAGGCGTTGTTTGATGGAATTGGGATGCAAAATGTCTATGCAGACCTGGCGACTGAGTCGTACGAGGGCATCGTAGACACAATCGCGGGGATTGATGAGAGCGAGGGACTGGTACGAGGCATGTTTGAGTTGTATCTGTCAAAGATTCATGGCCGAGATAAGTGAGCTCTTCAGATTCAGTATGGATTGGGGTATCTGCACGTTTACTTTGTTCAACACAATTCCCTGATGAAGGTAGTCCATAGTTATGAAGGTCGGCCCCCTCCTTATCTCCCTTATCCTATTTTCAAAACTTCCAAGCAATAGCTGTAGTGAGGACAAGCTCAATCAGACAACGTATTGGTGTTATTATCTATTTTCTACAATGAAAACAATATAACATGGCTTAGCGCACGGCTAGCTTACCAATTTGCAGATAGCTTTTCTCATCTTGTAAGTCACAGAAAACAACCCCAAATACAAAGCTCAAGAGAAGTGTGTCTTGCTAATAGTAGGTACTCATTTGTACAGCCCGGTGGAAGTATAACATAGCCCACCACAATACCAGGGTACCCTGATAATTATTTATACAGGCAATATCTCTTCAAACGCTAACTTAAAGTTGGCAGGAGATCGATCTCTCCAAGGGTTTCAAGCCCCAGATCCTGCAGACTCATGTGATCAAACGACTCGGGCAGCCAGGGTGCGTCCGACTGCAGCAGAGCGCTCATCCCCAGCTCTGTAGTCGCCCAATCAGTCTCTGCGGAGACATCCTTGAGTACAAGGTCAGGACCCAGCGCAGCAGCCGACTCGGCGTGGCTGATCTCCACGATATCCAGGGCCTCATGAAACTCCAAGACAAGTCTCTCGCGAACCTTTTCGACAAAGCTCGTTGCAGCTGCCGTGTCCGTGCCGGAGAGAATTCTCTGCTGATGCAAGACCTTGCGGTCGCTCCAGGCGCGACGGCCCATGAGGGCTTCGCCGATCGCGGAGACGGTATCGACGCTGCATTCGTCTGTCCCTGAAGCATTGGAGAGCCGAGGTTGAGCCGACGTGGAGGGCTGATGATTCCATCCTGTGGGATGTCCCTGAAAGTCCGCCACATCCTGAGACAGGTTCACTAAAGCATGGGAGGTGAAGGTTTGCGGGAAGCGGAGCAGATGCGGCATGGTAAGGAGCAGATCTCCCGGTTGCATTCGTATCGAGCTCGGCTTCCCTGTCATCACACCTGCTGGTGGGTGCTCATTCTTGCGGGATGGCGCGAAAATGGTGTGGGACCCCGGCACAAGATTCACGCAGTGCTCTTCACAGAAGGTAGGCAGCATGACTGTACTTTGAATATCACTTTCGTGCTGGACTGATCCTGGTACGGGCAGCATTGCGCCCGCTACCGAGATAGCGACGGAGTCCATTGACCGATTGAGTAATCTCCACTGCCCGTCCGGACGACAAGATGCGACAACCGCGTAATACGCGGGGTCTTGTTGTATCATTTGATGGAGAAATTGGTAGCACCTTTGACTGAGAACCTGGCCCTGGTCGTCGGAGGCGTATCGGGCCAAGGTCTGGCGTACTCGTGGGAAGATTCCGCGCGTTTCCATATACGCAAAGAAATCTGGGATATGAAGATATCCATCTTGCTGCAGCGATGACCACAATGATGGTTCGTCCTTCACAAAAGTCTTGAATGCGTTGGGTATTGGCTTTTCGCGTTCCCCAGCTGCCGAGGCTGATATCGAATTCGGGGAGTCGTCGGGCATGCTCGTCTCCTCGCCGATGAGGGTGAACGAAAGTTGCTCAAGCATTTGAATTATCAGAGACCGATCGAGATCCTGCCCATCTGACTGCGTTGCATGGCGATATAGTTGTTGTAAGTGATCCGTGCAGAGGCTTTCCCACGACATCAGACTCGCCCACTGGAGTAACCTAGCCAGAAAATGCGAAGTCCATTGAGACTTGCTCTCGGCCAGAATGGCTAGGAGTGGAAATAGCATAGGCGAGCAGGGACATTGTTTCTGATCATTCAAAAACGACTTCTCCGAGATCATCACCGGTGGTCCTTGAGGCGAGGCTCCGTCCTTGTGGGTGTCCGATCCGACTATGGTCGCAGTCGAGCTCTCGTGCTCGGTGAGAATGGAGTCAATGGAAATGACAGAATCTTGTATAATTGTTACCTGTTCTGGTCTCGGTTGCAGTGACTGAAAAACGGACGACTTACTTTTCCTGCCTCGCCTGCCCTGGCGCGGGACCCGCATAGCCTCGAGGACGCGTTCAATGTCACTTGCTAGAAGATGGGGTTGTGTTCGGCCCCTGCGCGGTCGCTTTTTCACACTTTCCTGAAGCAGATGAATTGCATCAGGGAGTGGTTTGAGTCGGCTGAGCGACGCCAGCGAGTTGAGCAGGTGTTTGCTCCAAAAGGGAGGTCGCAAAGTCTCGGGTAAGACCAGGTGGAAAGGACTGTTCCAGTGCTGCGCGATCATGCGAGCACTGAGCTGCTTGGAGCGATCAGATCGCTTGTGCCGGCGCAAGACTGGCTTGACAAGCTCTTCAAAACCGATGAATTGGCGATAGTGATCCAGACTGTCGAATCGGCTGGACCACAGCTCCTCGCGACGGACATGCTCCCAAGCTGCGTGAATCAATGCACCTACCCGTTCATCAACGGTTGCCCCTTGTCGGAGGATGTTTGTCAAGATGTCCAAATGGTTTGTGATGGGCTCCGACGACAAGATATGTTCTAAGGTACGCTGGGGAATCTCAGAGGATAAATCAGGGAGACCTTTCTGGACGCTATCCATGCTGAATACCAGGTGTCTAATCCACGACCTTTTCGTTTGGTTTGCTTGTCGAATATTTATGGACGAGTACATCCTGGAATTTGAGCAAACGAGCTGCAGAGATTACAGAAATTGCATCTACATCCCTGCTGAGAGGCGGGCTTGGTTCATACAATGACATAAGGCCAATGAGGGCGCGCGATCTGATCAGGTTTGATTTTCGAGTGTGCGTAGCCGGCGTGATGGTGGCGTATGTGAAGCCCCCAAGATACTAGATATCCGGAATCGATTGGTCACACAGACATACCATTTGTAAGCTCATCACATTAACTCTAACTCATCTCTGGATGATCTGCCGGGGTGCTACACCAACAGCCGGGGCTTACACCGGTCGCCTAAGAATGTATGAATATCCATGGGAATGCGACTGCAAGTAAGTATGTATGCATGTGAGCACCTACACCTGCATGAGCACATAAACACCCACCCACCCAGCTGCAGGATCCGATGGCTCCAATTTTGCGCTTCGAGTCCCTTTTCTTAATTGGTTCACGCATGGGATTGAGATCGGACCTCCGAAACGGCAAAAGCAAAAATACATTGTGTGATGAGGAGATGCAATATCTACGCTGCATGATTGGCCCGCCCAAGGTTTTCTATTCATAAGGCCCCCCAGTCTTCAGCTACTGAGTAATCATGTATCTTCATCAAGTCGGGACGCCACAGCATCATATCCTTCCAGAAAAAGAAACGATCCGATGCACGACTCCTGATCACGTACATAGACCCTGATGTTTCCTGGAAGATCGACTTTATTCTCAGACCCGGCTGGCTGGTATTTGTCCCTACCTATCGGATAGCGCGTGCTGCACTTCTCCGAATCACACATATAGAGGAGACGCAGATTACCAAAAGCAAGATGACTGGCAAGCCCTCTTGTCCATAGCTGCCGGGAGCAGTTTCCTCTGATCCCAGAGCTTCTAGCGCCAAACTTTGCAGGGCCGCAGATGAATCTAGTCACCGTAAGGAAAGCCATGACCATTCATTGTCTCTAGCCCTCAGCTACTGCTATCCACAGAGTTCCCTAGGTCAAGAACTATCGTCAGTCACCGTCCCCTGCAAACTCTTTTGTCTTCGGATCAAATTGCATGCAGATCTCAAGCATGTGACAATGCAACGCTTGTCTCAGCGCCCGTTTTTCTTTTTTCAAAACAAGATCTATTGCGAAATGCAATTATCTAATGTTCGTTGCGACACAAATGTCTATGCCTCTGTTTTTGCAATCCTAACAATCCCACTCAGCCTTTCCACTCCATCGGCGTTCATGCCACCCTTCTAAGAGAGCCTGCCTCCAATCATCCAAATCTCGTGAAACTGTCGGTCCAGTTGCAGAAGCTCTTCCGCAATGAGTAATTCGAGACCAAGCTCCGTGACAGGCGCATCTGGCTCGTCACCCTCCACGTCCATCCCAAGCAGCCGAGGCAGTTTGTACCACGATTCACATATTCTGGTCGACACCATTGAGCTGAAGGAAATTCACGTTGCATCGGCGTTCTCGTTTTGATGAACGGTTCTTTGACTTCTACACCGCAAATCACTCTCCGGTGCGGCGACGTCAGTGTGACTGGACAAGGTGCTGGATGCTTTTCCGAGACGCGAATTCGTCTCGGACTCGGCTAACCAGGAACTGTCCACACGGTGCTTCCAGGCAATGGATCCCCCTGTACATATATCCACTTTAGAGCTACCGAGCGGCTGTAGTATCGGGTCCTTCATATCTAGTGGTAATTGGTTGCTCGAGGAATCCAAAATGGCTAAGTATTGCGAAGGATAGTCCTATGATGTAAAACATTCAAGAGCGAGCGAAGCACAACATACAGGGCGAGGAAGAGATGAAATGACATCATGAACAAGATAGCCTGGTGTTTCTCAATCTGCTGCCTCAGTTGTTGAAGGTGAAGGGTGTATTAAACCACGGCTCAGCACAGACTTCAGATCGAGATACCTACGTCTGGCAAGATATCTATGTCATGGTAGGGTCATCGTTGGTCAGACTCGACAACTCCCGGGAGCTCAATCCCGGGGGTCAGCTACTGAATCCAAAGCCTTCTTGAATCCGTCGCTAGTTGCAGAACAGGACTCCAAGATTCGTCTACAGGAGTCGTTCAATAGCCTCATATCATGTTTTCCCCATCGGTAGGCTCGCTTTATTAGAATGAGCCAAGAGCTTAGAAGATCACCGCTACGTGTTCTTATCGGGTGTATATGATCCCACAAAAATTAAAGTACACTTTGAACAAGCCACAGAATACCATAAGATCAAAGCAGCAATTACAGCATCTACAGAGACATATCTGTAATAGTCGGCCTTGTACCATTGAAGAATAGCCAGCACGCCAGCTAGCAGACGCAAGAACACAATTCCCTATACGAGATGTGACACATCATCACATCCACTCCTCGCCGGTGCAATCTGAGTCTTGGGCGACTTCGACACGCCAATTTCACCCTCCCACGCTATCTCTTCTGCCCACTCTTTCCAAACGAGGCTCTACAAGATATACCGAAAACTCCGATTCTGAATATCCGTCTCATCCACCATCTCCAACCCGTCATCCTCCCCGAGCACGACCCGCCGCACCTCCTCCGCCCTCACATGCACGCCTTGCTCGCGATCCCGCTTCCGATTCTCCCACGCAAGATACACCCTCAACACCCCGGCCAACCCAATCGTGATCACGAAGCAGATGAGGATCGTCGTATACGCCGTCTATTGTCCCCAGGCATTAGTCCCATACCCTACTCCGATCCCCCATCCCAAACCTACAGAGATAAATCCAGGGGAACTTACATGATACCCCGGGGCCTCCGCACTGATGAAAAACTGCGGCCCGACCGTGTTCCCCACGCAGTACCCGACAAAGATCATCGCCAGCACTGTCGACTTCTTGGTGAAGCCCGCCGTGTTCGAGGCGAAGAGACTCAGCATCAACGGGAACGAGGGGGCGATGGCGGTCACGAGCCAGAAGCCCGCTAGCCGGGGGAGTTTGCGGTCCTCTGGGAGGAGTTTGATCATCAGGATCCCCGCCAATGCCATCAGGTATACGCCTACCAGGGCGAAGAGGCGGGATTTGCGGACGGTGGAGGTGATCACGGCGACGAGGATGACGGTCGTCAGTTGAAAGGCGGAGGCCGGGAGGCCCATTAAGATGGTTTGGGATTCCGAGTAGCCGAAGCCGTTGATGATCAGGGTTGAGAACTGTTTTTTGCCCAAAAGGGGGGAGGTTAGTTCCGGGTGGAGGGTAGAGGGTATGGGACAAGAGTCAGGGGAAGGGGGAAGGTACGCTTGTAGTTCCGCCGTTGGGAACGCAGGTTACGAAGCTGAAGATCAGGAACCACCACGATTTCGGGTCGGTCAGGGTCTCCAGCAATTGTCTCTTGTCAAGGTGCTTGGTTTGCGTTGTGTGTTGGAATTTCTTGGGGCGCAGGGAGGCGAACTCGCGTTCCGTGGCTGTCAGGAAGCGTGCGGTATCTGGGCTGTCCGGTAGGTAGAACCACAGGAATATGGACCAGGCGACGGTGATGAGACCGAATATCAAGAAGAGCATCTATTCGAGCTCTCGAGGTCAGTATCGCGCAAAGTGATATCGGGGAGAAAGATAGACCTTCCACTTGGCGAAATCACCGGTGTAATGCAGGATTCCATAAGCAATCATGCTCCCGATAATGCTGGCTGTTGCGTTGCCGGCGAACCAGAATGAATGACGGGACATGTGCTCAGGGGGTGTGTACCACATTCCCGTGATCAAGGAGAAGCCTGGGCTGATGGCGCTCTCGAAGATACCCAGGAACGTCCGGAGAACCATGAGCCCGGCGTAATCTTGGGCGCAGGCGTGGAGAGTCAGGACGACACCCCAGCAAAAGCTACCGCTGGGTTAGAGACAATTCTGTGTGGTGATGGAGGGGGGGGAAAAGAGCATACATCAGAATGCTGAGGTATTTTCCAAGAGGAAATTTCACGAATCCCAGTGAAATCGGGTATGAGGCGACGAGATATCCGATGTAGAAGATACTGGACGTCCAGCTGTATTCTTGTCCGACAAGGTGCTGAGATGGTCAGTCATCAATTCGCACCGCACCCATTGTTACACGTACTAAGTCGCTCTTGAGTCCTAGGATGGCGCTATACGACAAGCTTGTTTCTGACCGGGATCAGCTTCGACAGTCGTTCCACTGCGAGGTAGGATTGGGATGACACACTATCTAGATACTGAAGGCCATAGCTTATAATTAGAAGCGGCATGAGACTGGCATCATCAGCATGTGAATGTAGGTCATATTCTGGGAGTGCATACTGCAAATCTATCTTGCGCACCAATTTGTTTTCTTCTTCCGGTCCAAGCGTCTCTGCTGCGCCGTAGGCTTTGCCTTCAGCTACGTCTGCTGCATCAGGCACGGTCTTGTTGTCGAGTTTCGACGACTGAACCTTGTCTCCCATTTCTGGATACAAGTAGGTGGGTGAAAATTGAGGCCAATTCTTCAGTACAATGACCAGTGGAAATCTCCTCATGGAAGAATTGATGATCGTTGATATACGAGGGAGGGATTTGGTCAAGCCAGAGTCGACACTAGCATGGGCTTTCCCCATAGAGATAGCAGGCGATAATTCAAGGGGTGAAGTGTCTTTGACATCAGTGTTATTGACGGGGAGTCACTGTGGTGTGTGCATATGGTTGGTCAGATTAATCGACGGGCTGCGGCCGATCTCGGCGCGGCAGCTGGAGAGTTTCGACGCCAGGGATAAGAGGCAACCGTTCAGCATATTGAAAGGTTGCTGAGACCTTTCAATTAGATGCCGGAGCGTTTACTGGTAGACGAACGACCCAACTAATGCATATCAGTCCCCCGTTATCCCGCAACAAATCAATTGCCGAACAAGAGTCATGGGGATACATCCGCCAGATCGTCGCTTTGCCGCCAAGATGAGAGAAAAGGCTTCCCGAATGGCTACATCGGAGATGTTCCGATCCACCCACTCCCAATGCACCGGGTCCTGTGTCTCGATCCCCAGAATTAATAAAGACCATTGAAATCGTTCCATGAGCTGCACATGGTTTCCTCGGGAAATAGTATAGTGCAAGGTCGTAACAAGATCAGTCATTGCGGACTGGACCTCAGTCGGAATCGGCTTGCTTCCCCAGGCAGAAGCCCGGCTACGGTTTGAGTAGATACGCAGGGCATGGAAATGCGTGACTGTGACCATGGCCATCAGAGAGGGGTCGTTTCCATCAGCTACGATGTTGAAGAGAGATGCATGCTCCTACATGATCATTCAGTGGCACGTCAACAGCATCTGCGCGGATCTGGGAGCATACCTTTCGAATCTGTCCCAGGTGGCGCTGAATTTGGCCTTGGACGGCAAGATCTGGTTCGTCACTTTGGCTATAGCGATTGATCTCGTGATGAAGCCCAATCATTTCGAAGTAGACATGTAACGTGGCTGCTTCGTCGACTTCATGGAATGATGCTTCTGAGCTTGGAGATGACTGGTCCTGAGCATTGTTCCAAAGAAAGGCTGTGCGTGACAGGCGCCAAATCTTCCGTAGCCGTTCTGAATCGGCGCTCAGATATGAGGCCAACAAGCCCCCGCACCCGAAAAAGCTGCAAAATCCATCTCTGTCATAGAGGTAAATGAGAACGCGTGATAGCAGGACTTTGTATGGCACCGCGTTTGTGCTGGGCTCTGGTAGCGAGTGTATCTCGTCGCTGGTGCAGACATGAAGTAGATCAAATTCTCGAATGTACGCAAGCACAGTGGCACTTAAAGCCCGGAGCTTCAATGGTGAAAGTCGTTCTCGTCGCATCCAGAACATGAAGATGTACAAGAATGAAAGCAGCAGCTCTAGATGATCGGTGGGTGCGACGGGGTTACGTGCCTGGACAAGGAGCTCAGACCCTCGCTGCAAATGAAGACATGACTCTGGTGTCGGGCGGGCTCCATACCCAAAATGAATGGCGAGCTCGCTATGAGAGAGGGCAAGTAAGAAATGGAAGGCCATCTTTTTGTCCCACGCGTGATCGAGGAACAGCGAATGTGCTGATAATGACGGTGGACGAGAAGACTTCAAGGATGCAAAGACACTTCGATGAAAGGAGACGGCTTCTGTGTCGCTACTACCAATAGATGGGCCGGTGAAGGGGTCAGCCAAAAGGAGAGGTGTGGCTGCGATCAGCCAGCTGGGCACGCTTAAGGTTGATGATTCGACAGAAGACAGGCGGTGTCGGGTAATTATGGATAACAGTGAGCTTGGACCGGAATTGTCCAATGAGTCGAATTGCAAGTCGCTAATAGACTCAGAATATGGGTAAATAGAAAGCCCCTCTTGATCGTGACTGTTCACAACAGACTCTGATGCATTCATTGAGGACTCCATTGCCGATTGTGTCAAAGCTGGTGAGTCTGTGCTGGAGACTGGTGTCGGTGGAGAAAGTCCTTGAGGCGATACAAATCCCAAGCTCGAGAGTTCTGTCGTTACTTGCATACCAGTCCCAATATAGCCCTGATTGAGTTCATCCCCCTGTCGTGGCTGAATCGAAGGAGGCGCCCAGCGACTACTGTCGCGATGTTTGATCGGACCCAGCCCCCTTCTCCTCGCTGCCACAGGCTGCTTTCCCCGTCCCCACTCGCATGTCAGACCAAGCCGGACGCATCGCTTGCAGTGCGGATGTTGCTCATCACACTTAACGCGTTTGCTCAGGCAAGTCTGACATCCTGATATGCGATTGTCCGTGTGAGTCCTGCATTGTGCCGCGTGAGGTTGATGCCAACTCACCGTTCCGTGACCGGCCTCTCTCTACTCGTGGGCGACGCTGTCGCGTACTAGGCTCAACAAACAGCTCCATCCAACACTTCGGTTTGTTGTTATGCGATAAGTTAGGTGGGCTGTCGATTGTTTGAAACGAGGAGAAGGAGGGCGTCTCTATCAGCTGCTGAATCGATGAATGCCGAGCTGCTATCGCGCTCGATTAATCTGGCCAATCATCGGCACTGCATTGCCTTCAGCCTTCCCAGAACGAACTAGCGTCGAGTATGTTCTGCCACCGCCCTTTCTCCGCGGGGAACGTGCGGCCTCAGGCACAACTGCAAAAGAAATGGCAAACAGAGAGCTGCTTTCCAGTCTGGCTATCATTCTAACCAAAAAGTGCGTAATCTAGACATACTATCGGGCAGACGAGGTAGAGGCTGCTTATGGATATCTTCTCGATCTCAGCATCTCCATGTGGATGTTGACCTGGTTGATTACTAGATAGACAAGTCAGGAACGATAGCCGTGAAGCCTATGAAGAAATTATGGCGAAAACCCCTCAGCAACTGAGGTATTCACCAAGGTACATGGAAGCAATCTTGCAACCAGGCAGCATGAATTTTCCCGCCACCGTGCAAACCTTTGCTGTTTGCCGGAAGGGTGGCGTCTTGTGAATTGATACAAGCAACCCCTCCTACAAGTATCCAAACCACTATCCCCCACTGAGGTCGGTCCTTGTTCATCCTCTTCATCCTCTTCTATCAAGCTCAGATTGACTATTATCATTCCTTCATCTTTCAGCTTCCATCAAAGCGACCCTCAACATGACCAGTGTAAGCAGCCGCCAAAGAAACTCCATCATCGGCCTCTACGGTATCCCCGGATGTGGGAAGTCCCATCTTCTCAGCGAACTCCAAAAGCAACTTGGTAACGAGAAGTACACCTACTACGAAGGATCCAAAGTGATTGGCGATGTTGCGGACGGTGGCTTGCCGGGCTTCAAAAAAGCCTCAGACCGCCGACAGCGAGAGTATCGTGAAAAGGCGATTAAGAAGATCGGGGAGAGTTCAAAAGACGGCCGGGTCACCGTCGTCACTGGTCATTTCATGTTCTGGGAGCTGACCGAGTCAATTGGGAAGATTGTATGCACCAAAGGAGATCTGGCAACATACACTCACATCTTCTACTTGGACGTTGCGCCTGAAGTGATTCAGGGCTATCGGGAAAAGGATGCAGCCAGAAAACGTTCCCGTCTCCCGGTTTCCCACATTCAAGCATGGCAGAGAATTGAGAAAGCTAAGTTGCGGAGACTTTGCCACGAGCACGGAATCATCTTTTCGCTTCTGGGCGCCCATCAAGATGCTGCGAGTCTGATTAGAAGTGTTTGGCACCACGACGAAGATTCTAATCTCCACCTTGCTAAGCATAATCTCATGGAGGCACTTGGTGACAACTTTTCTGGGACAACTGTTTTGATGCTGGACGCGGACAGGACGCTGTGTTCCCAGGATACTGGGAAGCTTTGGTGGAGGACATACTGGCAGCATTATCCCTCTGATGAGTCTGATGGTTTTGAATGTCCCTTGAGGCGGCTGTTTAGTGGTCCGCTTGGGTACAGCTACGCTGCCTTCCGTCAAGCTATTTTTCTGTACGAAGAGGCTGCTGACCATCAGAGGTTCGACGATATCTGTGACGAGGTTGCTTCGACCGTGGATATGCATCCTGAGTTCATCAACTTGCTGCGGCTGGTATCTGACGACACTTGCGTCAAAGCAGTGGTGGTTACATCAGGCTTACGGCTAGTCTGGGAAAAGATCCTGACACGAGAATGTTTGTTCGACAAGATAAAAGTTCTTGGTGGAGGGCGCATTGATGACATGTTTGTCGTCAGTCCGACGGTCAAAGGTGCTCTGGCCGACTACCTGCGGACAACCTTGGAGATGAAAGTCTGGGCCTTTGGTGATAGTCCCATGGATTTGGGCATGCTACAAAATGCTGATCAAGCGTTCGTCGTCGTTGGCAGAGAGGGAAATCGAAGCACAACTATGGATGAAGCCTTGAGGGTTGCAATCGCTAAACATAGATTTCAGCCGAAACAGGTCTTGCTGCCTGCTACTTCATTACCACGACTAGACACAAAGGTGCTACCAATCACCACTCTCGACAGTCAGATATTTGTAGACCTGCTCTTTTGTGGCTCGAAAGAACTCGCATTTATCGACGCAACCGATACCGATGCCTCCCGAGTTCTTACCACTCCCACGAGGGATGCCTCGATATCCGGACCCGCGCTCCAAAACGCCCATCGCGACGCTGGAAGATTCCTCGCGCTTGCTTACTTGCCCAACATCGTTGGTGTCGAAGATTACCCTATTCCACATGTGCAAGGCCATCAAGTCACCGGCCATCGACTCCAGGATCAGCATCATACGACTATAATTGCTTTGATGCGAGGTGGGGAGCCTCTGGCTCGTGGCATTTACGACTACCTGCCTGAAGCCGCTTTCATCCACGCGAAGACACCAGACGATGTTCGTCACGGCCATTTGCAGAATCATAAGACGGTCATCTTGGCAGACTGGGTCATCGACAGCGGAAAGACAGTGGCTGAGTTTGTCCGTCATATTCGGAAGCTGACTCCTGATTTGCGCATCATCGTGGTTGCTGGCGTGGTGCAGAGCCGATCGATCGCCAAGCTTAGTCCGCTACAGGCGCTAATGCGGCATGGAGATCTTACGGTGATAGCACTTCGCAAGTCTGATAACCAGTACAAAGGTACAGGGGAAACAGATACCGGTAACCGTCTATTCAACACGATGCATCTGCCCTAAGGAACAGGAAATGGCGGATTTCGGTGTGTGATTAACGTTTCAAGTATTGACATCAATGAATGATCCGATTCAAGCATCTGTTTTTTAATTATTCTAATTATTCAGTCCTTAGACCGCTTCGTGCGATCTTTCTGTAGTGGCTAGTTGGTGTCATTCCTGTCGAACATAAGAACAGAACGATCGTGCGCTGACTTATTTGCTCTTATCTTCCTGCCCATAAGCTGTAGCTTGATAGGCTTTGCCAGAGTCACTCCAAGCTACCTGACCACAGTGGTGTACTCTGTTATCTATGATTGGTGTTTAGTCTCAGCGGAGGACCTGACACCACAGTCGGCTCCCTCATTGTCGGCACCGAAAACACGCTCGTCGTTCATGACGATACCTCGTCTTCCAGTCAGCATGACCGAGAGTCTTGCATCCTGTGCCTCGAAGCGTCCTATAAGATCCGTATCCTTGTTTTCACCTTTGTCACGCTCAGTTAACATGGTGGTTTGGTGATGCGGGATTCCACGAAATAGCTGGGCATCGGCAGCATCCTTACCATGCTTTCTGTTGAAGTCATCCATGAATGACGAATAGTTCTTTTCCAGATAGACCAGAAGTTTCCCACCTCCCTCAATTGTCTTGTGGTTTCCGAAGACTGCGTCCCCGGCAGGTCAATTGTAGTATGGCGAGCTGGTAAAGACATTTGGCCTTCTCTTCGTCAATCTTGTTGACCTGCTTGCTTGACAGCTTCCGCGACTTGTGTACCTATCAACATTGACGGCAGTTTAACTTCTTCAGCGCTGGGGCGTTGGGCATGAAGTTCATTTAGTGTCTTGAGCCCTTCCTGCTTGCGCTTTTGCAATGCAGTGGGACCAGAGCTGGAGCAGGGAGGTGCGTAATCGGTAACGGTGATTTCAAAGAAACCTTTCCCAATCTTCAGGCACGGCCCGGCAAAGGTGTGTCTAGATTAAGAGACAGAAAGGTTTGTTGGTTGGCTGGATGTTTGGCTGGAGCTAGCTGCCCATTGTGATTTCTGTTGGAAGGCACGCAATAACAATATGTAAGATCTCTTGAATCGTATGAAAGAAGTAAATTGTTTTATGGTCAGATAAACTTTGATCCACACCCTCTAGGCAGGACTCCAAGCACTAGAGCTCGGGATTGTTTGGTTACCGGGCTAGGCAGGTTATTTTCCAAGAGTGTGTAAGTGGATAAGAAGAAAACAAGAAGAAAAGACACAGGCCCGGCCTATGAGACAACTGTACAGAAAGATAGCACTACACCACCTTCCACAGTGATCAACTTAATGGCTCAGTGAATATGTAGAAGGCTGTCCGGTCACAAACGAGATGATGCGATGTGAATGGCAGAATCCCCTAGGCGAGCAAAGGGCTAGTTGTGTTGTGAAATATTCAATGTTTGTGTTTCTGGGACAAATTATGATGAGTGTCTTATTCTTCTAACTTGTGCATGGATATGGGCAGGCAGAGCAGTTGGCAAGCAAGATTTCAACGCCCCCTTCTATGCAATCTGCTTCGAGTACAGATCAAACAAGGGGGTATATGCATGAAATAGAAAGGCACAAATGATAAGCATGGAGCTTATTCGTCAGTCATAGCCAGTAGTGGCAGTGATCTCTGGCTAGTACAGTGCCATTGAGGTCCTGGTTCCGAATGGGAAACCACGTCGAGGCTTGTCAGCGGCCGGGGCGAGGGTCGGTCAGGGTTGAAGGGCTTCATGCCGGCCACCCGCGCCCCGGCCCACTTTCCAGTGGAGCCAGCCCAACAAGCGCCCCGTGAAGCTGATCCTTCGCGCGGGGGCCAAAAGTGCCGCGTCGACCAATTCGATCGTTGAATCATAAGCCATGATGAATCCTCCGCTGGCGATCATGGTAGTTCTGCGGGCTGGGATTGTATCTGAGGGTGATGCGCGGACGGCGGCATTGACCCTTCATGTTGTGCCGTTGGCATAGTCTGATGCGGGGGATAAGGAGTGGAGTTCTGAGAGTTTTGGTGAGGATATTGGTGGTATGGACCAGAGCCAGGGTTGTAGTTCATGCGTGGATCATATGCATAATGTGGTTGTTGGTATTGTGGGGGGGGGTGGTCGGCATGATGATGCTGATGATGACGATGACGATGGCATTGACACTGATGGTCTTGAGTTTTTTGCTTCTTTTCTTGATAATCGTTCGCCGCTCTGGGATCAGTCAGTATGTCGTCTTTTGGAGGCAGAGCTAGCTTAATCATATGGCACGTACTTGGAGGAGACTTTGAGGAGGCCGTAAGCTCCGGCGAGTTGGATTCCAGTCTTGATAAGACCCATTTTGAGATTGGCAGCAGAAACAGCTGAAGTAGTAGAGAGACAGTGGGGATGATTGATTTATGTTCAAATTGATAGGGAGCCATTGGTGCTTTATACTGCCTGGCTTGTGCCGATCACCTCTGTGCACCAAGTCTTGTTGACCGCAGGGCAGCCCACTCAAGGCTACGCTAACCCTAAGTGACGAAGAAACCGAACCCGTGTCAACTGCGCCACAATAACAGACGACAATGAATTTGAGGTTAAGCATCAGAACAATCCGTGCGCTAGTTAGACTGACTAGACTAGAGCGATAATCTCAGCCAAGCAACCCCTGACCCGCGTGCACCAATTCTTTCCCTTGATGCAGCATCAACCCGAATCCGTCTTGCCCAGAGTCATCACTCAATCTCGTCCCCCCACTATGCCTCCAAGGCTTAATCACCGTAAGTCTGTCCGGGGCTGCCGTAACTGCAAGAGACGTAAGGTCAAGGTCTGTACTGCCCTGCGACCCACCTAGCCCACCCCAATCACTCCCTTAGAAGCTAACCAAGCACCATCCGCAGTGCGACGAAAAGCGACCAGAATGTAGCGCCTGTATCCGCCACTTCGTGGTCTGCGACTACCCCGACCTCCAAACCATCATCCACAGCTATGAGCCCTCCAGACAACAAAGATGCTCGTTACCCGCCCCACTGGCATCATCCCGACCAGCCCCCCTTAGACCAAGCCTTCCCTCCCCCGAAAGAGCCAATCTCAACCCCACCGACCTCCAACTGATACACCACTACGTCACCGCCACCGCCCACACGATGGGACACGCGCAGCTGCCCCCCGTTCTAGCCATGTGGCAGCTAGCTGTTCCCGAAATGGCCTTCGAGTACCCGCCGCTCCTGCACACCATCCTCGCCGTCGCGGCCACCCACCGCGCCGCTTTACTGCCTGACACCGCCGAGGTTGACGCGGATCGTCTCCGCGCCGCGCATCACCTCCACATCGACCGAGCCTTAAAGCACCACCGCGCGGAGACAGCCCGAGTCAATCGTCCGGGCACGGTAGTCTCCGAGGCGCTTTGCATGAACACGATCCTGATCTGCCTATACGCGCTGACGCTCCGAGGAGGCGCAAATGGGACTACTAGCACAAGCACCACCTACGAGCCCCCACTATTATGGCTGCACATGTCCCGGGGCATCCGGCTGATGATCGGACGGGCGTACCATGGTCTCGTCGGAGCCAAGGCGCGGATCGCGCCGTTGCTGATGGCCAAGCCGCTCGTGCATGGGGGCGCTGCGACGGCTGCTATCACCTCTCGAGTCACGATCGCCACCACCGCTACCCCCACATCTACTAGCAACATGCGCAACAACGCCATTGGTTGTATATCCACTGGCAGCAAAATCCGACCTCTCCATTTCCTTCTAGACTGTAACCCTGACGAAGAAGGCGAGACGCCGGAGATCCACGCCCTCTACGATGAATGCGTCAAATACCTGGAGGGGATGTACGTCGCGGTCGTGGACCATGGGGAGGCGGGCTTTGATCTGCGGAAGCGCTTCTCCTCGTTTGGGCCGATGACCCCCGCCCCGTTTGTGGGGCTCGTGGCGGACCGCAGGCCCCGCGCGTTAGTCATTCTCGCGTATCTGTTTGCGTTGGCGAAGGGAGCGGAGGAGGTGTGGTGGTTGAAGGGGATTCCGGAGCGGGAGGTTAGGGGAATTTATGGTGCTTTGCCGGTGAGGTGGAAGGGGGTGATGCGGTGGGCGTTGGAGTACGTTACTGGGGGTAGTTCGTGGGCCCTGGAGGAAAAGCGGGGGGTATTTGGGTAGGTTCTGTTAATGCTGAGGTTTGTGACGAAGATGGGATTGAGGTGTAAAGGGGTATTAAAGTTTTCATTAAGATATGTAGATCATGCTGCTGCGAATAAATGTGGTGAGGGGATACCTATACCAGCATTACGTGACAGGAAGTATGTGATAGTGCACAGGGGTGGTATTAGGCACTTGAAAGTGAACGTTGTTCAGGGCAATGTGTCAATGCATGCAGACACGACAGCCTAAAGGGCAAGAAGCAAGCCAACACCCGCCAGACCCGACAAAAGTTGGCCCGAGTTGCTGGTAGGGAGAGCGGCTGCCCCAGCCTCGGACGAAGTGCTCTGAACGGACGCTGCAGTGCCCGTGGCGGTAGGCTGACTGCCACCCTGGGTGAGAGTCACGGTGCCTGAGACCATAACCGTGGGCTCGGACACAGCACCCGTTCCGGTGGGCTCCACCCCGTTGCCCGTCGCTGACGAAACAGCCGACGGCATCAGGGTGGCTCCCGGCACGGCCTTGGTACCTGTCCCGATCTCCAGGATGTCATCCTTGCCGGGCGAGAAGTTGGTGTTGGCCACCGAGATCTCATTGTTAGCCAGGTCGTAGACCACGTACGCGCTGCGGAGAAAGGTGTCGCCCAGCAGATTCATGCCAGCCTGACTGGGCACAATTCCGAAGATACAGTCCCCCTGGTCGAAGTCGGGCTCGGTATAGGGCAGCACCAATTGGCTGACGGGGACGGTGACGGTGGCGCCGGAGAAACCGAACGTCACGTTGTAATCCTTCTCCATGGCGCTGCAGGCGATGTAAGCGGCTTGGCTCTTGGTGGAGTAGCCCGCATCGAGCTCCTTGTAGATCTCGTTGACGAGGTCCTCCGGAAGCGCGGTCATGGTCGTGCCGGTGTCGAGGCTACAGGACAGGGGCAGATTGGTGGTGTACTTTTTGGAGCTAGAGCTACTCTTCTCCACGGACACTTCGGTCAGGGCGATGGCCAGGGACACGTACTGACCGTCGCGAGGCACAATCGGCAGAGTTTGCAGCTCGCCAAGGTACTTGGCTTTGTTCACGCCGCCGAAGAGAATAGAGCCCGTCGTCGCGTCCTCGTCGTCGAGCCACACGCTGTAGGCGGGCGACTTGATGGCGCCACTGTCGACCAGCGCCTGGGGCAAATTGGAGTACACTTTACCGTCGTACGTTTCTTGGTAAGTCGCGCGCGCATATCCGACGCCAGCAATACCCTCTATCAATGGAAAACGATTGTGTCAGCATGAACTATTCTTGGGGGTGGTTTTGCGCTTGCGTGCGAACAACGGCGGTAGACTTACGGGGACTGGTTGACTTCTCCGCGACAGCAAACTGCATTGACTTGATTGTAGTCCCCCCAATCGTGACATTGTCGGTCGCGTAGTTACCATAAGAATTCGTCCCGTCTCCGTAGGTGTCGTTCATAAAGGTGGAGAGTTTCTTGTAACTCGACGAGGCGCCAGAGTCGTATGTCCCGTAAGGCTTGCAGGGGTCGCCTTTGGCCGAACACTCGTCCGAGTCTGCGGTATTCACCCAGGTGTCGCTGCTACCGGTGTCCAGGGACAGGACCACCTTCTGTGGGGGTGTCCCGATAGTCAAGTTGAGGGAATAATAAGAGTCGCTCTACATGTGGCTTGTCATTTGTCTGCACAATCCTTGTGACTACGTCGCTGAAAGTGCGGCTGGGCGGGCATACATGATTATCAACCGTCACATCAACCGTGGAGTCCCTCTTCCGGCTTGGCTGGGTGACCGGTTTGCGCTCAAGGGGAATGTGAACGGTAGCAGGCACATCACGACGGTGCAGCTGAAGCGCATCCACATAGGGGGCGGCGGCTAGCCCGAGGACCGGGAGGAGGTAAGCACCACGCATATTGACTGGTCGCAACAACCGCGCAAAGGAGGTTTCTGACTGAGAGGAGTCCCAACGAGGTGAGAAACACAAGAACAGAGAAGAGAAATCTCAACTTATGCAGGCGGGAGCAGGCAGCCTTTATGACTGTCATCCCACTTTGATTAGGTTCCCTCGTCAGGGTTCGGATAACCGGCGATTCAATAGTCAACGGGCTTAGAGCCTCGAAATGGCTCTAAGCCACCAGTCAGCTTCGTCGGGCACAGCCGGACCCAGTGCCAATCCAGGCTTGTCAAGGTGCTTGGACTACTTAGGCCGAAAGGGTGCAAGGACCGGAGAAGGGTCGGCAAATCACTGGTCAGCTTCTTAGGCCCGAGCTACAAGCGAAGGAGGGTAAGCCAGCTTAGCGTTAAGTTCTTTCATCTCCGGCACCCACGTTATGTGGTCTGTTGGCTGTGTGGGTGTGGAGCACGCCGCTGTTAGCGTCCGGGGACCTGAAAGCGTGGGAATATCTGTTTGGTCCGATACTCAGGAGTTCGATGTCTGCGGGGCTGAGTGAATGAATGAATTCATCTCCTGTGAACTCGTGATGGGTGAGGTTAGAGGGGCCCGATTGCTGAGATGAACCCTATGTTCGGGACGTGGCTCGGAGAACAAACGCTTGTCAGATCTTTGGTGGGACCGTGGCCGCTGATCTGGCGTACCAGGCGCAATGGTCTGCGATCACTATCATGATGATCCCCGTGGGAAAATAAAAAGAAAAAAATACAAATCAGGCATCGGGAGCTAATCATTCATTTCAAGATTCATGGTTATTAAAAGCTGATGAAATATGTTTAGAGAAATCAGAGGACCGAAATTTCCCAATTGGGGGTCGGAGATTAGCCCGGCGGGCAGGCCCGGGATTCTTGATCAGGCAATATCAGGGTCAGGCCCGGGAACCAGTGGAGCCTCTCACCACCCAAAATGAAGAGGAAAAGACAAGGGCAAAAAGTTGGAGCTGCGGGGAATCGAACCCCGGACCTCTCCCATGCTAAGGGAATATTATACCACTAAACCACAGCCCCCATTGATGGAAGACGGTCGCTAAGTTAACATCAGGTTCTTGTTCTACACACGGTCTCACTCACACCTACGTTTTGGCATTCCTTGCTACTCCATTATAGCATTTATAGCCGGGTACTTATTGTGCAAGGCGTAAGACCACGTTGTAGGTGTCGGGTATATGTCTTGGCTGTAAAGGGTTTCGTATACCCAACAATCCCGTCATCCAAGTTTGTGTTTTCGTATCAAATGTTTTCGTATAAAAATAAATCCTTTAGTATTGCCGCTACCGTAGTAAACCTGGCACAGACTCTAAATGCAAGCAAAGTAAACCCAATCAGACCGCGCGCAGGAAGGCCCGGGGGGGGGAATAAGAAAGAAGAATACTTCACGTAAAATGCAGTGATCTACGCCTCTGAGCACCACAACAACGCGTGATTCGGATCTAATTTCCACCACCCTCACAGTCGCGAATCCCTAACACCCACCGTCGCAGCATGCGGAATGGAAGCAACACCCCAATGCATATTAACCTAAGTACCAAACGTCAATCCATATTCCGTACCCAATGACCAGTATCGAGCTCTCACCTCTACTACATGATCCCAGCCAAATAGTTCCGGTGCAATGGCCGGATCTCGCCACACCAATGCTTCCCCTGGCGGTGTCGGAACCATTTGCATCGCTCTGTCACGCAACTCTTGCTCCGGACCATCGGGCAGATGCTCGAGGTCTTTTTGCTCGTTCGATCGAGTAACAACCATCAATGTTCGCCGTTTGCGACACTTCTCAAACACCGCAAGGGCTTGTCGCTTGGCGAGGAGATACTCGCGCGATGACTTGGTGATGTGTGCATCATTTGGGAGACGAGAGAGGCATTCACCCAAGACTGCACCATCTTCGAGGGCCATGCCTGCACTGTGTGGTCTCACTTAGCACGATCTCTTCCGAAAACAGATCATCTGGTACTTACCCTGCTGCAAGATAAGGAAGGGTCGCGTGGACGCTGTCCCCGATCATCACGCCAGCTCCGGATGGATGTGACCAGCCTCCAGTGTTGAACCGGGTACATAGTCGCCACTTGTGAACTAATTTGCACAATCTAAGCAGCTTCGCAATACTACCCGACCTTCAGCCAATGCGGTCATGAATAATCGCAGTCGATCTGACTTACCGAGGATCCCAGTCTTTAAATAGCGAGCGCATTTCCTCCACATTCCCCGCCACGGTACTCGCCTTCGAATCCTCCGGGATATCATCAGGAGTAAGAAGGACGATGTTGAAGAGCTCCTTGCTCAGAGGATAGGCCACTCCTCACGCAATTAGTCACCATCGCATATCTCCTAGTCATCCAAAACAACTTACCCACGTGCTTCTCCGGCCCATACCAAAAATTCATATTCGGGTGCGTGACAAACTCCGCCAGCTCGGGATCCTTCACAATATCCGGCGACGCCAGCATCACTCGGTAGGCCAGATCCCCCGTCTTGGTCGGTGGCGTCGGATGCTCCAGCACCTGGTTGGCCAAGTTCCCAAAAATACCATCCGCCCCGACGAACAGGTCGGCCGTCCACCGTCGACCATCTTCTGTGGTGATCGTGGCCGTCCCCCCCTCAGCCCCATCGAACGCGACATCCACTATCTTCGCATTACAAGTGATCTCCCCTCCCAGCTCGGCGATCCGATCCAGCAACGTCCGCTGCAGATAGGGTCGGTAGAAGGCTCGGAACCACGTATTCGGGTACGCGCTTGCTGTTTCTTCCACGTTCATGCTCGTGATCAGGTTCCCCTTCCAGCCAAAGACGCGGTAGGCATTTGCTACAGCCCAGTGCTTGCTGAGTCGCTCCTCCAGGCCCCAGTGTTTCAGGACTCGCGAGCCGTTGGGCAGTACCTGGATGCCGGCGCCGACATGTTTGATCTCGGAGGTAGCCTCGAGGATGTGCACGTTGTGGCCGGCGAGCAGGCTGCTGATGGCTGCGCCTAGGCCCGCTATGCCGGCGCCGGCGATGATTATCTGGGTTTATCGTGGATTTAGTGTCATATGGTGGTTGAGGAGCGCGGTCAAGACATACGTCTAATTTGCACGAGGACGCTCGTGTTTCTTGCTGCTTGATATGATATGAGCCGGCCATGGTGGGATTGAACGAAAGGAAGTGTTGATGTAGACAAATTTCCAGGATGCGGTAGGTATGGTGTCAACTTCAGCAGAGAGCCATCTGGATCAGGAGCCTACCCAAGTATCTCGATGCAAATCGCCGACCTAAAGTGCGGCGGAGGAAGTAGCGACACGCATCGTTCCTTATACAACCTGTACCCCATGACATCAGAGTCGATACGGGTTGAAAAAGCCCTAACCGAACAACAATTCAACTCCATTTAGAGGGTTCTGGAAAGCCTAGCACTTATGTCGTGGCCTGTGAGATTCAATGCGGGTGTGACATGGCAATCTGCACGGGGTAACGTTGGCAGCAAGGGGCAGAGGCTACCACCGGACCTTGCTAGAGCTGGTGGGGATATTAGCCTAACATTTCTGTCTGGTTGGTGCGAGACGGATCACCCTAGGGTCCTGCATCTAGTTGTGCTGCAGGAGAACAATCATAGATATTATCTCACGCCAGAGATGTAATGCGGTGAATGAAACCCTCTGGCCCCGATCATGCTGTATGAAATTCCTGCCTCGATTATGGCTAATATTCGATCTACATTATCCTGGGTGGCATAAATTTATACATCTTTGCTGAGACATGAGAAGCCTATACCTATAGCCTATGCCTTGAGCCTCTTCCTTCGAGTGACCGCCATTGCCGTGCAATCCTTGCATCCTTGCCAAGGTGTTGAATACCAGCACCTGTTGGAGTATTTCCACGGAGCAGGGGGCAATACATTCCAATGAACGCATGACCATGAGAGCCGTTGGACGATCAACTGTGACCGCTCAAAGCCGAGCGCGCTCTGGGCCCAAAACACTCTACTTTGAACCAAAAAAGCCTAACCATATACCCTTACTGGATCTGACACTTGATTTCCACATCTAATACACGAGGCCCGTGGTTTACTTGCCATATACACTTCACCAGCCTGCAATTGCACCTGAATTCACACACGTGCCACAAGCTTGTTTCCTTATCGAATCCTACAGCGCCTCGAAAAAGGGTAATGATGTAAAGAGAATTCTGAGCGGAGATATCAATCGCTACGTCAACCTACACTATCGTATATTATATTATACAACGAGCCCATAATTCCCCTTAGCAAAGATACATTCACTCGCACTAAACCTTCCAGTCCCGCAAGAACCGCCATCTGGCCGTCTCCTTCCACCCGGCCGCCTTCCACCCATTGGCACTTGCAGGGAAGGTCTCCACCACTCCCTCCAAGCTCGTGTCGTGTGCGCACACCACAAAGACATTGCTTGCGCCATCGAATGCGGTCAATGAGCCCACGCTTCGCTCCGCTTCATCCGGATCCGCCGCTACGCTTCTGCCGTTGGGGAAGATGTGGACGTGGTAGAACGCAGAGGTCTGGTACTTTTCGGGGAATGGGTGGATTGCCGCGAAGATCTCGCCGGGACAGGGCACCGAGACGCCGGTGTAGGGGCTTGGTGTGATCCGGTCGGGCAAGGGAACATGCTCCGAGGGACGGAGCTGGCCCGCGTGGTGGATTGTGTCTGCGCCCATGAGGATGAATGTGTCTGAGCTGGTTGCTTCGCTGTCATTGCCAGTGCTGTTGGTGGTGCGGGCTAGACCGCATACATGCCCGACTGCGTGGCCTGGCACATCGAGGAGGTAGAACGAGCCGTCCCCGAAGTAATCGTGGGCTCGGAACCCACCGACCCGGAGGGTGAACTGCTCCGCGGGGATTTCCCCCAGGGCGCGCCCGGCGACATCCGACTCCAGCAGTTCACTCGCCGGGTTGGAAGGGTAGGCCGGCAGCGAGGCAGCGGATACACCTGGTCCAACTACCAGCGAGGTTGAGGACGGGAAGGTGGAGGCGTCGCCGACGTGGTCGAAATGCGTATGGCTTTTCGGTTTGTGCTTATGGTCAGCGGTTGCTTCCTTCTGTGTTGTTTTGGTCCGGGTTTACCTCCAAATTATCGCATCGACGGTGTCCAATGCGATGCCATGGTCGGTCAGAATCTCGGCTACGTCTTTCTCGATGGCGATGCTGAACATGTTCTTTAGGCGGTCGTATAAAGGTTTGGCCAGGTTCTCCCAGTCCTTGCGGATGCCCAAGTCGAAAAGAACCCGCTTGTTTAGGGACTTGTTCTCGACCAAGAATGCATACGCGCCGGCCTTGAGGTCCTTGAAGCCGCCAACTTCCGGTGCGACAAAGATTCCGGGAGGACCATGGATTCTGGCGGTTGTGTCGATGATGCCCACTTCCACGGTGTTACCGGAGGCGGGGATGTTTATGTCGATTTGGGGCATATTGTGACTGGATGGTGTAGTGATTTCTGTGAGTTTCTTTTGTTATTCGGCATGATATAGTAGCAGGATGTATGATTTATCTTATACTTTTCGCGACCATTCGGCCCATCCATCCCCAGGGTGTACTTCGTTTGGGAGGTAAGTACTTACTCGTTACTTGTCAATGAGCTAAACAAGGAAGCTATGAACGGTCAGCACCGGAATATGTCGGGACACGAAAGATACCGTTGGTAGTACTACCTTCTTTATCCTCGTGATGTCTAGTAATCATCGATCTATGGAGTGAAGGGCGCGCGGGTGAGCAAAGAAAGACCAATAACACGAGGAAGTTTGAGTTAGATAGATCGCTTTTTGTCAGCGGATCACCGGGTTATGGATCAGCTAAGGGGCCGGTGAGTCAGATCTCCACCAAAGAGCCGCGATAGCGGCCAGAAATAGATCAACTACCGGTAGAGTAAGCTCTGCAGACGGCGCCACGACTGCTTGTTCGGAGCTTATCGGCATCTGGCACAGTCATATCAGCAAGATCACAATCCTCCCCCGCAGAAAATCAGAGTATGGCGAAGCCTTGACTTGTGATACATAGCTTGTGACCATGGAAGTGCACAGTTCGCGTCCATGCACCTGCCGCTTAGCCATGCTTCCCAGTATCTCTCCTATTCAACTACGTGTACCACCGACAGCGACTCTGAATTATCAGAGTTGGTATTTTTATCTATCAAAATACTCATCAATCAACGGAAGAATTTATCTCACCTTTCTTCATCGGATTTTGCATAGAGGTTGAATTGTGTTGCTTTATACTGTACGTTGGAAATGTACTTGCAACGGCACATTCGCACATAAAACAATACTTAGAGGTCTCGAAAGTTCATGCTGCTTTTCTGCACTGCATCCTAATAACGAGACGCCCCGTGATAGGCTTGACAAATATAAGATATTTGAAAATTTTCACGAGAGAATAGATGCATCATTACATTGCACTGTAGTATCTAGCATGTACTAAATCATCTCTTAATTTGAATTTCTATCTAACTGCTAGTTGCACGCAAAAATTCTCCGACATTGACACAACATATAAAAGGCAGATTAAGATTTGCAGCACATAAGAGAACCAATGCTAGGGACAGGAAAAGAAATCAATTCTCAGTAGATGGGATCTGGATAGCGGTTCCGATTTTTGTTCCACTTTTTGTTCCAGTCTTCCCGCTAATTCGAGTGGTGAGACTTTTTGTAACAATGTTTTGATACCTCTTTCATGTTTATGTGTGAACGTTCTTTTATGTACAGTTCATTCTTCTCAAAACAGTTCCAAACCCAAACAAACGAAACTTCAGCTCCAAGCTCAGTTCGATGATGCACTAATAACCCGACAAGCCACCTGCACCTCCGGCGAAAGCCCCTTCAACGTCTCCGCCAACTCATCGGCTGCCCTTTGCAACGCTGCATCCGAGACCACCTCTCCCAGAGCATCAATAATAAACAACACTCGGGTCGTCTCATCCGTCAATGCCGTCCGCGGGCCCTGCCGCCAATTCCACCGCCGACAGGTGATCCCCGTGCTGTCGCACCAGATCGGCTCCCCCGGCGCCGCCAGCTCAGTCTGCGGCTCTCCACCGGAGAAGGTCTGAAATGGCTCCGTGCCCGTCGCACGGATCAAGAACGGCGCGCCGTCGTACTTGTCGAGATCCTCGCCTCCAAAAGGCAGCTGGTGCTTGATCGAGATGGCGTTGTAGATGTCCGTCAGACGGTTGACTCGTGGTAAGCCCGCCTCGACACGCCGGGTTAGGGCTTCCAGGCTGTTCCGGGTCTTCTGGGGTTTGGCGCCGAAGGCTTTGTAGGTCTCACGCCAGGCGGCGATGTGCGGCAGCTCGGTCACGGGCTTGTTGGCTAATAGTTCCTTGACACGAGTTTGGGCTTGTTGGAGGAGACTTTTGCTGGTCTGGTCGCTGGGGCCCTGGGGGATGTTCTCGACCACCATTAGGAGGGCGCGGTAGTCGGGCCGGAGCTGAAAGATGGCCGGGTCGACGCGCGCGGCTTTGAGTAGGGTTTGGGCGGCTTGTGTGGTGCTCATTGTGAGGATTGTCAAGAATGAAAGTCTTGGAAGTATATGTACTCGGATACAGAGAAGAACAAAGTGCGGCCGGGGCTTTGCTGCTCTATAAGTACTGAGAATACATCGCCGAGTCCATAAAATGTATAGAAGAAAGTGGTGGCGAAGTGCCAACCAAGACGGGGGGAAGAATCTTGGGTCGCCCCACTACCCTTAACTTCTCTTTCGGGAAGGCCACCCGATTGCCATCCCGCTGATCGAGGCCCGGTAAGTTTTCCGCAGTAGCGAACCTCGGACGTCATCGGACAAAACATTGCCGGCCTATACCTCCCGGATCCAATCATCCTGGCAGCTCATGTGAAATCTCAGCCTGCGCTGGAAGCTCATGCGCCTTCACCACCCCTTGACTTCCTTCCAATTCATACTTCCTCCGTGCTCCACTGCCCCCATCCAGCTCCGAGGTTTCAGCAACCCGCGCACTGACTGGCGTCTCATCGGCACTTTCCCCCCTCTTCTTCTTAACCCTATAGAGCAAGTACAACCCTGCCACGCCGATAATCACGGCAGCAGCGCAGCCCACCCCGATGCCTGCTTTCGACCCTGTACTCAGACCGCCACTGACACCCGGATCGGTGGTCGGGCCCGCCGTGTTGGATGTAACCGATCCTGCACTGGAAGAGGTAGCCGTAGTCTGCATTGTCGAGCCGTCACCTGTACTCGTGGAGATCATGCTGAGCGTACTCTTCGTGATGGTGACCCCACCGACGGTCGAACTCGTCGTACTCGCACTAGCATTCGATGGCTGACCTAGTGTCAGCTGAAATCTTCCCGATAGATACATTTTGTCCCCGAAGGTATAACGAAGGTACCATCCGTCGGCCATCGTGAATGATTTTTGCAGCGTATAGATGCCTGCGGTGATATTCACACCGTCTACAGTGTAGTCTATCCCTTCTTCTAAGTGTGAGATTTGGAAAAAAGCAATCTCCATTGGTTCCTTGATGGGGTCCGTTGAGTTGTAGGTCCATGTTGTGGTGAGGCCGTCGTAGATGCTGACGATGTCGTCTTTGTGAGGGTAGGTGACTTCGAATGCTAAATGGTTTCCCATACAACTCAAGGAGTCAGCCAACGTTGTTTGTGGAGTAAATCAACAGTGATACAAATAATAAGGTGTAGATTAAATAGACTTACCAGTTACTCGGAAGATCTCCGAGGCCAGAGTGAGCAGCAGAATCGAGCTCCAGATTGCCATGACTGTCAGACTCTATCTGGAATACAAGGTACAGGGCGGCCTGTGGGGTGGGGGGAAACGAAGGGGGTACCATTATTTAAGTATCTGGTCTCCCAGGGTCTTGCATGGATGGTGTTCTCTCCCGGAGAGCTAGACATACACTAGGTTAAGAAAATTAGCGACGTTCAATCACCGTCTGAGTTCTAAGTTAGCATTGCCTAGCTCCAGAAAGGCCAAGGGGGTGGTGGAGAATTAGTACTGAATTATGTTTGGGCCATGAAATTCACTAAGAACACTTGGATTTGACCGGCAATTGAGCTAACACTCATGGACGTGCCAATCAACCGCTCAATTATTTCCTCGTCTGGAACTTCGTCATGAAGCGTCCAAGGTTGAGTCATCAATCACTTTTCGGATAGCAATGCTGCGAGGCACTGAAATAGACCCTCTTGCGTCCGGGCTGGTCTTGAAGGTACTTGAGCCGATGCGGGGCTCGATTTGAGCCAGAAGGAAGGGCTGGGGGTGGCCAGTTCGACTGGACCCCTATTTTCTCCGATTTCAAACCCTAGCTTTGTTAGAATCGAGCTAAGAGAAGCTAAGAGAAGCTACCCAATTTAGTGTCGGATAGCATCTTCCAGGTTCTTGGCGCAGCACGCTGTCTCCGACTTGTGAAATTTTCCCAGAATCAATCCTCCAATAAGCCCTAGGATTCATTTAGTTTGGTCCTGTGCGTAGTTCCTGGCAAATCCGAGTGGCAACTTCAAGCAGCAACATAACACTAATGAACCGTGACTATGCCTTTCGGTACATACCGAGGTGAACCAGCAGTTGATACTCCACAAATTCCGATTGTACATAAAGCTCACCCCACTACTAAAGCGAGAGCTTCGATTACTCGCGGGAAGCGAATCGGCCATGGCCATTCCCGAGTACAAGTTACATATACCATGCCACAACTCCAGCCTGGTCGGCTACTGTAGTCAACACTATCATTAAATCCTAAGCTGAACATGGATGACAGGTTATCTGTAGATCTAGCCGTAAGTGATTCGCTTCCCAAGATACTAAGCCTTCTGGTCGATAAGGCAATAAGCGTTGACTATCTTCTGATTGCATAACTGTCTACACCTCAACTAAGATTTAGAGACTCGAATGCGGCCTCTATCAACCCACATTCCTCGGGCCAATGCTTGACATGTTGAAAGGGTGGTGGTGATTCTTGTCCCCCTGATGGGAAATATCGAACTTTGGATGGACGCGATCTAATTTCCAAGGTCTGGAAGGATCAAGATTTACCGATTGTAGCCTCCGGGGCGTACCTATGTCGAAGGATGAGAAGGTCCCGCAATCATGAGGGCTACTCGGATTTCTGGCCCGACGTTGAGATCCCAGTGCCATACAAGGGATGACTCCTTTCACCCCCGCACGTTTGGCACAACATTCCTCAATCTCTGGGGTGACAGCTTTGTATCTTAAGTACTTATTATTCCTTCTGTCTACAATCTTTTTTCAATAAATTTTATCATTTCCAGCCACAAAGGCAACGGTTATGGCGCGCTCGAAGAGCCCTGAAGCGGAGGAGATTCCTCTAGATACAAGAAACGATACAGACAGCGAGGCGAACCAACAAGCCGAAGAACTCGAAAACACGCTCCTCACCGGCTACAAGCTGGTGGCCATTATGGCCGGGCTATGTTGCTGTGTTTTGTGTATTTCACTGGTCCGTCAACGCGCGATCGCCCAGCACGTTTAGAAGACACCCAATCTAACAAAAAGTCCTGCCATCAGGACAACACCATAGTCGCGACCGCAATTCCAAGAATCGCCGAGCATTTCCATTCTTTCGATGACGCTGGCTGGTACGCGAGTGCCTATCTCCTCCCCACCAGCGCCGTTACCCTTGTCTACGGCCGGATCTATACATTTTTCCCCATCAAATGGGTGTATCTGACCGCGCTATTTCTGTTCGAACTTGGATCCCTCGTCTCCGGCGTTGCCCAATCTTCGACCTGTCTCATTATTGGGCGCGCTATATCCGGACTCGGAGGGGGCGGCCTTTTCTCCGGGTCGCTGATCATCATCTCTCGATGTATTCCACGACACCGTCGCCCGATCTTTGCTGGGTTCATCATGGGTATCTATGGGATTGGTAGTGTCATCGCGCCACCGTAAGTAGGCAACCCTCTCTGGCTACATGTACCCTCAATGACTCAGCCACCTTCCGACCAGTCTCGGGGGGGCATTCACCGACAACCTCACGTGGCGATGGTGTTTCTACATCAATCTCCCCCTAGGTGCAGTTACCGCGCTAGCAATCCTCTTCGCCTGCCAAAGCACCGAGCCAATCATGAAAGCATCCTGGCAAGAGAAGCTGCGGCGAATGGACCCGCTGGGGATCCTCACTTTCCTGCCAGCCATCATCTGCCTGCTACTAGCCCTCCAATGGGGAGGCACAACGTACCCCTGGGCAAACGGCCGCATCATCAGTCTATTCACCGTCTTCGGCGTTCTCCTCCTGTGCTTTATCGGCCTCCAAGTGTACGCCGGCGAGAAAGCAATGCTTCCCCCTCGACTCCTCCGCGGGCGCAACATCTGGGGCTCAGCCCTTTTCAGCTTCTGCCTGAACAGCGCGATCTTCATCTTCGTTTACTACGTGAGCACCCACAAAGAACCTCAATCACGCCACCTTGAAGTCCCCCCACTGACCTCAAATCACCGCATCTCAGCTCCCAGTCTGGTTCCAGTCCGTGAAAGGCGCCTCAGCCACCGAATCCGGCGTGATGAACCTCCCACTGACCCTCTCCAACGCCCTGCTGGCCATGGGCTCCGGCCTCCTCGTCACCGCCGTGCGATACTACTACGGCCCCGTGATGCTCCTCAGCGCCGGCCTAACCTGCATCAGCGCGGGGCTGCTGACCACCCTGCACCCGGACTCCGCCGCCGCCGCGTGGGCCGGTTACCAGGTCTTCTTTGGCCTGGCGGCGGGGCTGGGCATCCAGCTGCCCGTGTTTGTGGTCCAGACCACCCTCCCGACGGCGGATATCCCCACCGCCACTGCGCTGATGGCCTTTGTGCAGGTGCTGGGCGGCGCGGTGTTCGTCTTCGTCGGCCAGAATGTCTTTCAGAATCGGCTTGTTGCGGGGCTGCTGCACGCGGAATTGCCGGCGGAGCTGGATGTGCAGGCGGTTTTGGGAGCAGGACCGGCTGGGCTGCGGGCGATTGCCTCTGGAGATACGTTGGTGACGTTGCTGAGTGTGTATAATGATGCGGTGGTGCGCACGTTCTTTGTTGCTGTTGGGATGGCGGTGGCTTCGGTGCTGGGGGCGGGGGTTGTTGAGTGGCGGCCGATCAGCAAGAAGAGTCGGACAATATGTACGAATCATACCTTTCTATAGGATCAACTACATCTACATCTACTACCAGCGATGTTCCCAGTATACATTTGCTCGAGCAGGAGAAAGCTGAATTTGATGCAATCTGTAGTATGGGAATCAAATGCAGCGTGCGTCAATCAACCGGTAAAAAAGGCACATTGTTGACAGCATAAAGGTCAGATAAAAATAAGAAGAACGCTTTTGATCAGCAACACCAGCATGACCCATACTGCTTCAGCCCATTATCCCATTCATATTATACTCGGATCTTCCAATGCCATTTATAATCCAAACACGCCCATCGAGCCGTCAAGAAGAGAAACATCGCCAACACAAGGACACATCCCAACCAGACGATCACGATGCGGGATCCGACTCTCTCGAGCATCTCTCCGCCGACGGGGATGGAGATCAACACGCTAGTAGCTCGGTCAGATGTCTTGTCTCCGGGTTGGCCGTGACATGAGTAAAGACTTACGCGAAGCTCACCAGTGCATAGCAGGTCCCGAAGCGCATCCCGATCTCCTTCGCCGGCGACACCTGCCGGATGCACACCGGTGCGAGGCTGAGGAAGGATCCGGAGCTGAGGCCGTACAGCGCGCTGAAGAAGTACAGCGCTGTCATCGAGTGACTGAACGGGTACAGAATGATGAAGATGGCCAGGATGCCGGCCGACACGAGGACTAAGAGGGTGTTCAGCCGGCCGTACTTGTCACCCACGCGGCCGGCGAGAAGACGTCCGATGATCGAGCAGCTTTACGCAAAGTGTGGTTAGCACTGAAAACACATATCTCGGAGTCCGGCTGAGGGGCTCGCTCACATGTTCAAAACGACGAGCAGATTGACACTTGTATTCACGCTGAATCCCAGCGCCACGACGTAGGTTGGGAAGAGGCCGAGCAGGGCGAAGGTTTCGAGTTCGAGGACTAGTTGACGAGTAAGCCAGGCATAACTCACACAGCAGATAACGACAAAAGCACTTACACCAGATTCCCACCGTGAGCAGCGAGAACCTCGAGTCTTTGAAGCACCTCGCATCAATGGCCGTCTTCAGCTTGTCACCCTTGGGCAACCGCGACTTCACCAAAAAGGACCCCGTTCCACAGACCGCCAGAATCACAAGAGCGAGAATCCGCATGCCCCAACGGAACCCAAACCTCGCGAAGGATGCTTTCAAGAGAAAGGGGAACACGACTCCCCCCAGTCCGGAACCCACCAATGCGGTTCCCATGGCCATTCCGATGCGCACCTGGAACCAATGCGGCACGCAGGCCATCGCGACCGTACTCACCAAGGCGCTGCCAATGCCCGCCATGATGCCGAAACTGAGAACAAACTGCCAGTACTGGGTACATTCCGCGGTGAGGAACAGGGCTGCGACGTAGATCGCAGATCCCACGGTGACTAGGGCCTTGGGGCCGTAGGTATCGAACAGCGGTCCGACAAACACGCCCGCGGCTAGCATCATGAACATGAAGAGACCTGGGACCCAGCCCACGGTGCTGCTGGTGTAGTGGGCAAGCTGGTGGGTTTCGAGGTAGGATTGCAGCACCCCCACCGAGTTCATAAGGCCGTAGGAAGCGAGCAGAAGGAGAGAGGACCCGAGCACCACCAGCCACGATCTGAGGCCGCCATCGGGGAATTGCTCGTTAGTGTCGGGGTGGCGCATCAAGCTCGTGGTGGAAGTGTCCACGAGCTGGAGCTCGAAGTCGGTGCCATTGGTGTTTCGTGCGACGACGGCATTCTCGATGTCGGTCACGTCAACCCCCGAGCGAGAGCAGGTGGTTCCTGTGGGGGTCGTTGCTAGCTCCATAGGCTTTTCTTGGTGGTCATTTAGGATTGAGGGAGAGAATTTCTGGCTGAAATTCCTTGCTCATCGCCCAGACACCTGATGAGATCAAGATTCTCATTGTTCAGGCATTAGGCGGGGTCAAATTTTTATAGACTCTTTGCTTGCGGGGACTCCACTTCTTGCAATCCCGAGATCCCGATGCAGGATTAGTGGTGCTACCCAAACCGTCGGGTGGCCTTCCGATTGGCAAGTGTCGCCGTATCGATCAGATTATCAATATCCTTGTGAGTCATGAAAAGATAAATTATGTTAAGCGCATTTCTTCAGCGCATAGCGCGTTCTTTAGTAATGCATACCATCCTACGCCGTATCTTCGACCTCCAGACATAGATTTTGGATCAAACAGTAGTAACATAATCACCTGTACTGTACTGTACATGTCATGCAACAGCAAATACCCTCAATCCACAACTCACAAATGCCCTAACAGCAACAACACCCATCATCATCCTTGTTATTATGACTATCCCCGCAGCATCCCCCGCAGCATCCATCGCAACATCCATCGCAACACCCATCACATCCCCCACAACAATCCTCGTCGTCATCGCTCTTCTCCATCCTCGGCGCCTCCGGTGCCTGATACCCAGTATACTGGGTGGTCGTCGCAAGGTCATTCCCGGGGTACGTCATATCATTATTATTGTCCACATATCCACGGTCGCCATCGTGGATATTATCATCGTCCCCAGACCAATCGTCCCCGTCCTCTCGGACATATTGCCCGGAATCCCGGTCGCTGGGGTTGGTCTCTCGTAGCTCGATCGTTTCGTTGTTTTGGCTCCATTCGTTGTAGATCACCGCGCCGCCGAGACCGGCTGCTGCGCCGGCTGCTGCGCCGGCTATGACGGGGGCTCTGCTGTGCGGGTGGCTGGTGCGGGAGGGATGGGCAGGGTGGGCGGGGTGGGGACTGTGTTGAGGGTGTGGTGCGGGGTGGTGAGCGACGGGGTGGTGCTGTGGAGCGCGGTGAGGTTGGTGAGCTACCGGATGTGGGTGCGCTGCTGGATTAGGGTGAGCTGGGGGTGGATGCGCTGCCGGATGCTGGCGTGCGCTTGCGCCATGATGAGTCGGTGGATGGCCATGAGCAGTCCGCAGGCCCCGAGGCTGGGCGTGCTGTTGCTGGCGATTCTGCGGGTGATGTTGAGGCTGGCCCTGCTTGGTATGCGCAGGTGCGGGGCGGGTCGTGCGGCCCATTGCTTCGAAGAATGGCTGTCTTAGATACCCGATGAAAGAAGGGAGTAGTTGCTGCGTTGGATACGCAGTGTGTATTGTTCAATGTTCTGTTCTGGTGATGGGCTGTACAGTACAGTACCTCAACTGCGGGAGCTTAGGGCTACCGGTGGTGTACTCCGAGCGAACACTGCATTGGCGTCGGGGTCCGGGTCCGTATATAACATCCCACTCCCTCTCCCTTTCCCCTTCTTGCACCTCCTTCTACCATGCTCGAGGCTTATGAATCGTATCGCGGAGATTATCAAAATACACTCATGTGCCACTTAATAAACAGGTTCAACCCCCTGCCATTGCCACGCTCAACGAAGGACGAACAAGAATCTCCGCCCCCAGCTTGGCACAATGGAAAAACGTTGGCCATCGATGCAACCTTCGACAGCGGACACGAGACAAGCAGCTCTACTTGCCACAGAAATAGGGTTACAGGGTCAATTCCTGAGGTGCGGCTGAGAGGCGGCCCAGTAGCTTGTGGTGTCCAAGCTCGTATCTGCACGAGCAGCGGGAGGGATGCACTCTCACCTCGGAAAGCAAACGCCACAAGCGCCCATCCACGGCCCAAGCACGACTTCGCGTGGGGTTTGTCTGGTGGCGATGCGTCTAGACTGATGCCAGGGACGGGATGATGGTCTGCATCTGACCATGCCAAGGCAGTTTGTAAGGCATCCGTGCAGATAGAAATCAACTTGGAAGGGGGGGATGCGTTATTGAATGCTTCGATGGGTGGATGCTTGATAATGGGAGGGCGCGCGGTATTCCGCACTGCGATGGATGGATTGGAAATCAGGAATTGGTGGGTTGGCCAACTCGTGTCAGCTTGGTGTCAGCTTGGTGTCAGCTTGGTGTCGATAGGCGCAATGCAGCCGCGATAGAGAGCAAAGATGTAAACATAGATGGGTGGTGCCAGTTATGGTCGGAACGAACCATGGGGTCTGGAGCGAAAGCGCCAATGAAAACGACCTGCTCTTTCGCCCACGGCTTGTCCATGGCAGTGGTCAGGATGCCTCGGCGGGCGTTCTCATAGACGCACAAGAAACAAAGCAAAAAAGAAAGTGGCGCTGCCCGGAATCGAACCGGGGCTGGCACGGCCACAACGTGACGTCATACCACTAGACCACAGCACCTGTTGTTGTGCTAGTCGAACCAGCTTATTGACATATGTGCTGCAAAGAACAAGCTTCCAGAATGGGACTTCTTGATCTTGTCATCCTGGACAAAATTGTCCATTTTCTCATATCGGAGAGGTTATCGGGCAAAAACTGTCTCTCTACGTAGCGTAGGCATGGCTCGGGTATACTCACCTAGCTTAAACATCAGCATTGAGGTGATTTACAAGGGTATTTTTAGATCATTACCCGGGTGCGGCACCTGCTGTTGGGATTATATATATTTCGCTCGACCTCCGTGTTGGGGATTGGACAGCTCCCTCAGATGGGTAACATTCCAACGCTACAATTAGATTGACACGCAAAATCTACTACCCGCAATAAAAGACCAGCCACAAGAGCATAGCAAAACATGAACTCTACTCAAAAACGACAGCATGGCATCAAACCGTGGGATACCTGATAGCAGGAACATGTCACGTGACCGAACAAAACAGAGGCTTGTTTCTCAGCGAATGAGAATGAGGGATGCTACCTTTCGAGATTGCCGGCCCCGAACTCCTTAGTCGTCAGCCCAGCGAGCCACGTACAGGCTGTCTTTCTTTCTTCCCTCCTTCAAGATTACATTCGAAACATTGTTAACTCAATTGAACAGGGCCAAAAACCAGTCACAGGCGCAGATTCAATACGATGGATACCAGTCCACACAACAAAAGCCACGCTATCCACAAAGCTCCTTTTATATCGCGCATCGCTGTCCCGCAGCCCCCGGTTTCCTCCCCACAACCGTATACCTCGTGAAAGCCCAGCACGCTCCCTCCCGCGTCTCCCGCTCGACCTCGAGCATCAGCTGCGCCAGGGTCTGCGCGACTGGCTCGGTCACCGCAAACCGCCGCGCGAAACTCGCGTTGATCATCAGGTTGCAGTCGTGCAGCGCGAGCGCTAGATCGCCGGGCGCGTCCCGGACGTCGGAGGTGATGGCCTGATAGCCGGCTGCGGCGAGCTTCGAGCCGAGGTGGGGCACCCAGCGCGGTCGAAGACGGGGGTCATGGCCCTCGGAGAGGCGGAAGAGGCGCTCCAGGGCCGTGGTCGTTGCGGGCTCGGTCCTTTGCTCAGATGGTTGGGAATGGACACTGGTGGTGGTCTCGATTCGGAACGAGCCCATGTCGACTTCGGACCATTGGAGGTAGCCGCCCGGTTCTATGTAGTGGTACATATCCCCAAGTGGGAAGGTTCAATCAGTCGCTGCAAGCAGTTCATGGGTGTAAACACCAAACATCGATGATGAGGGCATGGGACAGAGAGGGAGTGAGCGGGAGAAGTCAAGTCCATATAGATCCAAGAAGGCACCCGCTGACTGGTTTTGGGGTTTCTGGAAGGCCGGGAGGGGGGGGGAGGTGTCGAGAGAAAGATCGCGTGAGTAAGGCAGGTATACGCACTGAGCAGTCTCATGACCTTATCAAGCACAGGCTGGACCTCTTCGTCGAGGAGCACAAAGACGAAATGACTGATATGGACTATGTCGTAGACACCAACTAGCTCGTCGGGAACTTCCGTCTTGACATCCCATATGGTAGTGCGGAGATTAGCTGGCAGCCACTCTTTGGGTGGAAGGGCCTCCAGCGAAATGTCGAACCCATCTAGCTGCACCGATGGTGGGAGTCGCCGGGCGAGATCCGTGAGCCAGACCCTATACAAGTAATCGATTCCCTGTCAGGGGCTGCGAGAGGTGCTGGTTGTCTGCCAAATCTGGACATGCTTGGAAGGGCTGGCAACATACCCAGTTCCTGTGCCAATATCTGCAACCCTCAGCTTGGTGTTGCTGATCGGGATGGCGGGATGCGTGTGGTATCCAAAGAGCTCCACACAAAGGTAGTGGTGCAGGTTTAGTCTGAGCATGGTCTTTCTGTCAGGCCTGGAGCCGATATGGAAGTAGTCGGCGCAAACCTACCGGACATTGTCGAGATAATCACGAGGGAGGACATAGCTTGGAGGTTGCGACATGGTGATCAAGACTTTGGCTGAGATGAGCCGGAGATGTAAGCTTGTGGCCGGTCTTCCTGTTCGTTTATCACATTTAAGCCACTACAGAGCTGAGAGGGCCTGTTGCACCAGGGCGAAGGTAAGACTATATAGATCACGGAGGAAAGCACGATACAAAGCAGAATTCTCAAGAGGAAACCTGGAGGGAAGGGGGGCTTTGCCACAGGAGTATTCAGGTCGCCTCGAACCACAGGTTACTGCGCCTGAACTTGCATGGTGGGGGTGCCGTGGTAGATTTGGCCCCAAATCGCTCCCAAATCAAGCCATGGAGCTACCAGGGTTACTTTATCGCGGCTGATCATCCCATTGAAACAGTATTCGGTCTTGAATTGGTAATACTGCCTGCGCTTGCAAGACATAACTAGTCTTTCCCAGCAATGACGACGGAGACTTGGGTGATGTTTAGCTCCATCGTGCTCGCATTAGCGCACAGGAGGCGCACGGTAGAGTATCTTCGAAGCGCGTCAGCGACCAAAGATCCAGTCCCATCACTTCTACAAGAATTACTAAAATCAAGAACATGAGAAACGAAAAGGAGGGGACGAAATGTCCCCATGCATTAGTGCTTACCGCTCCAGAATTAGCCCCCTTCCCCCCCTCTTGGTAATTTTCCGCAGTCAATCTGCATTGGAACTCTGCGTTAAAACTACAGGGCTGGGCTTATTGCTCCTTTCTTCCTTCCCGCGTGAAGTACTTGGAACTGTATCGATACTACTCCGTACTTTGGTTGTCTTAAGGCGGCGGCTGATATTTTGGTCAAGCCGCGTAGAGTGAACAGGTACCGATGTCATTCCACAAGCCCTCCCCATCGGGGCTTTTCACGATATCACATCTTATGTATGTATGTATTTATGTACAGCACATGCTAAGAATCAGCTTACATTCATCTTGCAAAGTCTGCAGCCGCTTTCCGTTCCCTTTTCCTCTCCCTTTCATATTTTTGTTTTGGTTTTTTTTTTTTTTTTTACCCATCTTGCCACCCACCCCCGAGAGGCTCATTTCTCAGTCCTAGTCGTGAAAACCAAGTGCATTGGCCCCGGACTCGTCGTAAAATAGTCCAGCGATTCCTTGAAGAGGCGCTGTCCGCTCTCCCCGGGGGCAAACTGAAACTCCAGTTCCGTGAAGATCAGAGCCGCCGCGACTCGGATCTCCATTAGACTGAGATTTTTGCCAGGACATTGGTAATCGCCTGGAATTAACCAAATGGTCAGTTAGCTGGTGGTTCTTGTGGTTTCCGGTACCTCATAGAATGTAGCCCACGTGATTTCACTCAGTGGCGGGGGGGGGGTAAGCCAACCGATGTTCCAAGGCGTGAAAGCTTGTTTGTCTAGGATGAGGTGGGGCTGGGTTGTGAAACGTTCGGGTATCCAGCGATTTGGTTGTATGAAATTCCGTGGGTCTTGACGTAGTCGAACCGGTGGGCGGATGGTTAGTGAGCTTTTCTCGCAAGTTTTCTTTTTTTCTTTGCACAGTTACATACCTCTACACACACTGTACTGAGGGACGGCGATGGTGGTCCCGCCGGGTATGAATTTCCCGTAGACGATCATCCCCTCCGGGGGCGCGAGCCGCAGCCCAGCCGAGGCCACAGGGGGGTTTAGGCGTAGGGTCTCGTAGATGCACGCCGACAGATGCGACAGGTGCTGGAGAGCCTTGTAGTTGCGGACGTTGATCGTCGCCAGTTCGTCGCGGATCCGTTGCAGATGATCGGGGTGCCGGACCATGTGGTACATCATGTTCGTCAGGATGTGGCACATGGGCTCACTGTTTGAGGTCCTCGTCAGTAATGAAATATGCAAGAGAGGAGGATGGGAGATGGGGGAGGTATGAAACCGACCTCCCTGCTGCCATGACGAGAACGAGATCCCCCATCAGATACCGCCAATTGGCCTCAATACCATCCGTCGCCTTGGCATCGTCGAGTATGTACCTCATAATATCCGTCCGTTCAGCGCTCACTTCCTGTGCAGACGGGGATAAATCATCATTGTTAGAGTCTCACACTTTCTATGCTATCGTTTGCATCGCCAACCAAGAGAACTTCAGATGACTTACGCGAATATTCCGGTTTAGCTCGTCGTGTGCCCAGTTCATGAAGCGCTTGTAGTACTTCAGTCGCTTGATGTATGGAATCCCCATGAGCAGGTGCCTCATCCACGGCGCCGGCGACAACGGTCCAAGCTTGCGGTGCGACATGTGAAACAGCGACATGATCGGGTGTGGCCCGGCTCGCTCGAGGCACTGGAACTGGATCGTGAGGCCAAATTCCCCCATCAGATCGAAGGTATAATACTCCATCCACGCGGAAATATCGACTGGCTTGCCCTTGTCCTGCTGGGCCCGGAGCTGCCGGACCAGCAGGTCTGCTTTCTGGTAGATCAGAGGTTCGAGATTCTCCAATGCTATAGGTCATTCACCAAGGTCAGTTGGGGTGTGCGATCTTACTCTTGCGCCCAGCTCGCGCGCCGTGGGAGAAAGAAAGGAGGGGGGGGATGCCCAAATCGCAGGCGACACCGATCTAGGAGTCACTGACCTTTGATGCTGAACGCTGGCTCCCAGACCTTACGTCGGTAGGCATGAACGACCGGGTCCCGGGCCGTGGCCAATGACACCATTGGATGCAGCAAGTCATAGTAGCTCGCCCGGGTACAATGTGACCCTTTGCCATGAACTTGGTAAAAGGCCTCGGTGCCGAAGAGGGTCACTTCACTAGGGCCTGAATGTCTTCCATTATACGCTGCTTGCAAACAGGACGATAGGAAAAGGGCAAAAGAAAGGAATTCAAGGGCATACCGGTGCGCACAACATCTCCGTAAGTGTCCCGGAGCCCGTGCAAGATCTCGTAGTTCTGGCAACGCGCTTGTTTCCACACGTGGGTCAACTTGGTCAGCCTCAAGGCGAGCGGACCTTGAAGATGACGCAGAGGAGAGAAGAAAAGGCGGAAAAGGAGAATGCTCCCGAACAGAGTCATCGTATAGACCAAGAACAGGAGACTCGTCTCCTGCAGTGCGACCCTGTACGGCAGCTCCGCGACTCTGCATTTCAGGAACACCGCCAGCGCACCGACCAGCAGGTGCACACGCACAATATTGGCAGCCGCTCGGTCATGTTCGCCGCGGACAAAGTAGACCCAGTGGGAAATCAACGCGATTGCGCCCGAACTCCATAGTTCTTGAGTGAGGGCCATGGTATGGATCAATCAGATCGAGGCCGTGGAGGATTGCAAAGAAGAGAAGGCAATCTCCAGAGGCTTATGATCGGGACTTAATTGTGAGTTGTGACAGATTATAAACTGCGGCCCTTTGAGTTGAAGTTAAAGGATAGCTGATTGGAAGCTCGACTGGGCTCGTGAGACGGCATGCATGCTCGATGTTGCGGTCCCCGGTAGGAATCAGAAGTATGCCTTGGTACGAGCCCGTTACCAGATATGTCAGTTGGCTGGAGCGTCGACGCCAATAGGTACGGTACCTATAGATGGTCCTATAGTTAATCTCGTCCGAAAGAGCCACCGTGCTAAGCGTGGGGTCCAAAAGTCGTGCACAGAGCCTCGCACAGAGCCTAGCACAGATCCTAAATTATAGATCGGTGTAAGTAACTATCGGTAACGGGCCTGTTGCCTACTATAGGCAAGGTAATTGCCAGCGGCATGTACTGTGCCATAACAAATATCACCGGTTGACAGCCCCGTGGCCGGCTATCCGGCAACGAACGGTCTAATCTAAGCCTCAGCTTGATCTAAGCCTTTATCCAAGTCACCATGGAGCTTTGACACTCCGTAAATGGAACCTGTAGGGATAAATCCCTGTACTGTAAGGCCGACTGAGCCGCACTTTTCGAGTCAGGTTTCCGCAGGCAGCAACAGACAGACCCATGCAGCCAAGCAAAGCACAATACAGTAGTACATGCTGGTATTGTAGAGTACATTAAATACTGTACACAGGTCGAGCGGCAGGAGCCGTAGCCGTAGCGGCCCGGATTGACCAACACCGATCGAATCAAATCAGTTATCAGATGGAACGAAAGGAAATCATGTTATGCATGCATCTGCCGATTCAGCCGCACTGGGGGCCGCGCGCATTGGGGGCCATGCAGCACGGGAGTCCGTCGCACACCGCTGCGTTACCCTTAGTAGTACTACACTGTATGGTACTGTACTGTACTTTGGTTGGATAGGAGTTCTCCAGGGCGGAAAAGGTATTCTTGACGAGAATAGATACCAGGTGCATCTGATTGAGGGCAATGCCCCACCCCTTCCCTCCCTTAAGTACCGATCTGCACTGCAGGCGTTGTCACTCCCGTAAGCACTAATAGGTTAACTAGTGGCACTAGTTAACTCACTCTCAAGCCGTCAGCCACTCAACAGGTACAGTCGCCTTGTGGTCCAAAAAGAAGATATGATACCTAGTACTACTGTACTGTATTGTAAGGTCCGACCCCTCTACTGAAGTGATCCCTCTAAGCTACTGAGGTCATAGTTCATCGCAATGTGAGGAAGTTTTACACCATTTGGAACTGAATGGAGGGGCTGTACACGTCTGTGTCGTTATTTTGCGTCACATTGCCAAGCGTCTGTTGTGTCTACTTTCAGAAAAGAAGAAGGAGAAAGAGAAATGAAAGAGACCGAAATTTCTGCCCAATTCTTGTAATACAAACTAGTCATCGAACACGTTCCACCATTTTTGTTCAGTTCCCGCTCGCCAGTGCATGGACAATCTCCACCACCTCGTCACACTTGGTGAACGTGGGGCAGTGGCCAGTCTCCAACTCCCAGGTGCGCACCCGACACCCGGCGTCCTGCATCGTCTGCACAAATTCCTTCTGATAGTCCCAGGGCACGGTCATGTCCTGAGTGGTGTAGATGTAGCCAATCTGCGGGATGCCGCCGTCCTCGGGCCGCCAGGCGACATGCTGGAGCTTGGCATCGAAGCCGTTCCCGTTCCACCGCTGGAAGGTCGCGATGTAGGCGTCGGTCTCCTCGTCCGAGCGGGCGGAGGCGCCGACCACGAGGGTCTTGGGGTCCCGCGAGATGCAGGTCCGGTCCGCCGCGAAGTCGAACGCCACGTCCATGAGGTCGCCGTGCCCGTGCGCCACGACCACGTCGGTCATGGAGATGCCTTCCGTCACGGCAAACCCGGCGATGTAGACGAGTTGCACGATGCCCCCCGGCAGGCCCTGGGCGCGACGCGCGGTGACCCCGAGCCCGTCCGAGAGGGCGTTGGTCCCGACCTGGCCGCCATAGGAGTGGAGGAGCACCAGGACCTCGCGGCCGGCTGACACGAGGCTCTCCACGTAGGTGCGGATCAGGTCGCTGTCTTCTTCCAGGCCGGCGTTGGCGGGCCGGGCGCCGTTCATCGACAGGAGGCGCGGGACGTGGACCTCGTGGCCGAGGCGGCGGAGGGCAGTGGTGAACGAGCTGTAGGATGATGGCTGGTGCCAGGCGCCGTGGACGAGGACGATGGTGAGGTGTGTGGTGGTAGTGGTGGTGGTAGCCATAGTGACTTTTTGATGTGATGTCGGTAGTGCAGTGGGAACGAGGAGCTGAGGAGATTTTCAGGAGTCCAAGAAGGAGGTAGGAGCTAGAAGTTGAGTAGTAGGTAGCAGGTAGCAGGTTGTTGAGGTTGATGTGTTAGGAGAATGAATCACAGTCAGTGGTGTGGTTGTAGGAAGGAGAGGCTGACCAATTTGTATTTGTCGTTTAAATAACATACAGTACAGTTGAACAAAGGAACAAAGGAACAAAGGACCTGGCGAGGTACAGTTACCGACTATTACCGAGAATTGGAATAGGTATTGTACCCTAATTCACTACTGAAGTTAGTAGCCTGACACATTACCGGATATAAGTTATGTAGGCTCGTCTTAGTGGCGGAGTTATACCATTGCTAGCTAGGCTAAGGTAGTAGTTTGAAACATTAAGTATCCTCTTTTATATATTTCTATCTCTTTCTTTCTTAAAAATATTATTGTTTATTAGCAGCAGGAGCAGGAGCCACAGCCTTGCCCCACCCCCCCTCTTTTTCTCCTCTATTCCCCAACCGCCTCGCATCTGTCTGACCCGTCTCCAGGCGCCTTAGGGGCTGTTTTGTAAAGTACACACCCATACACTTAATGAATGAACCGAACAAATGAAAACAAAACAAATTATCTCTTTACAGGATCCCAGTTCTGCTGCAAGTCCATCTTCACATGAACTTTGCTCACATCGCCCAGATGGTAATTATCGCCTTCGGTATTTGCGGTTTCGATGTCGGTGTAGAGCCCCTGTCTGGAACCGTCCGTATGGGACCGAATAGAGCTGGGGGCGCTGAAGCCGGACTTGTTGCTGCGGAAGGCGCGGAGGTATGCCATGCTACTCCAGCCCGTGCTGGCCCCCACCGTCGATCGAGATGTTCGGACGTGCTGAACCAGGTTCGGGATCACTGGCAGACATGCACAAATAATGCTCATGTTCATTTCGACCATAGTCCAAATGCCGGGGGTCACAAAGGTGTCTTTTTTGACGAAAAAGAAGGCGATTAGTCTGGATGCCTCACAGGCAAGGGAGGAGGGGGAAAATAGATAAAAACCAAAAAGAAAAATGTCAAGCGAACGTACATGTCAGATCGGTTATATCCACCGTAGCCATATAAATCAGCCGGATAATACTGGCCAAACAGACACTGGGAGAGAAGGACCCTTTAGTACCAGTCCACTGTTTGTATGGACACAGGGCTCGAAACTCACAATCCGCCTAGACTAAAGACCAGAGAAAGCAGGATCCGGCGCCGGCGCGTCTGATGCAATCGCCAGACAACCGGCTGCGGCAGAGCCAGAATGGTCGCATCGAGTAGGATGTTGACGATCCCCATGGCAATCCAGAAACTCTTGTTGTGGATGGTCGTGCTGGGCATCCAATATTTCCACTGCGCTTCCACCGGGTTGGAGGAGAAGATGAGCCCAAAGACCGCAGCGAGGCATGCACCCACGGAAAGGCCTGCAATCACCCAGGTGCAGAGCAGGAAGGTCTTGTTGACGGCGAAGATCCGTTGATAGAACAGCAGAATTGAGATCTTGGTCAGCCCGACGCTGACGTTGTAGATCACGTTGTTGGCTAGTGTGATCTACGTCCCCAGAATCGCTGAATATTAGACCTATGGTATACACATATACTTCTCATTGAAACAAACTCAGGGGAAGAGAAGGAAACCAGATCGCGCGAGACATATAGTACGCACCTGGAAGAATTTCTCCAGCACGAGAGGATCGGTATACTGAGTGATATGGTAGCCCGAATGCCCCACGGTTGCGACGAGAGCAGTCGTGCAGAGGAATCCATAGGCGAAGATTAGAGCAAGAAGACAGAACCAATCATCCCACTTGATGGAGATGGTGAGGGAGCGCGAGATAAACCGGGCAACCACCAAGCATGTCGACACAAAGGTCATCACCCCCGCCACCGACAGAAAGACCACATAAAGAGGACTGATATGATCGGGAAGACCGACCTCCGCCTGGGTTACCATTGCGCGATACGCTCGACCCAAATCGAGGAATGAACGATTGACGGTGTGAGGAATGGGCGCAGAGGAGGAGAAGGCTGTCAATGTCAGCCTGGGCCATCCCAGATGATTTCGTCTTAAATCTCTTCAACCTGGCTGCAGGCAGGTAGTCTAGGCGCTCATGCGCAGTAAGACCAACCTGATGAGCGGGAAGGAGATGGGGGCCAAGATGTATGTTTTCTGTCCTGTCGATGTTCCTATCATTAACGAGGGTGTAGGAGGTTGCATCGTATCGTGAGGAGTCAGGAAGAGTGGACGAATGAAAAAGTTCCGACGCAGTCTAGGTTATGTAGCTAGGTAGGCAGTAGATTTAGCGTATTACCGCAATACTATCCTGTGGCTACGGTACATTGAAGGCTGTGCTGACAATGCAGGACTATCATAGCCAAATCACAGGCAGGTAGCCAACAGAAATCTGGACCCCAAATCGCTTTCCCCCCCTGTAAGATGAGACATGAGACAAACAAGATTCAAGGTCAAAGCTCCAAGCTCCAAGCCCATCTTCCCGTCTGACAAAGAGTAACCAGGATCAATTAGGCAGAGCGGAGGTGCCGTGCCGTGTGCGCATGCGGCGTACGGTGGTGTAGATCGCTTGGGCGAGCTGATCGGACCCCACGCTGTCAGTGGGGAACGCATGCCCGGCGTGATGCACCAACTCCACTCGCCCATTGGGCGTACACATGGAGATGAGTGCCTGGCTCTGGCCCGGATAGTCGAGGTCTTCGGCACTCCAGCAATGCACAGTGGGGATCCGGACTGGACAGGAGACCCGAGAGGGGGCAAGAAGCTCCACCTGGCCCTGCTCCAGTGCCGTCCAATCACAGGGTAGAATGCCGCAAATGAAGATGGCGCAGCCAAAGGGTGGTGTCGAGAGGCCAAGTCGGTCGTGATTGAGTAGAAGCGTCATGGCAAGTGCTGCACCTAGGGAGAACCCCATCACAGCATCAAACGGGCCATTCTCGGTCGCATAGTCCGCTAAATCGGTCGCTGCCTGCATGACACTCTGCGGGGAGTCATCGCAGTAGGAGTAGTAGGTATGATCGTGACCGAAGACCTCGGCGATGCTGGGATATGCGGGCCAGGGATAGGCTCCATCGACAAAATCGAACTCATAATGATCTCCGAGAAGATATCGTAAACGAGCTGTTGGAAGAGTTGAGAAGAGGAAGGGGAAGGGTTGGTAGGTAGCATGCCCAGTGAGGGGTGTGACAGACCTGTTTGCGCTTCAAGCACCTGGAACAGTTCGTTTGATAGATGCGGGGTCAGACTAGTAGCTCTTACTCGTGCCTGTTGCAGTCTTTCAATCACTCACCTCGCTGTTGGTGCCAACTCCATGTAAGCAAAGGACTCGAACAGGTCGGCTATCCATGATTGATTGCAGGTTGGGGTGACCTGGTTCGTTGATGGTTTTTCTTTTCTTTCCCCCCCTCTTGGCTTGACTGGTGGGAAAAAGCACTGCAGCACAAGGCTCATTTAAATTCTACGAGTAACGAGAGTTAAGGCAGACAGTTACTTTGATAGCCTGCAAGCTAATGCGAGGCTAGAGTATTGAGGATAGTTTCAAGCTGATAAATAGGGCAGCTGTATTGGGATGACAGCTGTCGTTTGTTACGGTATCTTACACGTCACTCCATGGATAAATTACCGCACTGGTTGCCCGAACCGTCAGCTAAGCTAAGCTCTAGTCATCTATAGACTAACATAGGTTCTAGGTACTGTACCTAGTCATCCCGATTTACACCTCCATGCTTACTATGTTTACTGATCCTGGGTGAGCCTTGCTCCCAGGCCATGCCTTTTCCAACTATTGGGCCTATAGTTTGTTGAGGTGAGGCTTTGGTCCCGGTCTCGCCGAGGCCTCCGCTGGTTCGCCTGGGATAACTTATAGCTCGACTTGCTTCTGTCTTTTCTCAATGGCACACCCTGCAACTTTCGCGCCATCTTGTTGAAAGCTATCCAATCAAATATTAGCGGTTTCTTCTCATTCCATCTTTCCCTACAAACATGCGAGATATGAGTCCCTGCCTCGAGGAGGACAACTACGATGCCCCTGCTTTGGCGGTTGTGGGCTTCGCGTTTGAGTTCCCTCAGGATGCAACAACCAGTGATAGACTCTGGGAGATGATCTCCAAGGGTCGATCTGCTAGCACAGACTTTCCCCAGGATCGAATGAACATTGATGCCTTCTACCATCCCTCCCAGGAGCGGCCAAGCACGGTGCGTGCCTCTCTTGACCAGCATTGTCTGCCGTGAACTGACATCACATTGTGCATAGATTCCCGTGCGTGGAGGCAATTTTATCCGCGAAGAACTAGGAGCCTTTGACGCTCCTTTTTTCTCGATTACGCCGGGAGAGGCCGCGTGTATGGATCCACAGCATCGGCGAATGTTGGAAACGACATACCGCGCACTGGAAGATGGTGAGCCTACCCAGCTAGGGGAGAGCGCGAAAGAAATCATGCTAATGACGAGCCTCTTCAGCGGGAATCCCGATTCAAAAATGCTCGGGGTCAGACACGGCCGTCTATACTGGTTGTTTTACCAATGACTACATCAATCTATTGCAACAGGACTTTGAGTTGGACCAGACGCACGCTGCGATGGGCATCGCCCCCTCGATGCTTGCGAACCGGGTCAGCTGGTTCTTCAACCTCAAAGGAACCTCAATGAACCTGGACTCGGCGTGCTCCAGCAGCCTGATTGCCCTACATCTAGCGGCGCAGGAGTTGCACGCAGGTAACTGTTCTATGGTATGTGATTTGCATTTCGTTTAGTCCAGGTTCTTTGGGACACCCCGGTTGACTCCAGACGCAGGCACTGGTAGGAGGCGCCAATTTAGTCTACCACCCGAATTTCATGAAGATCATGTCGGCCTTCAACTTCCTCTCTCCTGATAGCCGTAGCTGGAGCTTCGACAGTCGCGCAAACGGCTATGCGCGCGGCGAGGGTCTGGTGATGCTAGTACTTAAGCGAGTCGCGGATGCGCTGCGAGACGGTGATTGCATCCGGGCTGTCATCCGCAACACAGGGTCCAATCAAGACGGTAGAACCCCCGGCATTACCCAGCCAAGTCTGCAGTCGCAGCTGGACCTCATCAAGCATACCTACCGGCAGGCTGGGATCTCTATGACACCTACCCGCTTCTTTGAGGCCCATGGACCGGGAACGCCGGTTGGCGACCCCATCGAAGCAAACGCTATCGGGCAAGCATTTGCAGGCCATTGTACGAGAGAGGATCCACTCTATATTGGCTCTATCAAAGCCAATATCGGTCACTTGGAGGGCGCTAGCGGACTGGCAGGGTTGGTCAAGACTATTCTTGTCCTCGAACACGGGGTGATCCCTCCCATTGCTGGGTTCGAATCCCTCAATCCGCGCATTGATGCTGCGAAATTGTGCCTGGAGGTGAGATATCAGCCCCGACTTAGTACCTTCCCTGTGCAAGCACTGATGAGTGATTTCTAGTTCCCGAAAGAAGCTGTCCCTTGGCCGTCGACTGGCCCACGTCGTGCTTGCGTGAGTGATTCATAACCGACGAACAGAGCTTCGCTCAGCACTGACATATGGGCAGGTAAACTCGTTTGGTTTTGGCGGTACCAATGCCACTGTCATCCTTGATGACGCTTACCATTACCTTGAGCACAATGGGCTGAAGGGCTTTCACCGGACTCGACCGTTACCTCCGATAAAGACGCCATCTGCACCGAATGAGTCAGAAGATGACCTTGAATTGCCGAGAGATGTCTCTGTATTGCGACTCCCGAGGCTACTTGTCTGGTCCGCGGCAGACAGGTCTGCAGCAGAGAAGCTTGGTGCATCCTATCACGAATATGTACGCCAGCATCCGGGAGACATGGCTGATGTAGCGTATACCTTGGCTGCAAGACGAAGTCAACTTACCTGGCGAGGATTCGCCGTCACTGGCCTTGATAATCTTACCCCCGAGATCACGAGTCAACAAACGCCCTTGCGATCTCGGGACGGGGCTCGACTGGCGTTTGTGTTCACAGGTCAGGGAGCCCAATACTTGGGTATGGGCCGCGAGCTACTAGCTCAGCCAATGTTCCTTGAGATTGTGAGCCTCCTGGATGCCGATTTGCGATCTCTTGGTTGTCCGTGGTCTCTGAAATGGCTTCTCGAAGCGGCCGAAAGTGAAACACCCATCCACCAGCCGGAATACAGCCAGCCCGCAACGACATGTCTCCAGATTGCACTGGTCGATCTTCTGGAGAGACTTGGCGTGACCGCGACTCTGGTCTTGGGCCATTCATCTGGAGAGATTGCGGCGGCATATACCGCAGGTGCTTTGTCGCGCTCGGCGGCTGTTAAGGTTGCCTACTACAGGGGCCTGCTGTCGTCACAGCTGGCCCGGCAGAAGACCGATCTGTCAATGATGGCTGTGGGTATATCTCAGAGCAAAGTTCAGGTTTACCTGGACCGACTCCATCAACTTGAGGGGACAATAGAGGTGGAGATTGGTTGTGTCAATAGCCCGAATGCTATCACACTGACCGGCGCGGTCGACCAGCTTGGCACTCTGCAGCAGTGGCTGGAGGCTGACGGTGTATTCGCCAGAAGATTGCGAGTTCCAACCGCCTATCACTCGAGTGCAATGAAAGCAATTGTCCAAGACTATCGTCTGGCGATGGGCGATCTGGCTCGTAGACCCGAGTCAACATCCATTCCCATGATATCGTCCGTTACAGAAGACGTCGTTACCAATACAATGCTGGCCAGCGCGGACTACTGGGTCCGCAATCTGATCTCCACAGTCAAATTTGAAGGAGCCTTGTCGCGGCTCCTGCTCTTGACGCAAAAGAGGAAGCAATCTCGAAAGCAATTGGGGCGCAGGCTTCCCGTGGACCTGGGCATCACTCATCTTCTCGAGATCGGTCCCCACAACGCCCTGCAGGGACCAATCTCGGAGACGATCCGGGCTTCTCCGGTCTCGGACAAACCGCTGTACATGTCCCTGCTGGAGCGAAAGCAGGATGCCTACCTATCTCTACTCAAGACAGCAGGGCAGCTGTTCTGTGCGGGCCACGCAGTCGACATCCTCCGTGTGAATGGACTGGAGGACATCCCGCGGCCAATGCCCTCCAACCTACCTCCCTATCCTTTCAATCATCAGCGCAGTTATTGGAAAGAAGGCCGTCTTAGCAAAAACTTCCGATTCCCGCCCGTCCCGCGGCATGATCTATTGGGGAGGCGCAGTCTAGACTGGAACCCTCAGGTGGCTCAATGGCGCAATGTGGTGCGCCTGGCCGAGTTGCCGTGGCTACGGGACCATACTATCGATGGCCAAATCATCTTCCCGGGTACGGGCATGGTGATAATGGCGGTGGAGGCCTTGCGTCAATTGCCATGGGCTGAGTCCGATCTCACGAGCATTGAGATCAGAGACGCACATTTCTTGCATGCGATCCGCTTTCCGGAGGGATCGGAGCAGCTTGAAACTCAACTGACACTGACCACCGAATGGGCGAAAGAGTCGACAGAAAACCCATGGTCGCAGTTCAGACTGTTTACCATTGAAGGTGATAGCTATATCGAGTGCTGCCGAGGACTCATTCGAGGCTCTACTGATCGTGAGCTCCAGGCGCGACAGCTGCCCTTCTCCAGTGGCACTTCTTTCCAGGATTGGGTCACCGCACTGTCCTCTGCTTGCCAGTCGTCCCAGGACGCTTATGAGAACCCCACGGGGAGCTCGGTTCAGTACGGGCCGTGCTTCCAAAACTTAAGGAACATGCGACTGGGCTCTGGAGGCAAGGCAATCGCAAATGTTAATTTGAGCACCTGGAAAACAACCGGTCCGAGTGATAAGTGGACGCCGCAATACACGGTCCACCCGGTCACAATGGATGGGCTGGCACAGCTGGTCGTGCCGGCCTTGGCTCATGAGTGCGACGATCTACCTACAATGGTTCCTGTTCGAGCGGCAAGTATCTGGATCAATCTCCGGGGCCCGTCCATGTTTAACGACGGGGAGATTCTGGCTGCGGCCCAATGCAGCAGGCGCAGTAATCGAGGCGCCAAAGCGGACGTTGTCGGCACTAGCTTGGATGGCAGGCGCCTAGCTCTATACATCGAAGGCCTTGAGACGACCTTTATCAGCGAGGCTTCTGCCGGGGCGGGTCAGGGCTCGGAAGTAGCTCGCAACCTGTGCACGAGTCTCATCTGGAAGGCGGATATTGATATGCTAAGCGGCGAACAACTACTGGAAGAGGTCTGCCGCGGTAGACCTAGGGAGCCACGCGGTGCTTTAGAGCGCCACGAATCGCTGCAGTTAGCAATTGTCGGTTTCCTGGATGAGGCAATTCAATATACTGACCAGCACCTCGATTTGTCTATCCCCTTATATCTCCGGCGCTATGTCGACTGGATGCGATACCAACGAGATCGTCTTTATGACAGCCTCCTCGCAACCGCAAATGGATCTATCCTTCGCGATCAATCGGCACGAAACCAGCTAGTTCTGGACATCGAAAAGACTGGCATCGAAGGCTACTTCTTCATGCATGTTGGCCGGAATCTGATTGCCATCCTGTCGGGAGACACTGATCCACTCGATGTGATGTTCCGAAACGGGCTGGCTGATCAGTACTACGAGCAGATGCTTGCGAATGAACACCACGCCTACCCGATATCCCGGTATTTAGATCTCGAATGCTTCAAGAACCCCTCGTTGAAGATTTTGGAAGTCGGGGCTGGGACCGGAGGCCAGACGCTATGCGCGCTGCAAAGCCTTAGCTCCGAGGGGGTCCAGAAGTGCGCCCAGTATGATTACACCGATATCTCACCGGCCTTCTTCCCTCAGGCCCGGGAAAAGTTCCAAGATTTTCTCGATATCATGCGGTTCCAGACTTGTGATATCTCCAGGGATCCAGTATCTCAGTCCTTTGAACAGGGAAGCTATGATCTCGTACTGGCTTCCCATGTACTGCACGCCACAGACAGATTAGATGTCTCTCTGCAGAACATCAAGAAGCTTCTCAAACCGGGAGGAAAGCTGCTCTTGGTTGAGACTACAGATCCAGACGCACTGCAGATTCCTTTCGCGTTTGGGCTTCTGAAGGGATGGTGGAGTCCTCTCAGCCATGAGGCGCGCTCTGACTATAGCCCATGTCTGACCTTGTCTCAGTGGGACGAATGCCTCAAGAGGAATGGCTTTTCTGGCATCGAAATCGAGATCCCCGGCCAAGAATTCCCGGCCTGTCAATACAGCAGCATCATCATCTCGAGCGCCACAGCCGAGGATAACGAGGTACCTGTTAGCACAGAGGATCTGGTCGTGGTTCGTGACCCAACCCGGGCGTACCAGTGCGACGTTGCAGCCACCATTACAGCTGACCAGCATGCACGGATCTGTACACTGGACGAGGCGGCTCAGCTCAGCATCGAACCGGCCACATTGATCGTCATCCTTCTGGAACTGGAAGCCATTCTCTTGGCTGGTCTTCACGCCACCACTTATACGCTGTTGCAGAGAGTCATGACCCAGGCCAAAAATGTTCTCTGGGTCACGCGACCTCTTGTTGAGGGAGAGCACCCACCACAACATTCTCTGGTGGAGGGTTTTGGTCGGACCCTCGCATCAGAGGATTCGGCTCGAAAGTTCGTCACCCTCGCACTGTCTGGCCATGAAACGGCGGACCAGGCTGTCCGAACGATTCGACAATTGATGTCGCAGATGACCAGACAGCCAATCGACATGATGGAAACCAACTTCTCAGCCTCGGACGGTATTTTGAAGATCCCCCGTGTCTCGCAAAATGAGCACATGAACAAGATAATCCATCAATATACTCGGGATCGCAGGGATGAGCAATGGGGTCTCCATAGGGAGCTTGGCTCCACTCATCGAGCGGCCACTCTCACCACCGGCGCCCGGGGACGCCCGGACGCGGTAGAATACCGAGAGAATGATGAGGCTCTATCTGCCATGATCGCTGATGACGAAGTTGTGATCCAGGTACAGGCTTTCGGACTGACGCCGAGGGACTACCTGGTGGCAAGCGGTCAGCTGGAACAGGGCGATCTCGGTACGCAGTGCTCTGGGATCATTCATCAGGCTGCAGCTCGTTCCGGCTTCAAGCCAGGTGACAGAGTATGTGCGATTGGGACAGCAATGGCAGGGACCTTGATTCGCACAAAGGCTAGTGCAGTGGTAGCCATTCCTTCTGATTTGAGCTTCACAGACGCCGCTGCATTGCCCACCCCCCTGTGGCTGGCTTTCTACTCATTGGACCACTCTGCGAAGCTCGACGCAGATGATGTTATCGTGCTGATCACGGAAGCCTGCACCAACATAGGACAAATGGCAGTCCAGCTGGCAACAAACCGGAGTGTGCGTGTACTGGGCACCGCCACTAGTGAGGCCCAGAAGGCTTTTCTATGTGCAAATTTCGGTTTGCCAGAGTGCGACGTTTTCCTGTCCAACGACCACTTACTAGCATCAAAGCTGAAGCAGACCACCGAAGGAAAGGGCCTGGATGTGATCGTCGGCCCATGCAACGCTGAGGCCAATCCAACTTTGAACCAATGTCTCGCTCCCTGCGGTCGTATGGTTGATATCAGCTGGGGCCCAGTCAGCCACAGCCAACGAGCCCGCCAAATGCTGACTCCGAACACTTCGTATACTTTGCTGGATATGGTAGAGCTTCTTAATCGCAAGCCACAGAGCGCTCACGGCGTCTTCCAAAGGGCTATGAAGTGGTTTTTCGAAGGACAGAGCAAGCCACCACAGTCCATTCATGTTTATCAGGCTGGAAAGGAGCAAGAGGCATTGCAGCAATACCAAGAAGAGGATATGATCGGAGAGCCAGTAATCAGATTCGAAAACGCCATGCCCATTACGGTAAGTGTCTGCCTTGTTCGTGACTCTTTGTCTCGAATCGAATCTCATGATTTTCCTAACAATGCGATGTAGGTGAACTGTTCCTCTAAGTCACGATATCTCTTCCCCGAGAATGCCTCGTACGTTATCGCAGGAGGGCTTGGAGGCTTGGGCCGCAGTTTTGCCCGGTGGATGGCCAGCCGGGGCGCGCGCCACTTGATACTGCTCTCTCGCTCTGGCCCGTCGACTTCCACCACCCAAGCATTTGTCAAGGAGCTAGAAGATCTAGGTGTGCAGGTTGTGACACCTAAGGTCGACATCAGCAATATCTCCCATCTAGAACAGGTACTGAGTCAGCTTTTTGGAACTATGCCTCCAGTCCGTGGATGCATCCAAGCCACGGTGGCCTTAAGGGTAGATAACCGCCCCCGCCCCCCTCCCCCCTTCCCCGGGCCCACCGTACCATATGGGACTAATATAAACCGATCTGATCACAGGATAATTTGTACGACAACATGTCTTACGAGGACTGGAGTATCAGCACGGACTCCAAAGTCACCGGATCCTGGAACCTGCACCGCGCGCTCCCGCACGACCTCGACTTCTTCATCCTTCTCTCGTCGTTGAACGGCATTTTCGGCAGCCGAGCGCAGGCCAACTACGCGGCGGGGAACACCTTCAAGGATGCGCTGGCTCACCACCGGCTGGCGCAGAAGCAGAAGGCCGTCTCGATCGACCTCGGGCTGATGGTCGCCGAGGGGGTGGTCGCCGAGAGCGAGTTCCTGCTATCGGCCATGCGCCGGATCGGGCACCTGATGGAGATCGCGCAGGACGAGCTGCTCGCCCTCCTGGACTACTACTGCGACCCGGCGCTCCCGCTTCTCTCCGTCACCGAGGCCCAGGTGATCGTCGGGATCGAGCTCCCGGCCGACGTCATGGCCAAGGGCATCGACCTGCACCATTCTATTCGGCGCCCGCTGTTCTCCCATCTCTTCCGGATGGGGTCGCGGACCACGATCAGGGAGAATGCTGCTGCTGCAGGTCCGTCGCTCGTGCTCGACCACCCCGCGATTCTGCGGACGCTTCCATCGGTCGAGGAAGCAACGGAGCAGATCGTCCAGTGGGTCACGGCCAAGGTGGGCCATATCTTGGGCCTGTCGGCCGCAGATATCGACCCCGGGAAGCCCGTTCACACCTACGGCATCGATTCCCTTGTTGCGGTGGATCTGAAGAACTGGTTCGACCGCGAGATCGGGGCGAGTATCACTGTGTTTGATCTGATGGGGAACACCCCGCTGCGGCGACTGGGGGAGATGGCGGCCGAGAAGAGTCGTTACCGTGTTTAGATACGATATGGTTGAATGGAAATGTCCTCCTTAGCGAGTCAAGTCAAAAGCATAGGATCTGAAAATTGTATTTGAGCTCGTCTCCCCAGACAATGATGTCTGCGTTGCCGGAAAATAGAGTAGAGTAGAGTGCCCCTCAAGCTTTGTAGCCCTTGGGTGTATGGATTCTGCATCATTCCGCCTCTCTGCACAAGACACCACACCATCACTGAATTCAAACATGAAATATCATGACTGGAAGTCACTCGGAAGTGCGAAGGTAGGCCATAGGATGGAAAAAGCTCCGCGTGAAATGGCGGCCGATGCAGGCAGTTTAGGTAGCCAGTTGACTGTCACATGGTTCAGATCGATCTGAATGAGACCTTATATAAATCGGCTGTTCCTTTCCTTTTCTCTCTCTGCTTTCAAAGAGGGAGGGTATTGCAGGGTTGTTCACCTTGGCTTCGCACAGGCCGCCTGGGCAGTGCTGCACCTGATAGGGTTGGCGCAGCCACGGCGGTTATTCCATCGGCATGTCCGACTGGTTGTCACCAGTGGCCTTTGTTTGCTTGGAGTCTGTAAACCTGAAAGGAAACATATACCTGAGGTCACTCAATACAACTAATGATCTTTCAATAAGCCGGAGACTAACTGTACATGAAAGTCGTTTTATGTGCTTGTCTTCGTAGACACCCCGGAGAGAGCTTGACATATCCACTACTGCACTATAGTGTGTCCAGCTCTGACAGTGGTGTCAGCCGTATCCACAGTCAAATGCGATGATCAGGGGAGTTTGGTCACTGACTAAGATGAAGGTCATCGGAAAACACGAATTTCACACAAAGTTGTTTCTTCATCGAGTGAGGCTCTGCACTGTATGGCATGATTAGACGACAGAAAACGACCGCCATAAGGATAAGGATAGTCAATACCGCATCGGTGGTGTGGGCTTCCAACCTTGAATTGGAGTGGACAAGACAGCCACAGCTGCAGCCGCAAGCCACCCTCAACAATATTTCAAGCAGACAGACAATGCCAAGGCGCAACATCGTGATCATATTTCTCAGCGGGATCATCGTGCCAGTCATGTCGAGTAAATGATGGAAGTTATGATTCGGTCAAAATCCTTTGATGATGCGGCTGAATCTAGGGTCCGATGAAACCAGCTTCCATTCAACATTTCTAGCCTCGCTCGTGTTTGGCGTCCACCAAATGCTGCGCCATCAGCTTGGCTGTCGGAACATTGGTTTGAACCGTCCCTTGGCGCTGAGATGAGAAGCCTCAGTCTTAGCTAAATCACGGAGCTCACCATCTCGCATAGACATCAGAAGTCAGCGGAGGCTGGTCTGTATAAAGTCTCTCACTTTCCTCCCTTGAAAGGAGGACAACAGACAACAGAAAACAATCAAGCGACCTCACTACCGAAAACGACCTTACCTATCGATATAACTACCAGAACATACAACAAACGTCTTCCAACATGACCGAATGGCTCAACAGTCTCTACGTGTGTCTTCTTGTGCCTTCCCGGGCAAACCAAGCTAACTCCGCCAGCCCGTCTACGGTGACCACGAAAACGAGAAACCCAGCAACACCATCCCCGTCGTCGACGACAAGAACGGCGACATCAACGCGGGCTTCGGCGGAAAGTAAGTTCTGGCTGCTCCAGTATCTGGGGGGGGGTGTGTGCGGTAACTAACTGTCATAGGTACGTCTGGCTGGTGGCCAACTACATCCGGGACCCACAGAACTGCCTTCACAACATTAAGATAGTGGTCTCGGACACGGAGAAGCCAGGGCAGATGGACCTAGCCAAAGGGGCCGGGGGACAATACCGCTACCTGGAGACCTCGACCGTGGCCGCGGAGGGTTTCGGGATTTCGAACCTGAAGCTCCTGCGAAGCACGGATGAGGTGAGCAGCACCGATCTTCGAGGGTTGGGATATCGCGGGTGGACGGCGGATATCAATGCAGGTCGGGGAGGGGATTATTTGCATCTGGTCTGGAGGAATGGTTGAGTACTGGTGGCTTCTATGATTGAGGGTTTGGACTGGTGATACCAAGGCGCCGGCATAGGTATTACCATATGGACTTGTATCGCTTGGTCCCTTCACTTCATTAGTGAGTTTTGGTTGTACAGGGCTTCCGGATACCGAAGTCACTACCTACGCTCTTCAATTGTTTCAGCAGCCCCAAGATGAAACCACGCTAAACATAATCTGAAAGCCGGATGGAATAACAATACTCCGCAAGGTTACAGTGTACTGTGATAACATGTATTATATACGGTAATCTATAGAAACATCTAGACTTATAAAAGTGGCAAACTGGCCTGATTACAAATAATCTAGAAATCACGGGACGGTCGTACCAAATAATAGTATAAAGACGTTGCATATCCCAGGCCCTTCTTTTAAAAAGAGATTAGAAAATAAGGGACTGGAGTAGAGTACACAGATATTTTCCTATTCAAAATCAAATCTTATGATTGGAACGCGCCCACTATATAACCCAAAGGCAAGCATAGAATCCTTAATAGCAAAACACACAAAAGGACGATAGTCAGTAGGAAGCCACAGGGCCCTTTCACCTCGTAGAGAGACCCAAGAATCCTCGACAGAGATAGAATAACTGGAAGTAAATTGCTGTATGACCGAGCCGCCGTCCGGTGAGAAGGCCACCGAGTAGACCGAGCGGGAGCTGACTGAGTCGGAGTGGCCGGTCAGCGTGCGCTGCTCGACGCCCGTGGCCGTATCCCAGAGCTTGATGGTGTGGTCGTCGGAGGCCGACGCCAGCGTGCCGCCGTCTGGTGAGAAGGCCACCGACTTAACCCAGCCAGAGTGGCCGGTCAGCGTGCGCTGCTTGACACCTGTGGCCGTGTCCCAGAGCTTGATAGTCTGGTTGTTGGAGGCCGACGCCAGTATGCCGCCGTCCGGTGAGAAGGCCACCGACTTGACCCAGTCGGAGTAGCCGGTCAGCGTGTGCTACTCGACACCTGTGGCTGTATCCCAGAGCTTAATAGTCTGGTTGTTTAAGGCCAATGCCAGCGTGCTGCCGTCCGGTGAGAAGGCCACTGACTTAACCCAGCCAGAATGGCCGGTCAGCGTGCGCTGCTTAACACCCATAGCTGTATCCCAGAGCTTGATGGTCCGGTCGTCCGAGGCCGACACCAGCGTACGGCCGTCTGGTAAGAAGGCCACTGAGTTAACCGAGTAGGAGTGGCCGGTCAGCGTGCGCTGCTTAACGCCCGTGGCTGTATCCCAGAGCTTGATGGTCCGGTCGTTCAAGGCCGACGCCAGCATGCCGCCGTCCGGTGAGAAGGCCACCGACTTAACCCAGCCAGAGTGGCCGGTCAGTGTGCGCTGCTCAACGCCCGTGGCCGTATCCCAGAGCTTGATGGTGTGGTCGTCGGAGGCCGACGCCAGCGTGCCGCCGTCCGGTGAGAAGGCCACCGACCTGACCCAGCCAGAGTGGCCGGTCAGCGTGCGCTGCTCGACGCCTGTGGCTGTGTCCCAGAGCTTGATAGTCTGGTCGTCCGAGGCCGACGCCAGCGTGCAGCCGTCCGGTGAGAAGGCCACCGAGTTGACCGAGTAGGGGTGGCCGGTCAGCATGCACGGCTCAACACCTGTGGCTGTGTTCCAGAGCTTAATAATCTGATTGTCTGAGGCTGATGCCAGCGTGCGGCCGTCCAGCAAGAAGGCCACCGACCTGACTGGGTAGGGGTGGCCGGTCAGCGTATACTGCTCAACACCTGTAGCCGTATTCCAGAGCTTAATAGTCCGGTCGTTCGAGGCCGACGCCAGTGTGCCGCCGTCCGGCAAAAAGGCTACTAAGTTGACCCAGCCAGAATAGCCGGTCAGCGTGCGCTGCTCAACACCTATGGCCGTATTCCAGAGCTTAATAGTCTGGTTGTCCGAGACCAACGCCAGCGTGCCGCCGTCCGGTAAGAAGGCCACCGACCTGACTGGGTGGGAGTGGCCGGTCAGCGTGCGCTGCTCGACGCCCGTGGCCGTATTCTAGAGCTTAATAGTGTGGTTGTAGGAGGCCGACGCCAGCGTACCGCCGTCCGGTAAGAAGGCCACCGATCTGACTGGGTGGGGGTGGCCGGTCAGCGTGCGCTGCTCGACGCCTGTGGCCGTGTTCCAGGGCTTGATGGTCTGGTCGTCCGAGGCCGACGCCAGCGTGCGGCTGTCCGGTGAGAAGGCCACCGACCAGACCGAGTGGGAATGCCCTTCAAATGTCTGGAGAGTTGAGCTCCAAGAATCTTCCACCGCTGTTTTAACTGCTAGTTGATCTTTAACTTTGCTGACGAATATCTGCTTAATAATACTTTTACTCGGTGCAAATATAAGACCAGCGCGGTAGATCTGTAGTGGAGCAATTGCTGCTATGTAGTTATTTTGACGAATAAATCTTTCCGTATCATATAAAAAATCAGATAACTCAGAGCCAAGTTGCGCCTAGGTAATAGTTAGCCAGTCTTCTAAGCAGCAAACTATAAACTTATACATACTCTTAACTTTAATGTATCTATTAATCCTACCGCTTCCGATATTCCTCCTATCAGAGCTAGTACTTCCAACCAATAAAGAAAATGGTTCTAGAGAAAAGGGAGAACATCAGAATCTATAATTTGATCTTTGCTCTGTTCCAGATGATGAACCCAGAACCAACAGGTGTATTTCAGATCAGCTTTGATATGCCTGTCGACAATCTGAGGCTCAATACTCTCTTATTGCATGCCGTAACTTAGTAGTATGCAGATATTCTCTTTGAGCCGGGTTTTCATAAGCCGGAGACAATGTAAAGCGATTCTACTATGTATATCTTGCTCAGGAACATTAAAGAGGCACTTTTTGTCCAGGAGGTAGTCTTGAAATGACAAGTGTAGAATCCGGACTGGTGCTTTAAAACCCACTGGTATACTAAGAACAGAGTGGAATCCGTCCAAGCGATTTTTGATGTTATTAAGTGGAAACTCAATGAGCAGGGAGAGAGCATCAAGGGACAAAGGTAAAGCTAGAAGAATAATTGTCCCAATTATATATTAAAACTCTTTCTTCAGCTGATGTGTCTCTTCCTTATTAGCTCCGGCAAGAAGCTGGCTTAGAATAGGCGTATATGTTCGCGCTATTTCGTCTTCTGAAGATGTACTCGCACTGTTGAGAATTTTTGTAAGCTGTTGTTCTGGACGCTATTTTCTGTCTCCGACGAAGCGGCAAATCGTAGCTGCGAAGATAAATAGAGGAATAGCTATTGCCACCAGCTTTTTAATTTTCTTACTTCCGGGCCAGTCGGGTGACAGTGAGCGCTCTTTTTGTATGGCCAGAAGCTTACTTTTGAAGAAAAGACAAATATCATGTTTAATCACAGACTTGGGAAGCTCTTGGAGGATCAAATTGTAGTGATTTTTATTTTTGTCAAAGCCATTGCGAATAGGGAGTTCAGGTCGGCTGGTTAGGAACACTCGAAGGTGCACAGATTTGATTTCTTACATCTTAAACAAGCAGTTAAGAATAAGTTGTTGGTCCTTATCTCCGTCACACTTATCTAAAGTATTAATAACAATCACAATTGTTGTAGATTGGCTTGTAGACAGCTTTTGGAGTGGCTAATAAAGAAGCTTCTCAAACTGTATATCAAAAGATTTAAATATAATATTTAAATTATTCTCAATTGCATTGAAGACATCAAAACCTAGTTGCCGGTGCTTGATGATTAGTTAACGTGCGAGTGTTGATACAAAGTGCTTTGCATTACCACAGCCGGCTTCGCCTCGCTTGAAAAAAAAGCTGGCATCTAAAAGCCCTTAATTTTGGAAGGATTAAGTGACAGTCTATACAATAGTGGATTTACCAGTCCCCGCTATGCTATTTAGCCAGAAAATAAGTTAATCTTGCGACTGAGCCCACAACGAAATACAGTACAGAAGATCTGTTCTTGTATTTTAAAGACAGTAATCCTTATGCTGATAAGTATAAGAGTTGAAAAATGCTCCTTCCGCTAATAGTAAGCTCTTAAAGCCAGAATGTTCAAGAAGTTTCTTCAAGGAATCGGCTAGTTTATTGATCTTATCTAGAATATTCTCTGCCTCTTTTGTGCGGTTAAGATATTTAATTAACTTAATCCATTTATCCAACTTAGCCCTTTTATTTTCAACTGAAGTCTTGAGTGTAATAAGTGGTTGCTGAAGGCTATTAATCACTGTATTAAATACTCTTTCTCTAATACTTGCTTTCTGGAATTTGCGTATCTGGACTATATAACTCAAAATAGCTTTATAAAGTCTGATCAATACATCTTCTACAAGACAAATATCAGAAATATTCTTTGTTTTCTTATAGAAATTCTGCTCGACAAAGGCACTATATGTAAGAACATCTGCCAGATACTCCGATGATTTGAACAGGGAATCGCGGGCCTGGGAGTATTTTTTCGCCAACTAGCATACCAATTAATGAATATGTCAGCAGCAACTTCTAATATACCAGGTTGTATACATACTGTCAGACTAAATAAGATAATATTCCACATACTAGCTGCATGCTGCATCAGGTTGAGTGCAGCCACTGCACCTACAATATCTTTAAATAACAGTACTGCATTAAGAATTTTCTGTAAAGTCTTCCGGAAAGTTTTATTAGATGTCTGACAATACTTTTCATATCCTTCTTCGGTTGTTGTAATAACCTGATCGATAAGATCCTCAAGATATCTTTTCTCCTCACCCGGTGTGATTGAAATCTTCTTGATTGAGAGAATATTTTGCTGGTTGTTATTAAGCTGGTTATAAGCAGCTTGCCACAAGTCTCGCGGCTGCAAAGTTTGCGTTGCCTGAATGGCCTGGTCTGCAGGCTTGGGAGGGAAAGGGTGGGCATTATTATTAATAGAATACCCTTGGGTTTTGTTTTGTCTTGATTTGATTATCGGTTTCTCGCTCTTTTTCTGCCGATGGAATAGATGACTGAAACACTTTCCGAAGGGACGTGGCATCTTGAATATTTTAAAAGATCAGTTGCTGTGTGTTGGGTGAAAGTGAAACTCCAGGAGAAGAACAGTTTAAAAGGGGAACGCAGCTATTGTCAGTCAATACTAGCATCAAATTTGTTGCTGAGCTGGCATAGCTGAATGGCAAGGATAATCCTTGCTTAGCTTAGCCAGTCATAACCAGCTCTGTGGTGCACTGGAGAAGGCGGGGATTTCTACCTTGTCTACTACCAGAGCCAGAGTCACGTGCCATAGTGTTGGCGTCGGAACACAGAAAAGTACCCGGGGATCGATCCTCTTTATTCATCATATTGTAAGCTGAACATTTGAGATAGGAGGCGATCCTCAGCATCCGACAGAAGCAATATCCATTATCTTAAACACTTTTATGGCTAATCAATCAGAAGACGTGGGTGTCAACCATAGACAGGATCAACGAACCACAAATCAAAATAATTTAAGTGTTCGGATAATCTTCGATTTCTTATAGTTTGATAAATTTGGTCTTGGTGAGTGATTCGACATCGGGTGTGGTATCGGCCCGAGCCGAGGGCCGGTCATAACTAAGGGAAACCTAAGAAATGTGGCCTCCTATTTCTTACAGTTTCACCGCTTGTTGCCCCTCTATCAGTATATTGCTATCAACCACACTCCTGCAGTATAAGTAGTACAATTCATTTGGCTCTACTTGTTATTCTCCTGAGCCTGTTAGAAGTCCTCCCTAAATCTAACTCCATGTATTCTGGTGACTCGGAAGCTCTTATCTTCCTGACTGATATTTAAGGCTTCTTATTAATAGGCTCCTCGGCGGTATCTATTGTCTTGATAATAATACTTTTAATCCCCTGAGTAGGACCGCTTCTCAGGTTCAGGATTTTACTCTATGGAAACGGTCCCTTTTAAATGCCCCCACCCCTGGGAACTTTGGCTGCGAGTGTACCCTGTTCGGATCCAGCCCCTCCAACTATAGAAGTTGAAGCTTTACCCCCTTGTATTATACTCCACCCAAACAACAAAATTCCGTACCAGAGTGGGATACAAGGGTTAATAACTGGGAAGGAACTGATATCTATTATTCCATTGAATAGAGGGTGACTCTGAACAATCAGGTGGTGGTAAAGAATATAGAACAGGATCTGATACTCGACCCCAGCTTTTATTAGTCCGATATCAAGCAGAAAGCAGAGGATATTTTATATCGGAAGGTAGCTTGCAACTGACGGGTAAGACTAGATAATACTACAGTAGTGGTTTCTGTAAATAATCACTTACAGCGGGATCTGACTAAGTGTTTTGAGAAGACTGATATTAACTAGACAGCCATATAAAGACAGCTTGCTAGGTGGAAGAGCTTGTCCTAAAAAGAAAAAAAGCTTCGGCTTTGTATTTCTATTAATTATTTAGATTCCGAACCGCCTTTAACTGGGTCTGATAAATGGGGACAAATATTAGTTACCAAAAGGATGCTCAACACATAAGAGGCTGAGATTGATGCTGAGAACTTTTCAGGGCAACCTTCAGCATGGCAGGATGTATACAGGACAATGCGATGCCCTGGCGCACCATGCCGCCTTAAATCACAGTACTGCTGGCAGGATCCTGTGGGCAAAAAGTATTACAGACTACGGACGCACCATCTGAGGAAGTTGGTGAGGTTTGTGGAGAAAGAGGGTGGAATGATTTAAATACACAATGATATACCCAACAGTATTTGCGAACAGCTATATACAGAGGAGCAGCAGCGACTTAAGCTACAACAAAAGACTTCTACACATTCCGCAACCGGATCCACCTTTCCAATTAATATCAATATACTCCCTACACAACCATCTCAGCCTATGACAGCATCTCCTCCAGCCAATACTGACCCTCTTTTTGTAAGCCATTCTCCTATCCGTACTACCATCGATATTCCTGGGCCTCTTAAGGTAGCTGTTGAGGAATACACCGCATAGCACCTCTCACGGGTGAGCACCAACAGTTTCAAAAAGAATATCATCAAAGCACGTGACGTGACACTGGAGAATTGTCTTGATCTAAAACAAATTTACTATAATCAAAATCCCGAATTCTTTATCAGCCAGGGTGTCAAATTGGGAGCCGCATGCAGGTTTGTTGGTAAAGTCAATAACTGGCTTCTGGATAGAAAAGTCAATCGAAACAAGGAGTTTGAGTTATTTTAAGAATCTTATACTTTGGCGGTCTTTTTATATAGCAGTTTATATAGAGATATAGGTATTTGCAACCATACTGCACAATTTGTAATTACTTGACCACTGTCACCGGCAGCTTAATCATTATTACTATAATACTTAATATTTAACTCTGTATGCTGAAAGTGCCCCTCTGCACTTTGCTCTCTCGCTCCAACTTTATCAACACACCACTTGAGGTATACTTTAAAACCTTGGGCCGTGTCGTCCTGGTAAATATGCCAGTTACAACAGATAAAAGATTTAAGTTCAGCAAAAAACTCCTTAATAGGATTTAGATCGGGTGAATAGGGCGGGAGATAGACTAGTTTGACACCTCTTTCTGTATATATTCGCTCAATCCGCTCCGAATAATAAAAAGATGCATTGTCCATGATCAGAACTGATTTAGGCTCGGGCCACTTTCCGTAATACTAAAGAAGTTCTTTGATAAAGTCCTTGAAAAGAGCTGTATCAGTTGTGCCTCGAAATATACAAGCAAGCATAATTCCATCCTGGGAGTAAGTAGGAAGAATCTGGTAGTATTGATCCCAGTAGAATTTAGATATCTGGACTGGTGTTATACTACTCGGAGACCATCCAGTTCTTCAAAAGCCTATCTGTTTATCGCACCCAGACTCATCAACATAGACCAGGTAGAACGAAGAGAAGTCGGATATCATATGAATATACTTATCTTATAAATCAGAATTTTGTTCCTTGGCCTGCTGCCGAGCAACTTTCTTCGACCATACTTGCTTATGAAGCGCATTACTTATGGTAGATTTCGGTATACACATGTTGAACTTGTCTAGTAGGAATAATTCCATTTTGTATAGGTACAAATCTGGCTTTTCGAAAAGATGGTTATATAGAGCTTCTAGCATCACCGGAGTTATTTTTCGCAGCCGTCCGCCTTTGATTGGGGGGGCTTTAAGACTGCCGAAAAGTTGAAGGTTAGATCGCAGTTAAAAGATAGCTTGTTTACTGCAACCAGCCGCCTCGGCCATTTAAGAAGCACTAAGGTCCCTATTAATCAACATATTGTGGATAAGATCAAGCGTGGATTAAGCTAGATTAGGGGCCATTCTTGTGATTTGGCTGCTATTAGTAGTTGAACAGCAGTTGCGATTCTCCTAGAACCGATAGTAGATAAATAACACATAGTATAAAAAGATATTATAATTACAGACAGTTGTTATATGACGAAGATATTATATGCCTTACAATACACAGCTCAACTATCTTCCAGATCCGTGCCAGGATTGGCTTAGTGTTGTTTTATCCCGGGGTTGCTGAAACAATCGAAGAGTGTAGGTAGTGACTTCGGTATCCGGAAGTACTGTATGTTTATCTGTAAGGCGAACAGATAATTGAGTTGAGATTTTGTGCAGTCGCAGCGGAGATGGCTTTAAGAAACGGACATATCGAGACTGAAGAAGAAGAAGAAGAAGAAGAAGAAGAAGAAGAAGAAGAAGAAGAAGAAGATTTAGATTTGTTAGCCTGGCCCGTGTTAGCAATCATGTCCACGGATGAACTGCTCTTCTAGACTCTCTCATGCCTTACATCAATCATCGAGAAAGAGATATCACTAAGCTCAGTGTAGAGCTACATGAAGAGTATCTTTCTTGAGTGCTGTGTGTGACTGGTCTCCTGACCGGCGGTCCGTGGTAGGTTTGATGAGGGATGCATTTCTGGCATGGACGTGGAATGGCTCACATAGAAGCGGGATTAATTTTCCCCAGATGTCCATTTCCAACCAAGGACAAGCAGAGGTGGCTGCCTTGGTCCAAAGTAGGGTTACGGAGTAGTGCATAGCATTACCCGATTGAGGCAGGCTACGGTGAGTCTCCCTGAAAGGTGAAGCTGAAAGTGTCGGAAGGGGGCGGCAGAACCCAGGGTCGATCCACCCTCGGCCCGAGCTTCTTCTTTCTTCCTTTCTCCACTTTTTCCCTTTCTTGCTTGTCTTTCCCCTTATTCCCTCTCCATCTCCCCCTCCCCATTCCATGAACGTGTTTGTGAAATGATCACATCCTGCTTAGAGTATTCATTATGATATTGAAACAATCTCCTCTTCCGTCCAGCTCGAACAGAGCAACCCACTGCTCATGCCTCTCGCCCACCCAAAATAGCATCAGCCGCTAGTGAGGCTCGCCGTTGTTTGAGGATCCCGGATTCTCAGCAACCCCAATTTTCGATCGTCTCATCATGAAACCCCCACCGTTCGCGCTCTGGGTCCAAGAACCCCCCAAGAATAGGCTCGGATCATTCTTTTCCCTCACAGCTGCCTCCCAAGTGCTCAACTGCACCCTCAAACCAAGCAACCAAGCCTTCCGCATGTGATGTGGATGAAAACACCTGTTCGACCAGAGAATTGACCAATTTACTACCTCATACAATCACGAAGACCCACACTTGTCTTCCGCGGGAATGTGAAGTCCCTCACAGACACACCGCCTCCGAGCAGCCCTCCAGGTAGGGAAGAACCCCGAAGCTATCGAAGTTTCGACCAAGCATCGACCCTCTTTTGCAACCAGCTTTAAGGTTTAGCTCAGGAGGCTCTCCGGTCGATCCACCCGCGCAGGATTCCCTTCCATTGAACTCGGGATGCGATAGGACCGCTCCCTTAGCCTAGTCGGGAAAAATCTCTGTGCTAAGCACGCCCGACGAGTTTGGCTCCGAACACCCTCGAGGGACAGGGACTATTGTCCCTCCTCCAGAGTCCAGCCAAACATGTTCTTCGAATTGAGTTTCGTCCCCAATCTACAGACTAAGAATAGCCACTTGTCCTGGGTCGGCCATTAACCCCGACCTTCTCCACCACCCGCGTCTCGGCCTGCTCTAGGAACCATTGTTTGGATTTTCCTGTTCGGTACAGCAGGTGTTCTACCCACGGTCTGCTCTCTCATATCCGGGAAAGCTTCAGACACAACTCATTTTGGCTTCATTCAAGCTGGTGTCACTCCTCTCGGCAGTGTCAAGCACAATCAAGACAAACATGAGCCAACAGCAGAGACCACAACCTACTTTCAGGGCAACTGTTCGAATGATTGATAGCCTGTAGTTGCTCTTTATGTTGTTCGCACACGGACCATCTCGTGAGACCCATACAGAACCAAAGCAGAACCTGGATCTCTAGCGCGTTTCAACGCGACGGATTTGGAGTCTCCCCAGCCGGTCCCCTCGCTTTTTGCTACGGTGATGGTCCATTCCCCATTGCACGATGTGCTTGTGCGACCGCTCGGCCTCAGGTCACCATCACGCAAGAGGGGTCCAGGCTACACATGGACCGCATCGTGATCCCAACGGAACCCCGGTCTAGCCTACCCCTGTCTGAGAACCACGGTCGAGGGTTTCCTTTAAGCCAGGATGATCAGGCACCTTACCCAAAGGGTGCTTCACGACTGGCGAGGACTCGCCTTTCTGTCGTGGTCCGGGCAAGAGAGTGAGATCTCCTTTGGGACGATCACAGACCCTCAAACACGAAGGGTTTCATGGCCAATTCTCGAAATAGATCATCCCGAACCTCATCCGGCCTCGAAGGCTTGCGAGAATCAAGATAAAAGGCGTCTTCATCCTCGCGTTTCTGTTCTTTTTCCCATCATCATCCTTCATCCACTTCTCTCTTTCTCTTTCTTTCCTCTCTCCTAAACCTCAAAAAAACATTGCTCTGGTAGCATTTCCTTCGTTCTCACACGATTATCTAGCTATAATCGTTTTCCTACCCCCCTAGCTTGTTTCTTTCTCACTCTTGTCAACCTTTTCAATTTGGTACGTATACCGCCACTTGTGCTCTACGACCAGTGACTGACACCAGCAGAAATCACGATGCGTGTTTCCAAGGTTTCCGCCGCGACTGTGCTCGCTTCGACCGTCTCCGTCAATGCGATTCCCATTCCCTGTCTCCTTCCCTTCCTCAGCGGCGCTGGTAGCCTCTTCGGAAGCTCGGGTCTGGGAGCCAGCTTGGGCGGCAGCGGCAGTGCTGATTTGGGCGCCAGCCTGGGCGCCGGTGCCAGCGGCAGCGGCAGCGGAAGCGCCGGTCTGGGTGCTGGACTCGGAGGAAACGCGGCTGCCAGCCTTGGTGCGAACGCTGGTCTGGGCGCTGGTCTGGGCGCCGGCCTGAGCGGTCTCTTCGGCGGCAGTGGTAGCGGTAGTGCTAGTGCCACCGGCAGCGGCAGTGCTGATCTGGGAGCCGGAGCCGATCTGGGTGCGAACGCCGGTCTTGGTGCGAACGCCGGTCTTGGTGCGAACGCCGGTCTTGGTGCGAACGCCGGTCTTGGTGCTGGCGCCAGCCTTGGTGCTGGTGCTGGTCTCGGCGCCGGTGCCGCTGCTACTCCGTCTGCTGGCCTGGGTGCTGATGCTGGCCTCGGTGCTAGTGCTGGCCTCGGTGCTAGCGCTGGTCTAGGTGCTGGTGCCGATCTGGGTGCTGGTGCCTCCGGTGGTGCCTCTGGTGGTGCCTCTGGCGGTGCTTCCGGCAGCGCTGGTCTGGGTGCTGGAGCTGATCTTGGCGCGAGCGCCGGTCTGGGAGCGGGTGCTAGCCTTGGTGCTGGCGCTGGTCTCGGTGCCGGTGCCGCTGCTACCCCCTCTGCTGGCCTGGGTGCCGGTGCCGGCCTCGGTGGTAGCGCTGGTCTCAGCGGTAGTGCTGGTCTCGGTGGCAGCGCCGGTCTCGGTGCCGGTGCTGGTCTCGGTGGCTCTGGTGATGTTTCCGGCAGCGGCAGCGGCAGCGCTGGTGCCACGCCTACTGGTGATGTCGGAGTCTCCCCTGTTGCAACTGGATCTGCTGGTGGTAGCGGTGATGTCTCTGGTGGTGCCTCTGGCGATCTCTCTGGCAGCGGCGGTGTCTCTGGCGGTGCTTCGGGCGGTGCTTCGGGCGGTGCTTCGGGCGGTCTTTCCGGCGGTGCCTCGGGCGATGTTTCTGGCAGCGGCAGCGGCAGCGGTGATGTTTCCGGTGGTGCTTCCGGCGACCTCTCTGGCAGCGGTGGTGTTTCTGGCGGTGCTTCCGGCGGTGCTTCCGGCGGTGTCTCCGGCGGTGCTTCTGGTGATCTCTCTGGCAGCGGTAGCGGTGATGTTTCTGGCGGTGCTTCCGGCGACCTCTCTGGCAGCGGCGGTGTTTCTGGCGGCGCTTCCGGCGGCGTCTCCGGCGGTGCTACTCCTACTGTTGTTGCTGGCCCTAGCGGTACTACTGTCTCCTTCGGCACTACCACCAGCGTCTCCCTTCCCGGCGGTGGTCTCACGGCTGGCGTCTCGGGCAGCGGCAGCGTCAGCGGCAGCGGCAGCGGTGATGCTGGCGTAGGTGCTGATACCGGAGCTGACACTGGTGCGGGTGCTGACACCGGGGCAGGCGCAGGTGGTGATGCAGGACTCGACGCGGGAGCTGGCGGCGACGCCAGCGCCGATGCTAACGCCAGCGCTACTGCCAATGCTTCGGCTGATGGAGATGCTGATGCCAATGCTGATGCTGACGCCACCGCTACTGGTGGCGGTTCTGCCACTGCTAACGCTAATGCGGAGGCTTCTGGCTCGGGACACGCCAGCGCTAACGCCTCTGCCAACGCCTCGGCCAGCGCTTGAGGTGAGCTTCGCCTCTTTCTTGGATTGGGAGATTTCTAGACTAACTTGGCCACAGTCAATTCCACACCTGTCAATGCGACAAACAACAACAACTACTCCCTCACTCTGGATCACCGACCACCATCGTGATCCCTCTTCGGCATGAAACTCACTCCCTTCTGAAGTGGGTTGGAGGATGATGAATCAGGAAATTTTGCTTATAGTCATTCGTTTATAATTGTGTTTTGATCATGAGACTGTCTAATACCGACATGTTATTTTTAGCTAGGAAAAGCTGCTCTAATCTCTTGCTACAGCAATGCACACACAGCTTGGAATCGTCTTTCTTGGTTCTCTGTTCTTTCTCTACCAGTAAAAAAAACCCCCCGAATGACCGACTGGCTCCACTAATCCCAGAACCTCCGATTGGGGGGTTGTACCATTAGTGCTGCGCGGTTAGTGCTTATGGCCGGCAAACCCTTGCCCCAAAGGAATTCAAGCCTCATCGCAGAGACGAATCATCTGGGCTGGTCTTATCACTAAGACTGTAGTTCGATGCAGCTTGCATCCGGCGCACCAACGCCTCCATCCTCAGCCTCTCTCCCCTTGTCGTACCATTCTCTCCGGATCCTTCCAGCATCATATAAGCCACACAAGTTCCCCAGTCACTCAATTCACCTCCATTCTCCTTTACAATCACACTTATCCCCACCCAGAATGCCACTCTCAAATCTCCGACCGTGCAAAGTCCTCATCGCCGGCGGCGGCATCAGCGGGCTCACCCTGGCGCTCTCGCTGGAGAAGCACGGCGTCGACTACCTGCTCCTCGAGGCATACCCGGATCTGGCCCCGCGACGCGGCGGCGGCATCCTCGTGATGCCGAACGGCGCGCGCATTTTGGACCAACTGGGCTGCTATGAGGACCTCTACCAGCGGGCAGGAGGCAGTGGGGTGTCGCGGCTATATCTCCGCGGGCCCGACGGCCAAGTCCTGGCCACCGTCGATCACACAGACAAGGATTTGACAGAGAGGTAATCTCTCACCTCGGGACTTATCTACGCCCCAAAGCGAACCCTACGATCATCTAATGCACTACTCGCACAGACACGGCTACCCAAACATCTGGGTCGACCGCCACCACCTCCTCCGCACGCTGCACGACCACATCGCCGACAAATCCCGAATCCTGCCGAACAAACGCATCACGACCGTGCACCACCTCCCCGACGGCGTCGAAATCACCACCGCCGACGGCAGCACGTACCGAGGGGACATCCTCGTCGGCGCGGACGGGACCCACTCGACCGTGCGGCAGGCGATCGTCTCGCGGGCCACCGCGCTCGGTCTGGGGAAGGAGTACTCCGAAGAAGAGCGTATGCTTCCCCCCCCTCCCCCCCCTCCCCCCCATCCTTACCCTGCATCTTGTCCCCCATTTTGACTAATGGTTCCGAGGTGAAGAGATCCCCTCCACCTACGACTGCATCTTCGGCCTCTCGTCATACCACCCGGGTCTCGCGCAGGAAGGCGAAGAGAGCACCCTCCAATTCATCCTGGGCGACCACCAGTCCTACATCGTGGGCACCTCCGGCCCCACCAACCGCTCCTGGTGGTTCTTGTTCTTGAACCGGGGCGCCATCCACCACGGGGCGGAGATCCCGAAGTATGATGCCGCAGATAAGGCGCGGGTGCTCCGCGCGCATGCAAGCGATCAACTCACACCGACTGTGACGTTGGCGGATCTGATGAGTGCTGGGCCGGCGGAGACGGTGTATACGCCCCTGCGGGAGTGGGTGTATTCGCGATGGCATCTGGGGAGGATGGGGGTGGTTGGGGATGCGGCGCATAAGGTGAGCTTTCCTTCTCTTGGAACTACAGATTGGAAAGGTGTGGGGAGAGTGGGGTTGGGACTGGGCTAATGAGGATACCGTTGGGGATGGGGTAGATGACGACGGTGCTCGGGCAAGGCGGCAACCAAGCTATCGAGAGCGTGGCTGCGCTGACGAATAGTCTGGTGAAAGGGCTGGCGAATGGGGGTACGGGGAGAATGACGGGCGACGAAATTGAGGCGATGTTCGAGGAGATGCAGGTATTACGTGCCCCGAGAGCTAGAGACATGATGGAGGCGTCTGGGAAGAAGCAGCGTGCGGATGCGATGGAGACGCCGGAGCTGAAGCATTTCTCGATGCATGTGTTCCCCAAGATCATTGCGCTGGGCACGTTTCGCCGGTGGAAGCAGTATTTGGCCGGGGCAGTGTCGTTGCGCGGGTTGCCGATTCCGTACCGGAAGAGGGTGGTGCCGTTTGATGATGAGGTTGAGCGTGCGACTGAGGGGCTGGGGAGGGTGGAGGCTAAGTTGTAGCGGCGAGTTGGCGAAGCTTGTGTGTTGTGGTCTAATGATCTGTCCTCAATGAGGTTACAAGGGCGGAATAAGAGCGATGATCCCGAGGTACGCCGTAGGGCTGGGGGCATCAGGTGATCGCCACCATGACCATCATGGAGCAAAAGAAAGACATGGATGCCCTGACACTCAGTACGTGGAATGGTTCCTGATCCACATTGAGTTTCATTGAAAAAGCCTAAAGCTTATGCCGGGTCATGACGTCATGTATCTTCACCCTGCAAATCTTCTTTGTTCTGAACTTGACATATTTTGTAACTTCAACCTCAACCTCAACCTCAACCTCACCTCACCACCCCAGGATGTTATACCACCACCCAAACCAATGAGCACCCCGCTGTTCGTGGCCGAGGAAGTGCTGTGCACCTACCCCATCAGCACGGTGTACGACTCGTGCCCACGCTACCTGTTCTATGCTCTCCTGCTCGCCACCTGCGTGACCCGATGGACGGGGTGGCTCTCCGACGTCTTTCTGGGCGCAGCGGCAACCTACGCGGGAACAGCCGCTCTGGAGGCCTTCATCCTGGTCTCAAGCCCACCGCAAAATGCTCCTTCAAACCCAGTAACCCTGCCCTACATCTCGCCTAACGACACAGCCCTCCTAGCCAGCCTGACCCCGTCCTTCCCTTCCCTAATCACCGACACCACAACCCTCCCCATCACCCCCGCCACCATCGACCTCGACGCCGACGCCGTCCTGGCCATCGTAGTAACGGCCTACTTGATCTTCCTGCCCCTGCAAACCTGGTCGCGGGCGTTCACACACTCCCGTGCGCGCTTCATCCTCTTCTCGCTGTGGCACACCCTCATGCTGGCAGGCACGATCAGCGCCCTGATCTACTGGCCGCGCGTGCGCAACACGCCGACGCAGTACGCCTTCTGCGCGCCGGACTACTTCCCGCCGGAGGCGACGGTGTCCAGCGACGGGTGGCAGGCGTGGCAGCGGCAGACGCCGTCGTGGAACAGCAGCGTGTGGGCGATCTTCAGCAACACGACGCTCTTCAACTCGCTGGCGACGGTGTGCTACTACCCGTGCTTCAACACGACGCAGCCGCTGCGCCAGCAGTCCGCGCTTGAGGCCGCCGTCGCCGACACTGACACCGCGGCCGACCACACCACGCGCTCCGCCTTCTGGTCGCGCATCCTCTACTCCGAGCGCTACATCTACAGCCTCGTCGCGCTGACTTTGGTCATCAACGTCCTCCTCCTCCTGTTCCGGTGTCTGCCGTACCGCTCGCGCATCCCTTCCTCGCGCGTGCGCACCATCTGGCGCGAGCGCGCCGCCATCGCCCGAGGGTTTCGCGCGGATTGGTTCGCCGTCGTGCATGCCGCTTCGTTCACATCCCCCAAGAATCCCGACGGGGATCCCGCTACTACCGCGGAGGAGGGTGTAGCCACCGAGAACCGAGGAAGCAACAGCAGCATCCTCGAGAAAACGCGCGCCACCCTTGCGACCGCCACTACAGCGCCCCGGGCTATCACCTGCCTCCTGCACCTGCACACCCTCGGCTCCCTGGTGCGGCTGCTGGCCGACCTGTGCATCCTGTTCGCCGTCGTGTTTAGTATCGTTATCAGCCCCCTGACCGTGCTCGCCTTCGTCGCCTGGATCGAGTACTACATCCACGAGGACGGGCCAGCCCAGGAGACGCCCAAGCAGGTCGGGCAGTGGGCGCCCCTGGCGTCCATCGGGTTTCTGGTCGTGTCGGCCGGGATCCTCAAGTTGAAGGTGTGGGTGGCGCCGCGGCAGGAGATTGAGTGGGAAATCGAGCAGGTCCGGGGACGGCTGAAGCGGTTGGAGGGGATGATTGTTTAGGTTTTAGCTTCCATTAATCATGAATTGAGGGTGAACGGGGCTTTTTTTTTTTTTTTTCCATGTATAAGCCGATGCATGGGCGCGATGGAGTGCATTCTCCAGCGTAAGCCTTATCTGTACGATAATTCTCCGTGAAAGGAAGTCAATCCCACAATGATCCTACACCCCACCCCCAATCTCGCCCTCCAACCGATCCGCCAAATCCATCAGTTCCCGGGGCTCCACCCCCAGCCCAATTGTCGAGTGGATCGCCAGATACTCCCATTCCCAGTCTGTAGGTGGATCGTGCGGCGGGACGACGTTCAACCCACCACCACCACCACCACCCACAGCCTCAGCAACAGCATGGCCAGGTTCTTGTAGCTGCTGCTGCTGCCCCTGCCGCTCTACCTCCCCAGGCGATCCCGCACAACCAACAGAAACCGGCGTAATCGGCCCCATCATCACGCGCAGATTCTCCAGCTCGGCGCGCCGCATCGGCGCCGCCAGGTTGCCCTTGGAGACGATCTTCTCGAGCACGCAATCGATGTGCTCGGTCCAGCGGGTTTCGGTCGGGATCAGGGCCGGGGCGATGGCCTGGATGACGTAGAGGATGAAGGCGGAGGCGAAGGCGTCTTCGATCTGGAAGGGGAGGAAGGATTCTTCGCTTGCGTTAGCATGTGCGTGGGCCAGAGACTCTTGGGGGTCTGGGGGTGGGGGGTACCGATCAGGTCCTCGTCCGCTAGTGTGCGGAGGGTCTGCAACACCGTCAGCGCGGACTCGACGCAGCACTGGAGCAGCGAGGCGACGGTGGCGGAGAGGTTGATGGCGGCGCGGGAGGAGGCGCGCTCGATGTGCGTGTGTAGCGCACACATGACTAAGGGCCGGGTGGTGAGGACGATGCTCTTGCCTTGCTGTCAGCATTCTGTTTGGAGACTTTGATCTGGGGAGTGGGATGGACAGGCTGGGGAGGATGGAGGCGCGTACGTGGTGATACCCCAGGATTAACCGCGTCGCCGTCCGCGACGCCCGGCTCAATGCCGCGGGGAACTCGGCGTTCAGGAACACGGTGAGGTCCTGCGAGAGCTCGGCCAGATCCCGGAGGATGGCCTGCGTGTCTTTGATGAGTGTGCCGGTGGAGTCGGGTCCCACGCCGTACACCGCTGGAGTTTCCTTGGTCAGGTATATTGAGAAGAATGAAGAGGGTTGGGAGTGAATGTACTCGTCAGGATCCTCGCGTTTAGTCTCGCGAGGCGCACGTGGAAGGTAATCGTCTTCTCGTCCACCGATCCATCGCTGAAGAGCCGCACGGTGATGTCCTCGTCGCGGATGGAGCTGGGCGCCCCCATTAGGGCGGTGAATTCCCGGTCCAGCATGTAGACGATCCAGAAGATGGTCCGGCAGCGGTGCGAGAATTCCGCCCCGTCCAGCTCCTCCGGGACGTGGCGGTGGATGCCTTCGATGATGCAGAAGCGGAAGGCGAAGCCGATCTATCCCTTATCAGTTATGCACAGTGCGTATAGACTACCAGGGAAGAGGGAGGAAACACACGTGCTGAAATGCCGCGACGCGCATATCGATCGACTGGAAGTACAACGCTGCGAGCGTCAGGGTACGGATGCACTGCAGCGGATTGGGATACATCCCCGACAGGTCCGGCATAAGGGACATCGCGCGCGCGGCGTACTGGTACCCCGATGGCGGCGCATTCGGCGGGTGATTCTGTGCCAGGAAGGCTTTCCCGAAAGCGAGGACCAGAAGATACTGCGCGTACCACAGACGCATTGATACAACTTTCGTGCCGGGGTCGGTGTAAAATTCGTGCAGGTGGCGGAGGAAGGAAGGGCTGTCGATGATGTAGAATAGTGTCCCCAGGTAGTACTTGACGGTGTGGAAGAGATACAGCCCGTAGTCGATCGGGGGTAAATGGCAGACTTCAGGCACCTCGTCCATCGGCAGGGGTCGCCATTTTAGGGCAAAGGCTGAGGCGTCGACGTTCCATGGGTCCGGGGGACAGTTGGCGTCGGGGACATGCTTGCCTAGCAGGGCGAGCACGCGGCGGCAGAAGGACCAGGAGGAGGTGGGACCCATGTACCCTGATTCTGGGTTAATGCTGTTGGCGTGAATGGTGGGCAGGCAGCTCACAGAATCGTCCGTCCGGAGACTGTGCAAATGAGTATTCTACCAGAGGGTTTCGAGAGAACTTCGACCGCAGTCCGTCTCTTTCTGGTTGGGAATCATGCTCCGATGGGGCTGCTGGATGTGTCAGTACGAGATGGTCAGGAGGGAAGAGGCGACCTACGGTTGGCCTCGACATGCGGTTGGAAGCCCGAACATTCATCCTGATCCTCCAGAACCGATGGATGCGAGAAGACGAACGAGTCTCCGTCTTCGGTCGAGTTGCGTACATCGGCGTAACGCACAGTTGCAGCCGCACTATGGCGACGCTCAAGATCACGCAGGTAGCTACATTCGCACCATCAGCCACTGACTAATAGAAACCATCGTAGCTATTAGGTTACCTCTCCGGCACCGAGACTCTCGCTTCCTCCACTGCATAGTGACATGGTTTCTTGCTCCGGGCGCAACGCCCACAGGGATTTGACCCGGAGCACTTGACCTTCATGGAACGACATCGTACGCAGCTGAAATGGGTTAGTTCATATCTTCCACAGATATCCCAGCTACTTACGCCTTCTGACATTTTTTATACACCCTTGATTGCTCTGAATTGCGAAGAGACATGTCGATATCATCGTGTCGGAGGATAGTTCCGACAAGTTGATGCGCGGAGAGAAAAAGTCGGAGGAGGCCGGAGCCTGAGGCCGAGCTGAGATCGCTGACTAATCCTTGAGGGCGATTGCTGCTTCGACTCCATAGAAGAGAGCCAACAAGAATAGCTTATGACACTAGACTAGAAGGTGAACGATAGACTATACACCAATGTGATATCTGCTTATCTTTGGAATACCCAGCGCACGGAACTGCTTATCACACGAAGCCCCGATTTCGGAGCGGCCATCCGAAACCCCGCCGGAGATTGCACCAACATTCGCAATTCGCCCACTTATCCTCGATGATTCATTCATGTACCCAACCGACGCACACAACACACCAACACATTCACAACATGGCTCCTCAATCAACACTAGCAATCATCGGATGCGGTACCAAGCTGCCCCTCACCTCAACACTTGTACCGAATAAAACTAACCAAACAACCAGGAAACATGGGCTCCGCGATCCTGAGTGGGATCCTCGACGCCACGCGCGCCGACCCGACCACCAGCCCGTTCGGGCGCATCATCGCCTGCACCAAGACCGAGCAGTCCGCCCACAAACTGCGCGAGCAGTACGCGCGGGACCGGTCGCGGGTGGAGGTGCGCGCCGACGCGAACCTGGCCACCGTGCGCGAGGCCGACTACGTCATGCTGGGGTGCAAGCCGTACCTGGTGGAGGCGGTCATCGCGGCCGACGGGATGGCCGACGCCCTGGCGGAGAAATTCATCATCAGCGTGATTGCGGGCAAGACCCCGGCCGTGCTGGCGGGGTATATCACCGAGTATGCCAGTGCCGAGGTTCAGGTGTCCGCGCGGCCGTCGGTGGCGCGGGCGATCCCCAACGTGGCGGCCAGTGTGCGCGAGTCGATGACTGTCGTGGAACTACCGACGGAGTGTGCGGCGGCGAACCGCGAGGTGGTGCAGTGGATGTTCGCGCAGCTGGGGCAGGTGAAGGTGGTCGCGTCGGAGCTGTTTGACCTGGGGTCGATGCTGGTCGCCATGCTGGCCCCGTTTTCTGTCGCGGTGGACGGGATCCTCGATGGCTGCGTGGCGGAGGGGATGCGCCGGGCGGAGGCCTCGGAGATGACGGCGCAGTGTCTGCTGGGGCTGGCGCAGTTGCTCAAGAGCGGCGTCCATCCGGCGGTGCTGCGCGAGAGTATCTCCTCGCCCCGGGGGTGCACGATTCAGGGCCTGTTGACGGTGGAGAAGGCCGGGGTGCGCAGTGCGTTCGCTGAGGCGATCATCAACGGCACGCGGCATTTGCATGAGTTGCAGAAGAAGCAATAGACAAGACTAGATAGACCGGGTTCAATAGACATCATAGGTGTCTCATCTACCGAACTTGCTCAGCTACAACCCCCCCCCCATGGCTATCCCATGTCTGTAGGCCCTAAGCTCATTATATGATCTGATGAGGTCCCATCTGAATATAGTGTGCAGGGTATATGATTGTATAGCATCTGCCCTGTCCCTGGTCCAGCTGAAAAATTGGAACCCAAGCCCCGTACGAGAAAAGCCAATCCCCTCAAGCATTCTATTATGCCACTCACAGAAAGTACCAAACACTATGCCAAAAACCCTTCACCAGTAAGCCCAGTTCCCCAAGAACCCTGCAGCCTCAGCCAATCAGATCTACTCCTTATTCAACGGCTCCCGAACCGCCGAAATATACTACCACCGGAATCAGCCACATAATCATCACAAGCCCCTTCAAAAGAACCAAAGCCAACATACCGGAATAATCTGCGCCTTCTCCAAGTCCCACACCCCACTCTTGGCGTAGATATCATTGTTAATCAGCTCATGCACCTCCTCCACCGTCTCCCCGGTCACCACGATCATACTCCCCTTGAAGGAGAGGAGCTTGCCCTCTTCCGGGTGAGCGTCGACCATCGCGCCTGCAGGCCGAAAGTTAGCGCACACAAGCGCCTAGCACAAGAGCATCACTGCATGCGTGCGCGTATTTGGGTTGACGATTAGTGGTTGGGACACAACTTACCGCCAACGACCATCTTTCCCGCCTCGATGAGGGGCTTGAGTTCCGCATAGTGCGTACTATGGATCAGAGTTAGTTATGTGGCAGGGGAATTGGGTCCAGGAAGACGTACGGCCGGACTTGCAGGCGGAGGTCGAGGACGTTGGGCTTGTCGGGGAGGATGCAGAGCCATTCTTTCTTCTTGGGGGGTGCGGTGGCTAGGGTGCGGAGGGGGAGGTGGCGGTGAAGCAGAGGGGAGGAGAAGGATTTCGTGAGGCGGAGGAGGGACATGTTGATGGTTGGGATGTATGGAATGGGGAACGGCCAATGGTTTGGGTTGAGGTTATACACTGAGTAGATGCATGAATTGTTGATCGACGCGGACGCGTGGGCGGAAAACGCGGGGAAACTCGGCCGAAAAGGGCGTTCCGATAGTCGGAGTGGGGGTCCGATGTGGCGGGGGTGGTCGTGGCTGTGGCTGTGGCTGTGGCTGTCCCCATTTTACCCCTTCTGGCGATATGCTTGACTTCTATACCTTCAGTTGCAATGCTTTCCTGCAATCATTACATTTTTGACATTGACTTATCGTACTTAGTGAATAAAGCAGTAACGACATCGAACCCTCTGTCAGAACTCTATAAGGTCAACACTTGAACTACTCTAACGCCACATCTAATCCAATCTCATGGTATCATAAATTCACCAGCTACCGCCTCTCAGTCTCACTCTTCCGCTCCAACTCCCTCAACACCTCACTCTTCTCCACCTCGATCTCCCACTTCGTCCGCGGCCGCTCAAATGTCGACGTGATGCGCCCGTACGCCACACCCCCCAACTGCGCCACGGGCCTCAACTTCTCCAGATCAATATGACTCCCCTCGGCATCGACGGCCCCCTCTTCGACCCAGAACCGCGTCGCCTTGATCAACACCACCGCCGACACACTCATCCCGGGGCTGTGGGCGGCGAACTCCTTGATCTCCAGCACCCGGCCCTCAACCGAGAAGACCGACTCGCGGACGCGCGACGGCGTGACCGTGGAGCTGGGCGCCTCGGTCAGCCCGCTGATCTCCCACTCCGACACGCCGTAGGGGGCGTCGATGGCCGTCGCGTTGACGGCCTCGATCATCCCCTCGGAGACGGTGTTGATGACGCACTCGCCCGTCGCCTGCAGATTGCGGTACGTGTCCTTGGCGCGCCCCGGCCGCGACGAGAACCCCACGATGAACAGCGGCGGGTCGTGGTCGACCACCTGGAAGTAGCTAAAGGGCGCCAGGTTCTTGGTCGTGCCGTCGCCGGAGACGGTACTCAGGAAGCCCACGGGTCGCGGGGCGATGCCTGACACCAGCAGACGGTAGTTGTTGATGGCTGGGCGGGAGGCGGCGTACGGGTCGATCTCGCGGTGGAGTTTGCTGGCGCTGGCGCCGTTATCCGGCACGCCTTGGCCGTAGGTCCAGCTTGGGTAGGGGGATCGGGTTACCTCAATTGGGGTGGGCGTGTGGTCGAAGGGTGCGCGGCTGGCTTCGGTTTGCGAGAAGTTGGAGATGTCTTGCACGATTTTGTAGTTGGCTTGCGCTGCTTTGGTGGCTGCTGCTGCTTCATCCGGAGAGGAGGATGAGGCTGCTCCTGCTCCTGCTCCTCCTTCTGCTGCTGCTACTGCTGCTGAGGAACTCAATCGCATTTGACTGAGGGGGCGGAGGGCGGGCGTCCCAGTGAGATGCATAGGTCTGGCTATCCTGTCAGTGGATGTGCTGTGGATCTGGGATGATGGGAGGCTGACCTTGAGGTAAAGAGTCGACTGACTCTCTTTGCGGCTGTAGCCATTGGGGTTTGTTGGTGGTGATTCACAAATACCTGTCCAGCGGGCAGTGTCACTTGCAATGAAGGCCGCCGGCGAAAGGAAAGGGAGAATGCGGCATAAATTCCAGAATGGATTCTTCAAGAAGCCAAGCCGACTGCCTCCGATTGCTTAGAAACCCGAGTCGGCGGGCGGGGCCGATCTTTAAGGTCTCTCCATCGGCACGGCATCGGGGGAGGACCCCGATACCGATCGGCATATCAACTTTATAGATTTTCTTTCTTTAAACTGTCATAAAGTGCCTATATCTCCAGCTAAGCATATAGCCCCTTACCCTGCCCAATCTCCTGCGTACCCACTAACCGAGTAAAATGTTCCGTCGCGCCCTCTCTACCTCCCTTGCCAACACCTGTCGAGTGCCCCTCCGAGCGTCCATACACCCCGGGCGCTATAACGTGCTCCCTCTCCAAGCGACCCGGGATAAAACCACGGTCTCAAGTATCTACACCGACAAATGCTATGCGCGTGAGTCCAGTCCAGCCATAACACTAGCCTTTACATAGCTCCCAGTAACCGTGGAATCCCAGCCTTCTCCCACTACGCACGTCCCCTATGTTCCCCGTGAACACGCATTAGTACCCGTGCTGACCAGCACATCATCCGTCCAGTCTCCAGCCATCAAAGCCGGTAACCACGTCTGACTCTCCGGCTAGATCCCGGCCGACGCCCAAGGGAACCTGATTAAGGGGTCTGTGACGGAGAAAACCCAGGCCATCATCCAAAACTCGGAGGCTCTCCTCCTGGAGGCGGGGTCCGGGCTGAATCGGGTTATTAAGGTTGTGAGTTCTGAGTCCTGCTTTGTTCCTTTTTTTTTTTTTTTTTTTTTTGTGTGTGTGTGTGTGTGTTTAAGTATCTGTCCGACTGGAGAAACAACAGGTGTACATGACGGATGCCAGCATCATGCCCGAATTCACCAAAGTGTATGACCCGGCGTTCCAGCATCGGCCGGCTCGGTCGATAGTGGAGGTGTCCAAGTTGCCGGCTGGGATGGATATTCAGGTGGACTTTTTCGCGGTGATTTAGGGGATGTGATTTCTTGGAATAGGTGGAACTGCCGGATCGGGTCACCTGTGCAAGAGAGGGTCGGATTAATGGCCGTGATGAAGCGAGATGATAGCTGAGCTGGGTTCAGCTCAAGTGTAGTTGAGTTGAGAGCTTACTAAAAACAAAAGCGACCGAGAAGTTATGCACTATAGTGGGGGGACCTTCAAGCACCAGGAATGAGGAAGGACAGGGAATGTTCTTGACAGATACGACAGCTAGAATCTGCCCAGAAGGAAGAGTGATTAAAACAATAAAAAATACAGAAAAGCCTACTCCAACTTGCGCAGTTGGAGCTAGAGTCTACGCAGGAACAGGCACAAAGTGTCACATGGCACAGGAGATGCATTGGGTTGCCGATAGCTGTCTCTCCTCTATCAACGAACACAGGATATCTATATACCAATATACCATCTAAGAAGTTTCATCCCCATGACTGATCAAGAGGAACTCCCCACAAGAAAAACAAGTTCCATACACGTGTGCCCACAAGCTTTGTGGTGGCATAGGCGGAGTCGTCATAAAACACATTGTCAAATCACCAATTCCCAAGAAAAAGAAGCAATAGCCAATGCGGAGAATCTTTGTGATATCAACAACAAAAACCAAAAATCAAAAAGTGAAAGACATCAAACATTGAAGGGGGCTTATTTCCACGTGAAAGTGAAAAACCCTTCGGGGGTAATCGATTGCAAATTCAAAGCAACACGGCTCCGACTGTACATGTATAAATGCGGGAAGAGGGAGGGTGGAAGGGGAGGGGGGGTATCTGGTGATTAATTTTTGTTGGTGCGAAGCAAAAGGTCTCAGGTTTAGTAGGTCTCCTTGCGCTCCTGGCTCTCGCCACTGCTGAGGGCCAGCTCGGCCTTCTCGGACTCGTGGGCCACCTGGTGGGAGGGGATGTCCAGACCGACTTCGGCGGACATCTGGGCGATCTGCTCGGCGGTGAGCTTGGGGAGCTCGTTGGCGACCTGGTAGGGCCACTTCTTCTCCATGTGGGCCTTGGCGAAGATGATGTCGATCTCCTCGAGGTCGCGGCCGGCGGTCTCGGCGTAGAAGTACCAGGCGAAGGGGATGGCGATGAAGTTGATCAGGGCGAAGAACAGGTAGATGCCCCAGGAGCTGGAGGAGGAGAAGACGGGCGTGAACATGACGACGGCAAAGTTACAGATCCAGTTGGTGCAGGTCGAGGCGGCGGCGGCCATGGTCCGGGTGCGGAGGGGGTTGATCTCGGGGGGGTAGATCCAGGGGAGGGGCAGGGTCGTGAAGGCGAAGAAGACGATGAAGAGGAAGATACCCACGACCGCACCCTTGGAGTTGGACGTGGTGTCGTCGATCAGGCAGCCCATGGTAATCATGAAACTCAGCCCCTGGCCCAGGAACCCGATCAGGAACAGGTTGCGGCGACCGACCTTCTCGATCATGAAGAAGGAGGGGATGGTGGCCAGCGCGTACACGGTGGCGAAGACACCGCCCAGCACCAGGGAGAGACGGTGCTCCATCTGCAGGTTGGTCTCGAACAGCAGGGTCGAGTAGTAGATGGCGGCATTGCAGCCAGTGAACTGCTGGAAGAACTGACCCGAGCATCCAATCATCATGCGCTGGAACTCCTGGGTCTTGCCGAAGGTGAACAGCGTCTTAAAGCTGGCCTTGTTGTCCTGGGTGGCCTTGAGATCCGCCTTCATGAGGTTGTAGTCCGCCAGCACCTGGTCGGAGTCGGGGGAGAGGTCGTTCAGCGCGGCCAGCACCTCGCGCGCCTCCTGGTCGTGGCCGCGCATGACGAACCAGCGAGGGGACTCGGGGAGCATCAGGGCACCGACGGTGACCAGCACGGCGAAGATGATCTGGAAGGCAACGGGGAAGCGCCACTGCACCGAGGTGTCGACGTACGAGAGACCGAAATCGAGCCAGTAAGCGACGAAAGTACCGACGGCGATGATGGCACCCTCGAAGCAGACCAGGAAACCACGGTTGTGGGCTTTCGAGCATTCCGACTGCCAGACGGGGATGGTGGCCGTGTCCATGCCGTTGCCCAGGCCCGAGATGACACGACCCACGACGAACTGGCCCAGACCCCATTTGTTGCCGTAGGAGGCGGTAGAGATGACCGCGCCAATAGTCATGATGACACCACCCGCAACCAACAGAGGAGTCCGACCAATGCGCTCACCGAAGCAGAGAGTGAAGATGGCACCGAAGAAACAACCGAGCTCGTAACAGGCAGTGACGGCACCGCGAAGGACCGAAACGTGGTTGTCATCTTTGCCAGCGCCGGTAGCCAGGGCAGGGAACTCGGACGTAAACTGATCACCAGAGATGATACCGGACATCAGACCCTGATCATAACCGAAAAGTGAGAAACCCAGGACAGAGACGATGGTGATGGCCAAGCGGAGCTTGCGGCCCCGCAAGCCACATGTTGTTGTCCACATGTTGACTTAGAGAGATCGACCTTCTTTCAAAACGGATACCAATCGAGGAAGAATGTTGGTATGCGTGACAATTGAAAGGAAGGGAGAGAGAAAAAAAAAAAAAAAAAACAGGTGGAGAGAGGTAAGGGATGGAGGTTGACAAGTAGGAAGGGATCTCCCAACCAGGGCAAGGGCAGCAGCAGGAGGGTTTATGTATGTTTCGCGATGCTACCGAAATGCTCGAAATGCTTGCTAATGCCGAGAGAAACATAAGACTTAGTCGGGAAGTGGTATAGGGCATGTGTCGCGAGCCGCCAAGGGGGCCAAGAGGGCCAAGAGGGTTTAGAGGGGGGGACCACTGGGGCCATTCACACCTCATCGAAACCAATGAGATCTTTTGGGGCCCCGCGAAAAAAAAGCTCAGTTCGGGGATTCGAAGCGCCATTGACGTCAGAGATTCAACCGCAACGCTACGCTGGTTGCGACTGTGCCGCTTGGCACTCGTCTGTGGTTCAGGGCACTGACTGCTCCCGGAAAGAGTAAGATTGCCGACCTTCAGGCTCTCTCCAGGTTACTGTTCTTGATGAATCTCATAGGAGATTGTTGATTAAGTTCCTATTCCCTGCTGATGCGGGGAGGGGAATGTGGAACAGTATCAATCGATCCATCCATCCATCGATCAATCAAATTCGAGTCATTTTTGTCCAGCAGGGATGACAGCAGTCATCTCCCACATGGCCACGCCTCTCTCCCCCCCTCCCTCGCTCTCTCTCCATGCGGAGAGATAGCACATGGAGGGAGGGTCGGATTAAACCGGCGTGAGTGGTGGGAAACAGACCACTTGGCCAAGGGACTGAGGATCCACTCCATATGCACCAAGTGAGGATCTTCCCCTCTCTTTGCCCTAACGGGAACCCATTCCCCCCATCTTCTGCCACCTCTTAGTCTAATTACCCTCGCTCTCACCATGTCGAGTCAGTCCATTCAACGACGGTAAAATTTTGCGCGATGATTTCGTGGGCCAAGGGATGAAGCTGCCCCGGCCGAGATTACGATCCTTCGATTCGTTTCAGTTACCGTTCTTGCTTTGTGCTCGCTGTTTGAACCGCCGAAACCCGGGTTGCCGCGCCGGAAGGCTAAAGCTTCCCTGGCTGGCGCCCCGGAAGCCGTCGATCCCAATCACATGAAACCTGAACGGCCAAGCCGGGGAAGAGCTCTACCCTAGTCGCAGAGAAGGCAGACATAAGAAAAGCCATGGTAACACTAAGTAGTAAGTACAGTCGTAATACTCATCATGTAGGCAGTTAACACCAGCCAGAAAGGGTCCAGGACGCAAGGGAGTTCGGTAGCTACCATGGAAAATGGGTATTAGCCGAGATCGAGAAAATCCCGAGCAACCCTATAGATGGGGACTTGATGGGGGAAGAGTCGGAGGGGGGGGGGGGGGGACCAAAAAAATAGGGCAGTCGGGTTATTAGGCATCCGTTGTTGGCGGACCCCATACCCCATACCGAAATTTTTGCGGGTCCGGGGGGTGAGGGACGGACGGAGAGGTCCGACCTTTTCTTTCCCCTCTCTATTCCTTTTCTTTTGCATCTGACTCGGAATTCCCACACTGCCCCCCAGTGAGACTGCAACAAAAGCCGACAGCACCGCCGTGACCGCCGCCGTCCCTCCCACCCTCAGCTCCTCCCCTCACTTCACCGTGTGAATCCTCGAGATACCTGCCGCAACCGAGTGTTCCCCTCCAAACTGGAAACCATGTCTATTCGTGGGAATCTCCTCTAAAAGTGGGCTTTCTTACTAAAAAGTGGATCAGCGTAGTATTTGACCAAGAAAGGTTAGCTTGGGGTGGCCTGAAAAGAGAAAACTCTGCGCCCCAAAAAAAAGGGCAAAAAAAGCAGAAGAAAAAGAAAAAAAAAAAAAGAGGGTAAGCCAATGAGATATCTTCCAGCAGGTGCTGCTAAGGTACGGTCGTATTGCCAATCAGCACATGCCCTAACCCGGTAGTCGTCCGGCTGCAAAAAGCACGTGTGTTTCGGAGTTACTTTGTCCACCAACCCATGAATCCGGGATAGCTTCAATTCAGATCCAGGAAAAAGGGAAAAAGAACTGTCAAAACAGTCGATCTCTCTCCTGTCCTGACTGCAGTTTCCCACCGTTCAAGTATGTATAGCTGCACGCCAGAAACGTGCGCCAAGGGATGGTCCCGATCGCAAGAAGGGCAGGGAGCATAGAAGAAAGGGCAGGGCGATGAGCCGCACCGTGGTCCTCGCTTCAAGCCACTGCCGTTCCGTCTGAGACTCCACTGAATCTTACTCTCTGACCGCCTGCTGGGCCTGCTGGGCCACTTGCTACTCAGTAGTTTGGTGCATGACTAATGGTTGAGACTTGGCATGTCCGCTGACTCAGCTGACTCACCTCTCTCGCACATGGCTTGTTCCGATACTGCACGGGATATCCTCGGCAGGATCAGGTCCGACTCTTCTTTCGGTCTATTCCAACTTCAAGCCACTGCCTGGTGGTGATGAATGTGCTTTCATCTGAACGCAGGTGAGACTCCGTACTGCGGTGCAGATGCAAGTGCACTCACTGCACAAGGGCGGTGTGTGTGAGCACCCGCGGCGCGGGTGGGGTGGATCTCAATCTCTGGCACAAGATCATCTATCCATCCTAACGGTTACCTTCCGCAAGCAGTAACATTCCCGACAGGAACTCAACCATCGAAAGCACGCTGCTCCGATGGAACACGCCGTACACAACCACTTCAGAAACTTTAGTACCTCGTAGTTGTAGCGCTAATCTGCCAAGCGAATCGACCCTCAACCCAACCCATGACGTACGCTTCAAATGTATACACGATCTGTCCACGTACGTGCATAGCACTTGGTACTCATATTACTATAAAAGCCTTGTCGCTACCAAGCTCCATCGCGGCTGGGCGGGTATCCAAGCGCGGTGGTATGATCCTGGCGAATCCCCGTCGGCAAACCTTGATTGGATCAAGGCACAACCCAAGCAGCGAGTCTTTGAGCTTCGGGATGCAATAGACTTTGGTCGAAGAACAGAAAAAAAAAAATAGGCACACGTCAGCGGTGGGATGGCAAGCCGTCGTCAGGTGCGAAACCGCGTTGCTGGGCTGACGCACTGGGATTTTTATATATCGCGCTGCCGCTATTTGTGCGTATCGCGCGCTGCCCGGCGGAATAGAGTTCAAGATGTTGCTCTTGCAAACTATGTCTACGCCACTGATATATGATCGCAGATCAAGTAGCAGGATGCCCGGTGGTTTGAATGATACGATTGGGCGCAAAGGCGAGCTGATTGCTCGGCAGCACGACGGGTAAAAAAGCAGAGTGACGAGTGCGGCTGTTGCGCATCAGCGCGGGTCGTTCGCGAGTGGGTGGTGTATTCCCTGCTGCTGGGTGCTTGGCAGGGACGTCATTTTTCGAGGTCGCAGATTGGGTTTCAGAGCAAAGTAACTTAGATGGGCTCTAGAGGTATGTGTGTGATGCACAAAGTACTGTACTCTGTATATGGGCACTTCGGTTGTTGGTTGCATGTGAAGATGATTTGCTAGCGATTTGTCTGGTTGACAGGAGCCTTACACCGCCTTACTTTTACGGCACTTGATCTGCCGGACAGAGATATCTCGGTCATCAGGCGGTGAAGACCTTGCCAGCTAAATTACAACTCAGAAATAGCTTCAAATTTGCTAGAAATACAACATTCCTGAAGCCAAAAGCCTTGTTAAAGAAATCTCAAGCTATTGGACACAGTACTGACACTCAATTATAGTCAATCTAGCCACGTCTTATCCTCTCGATGTTCAATCAAATGGTGAAGTTCCTGGCAAGTTGCGAGTTCGCTGGACCGGGCAGTGTGTATTCCTCTTGTTCGAGCGCTTCGAGCTATCTGGAACTCTTGTGCAATGCTCGGGAACTATCAGCTGTTTCACAGTCATTATCTGTGCTTGCAACTTACCAGACTAGGATCAGGCTCGAGTTTGAATTTCAGCCTGATAGAACCTCGTATGGAGAGATAAATAAAATTACGGGTAGAGCCAAGGTGAATGTTGACACCCGCCATTGTGCTGTCAATATATCTTCCAGAACGCCGGTGAATTTATCTATCTAGCCACGTGTTGAACAACCGCTTTTGCAACATGACAATCCTTCCTTCTGACCGACGAACAGAGCTCAGCGGCTGCATCTTCCGGTCCAGCTTCAAGTCCACAGTCCTCTCCGGTCAGGATGAGTGCGGGAATCCCACAACTACTGCCTTAACGGGTCATCGGCCCCTGAGAATCAAATACACACCCCAGGCAATGTCCAGAGCCTGAACTGACACGAGCTGGATATACTTCATTGTCGGTGTTGTCGAGCCCTGAGACGCGAACCAGCCAATCAAGCTTTATGCTGTCCGCGTTGACCAGTAAGCACTAGGTTCGTTTCCACAGCTAGGATCGTAGTCAGCCACCATAACCTAGTATGAAAGACAAAACAATGAACAGAGTCAGGTCCGAGGTGACACTACCCTGCCAGGTTTCTTCCTTTCTTTGTAGAGACTACCTCTTTCTGTCATTTCCAAGCCACCGTTACACAACCGTCTCTTTCCGCCGCAACCAAGACCTGATCAAGCCCCCAGACCGCCGTCATCACAGCCCACCCCTCAACTCTAAACCACACCTCCCACCGAACTCATCCCAAGAATGAACGCCCTCATCACAACCCTCTACGGCTTCCCCCCGCCCGCACCCCGCCACCGCACCGCCCCCATCCGCATCCTATGCGTAGGCCTCCCTCGCTCCGGCACGGAGAGCCGCAGCCTCGCCCTAACGCAACTAGGCTACAAGCCCTTCCACGGCTGGGATCTAGTCTTCGACACGGCGGCGCACATCCAAGCGTGGGCGCAGCTCGCCGAACGCAAGTACGGCCCCCCACAGGACCAACCCATCACGCGCGCGGACTTCGACGCCCTCCTCCCCGGCGACTGCGACGTGGTCATCGACTCGGCCGCCGCGCTCTTCACGCCGGAGATCCTGCAGGCCTACCCGGACGCCAAGGTGATTCTGAACACGCGCCACGACGTGGCGGCATGGCAGCGCAGCGCACGGCAAGCGTTCGTGACGGACGGCGCCGCGCACTGGGGGCTGTGGGTGCTGCATCTGTTCAGTGCGGAGGTGTTTTGGCTGTGGCGGCTGTATTATACCTTTGGGTATCCGGGGTTGTTTCGGGGGAGGACGGTGGAGGAGGGGGTGGTGGGCAAGGGGAAGAGGGTGTATCGTGAGCATGGGTGGTTGGTTAAGGGGTTGGTGGAGAGGGAGCTGTTGTTGGAGTGGAACGTGGAGGATGGCTGGGGGCCTTTGTGTGAGGTTTGTTGGTTCTTTCTTTTGTCGGTCTTGTGCTTGGGGAGGGGGTTAGGGTTGGGTTAGTGGCTGACTGACGAGTTATAGTTCTTGGGCAAGGAAGTCCCGCTGGAGCCGTTTCCCCAGACGAATACCGGGGAAGGGTTCCGGAATCGCGTTGAGAAGAGAGTCGGGCCCTGGCGGCGGACGGCGTTGGGGAATTTTGCCCTCATGATCACTTCGGCGGGGGTGCTGGGGACGGCGGTGGTGTTTGGGGCGAGGAAGGGCGGCGGGGGGTGGTGGCCTGCTGTCAGGGAGATTCCGGGGTCGATCGGGGCGCGTTGGTTTTAGTGCGGTGGAATTGATATGGTGGCTGTTTATCAGACTTGGAAGGACGAGGAAGGTGGATGCTTTTGGTTCTTGCGATGCAGTGTATCTACAGTTTGTCGTCGGTGTAGCGGGAGGGCTAGATTATCAAAATCATGCATTTTGGGTCATTAATGTAGGAGTCATAATACACAGATGCTAACACCACGCTATGTAGGTGTACAACAACAAAGAAACAGGTCTGAACGCAATCCTTCAATTAACACCCCCTAATCAAACACCAATGCCCGCACCTCAATACTCTCCCTAGGCTTCGCATCCGCGGGGGAGCGGGGATGCACAAACGCGGCATGGGGCACGCGCGACACAGCCCCCGGCTGATTATCGGAGCACTGCAGCAGGATGCGCTCGTCGTCGTCGACGTGCGACCAGTACAGCCACTTCTGGGACGGCTGGTACTGGACGCTCATGGTCTCGCCGGTGAAGCTGGGGTAGCGGCGCTGGACGGGGATGAGATCCGCGGGGTCGGTGGAGCTGCCGCTGGCAAAGGCGAGCGGCAGCGACTCGACCCGCCCATTGATCGGCCGCCAGACGTTGATGATGCGGAAGCGGCCCTGCGCTAGCTTCTCCGCCTCCGCCGGGTCGGCGATGCTCCGCCGCACGCGCGCCTCCGCCGCGGCTGCCGTCTGATCCACGTGCGCGTACGTCACGGGCTGCCGCGAGGCGCTGGGCTCATGCTTGCGCACCGTGTGGTCGAAGATGACCACCCGCTGCGCGCCGGGGACGTGCTCGAGCAGGAATCGCTCGGTCTCCGGGTAGTAGATCTCGCGGATGGCCTCGTCGGAGTCGAATTGCGCGTAGCTCATCGCCGACGGGACGCCCCGGAAGACTTGGAAGGCGTCCTTGGCAAGGGAATATTCGTCCTCGTGGCCGCGGATGTCGCGGAGAGGGACCTGCTGGGTCGTCTGCGAGAAGTTCTGTTGCGGCTGGCCGGCTGGAGGCTGCTCCACGTAGGCGAAGGGCGCGGAGCCGTCGGCTGGCGCGCGGTAGAAGTTAATCTCCGCCGTGACGTCGCCTTGTGCTGTCATGGTCAATGATTTTTGTTTGATTTGTATTAAGACCGAGTGTGCTTGAAGTGAGTATGTTGAGATTGAGTGTGTGCAGAAGAATGGATGAGATTGTTACATTGATGTGATGTGGTGGCAGTATATAAAGACAGTGGGCAGCGGGCGGCGATGACGCCACCGGCTTTGAGAATTAACAATCAATCACCGAGCAATCCCCGGAATACAACCTCTATATGATCACATAATCATCGAAATACGAGTATGAAGTATAGATATCTGGAATAATTACCGCATTCAGCTTACATCTCATACATAACAGGCGTCTATTTCCTGGCATTTCTCCAATCAATGTCTGTGGCGAGCAGGGTTGGTAATCCAAAGGCTTACATATGCAGTGGCCGATTCCATTCGCCGAAATTCCGCATCACGCAATGCCGATTAATCAGCCGTCGCGATCCCTGCATCTTATCAGATCCGGGATTTGAAGATCAGCCATCATGTACAAGCTGGCTACTCTAGCTAGGGAAAAATGGTTCGATGCAAAAACTAGTTTACCATGGGTATGCAGTCGTACCCGAATCTTGGATGATGATTATGTATACACCGATTCAGATGAGCGTCCAGCTCTCACTTGCCCTCGAGCTTCTTTCTGCCTTGAGTGAGGAGCGAGTTATCAATGAACCGAAGACAGGTCTGTAACATGTACAATCTCAGAAAACAAAATTTAAGCTTCAAGTAAAGCTGGATATAGTATCTGCTTGGAATCTCATGGCACCAAAACCCAGCTCGACCTCTACTTCCCCCGTTCCTCCGCCGCATTCCGCGCAATCAACTCCTCATACTCCCGAATATTACTCACCCCCTTAGGCATCCCATTCGGCTGCAACCCCTGCTTATCCATCAATTGATCCCGCCGCTCGATGCACGTCCGCCAGGCTGGCCGCGCCTCCATCCGCCGCTGCCACACCTGCACGTTGGGCCACGCCGCCAGATCCTGCTCGGCCTCTGGGAGCAGGTAATTCAGCCGCCCGTTCCACGGCACGAACGCCAGGTCCGCGAACGTCAGCTTGTCGCCCACGAGCCAGGCTCTGTCGGCCAGGACCGTGTCCAGCACCCCTAGGATGCGGCGGACTTCGGTGACGTAGCGGTCGATCACGCTGGGGAGCTTTTCGGGATGAAGGACGGTGAACCTGCATTTCGGGTAGTTGTTAGGTGGTGTGGTTGGGAAAAGGGGAGGGGAGGGGGGAAGGGTAGATTGAGGGACAAGGGGAAGGGCATACCACGCCGCCTGGCCGAAGTACGGACCCTGCCCGCTCATCTGGAAATGGAGGTATTGGTTGCAGAGGTGGCGCTCGGGGAGGGTCGAGTAGCTGAGTTTGTGGTTGGGGTCGTAGACGTCGATCAGGTACTGGATGATGGCGCCGGACTCCCAGAGGGTGAGCTTGGTGTTGGGGTCGACGATTGCTGTGTTGGATGTCAGTGGTGGGTTAGGGTTTGTGGTTGTGTATGTTGGGGGTGATAAGATAAGAGCTTGGGTATGGGTGGATGGGTTTACCTGGGGCGCGCCCATTGGGGTTAATGTTGATGAAGGGTGGGTTTTTCACGTCGTCGAACTTGAAGGACTGAATCTCGTAGGGGACTTGGAGTTCCTCGAGAACGAGGACGACCTGGGATGGAGGAGGGTGTCAATGCTCGATGGTGTTTTAGGTTGGTGGTGGTGGTGGTGGTGGTGGTGGTGGTGGCTGACCTTCCAGGGGTTGGGACCGGGAGCTGGGATTGAGTGTTAGCTTTCGTGAGTCTGTTTTGGGAAGAGTGTATAATGAAGACATACGGGTCATCCAGACGGTGATGGGCTTGGTCATAGTGTGTGTTGGAATGTTGAGGGAACTTGTTTGCGTGAATCTAAAAAGAAGACGGACTTGAGTTGCGGACACGTCTTATATAGCTTCTTCCTGGTCCCAGGGGACAATCACTACGCTGGCATAGGCCGCTCTTTCCAAGAGGGTTCGAAGCTTAAATCTCTGGCTATAGCTATATCTGGAGACGATCGTACTTGTAAGATCATCTACAACATGAGGCTGAATTGGGATGCGGCCATAGCGAAGCCTAATCCGGTAAGGTGTGGCGAGTGGAGTCGCTTCCTACACGGCCAGGCCAGTCAAGTGCGGAGGTACGGCGGGGCCTGGAGGGGTTGGGGTTGGTTGTACTGTGCTCAGAAGGTGTCGGTCAGATCTCATCCATATCAGAACTTGTGGACCACAACGTACTCGAGTAATCATTTGTGCCCCCGAATCCCCAAAAGAACCTTGATTCCATTCGGTGTGCTAGCAGAGAGCACTTTTAATTTCGAAGCCTATCCTCCAAATCAAAGCACAGCAAACCAAACACCCTCCGCACCATACCTAAAACACACCAGACAATATCCCTCATCACCGACGACCTTCTCCTGAGGCTCTGGGAGCTGGCCTAGACACAACCATCTGACGAGCGAGCATCAGCAAAGCTCTAGACCCATCTGTGCAGCAAGCACTTTTCCCAGAAAAGGACTGGGTCGTGTCGTTGGGACCACGTCGTCAGGACAGTAGTCGCCGTCGGGGCGTGGAATTTACCATCGAGTATATGTGTGAGGGGAATAGTCTCGTAGTGCTCGTGCTCCACGAGGCCGAAGCACCAGACACAAGCCCTCAAGCCGTCGAAGGAGCGGAGGCTCATTAGATTGATAGGAATATACAGAGTTTTCTGAATCCGTCCAAGTGTCCGTTCTGCATGGGGAATCCAGTCCCCACCTCAATCATATATGGCGAACTCATCACCACCATGATAGAACCACCAGACAATAGTGCCAGTGGGGGGCAACGCTCGCCAACCCTCCATGCTCAAATTTGCCCCGGGCTCCCGGGCGCTACGGATGTCCTTGACACACTTTCGTCCATCAACAGCATCCGTTTCGACGTATGCAGGCATCTGGACCTCTTCGCTGAAACCGTACTCCCACCGCACCTGTCCGAGCGACTCGATATGCTCGTCGTCGTAGATAAGCAACAGACCTAAAATGGGACGATGCGGTCGCTCCGGATCCCTGCAGACCTGCACTTTGATCAGCCCCTGCAGTGGTGCTTTTGTCATGAACCAATTTTGCTCTGACAGGCCGAGGCGACCATTGGGATCTCCTGGGGGTTCCAGGCGAGGACCCTCCGGCTGCGAATCCAGAGCCCTACCACCTCCATTGATTGAGTCACTGCATGTAACTCCGACGGCGGTGATGTGTACGCGAACGGGGTCAAGTCCGTCGTGAAAGACACCAGTGATTGGGCCATCGCTCGCCTTGACCAGCGGAACGCATTTGAATGGGTCTTCCATGAAATGTGGAGTTGGAGGCGCGAAGGTAATGGTTCTTCCTAACGAGGTTTGAAGCTGTGCGCGGGTGAGTTATCGTTACGAGGTTATCAAAAATGGGGCGCTTACCACTAACCCGAACTCCCTTGCTCTAAGACAATACCTGCGCGTCCAAGCAGCCGTGATGGATTCTTGCTGGTTTAACGGGAAGTAAATCCATACTTTGTCGCTTGTGCTGTCGCGCCAGTGCATCAGATCGAGAAATTCTTTGAAACAGGTTGCCGTGTCCGAGAATCCGTGGAGACCCATTATCCCATGGTCGGTGCAACAGGCTAGAAGACCTTTGACGTTGTCATCGAACGCAACGTAGTCCAACCGAGGATTCTTGCGGAGGCTATGCGCGTTCCAGCGCTGGAATGCGGGGGGTAGGGGTGTGCTCCAACACCACTTGTCGGAGGACGAACCGTCGGAGACGAGTGCAATGTCACGCACGAACAGACCCTGGGTATGAAACATCAGCCCTTATGACAGCACTGGGCAAGGGTACCCCAGAAGCATCCATACATCGCAGTCTACTTCAATGCTCACAAAAGAAGCGTGCGGCCGGAGGACCTTGTACCACGACGAGCCATCGGGTTCTGGCACCGAGTCCTTGTCCACAAACTGGATCCCGCGCAAGCCAAACGCGTCTAGCGACAAGACAATCCTGTCCATCACCGCGGGGATCTTGAGGTAGTCTAGATGCGATGCAGCCGTAGCTTCCAGCGGCGCAGTGCTGAGCTGGGTCACGTACGCGATGCCTCGGCAGCGGATACGTCGCATCCACACATCGTGCTGGAGCGTGAGCAGCTGCTTCGGCTGGGGTGCACGGCGCCTCCACTCCTCTAGCAATCGACGGCCCTCGCCCAGGACGGTCAGATACCAGCAGGGTGCCGTGAACTCCGCGACCGCGACCTTCAGCTCCAGCGGTAGTCGCATGAAGAAATGCACTGTGGAATCTGGCTGGGTCAATCCCATAGTAGATGCTCTTCGCAACCCCTCCAAGGCTGACGCGATCTCCCCGCGTCTATCGCTTCGAACTTGATAGACGGGTTTTATGGCACACATGTACTTCATCATCTCGGGCTGTGCAGGTCTTTTCGCTGGCTCGTAACTGTCTGTCAACGTGTTGTAGCATCGTTGGTGAAACCAAACCGTGGGATTTGGCGTATACAAGCAACGTTGGCACGAGTCTGGACAGTCTGGAGCAGTGCGCAGGATGTGATGTATGTCTATATTTCAAAGGATCAGAGAAGGAAGAGAGAGAGAGAGAGAGAGAGAGAGAGAGAGAGAGAGAGAGAGCAAAACAGATTACAGGCGCAAAGGGTAGGTGTGTGCAGTACCGAGGAATTGCTCTCCGGCAGTTGGAGTTTGTCGGCATAGCAAGCATGCGGTTCTTCCAAGATGAACGTTTGTCGCAGAGTCTCTGACCCCACGAGGATTCTGTGTCCAATTGTGGGGTGTTGCCATAGCATACTTCGCTGAATCGCGATGACTGGAGGTTGCTGTGTTGAAGGTAATGTTGATGCCCAGAGAGCATGCATACATAACAACGGAGTTAAGACGAACGAAAAAGGCCGAGGGTTTGGACTTATGGCAGTCACGTGCTACAGCTTCGAGGTCCAGGGGTCGGTGACTCAGACCGCCTTCTACCGTACTGGCAGAGTATTCATCACATTGTACTCCGTAGCAGAGCATCCATCACTTTGGGAATGTTGGCAACGAAAGCTGCAGTAGACTTCTGCCCAAAGCGAAGAGGTGAAGTCGTCTGGGATTCTCTATAGTGTAGTATGTGCAAGCATCAGTTGCCGACCAACAAAGAACAAACCTTGGAAAAGGCATATACTAAACACAGATTCCAGCAGCGAGAAATAGACAATCTCGACAGACTGCCAGTTTCGTATACGGGCCGATGTCGCAGTGCTCATGAGTCATCTGAATCAGCGATGTGATCGATCGTTCAATTTACATGGAAGGTATGAGAGGTTTTGGAAAACCGGGCATGCCCGGATGACCAGTTCTCACACACTAAACCTATTTCATTAGAACTGGGCAGGACTTCAGGACAGGGCATGCCCAGTTCGTTCTGCATTAGCTGGTTGCTTGCCCTTGATATAAGATCTAGCCAAGAGTTAGCCAGGAACGAGAAGTAAGTGACTCATCAGCTCCTTCCCCGGACTGCGGTTGTGGTGCGATCCGCCTATCAATCTAGATCTGAATAAATACTTATGCTGTTTTTGTTCTCACTATTCGCTGCTTTCTCCCCTGCTACACCACTCTCTCCACTCAACTTCATCCAGAATCAGGCGTCAGATTGACCTCGACCATGTATAGAATTCAAAATATCTCTCGGGCTTCAAATGCCCTTTCCAGGCCTTCACCAAAACATGCTGTCGGCAGCCACTTCACTCTGATGCGAAATACACCCACTACCCGGGGCACAGCTTCTGCTGCGACGCAGTTAATTTACAACAACACTGTACCAGAGAGGAAGACCCTACCAGCAGTCGCACGTCTGGAAATGGACGAATCGTGTGTCACTCTTGATTTGGCTTTTCCCATTACTTACCACTAACACTCAATAGGTTCATTGGAATGACCGGAGGCGAGATCTTCCACGAGATGATGCAGCGACACAACGTCAAACACATCTGTATGTGCATATACCCCAAAGCCACCTGAATGAGGCTCTAACTAACACTTCGTTCGATGACTCCAGTTGGATACCCCGGGGGAGCCATCCTCCCCGTCTTTGACGCCATCTACAACTCTAAAAAGGTCGATTTCGTCCTCCCAAAACACGAACAAGGCGCCGGACACATGGCCGAAGGATATGCCCGAGCGTCAGGAAAACCGGGGATCGTGCTGGTGACCTCCGGCCCGGGGGCCACGAACGTTGTGACCCCGATGCAGGACGCGCTCTGTGACGGCACGCCCTTGATTGTCTTCTGCGGGCAGGTTGCGACCTCGCTGATCGGCAGCGACGGGTTCCAGGAGGCGGATATGCTGGGCATCTCGCGCTCGTGCACAAAATGGAACGTCATGGTGCGCCATGTCTCGGAACTGCCGCAGCGCATCAATGAGGCGTTCCAAATCGCAACGAGTGGGCGACCCGGTCCCGTGTTGGTTGATCTTCCCAAGGACGTCACGGCTGCGGTCCTAAGGAAGGCGATTCCGACCACGTCGGCGTTGCCGTTCGTTCCTACTGTTGTTGACAGTATCAAGGCGGTGCCTCAGAAGTCAATCGCTCGGGTGGCTGAGTTGATCAACACTGCCAAAAAGCCCGTCATTTATGCGGGGCAAGGAGTGGTCAACTCGCCGGATGCTTCGCGATTGCTTAGAGAGCTTGCGGAAAAGTCCTCGATTCCGGTTACAACCACTCTGCAGGGACTCGGTGGGTTCGATGAACTAGATGAAAAATCCTTGCATATGGTGGGAATGCATGGATCCGGGTATGCGAACATGGCGATGCAGGAAGCCGACCTGATTATCGCTCTGGGAGCTCGATTTGACGACCGGGTTACGATGAATATCAAGAAGTTTGCGCCCGCGGCGCGAGCGGCGGCGGCGGCGGGGGTCGGGGGGATCGTGCATTTCGACATCCTGCCGAAGAATATCAACAAGGTTGTTCAAGCGACCGAGGCGGTGGTGGGCGATGTTGCTGAGAGCCTTGCAGCTGTGCTTCCCCAGATTGAACAGAAGAATATGACCCATCCCGATCGTCGGTCGTGGTTTGGGACGATTAAAGAGTGGAAGAAACGCTGGCCGCTGAACGTGTACGATCGAAGGGATCGGTCGCATCTGATCCAGCCTCAAGCAATGATCGAAGAACTCAGTAGGTTGACTGCCGATCGCAAGCAGGAAACCATCATCACCACGGGAATCGGGCAACATCAGATGTGGACGGCGCAGCAGTTTCGCTGGCGGTATCCGCGCACGATGATCACCTCGGGCGGATTGGGCACGATGGGCTTCGGCTTGCCCGCTGCTATCGGAGCCAAGGTGGCGAGGCCCGATGCATTGGTCATTGACATCGATGGTGATGCCTCGTTTGGAATGACTCTGACTGAATTGAGTACCGCTGCGCAGTTCAATATTGGGGTGAAGGTGATTGTGCTCAACAACGAGGAACAAGGCATGGTGACTCAGTGGCAGAACCTGTTCTATGAAGATAGATATGCCCACACGCATATCAGAAATCCCGATTTCATGAAACTGGCCAAGGCAATGCACGTCCAGCAACGCCGTGCTACCAGGCCGGAAGAAGTGTCTGATGCCCTGAAATGGCTAATCAACACTGAGGGTCCTGCCCTGCTAGAAGTTGTGACCGACAAAAAAGTCCCTGTACTCCCCATGGTTCCTGCTGGATCAGGACTACATGAGTTCATTGCATGGGATGCTGCAACAGACAAGAAGAGGAGAGAATTGATGCGTGAGCGGACGTGTGGCCTGCATGGGGCATAGACGTGCATCACTTGTAATTAGTGACTCATCCAAAAGTAATATAATGTTTCATATCGCCAGCTCCTGACTCGACAATTCAAATCTTACGAGCCAGATCACAAACCATCGAGTGGTCTCCAGACTTTCATCCACCGCTGAATCACCATTAGCGACGCTATTGCACGTGGCAGGAAGAATGGGAACCAACCTGATCGTACGTTAGATTCGCATCCACGAACCTCAAATCTGTGGCCAACCGAATCTTTCGCTTTGGATCCTTATTGTTGCAAGTCGCGTGCACTAGAAAAGGATCATGAAAGATGACATCCCCAGCCTCATACTTCGTGATCAACCACTTCCGATTCTACCCCTTGCCGTAGGCGACCGTATCGCGACTCAGAAACCCGCCATCGTTCATGTTTTTATTGAACGCTGACACACGCTTCTCATCGGTAAAATTCCCCGCATTGCGACGGAATTCCTCCCCCGTCCTGCGCCCAATTTCCGTCGACTTCTCTAGGTACATCAGCCCGCCAGCCTCCAGCGAGACGTCCCCGATCGGCACCCACGCCGTCAGGCTGGTGGGCGGATCGGCGCGAAGATACATCTAATCAAAGTGTACGGGAGTCAGCCCGCTGTCGGCACAAAGGCCCGGAGCATCGTGCGCTGCAGCATGGTAATGTCCTGTCAGCCGGTGAACTTCCGGATGAAGGCGCGAAGTTCCTCGGTCGCGCAGAAGCTGAGGTAGAAGGATACCTCGTGGGCGCTGATCATCCGCTTCAGGTATTCGTCGGATTCTGCATCGTTCTGGAGGCCAAGAAGCCGGCGGAGATCTCCTGGAGGAAGGAACTTGCGGGTGACCTTCTCGTTGAAGATGCGGTCCACAGGGTCTGAGCCGTCCTTGAGGAGGCCGGAGGGGGCCATGTGGAAGAAGTAGCGGCGACGGAAGTCTAGAGCTTTGTCTTGGGGAGTAGGGCTTTGACCTGTCGAGGTCGATGGTGTTAGTTGGGGCCCGTGAAACGCTGTGAATTAGGCTGGATTGGAGACTGGCTCACAAACACGTATCCCTCGCGTAGGAAACGCTCGCGCATGATCCCAACAGAGGCGTCTTTCGCTGTTGGTTGCAGGTATCCAATCTGTTCAGGGATCATGGGCCCAAAGTGGAACTCGTGATTGAGGTTCTGGGGGTCGGTGGGGTAGTATTTGCGATAGTTATCGTTAGACGGATTTGGTTCTGTTCCTCGGCGGATGGAGGTAAATGAACGAGATACCCGGTCAGAGTTGTTGCCATTTTGTGCAAATGCTACCAAAGATATAATGACAAGTATGAGAGAGATACAAAGGCAAGCAGATCAGTGGCTCCATGCCTGTGAAGCTGTAAGTCGATGGACTTCATAGTGGACGAGGGATTGTGGGGAAAGTAGAAAAGATGAGGGGAAGAGGAAGAGGAAGAGGAGGAGGAGGAGGAGGAGGAG